AAGATCACCAGAAAGCTCTACAATTATCCCAAAAGGGTAAACGTAAAGCTTCAAAAGCTCTAGCAAGGCCAAAGAAGAAGCAGCGTGGTGGTGCAGCTTCTCGTAGTGGTGTTGTTGCTGCAGAGCCACCTCCAGCACCGCGCACCCACAAGACCCGTAGTGGCAGAACTGCAACTCTATATAATTAATCCATATAAGAGAATATTATCGCATAGGTCTATAGAAGACTCCACCACAAAATCTCGTGATAATAGCTATTGTACATGGCTCTACAGCCTCAATTCTGTATAAGCTGCTTGGGGGGCTTCGGCGCATCTGGTGATGGCGCGCATGTGCTGACTAACTACGGTAGCGAATCCAAGTCGCGCCGCGTCCAAAGTATACTTGGCAGTACATCTGAGCACTGGTGACGTCTACAAAAGACTGTCAACAAGGGCGAAGATCCACATTGCAATACCCAAGTGGATTTGTGGGCATTCCCATTGGTTTAAGGGCAAGTATATACTTGCTTGCCACGCGAGCACACGATCCTGTTTCTATTCTTGTTCTGTCACAGCCTGAATGCCTGGACGCAAAATATCGCAAGTATGATTGTGAGTCGCATGGCACCACAAGAGATGGCAAAGGAGGCTTGATTTAGCTCTTCATTTCGGTAAGTCACTCCCAACCTTGTGGAGATAATACAATCAGCCTCTTCGATGATCATTTCCGGAACACTGCCTCAGAACCTCAATATTGGCGAAATACGAACCTCGCTATATGACAACGATACCTCTGCAGATATTACGCTGATACTAGGTATAATGTCACTCAATCAATGCTCTCTTGTACATTCGTTTCACGCAATTCACGACATTCTTTGAGCATGCGTCTACCAGAGAAACTTTACAGGAGAGCTTTGGTCAGCGACGACGAGAGTCCTCGCGACTCACATAAGCTGCCGAGATTCTCATTTGAAGGACAACAGACCACTCGTTAACACTGAGCGTCTCTTCTATCAGTGGTCTGAGGATGAGGAGACATCATATAACCCTGATTTCAACGCAATAGAGAGTGCGCTAAAATTGGAACAAAACATTCTTGTAAGTGTAGGGTCTACGTGCATCTTCACACATTTGTGCTTGCACCACTGAGTGAGATCTATGGGCGAGTTACAGTGTTACAGTATGCTAACTTAATCTACCTTGTCTTCAACACGGCTTGCGGCTTTGCTCAGACGAAAGAGCAGATGCTTGCCTTCCGCTTTCTTAGTGGCATAGGTGGAGCAGCACCCCAAGCAGTATGTCACTATCTTCATGCTGTCCACTCTTTTACCTTACTACTTCAAAGCACCTGCTGACTGATACCTAGCTATGTAATGGCGTGCTTGCCGACACCTGGCGCAAAGAAGAATGCGGTGAAGGCCAAGCCATCTACGGCAATTTCAAATGGGACAGTCCTTGTGTAGCTCCAATCTGCGGCGCATACATCTCGCAAGGCGTGAGCTGGCGCTGGATCTTCCGAGCGACCTCCATCTTCACCGTACTCGTCCAGATCACCGCGCTCTTCTTCCTTCGCCAGACATTTGGTCCTGCCATTCTGGCCAAGAAGGCAAAGCTCATCAGGAAGGCGCTGAAGGGCATTCGTAACAAAGTCGTTGTGCGCACGGAGTACGAGACTGGCGACCGATTTAGTAAGATCTTGCGCAAGCGCCTGATTCTGCCATTCATCATGATGTTCACACATCCAGCGACGCAAGCACCCTCGATCTACCGTGCATACTTGTACGGTGTGATGTATCTCATGCTCTCAGCCTTCCCGCCTGTCTTCGAGGAAGTTTATGGTATGGATGTTGGACCAGCATCCCTCAACTACCTGTCCATGTGTCTCGGCTTCATGATCGGTCTGCAGATATCGCATCCGCTCATGGACGGTGTAAGTCTCCCAGCATCTCCACACTCCAACCCGTTGTCTGACGCTGTGCAGCTCTATGCTCGCCTAAAGGCATACGACAACCTCGAAAGAGGTCTGCCCGAGTTCCGCGTCCCACCCATGCTCATCGCCGGCATCCTCTGCCCCATTGGGCTGTTCATATACAGCTGGACCGCACAAGCAGGAGCACATTGGATCGCGCCAAATATCGGGTGCGTTATCGTTGCTATTGGCATGATCATTGGGTTTCAGTGCAGTCAGGCTTATACTACAGATGCGTATGAGGCGAAGTATGCTGCTTCTGCGGCGGCAGTGGGTGCGTTCATGCGCACGATGTGCGGGTTCAGCTTTCCATTGTTCGCTGTGCAGATGTATAAGACCCTGGGTTTGGGGTGGGGAAATAGCTTGTTAGCGTTCATGACGTTGGGGTTGGCGCTGGTCAGTCCGGTGTTGCTGTGGTTCCATGGGCCGAAGTTGAGGGCGATGAGTACGAAAGGATTGCTGTAGGAGGGGAACCAAGCGGAAGAGACGATTCACGAGTTGCGATTGTATTCAGCGAGGAGTCTTGCGCAGCATGAATAGACATGTACAATATCACTCGTCTCCTTCAAGTTTTGATCGAGAGGCAGAATATGCATCATCAATACAGACCTGCACAGAAGGCACTGCATCAGACCTTATCTCGCCCCTCCAGAAGTTTTGACTTGGATGTTCTCATCAAAAGGCCACTTTTCAACGCTCGATCAGTTCAAGTTCATCGCTCTGCTGCTCGCCGATCTCGGAGTCGACTCCAGTGCGCCTCCAGCCACCCCGCACTTCAAGATCCCACAGCCTCACACGATCTCCAGGAATAATAAACGGACCGATCCGCTAACATGAAATGTGACAAGCGTTTTTGCCGTCCACATGGTGATCTCCTGACGCTAGTCTGGGCCGCGGCAAAGCATCTCGGTACTTGGAGTTGATGGACCCTTTCCTTCCGAGTTTCGGAACAATGTGTGGAAGGAAGTCGCGTTCATCGTCGTGAACTTCATCTTGTCTTCAGTTGCAACTGCTTCCTCTATCACAAGTCAGGTCACCCAAGATGCCGTACCTGAGCACGCAGCCCAAGATCCTCATAGCAGGCGCCGGAATCGGAGGCCTCACAGCCGCGCTCTCACTGCACGCGGCAGGATTTACCGACATCCAGATCTTCGAAGCATCATCAACACTCACAACACTCGGTGTCGGTATCAACGTGCAGCCTTCAGCAGTCCTTATCCTGCGAAATCTTGGACTTTTGGAAGCCCTGGAGAAGACCGGAATCCAGACGGCAGAGCTCAACTTCTACAACCGCCATGGCGACTCCATCCTTAGCGAGCCACGAGGCAAGTACGCTGGCTACGCAGTCCCTCAATTCTCGATCCACAGAGGGGAGTTCCAGATGCTGCTCCTCAGCGCTGTGAAAGAGCGTCTTGGTGAGGAAGCGGTGCATCTTAATCACGCCTTGACCGGATTCGAGCAGAACGAAAAGAGCATCACAGCGCAATTTTCGCAACGACGGGATGGCGCTCCCGCCGAACTCTCTGGCATTTCTGGAGACGTCTTGATTGCAGCTGACGGAATCAACTCGACTGCGCGACGCATTCTATACCCCAATGAAGGGGCGCCAAGGTTCTCAGGACGCATGCTCTGGCGTGGATGTTTGGAGCGCGAACCGTATTTGACAGGCGCGAGTATGGTGTGGGCAGGTCACGCGGATCAGAAGTTTATCGCATACCCAATCTCTCAACGTTCAGCAGACAAGGGCAAGAGTCTTGTGAATTGGATCGCAGAGTTGCGCATCCGAGGGAAAGACGACAAGGACCTTACACCGCCGAAGACGGACTGGACGAAGGCTGTTGACAAGAGCGTATTCGAGGGTCCGTTCGAGAGCTGGAAGTGCGGTGGTCTGGAGATGAAGGATCTGATCGACAAAACGGATAAGGTGTTTGAATTCCCCATGTCTGACCGCGATCCAGTTGAGCACTGGTCGTTTGGCAGATTGACGCTGTTGGGTGATGCAGCACATGCTATGTATCCCATTGGATCGAACGGCGCATCGCAAGCCATCATCGATGCGGAAACACTGGCAAAGCATCTTAAAGCTACAATATTAGACGTTGCTGCAGCATTGAAAGCATACGAACTGGAGCGACTACCCCCCACAGCAAAGATCGTGATGGCAAACCGAGCGAACGGCCCAGATCACGTCTTGCAGATGGCTGAAGAGAGAGCCCCAGATGGATTCAAGAACGTCTACGACGTTATACCGAAGGAAGAACTGGAAGCTATTGGCACAGTGTATAAGAAGGTTGCCGGTTTCGAGATGGAGAGTGTCAATCTCAAGGCGAAAGAGACAGAAGGAGAGAGCGAGAGGCTACGGCTCAAGAGTCCCAGAGATTGGATTTAGTACGGAGTCGTATTCTCAATCATGGTTTTTGGGGTGAGAAGCTGAAGCAAACTGACCGCTGTCGCCAACACCTTCGTCCTACGCCAAACACCTAATCATTCACCAAGCAGTGTCGTACATTTTCCGAGTTCGTGACTGCTCCATAGCCACGTTGACAGACAATACGCCCACTCGCGACTCAAACAATCGTGGCGTCCTACCAATCAAATGCGTCAACGCCCAAAACGGTCGCATGTCAATTTGTGCGACCTGAGCCATGGCAGTGACGCAGCTGACAAAATAAGATCGCCTGTTTCCCATGTGGGCTATGCATTTCTTTGACTGACTTCCACTTCGGTCAGCCCTGGCGCTGAGACTGTCAAAGAAAGGAGGGTGAGGACGTACTACGGATGGAGCTACGTGTGAGACGCACTTCATTGTCAAAGCCTCCGCGTAACACCGATGATATATGAACAACGCAGAGCTCTTCTTATTGACACTTCTAGCTACTCCAGCGGTTTCTCTTGAATCAGCACGCCCCTCTGCTTTTGGACTGCATACTCGCTGTAGTCACCCAAGTGCCTCATACTCGCATCTTTTGATCCTGTAACAACCTTATACAGAATGCCTGGTCTCGAATCAATGCGCCGGCGGCTTTCCAGCATAGCGAAACCCACTCCAGAACCCACTGCACCCCCTTCCCACACGCACCCCGACACCCGTCTCTTCAACCCCGACTTCTTTAATATCGAAGCAAACGACCTGACATGGTTCCGCAAAGTCAACCTCGCAGTACGCCGCGACATGGCTAAGTTGAGCGTCGCTCACGACTACATGCACATCCAACGCGTCACCGTCTCAGCCTACACTCTCTACCTCAACGAAAAGCAACTTCCCTGTGCCGGCAGGATCGATCCGCGCACAGTCGTCATCGCAGCCATGGTGCACGAACTCGGGGCACTCAAATACACTGAAGGAATCGCAGAGAACAACAAGAACTCTGGTCCACGACGACCCGACAGTCCTGATACAGTGCAGCATAAACAACACGAGTTACTATTTGACTTCCTGCGGCGTCTGGACTGCCCGCCCGACGTCGCCGGGCCGGCGGCCCTGATTGCGAGTCTAGTCAGTATCTGGAGGGAGTTCAGGGATAAAGAGAAGATTCAGGGTCATTGCGAGGCGTATCCTGCGCTGAAGTTTGTACAGGATGCTGATCGGTTGGATGATCTGGGGCGTGTTGGGATTGCGAAGCTGGTTGCGGAGAGGAAGGGGACGATTCTTGAGTTGGTAAATAGGATTGATAAGAGTTTGGCGTATTGTGTGGATTTGATGAAGACGAAGGTTGGGAGGAAGGAGGCGGAGAAGAGGCGGGCGCAGATGCTGGAGTTTAGGGAGGGGTTGGTGGGACAGACTGACTGCTCGGTCGGTCTCAAGGCCGACTGAGGAGCATCAGTGTTAATTAATATTCGCCTAAACTCTACTGGTTTTCCAACAGTGGACATAATGCTCAGGTTGCGCGTGTTTGACGAACCTGGTTCCTCATAAATAGAACAGTTTGACTGCAGGTCTGAATCTATGGGAGGTACTCAGTGCCAACTTTCAAGCCATCTGTGATCTGATATAATCTCAAAGGCTACAGTAATTTCTGCATGCTCTACAACAAGAGTCTACCGAACAAGCAGAGTGCTTCTCCAGATAGTGCTGCCCGAAGCTTGAACTCTTCCAAGAGCGGATTCTGGAAATCGTGTTCAGGAACGCATCGCTCTTATATGGGTTGCGGCTCCGCTGCGTATTTGTTGTGCAATACATACATTTCGCCTGCTGCTTCAGACCCATTGGTCGTAACCCTCACAGCTTTGTGCTCTCAGCATGAGTGTCATCCTTGTCTCCCCATCCCAGACGGACTGGCTTTTCCGCCGATGATGTATGCGAACCAGACTTTGCCTTGTCACACAGAGTTGCGCGACCATACACCATATCAGCAGCCTGAAGCAATGTGCACTATAAAGTGCCTCCCGTACCTTCCCTGTCGTTCTTGTGTGATGATGGTAGATGATAGATACAACGCTCCACTCCGTCGCATCCTTATATCGACTTGGGCATAGTCTTATAAAATCGGGTGTGCATCAAATATGTACACAGTTGCACGCTCACATACTTTCTGCGTTGCGTACGAGTGCGGAAGCTTCGTTCCTTTGCCGAATTCGATCCAAGGCTCGTCGAATATGCCTGATGGTTCGTTGCCAGACATGTTTCCTTTGATATCTAGTGCCGTCACTACAATGGCGATCGTACAAAGACAAAGCTGTTCAGAATATCAGCACAGTAAGTGAAATGCCAGATGAGTCAACATCATGTCGTAATCGACCGGTATCGTACCCCTCCGTTCTGAGCACAAGTAGAGCAGCGAAAAAATACGATCCCGTGGATCTGCGCAATTCTTATTTGCGAATTGACTCATTAAAGTAATAAGATCCGGTCCATCGTCCGTCTCGAAAATGCCAAAACGATAGTCGTTGAAGTGCTCATCATAGAAGGATTTGGTTCTGAAGACCGCCGGCTCTGATTTGGCGTATAGTTTCCAAACCTAGAGGAAATGTATGCAACCAGAAGGTAATTTCTTGGGCCAGGTAAGTCTCTTGCACAACCCAAGCATGCTCCCAGTAACCGTTTTCGAAGAGATATCCGCCAAGAACGAATTCGTATGCATACTCGCACTGTTGTGGCGAAGCATCACTGGAAGACAACATTGCCATCCAGTGATGCAAGATTCTCTCGAGATATGCGGTTCGACCTTTATCCGGTAGCGGTTCGACCTTTATCCGGTAGCGGTTCGACGCCGTATGAGTAATATGCTGCTGAGCCTAAAGGCGGCGCCTTTCCAAGCCAGACGTGCACAGATAGAGTGCGCGAGTTTGTCTCCCATCTATTTGACTTGATGGTTTCTCTCTAACAGATTTAGCTGGTCAATGCACAAAGCGTCTATCCAGAATAGAATTGACAGGTCGAATCGTCCCAGGAACCAGTCACGTCTTGTGGCATTATGGTGTGCTATACAGAGGAAGTTATAGAGGTTTTCTCGGATGCGGAAAGGCTGCCCATTCAGAAGGATGACTCGATTATTTACGTCGTTCTGGATATCAGTGTATGTAGTTTGACGTGGTGGAAGGTCCCATGTATACGATAGAAACACGTATGTACTGCTGACTGAAGCATGGGAAATACGACACTGAACAAGACCCTCGGCCGAGAGGTCTGGGAGAATGTGGACAAGACGGATGGAAGGTTGATCGTGGTTGAGTGGCTGGTATCAAAAGGGTTCGATAGGGTTGTATACTAGCTCTGGGATTGTCGGTGGTCTGTGAATGCTACCTTCGATGGAAAATCGATAAGCTTCAATACAAGCCTCAATTTCCTGAACAGCTTCTTTGACGTCCTCATAGAACCGTAATCTTGACTCCTTGAGCGCTGGAGCTGAATCGGCTTCGCCATCGTTATCGCCATCTAATGATGAGCGCTTGCGCTTGTTGGGAGCCTGTGGTGGGGAAGAGTCATTGTCGGCTCAGGACTGACGTACCCGTTACAACCTTAGAAGTCAGCAAACAGTCGAAGTGGACACACATACATCCAAAGGTATGGAAGGTCAAGCTCTGGCCGAAGCTTAAGACAACATGATTGCAGAGGGGAGGAAAGACATGTTCTCAACTTTAAGAGAACGTAGTGAAGGCTGACTGCATGGAAATGTGGCTGTGCTCCTAACCGGTATGCCACAAAAAAGTACGAGACGCTGCTTAAACGATTTGGCGGGACCTGACCTGTTCATACACCTCTTGAAGGCTTTGATTTGTGCCTGAAGAAGCCTAGCTACTTCTTTAAGATGCTCATGTTCAATGTCGATCAGCTAGGCAGCAACGAAAGGGCAATGACCTTTCCCTACCGCTTGACCCCTCTGAGCGCCAAAGCTTCGGCTCCCATTTCTCCCCTTCCACGTCCGTGCTCAGTTAGTCAGCATGGCCCAAGCTCCTTTGCCTATAAGTTCAGCGCGGTCCTCGCCCTCCTTCTTGTTTCCTCATACTTACCTTCTTTGGATGATTGGGCTCAAGATTCCGATTCATCTATCTTGATCAGCTGCATTGCACAGCGCGGACTGGTTGGGATATGGCTTTCCTTCGGGGACGCCACAGGGGCAATTTTTGCTGGCCTTCTTGCTTTGTGCAAGCTTTTTCATTGACCGCTATTGCTACAGGCATGGCGTTGAGGAAGAAGATAGTGCTGCTACTACCGCTTGTTCGGTGAGATAATATGGAATGGACTGGCTGCAGTTCGACGTGTTGCTCGATCCAAGGTTTGTTGATGTGGAGATTCATTGTCATGTTATGAAGCTATCGAAACTCTATCTGTTTCCCACTGAGTTCTTATGCCTATCCATGTGGTGTCTCTATCTCTTGTTGTGTCCAGCTGCTCCGACAGAGCTTCCCAGCTTCGCATCCATGTGAGTGCGAGCTGTCATTGAGGGGGCGAGCGGGCGCTTGTTTGCAGTTGCAGCCATTTGCTCAGTCCCAACGCCGTCGAAGGCTTCTACAGCATCGTCTGGTGGTGTCCACGTCTTTAGCCATGAGCTCTGTGATATGTATCATATGCTCTCGCTGTGTGCGGTTTCAACCCGCCTTGTCCACGCCCTCGCGCTTGCCTTGTGTGCCTACGCTCTTGCCAGCATCCCCACTCTCCACCTCAGCATCCCCTTCAAGCTCCTCAACCCCCTCAAGCTCTTCAGCGCTCTCCTCATCCGCCTTGCCTGCTTCCAACGCTCGATATTTCCTCCGCTTCTTCTTGTCACTACTAGCCTTCTTTTTGCTCTTCTCCCTCGCCTTGACCCTCGTGCGCGCGTCGTCCCCCAACTCGTGCTCCTCAAGGCGATCTTGCAGCAGCTTCCTTGCTATCTTACGATTCTGCGCTCGACTTCGCGTGTCTTGGTACTTGACTACGATGCCCGTGGGAATATGCTTGAGCTGTACGGCAGACGAGGTCTTGTTGATCTTCTGACCACCTGGACCGGAGCCCTTCAGAAAGTTCTCTATTATTTCGGATTCGGGAATTACGCGGCGCGGAGGGAGCTGCTTCGAGAGGAGAACTGCGCTGTTGTGGAGAGCATGGCGGACGGTGGAAGAGAGGGTAATGCGTGGGCGTACAAGCGCGGTGATGGGGGAGAGGAGTTGCATTGCTATTATTGTCAGGTAGACTATGACTTCAAGGATAGAAGAGCAGCCATTTTAGCATTGTTGTTATGCTGAGCATTCTCAACTTTTGTGAAACGACGCGCCCAATCCCCTCGCGCCTCACCCCCGGCCTCTTCCGCGAACGCCAAAAGTGAAATGATATGACGGCGCCCTGACCGTCCCTGAACCACAACCACAATCACGCATGTTCACAAATTGACGCAACACCACGGCCCAGAGAAAACCCGAATCCATACCAGCTACTTAGTCGCAAGTGTCCGCCGCATGCCCGACTCCGCAACGGTCGCAACCGCGCTCCTCCTTGCCGCAGCCTCCGCCCTCCTAATCGCCGCAATGCTCTACCCGTCTGCCCTGCTGCGCTGGTTCCAGCGCAAGAGATATCAATATGAAGTCACATTCTCGCTGTACATGTTGACGAGTACTGAGAAGTTCATCTTCAGTACGTCCATGTTCCCTTCAACCCTCCATATCCAGGCCCCTATAATTGGATATGCTCTTCGAGTTGTAATCCAGATAACGGCTAATGCCACTACAGACTCCGTACTCTTCCTCCTCCTATCGCTCCTCATAATCGCCGCATCCCTCTACCTTCCCGAACACCTCAGCATCATCGCAAGCCGCATCTTCTACTACTACAGCGGCAACGAGAACGCGCATTCCGGTCTTGCGAACAAGGCGGTAGGCGAGCCGGCGCATATCCATGGAGCAGGGCTGGCAGGGAACGGGAGGGGGTACATGGAGCCATGAGCACAGCAATGGAGATGAGCTAGCATACAACGGCTGGTGGATTCCATATGACTATAGACCCTGGCTGGGATGAGGGATTGCCGGCATATGGCGCAGACTGTGTCGATCGCCAGTCTAGTGATGTACAGGATGTGATATGAGCGGGTGACAGCATGGAATGGCGTTTAGATGGGCGTTGTTGAAAGACCGCTCCGCATAAGTCTTCGAGTGCTTGGAGCGTTTAGTTATGATAGATACCACGTAATTGTAATACTTCACAAGATAAGAAGATCTCGGTCTACCGCGCCTCTCATGAAACCCACCCTTGGGGCCTACCTAGGTACAGGGGATTTGCTCACCGACAAGTTCACCGCCATACTCACCGCAAGATTCTGGAAGGTCAAGCGGGGTGCGGGTGATAGCAGGGAAGGAAATATGGATACGCAGGAAGATATTGAGAGCTTGAGACAGTGTTTGGTGTTCGTGAAGTACGGATATGATCATTGAAAGCAAACTATGTACCGCAGCTAGAGAATGTTCGCCGAAGAGAACGAGCAGCTACCACCCAATGCATATGCGTATGCAAAACATGTCCAGAAAACCTCGCGTTCAGTACAGAGGAAAGGTACATACAGAGCAGAGATAGGTCGTCATGTCGTCGTGAAGGGAGGTATGGAAATCGGACAGGACCGAAAGATAAGATATACTAGAATCATCCTAGCGGTTGTGTGCGCTCAAAGTTGAGTTCATCCGAAGAGAACATGGACCGCACGCTCGAGCGTGGCCGGAGTGTAGTCGTCGATAGTAACAAGAGTAGGGAAGTCGCTTAGTGCCTGCACATGTGCTTCCATCTTCGCGCCATTACTGACAATGACCAGAAGAACGACAGGTACCGATGTCATTGACGTATCCTTCTCGACCTTACGCGTGATGCTTCGAGTGAATTTGAGCTGCCGCTCAAAAGCCTCCGGGCTATGTCCGAGCACGTTCTCTGTAGCGCAGATGACAACCACAACGACCCCGCTCGCGGGCAAGAAGTACGGATGCAAGTCGGTCATGCCGAGATCCATGCGGAACGGTACATGGCGGACTTGTCTTGGTAGAGCACGTCCTAAGGGTTCGAAGGGATCCATGTCCTTGACCAAGGATGTCGATGGCGAGTGAGGGACCACAGGTGTGAAGAGGGTGATGACCTCTGCCTCGTTGAGTGTTCGCAATCGATTCAGCGTCTGGGGTGGGCATCGAACCAAGACTGCTTTGCCAGCAGCTGGTTGTTGCGAGTCGGCCCTTGATGAACGCTGCCTTCTATGCTCGCCCATCTTGAATATTGGGTTCTGACTTCAGTCGGGCGAGGTAGCGATGGCTGATGCTCTTCCAGAGACGACGATCAACAAGAAGCAGAGTGACTTGATGGTAATCCGGCGGAGGCTGCGGGGTGCTGAAACAGTATTCGTGAAGCCCCTAGCCTGAGCGATCGTTCTCGACCACTTCGAAAGAACCTACGGGAACAGCAGGATGTTCCAGCGGACAATCGATATCGCGAATGCTCCAAGGCCGCTCGAGGATGCGATACGAACGTGTGGCTTGCGAATGTTGATCGTAGCTGGATTTGTGGCCAAGAGGTGGTGAGAGTAAGATCGTAAGCCAACCTGAGTGTTTCGATGGTCAAGATTGCAGCAATGTGTGTGAGAGAGGACACTCGTGTGGGGCTCTATAGTTATATCTGTAAGTATATCCCTCGTCATGCTTTGAGTGCTACGACAGATGAAAAACGAGACTGTTGTACAAGACCATGAGTACGCATGTTCTGTGAGATGATGAAGGGCAGGTAACTCGAGCCCGCCAACCGGCAGTCAGCAAACGGCTCCCGTCTCCTGGAGACCCTGAGCCATCGCTGACACACAACATGAGTAGGCCTGCGGCGTAGGTTACACAGAGGAGTGGGTGATAGTCTCCAGTGGATGTTACTTTGGCCGGTCATGGAACGTTGGGCAAAGCGAAAGTCCTCGCAGGCTCCTTGCAAGAGAGGCAAGACCAAGTATAGCGTGGCAATGTTGAACGGACGCGTCAGCGCCGTTGAAGACTGTCGAGATTGAGACACCAGAGGAGCTGAAGAGGGTGTCTACTGCTGAAGTCGAGGACAAGGTTTGCTGCTCCTGGCCGAACACCCTCTTCGCCGGCCCGAGCAAGGATCCTTGGGCTAGAAAGTCGGCCAGTGAAGCAAGTACCCAGCCAGTGACCGGATAGAGATCAGCTGCATCTACCCGCCAGACGCACGGCGTGGTTCGCTCTGCGTGTGGCGCACGGGGGTCAGTACGATTCGAGCGGGCTGTGCAGTGCCGTTGTCAAATTGATCGCTGACGAGCAGGGTTTTTGACCATTCATGGCAAGAGGAATTGCGCGCTAGCCGAGGGTGAATATCTTTTCAATGCTGATTGTGTAACGTGATGTATGCGGCGACGGGCATCTGCAATGCATGCTCTGTATGCGTGACATCTGCAAGATACTGTGCATGACTGGCGTGTGAACGAGCCGCGGGCGGATTAACCGAGCGCTGTGCTCCACAGGGGCTGCCAATGCACAAGGCCAGCCGTGTGGTGACATCCGCTCGCGACAGTGATCGATACGACATTCGATGAAGTCGAAGGGCAACACAGAACGTGGGTGTAGAGTGGGGGAAAGATGTGAGGGATGGCTGGTGGTTGTTGTCTCGCTTATTTAGCGTCCCAGACAGGGCAGGCGCGTTAGGTGAAGTTGTAAACACCATGACGACGCGCCTAAGTGAACCACCACTTTAGGTCGCGATTACTTCTTAGTCAACACCTGGCGCAATGATATCGTGATGCCGTCTATCGCAGGTAATGTTGTTGCTGTTTTTAACGCATAATGAGCTAACATCGTGACAGAAGAGCAGCCATCGCTCGGCGACGCGCTAGAGTCGTTGCATAAGGGTACGTATCATGCTCAATGCGCCTATGCGAGCGAAGGCAGAGCTAACACCGTGCAACAGCATCACGAACTCCCGCAAAGCAGCGAACCGTCAAAGTCTCTGGGGTGATCAATGTCATCTGCCGACACGCGTTTGCCTATGGCCTTGACGAGGATGCTCTGGATGCTGTCGTACACATTGCGGCAAGGAAGACACAATTAGATCAAACGAGTGTAACAACGTTGATAAAAAATTTGTATCCCGCGCAGCGAGTATCCGGCGATGTCATTGTCACAATCGTAGCCGCACTGGGCCAGGGTAAGGGCAAGCCTTCGCCAGGCACTCAAGACAGCCTTGTAAAGTGGCTCGCATTGATCCACGTGATCATCGAGGATGCCAGCGTTCTCTCTAGGTTGTATGGTGTCCTATTCGCGATGTTGGACATGATCAGTATTAGGTGTGCCACCACGCTACGAATGTTTCCTTACAAACTAAGCTAACTTCGACAGAACATCATTGTGCCATCTGCTATCCTTGATCACTCGTAGGAAGCATGTGAAACCCTTCAGAATACAGCAACTGTATGTTTGACTGATCCAATACGGCCATGTCGTTCTACGACAGTATGGGCTGATGTACCTCTTAGACTTGAATTGTCCCGTGGTCTTGGTAACGAACCTGCCCTTCAAGGTCTTCTCCGCGTTTACAAGGACTACTATCCGGACATCATTCTCGGAAGCGCATCCACGAGTCGAAAGTCGTTTGCACCGGTAAGTGCCCGTCCAGTCTGTGTAATGTCGGATGCAAAGCGGGGATGTTCTTGCAAGGCTGCGGCTTCATGTGTTACACCACTGACTGACCTTTACTGACGGCGTAGCAACCTGATGCGGAGTGGCGAGCAAGGGTGCGTACGATTCAGGAAGCTCGCACAGCGGCGGACGACACCACATCTGAACGACACAACGGCTTTAAGGTTCTTCGACACGGATCAAAGAGGACTAAAGCATCGGTGTTGCCCGATGTCCACACCTACCATGCTACTGAGGTAGGATCTCTTGATACTCGTGTGCCATCCCTGATACTGACGTATGGTAGAGCTCCGTAACACTGGAAGGCATCGATAGTGTTGACGCCTTTGTGGAGAGGCTTGACAGGATCGAGCCACCTGGTCAGCTCATCCCTTTCCTTACAGACCCACTTCTTCAGAAGTATGTTGAGTTGAAGCCATCACCGGTTGTGTCTGCACGCATTGGTTTGTGGCTCGCCACGTGCCTCGAAGAGCAAGTCGGAGCCGCTGCTCAAGATACTGGGGATTCTGCCTTCCTTACCGAGCTATTAGATGGGCTTCTGCAGCATGCACGGTATACCAAGGTAAGCTTGACACCTAGTTGACAACACATCATGCTCATCCTCTCGTAGACACTGCTACCCATTGTACCAGCCTTCCTGAAGGAGTACCTTACAGTATGGGACGGCCGAGACCATGTCGATGCCGTACTTGGCCTACTGGCCTACATTCCCGAAGATTCATTCGATGACCTTTATACCGAATATCTTTCACCCGCAGAGCGTGCGCTCTCGAGCAACGGTCTTTCAGCGTATACACGTCTAGTCGGGTTCTACACGGAAATGCTGCAACACCGCGTATCTACTCTTGCTCAGCAACGACCTGAACGTCGTCAACCTGCGCTCATCTCGCCTGAGCAGCAGTTCTTGAAAGACTCTGTCTCGCACTTTGCAGCATTCTCGACATCTCTGATCCTGTCGCTTCCATCAGAGGAGGGAGCTGAACTTGTGTCTTCCACCCTCGCCTACTGGGAGCTGCTTTCCACATCCTCCAAACCGCACGTCATTCCCATCATCCTCCCACCGATGCACCTCGTATACTATTTGATGCAGAGCTCGCCAGCTGTTCTAGTATCCCGGATCTGCGGCATTATCGGCAGTTACAAACAAGCTTTCGACGCCCACCCAAGGCCCGTCAAGCACTACTACCCGAGCGAAGTGACAGACGGGCTGAATTGGTGTTTGCGCGATGTTTACAACCTCTTCTGGGTAGCTCGCGGCCTGGCAGTTGCCGAACAGAAGTCCGTTGGCATGTATTGTGATCCATCATTGCGCTCATCACTCAACGACTATCTGAGTGGTCTGGACCACGAGTACGCGATAGGTCACGCATTCGGGTTATCGAACAACGCATGGCTTGCGTCGATGTCTTTTGCAGCATGGCATGCGCTCGAAGAACAGGTAATCGACCGGGAAGGATATGATCGGGGCAGTATCAGGTGGCACACAGGTCCAGTGAGTCAGCAAAGTTTGGCGGTCATAAGAAATGGAGGTGTGGACGTAGACTGGGAAGGCGCCAATGGATACAAGGTGTTTGTACTCAATTGGCTAGCAGAGAGGGGACTAGGTGGACTGAGGGAGTTTATGTTCGCAACCGTCACAGACCTGAAAACAGGACAGACGAGCGCCTCGTAGTGCAACGCTGTAGGCCGGAATACACGGTTATGAATACAAGGTACCTGACACCTGATCATTCCTCCCTCTCCGATCGTCACGCGTTCGTCGGCCTTTGAGCCTCGCATAGTCGGCGCCTCCACGGCAAATCGGGAGAGAAGCTCAAGTATGATGTTGAAGACGCGTGCAACGCGTATCATCAGCCACAAGAAGCAGGTATGTTTTTGGTGTTGACTGGAGCTATGGCTGAGCAACTTCATGCAACGTCTCGGTTCCATCCGAAAGCGCCAAAGTTGCCGACTTACCCTTTCTTCCATTTTACACGACATTATCAACACTGTTGTTCAGCTGTCACAAACTTGCTCGAAATGAAAACAACCAAGAAGTAAACTCAAGGTCAAGCTCACCGTAGATTGAAGTTCAGCCATCGTCCAACCGCGACCAACCTTGATCGTTTGCAGAAGACAACACACCGTCATGCGCGGTCCAGGCATGTTGAACTTCCGGCAAGATCCTTCAAACTGGTCTTGAAGCAGGAACTCTCCTCTGCGTTCGTATGTTTGGCTCTTGCGGCACCTACAACCGGCAGTACTTCTGCTCTCGACAATTGTTTCGAGAGGACACCGCCGAGCCTCATGACCTCATACCCAAGCGCGTACAACAAGAGTGAGAGCTCTGCAAGTATACAGAAGAGCTTACAGAACGTCACCTTCCTCCTATAAGGCAAATGGTTCAAAATTTTGCAGCTGAATCGGTGCACATTGCTGTTTCTGACTCCTGGGTGTTGCGCTTCCTTGACCGTCACCGCGACACTCTCCTCTACAAATGGACCACTGCTGTAATGGGCTGTGCCCGGTTAGCGCCTCGGCTAGCGCAAGCCAAAATCATTGCCGGCTGCTAGCCAGCAAACCTCATCAAATTTATCTGACCTTATCTGGCATCTACCTTCAGGGTCAGCCGTTTACAAAAAAAGAGAGGCAACTCTCTCCCACTAACACACTGCAAAGATCTATAGAGTGCCGCAAAGCACAATCAGTGGCCTACTTGCTGGAGCCTCCCTATAACGCAATTGCATGCCCAATTCAACAAAGCTAAGAAGCATCAAAGAGTAGGTGATTTTCCAGCATGTATCAAAGCTAGATGAGCAAGGATACCTGCCCCAGCAGCTTCCTGATGTGGAGGATATGGCTGTTATGATTCTGCGTCCTGGGACAGACAGCACTGCAATAAGTAACCGCCAACCATACGCAACAGACTGTTGAAGTTGTACTTTGAGCAAAGCTCATAAGCACGGTTTATTTGGTTTTCAGGGATGAGTACAGTTTCTGGAACAATAGGGTCTATCACCTAAGGCAAAGCTTGTGGTGATAAGGGGTAAGCGTTACGTTACGATTACGTACAACATTGGAATAACCACGAGGCGGGCAAACGTTATAACGTATGGAAGACGGCCGCGAGAGAGGTCGCGCCTTGTCGTACAGAGACCCCATGGCTCACGTGACCGCACTGACGAGAGCATTCGGCTAGCGTCCCATGGGACGGAACCGATTAATACCATGGGATTCCCACGAAATCCCACGGGTCTCACGGGGCTTTGGGACTGCGTGTAACGGGGGTTTCTATACTTTACCAAGGGTAGCTAGTCCAGGGTTCAGTAAGCCGTAGTGATGTTGGATTGTAGGAAGATATTACAAAGTTGAGTGAGTTGTAGACAAGAACTTTGTTGGTAGTGATGTGAGTGCACAAGAGCAATACTGTTGGAAGATTGTATTCTTGACTACAGAGATGCTAACTATGCTGCTGTTGAAGTCGTACTTCTAAGCAAAGCTCGGAAGCACGGTTTGGTTGGGTCTTGGGGATGAGTAGAGCGTGAAGGAACGGAGGAGTTGATCACCTAAGCAAAACTCGTGGTGGTCAGGGGTAGACGTCTAGTCAAAGACCGTGACGGCTGGTAGCAATGAGTAGTCCAGAGTAGACTGTCTTGCTCGAGAGCAGGTGAGAATCCAGTAACAAAGTTGATTGACGAGGTTGAACACGATGCCATAATGGCAGTGTTCCTACACTCATAGTGACCAGGAAAAATTAAAAGAAGAGAGCACATGTTGACAATAGCATTCAGTCTTCAAGATGCTGTCGCACATGTGGTGAGGTAGGGCATAATGCATAGACATGCAAGAAAGATGCATAGAGTACTGCAGGTTAGAGGAATATACTGTGCAGCACAGTACAATACTGTTGTCTACTGTAGTATTGCAAGGTCATTGTAATGTTGGTGTGGTCTTGGCCAAAGTGACCGGCTTGCCCGTGAGGTTTTCCAAGTTGCAACTTTTGTTCAACGTCATATGCATCATGATCAGTTGCATTCTGAGTGCGAACAGTAACCACGCTCAACATAGATAACAACTGAAAGCGCTACATCATTGCCTTTTATCTCTTCCTGTTGATCAGGAGTGATACTCATGGGGAGTACTCTTCGTTCCCGTTCCTATCGACCCTCACGTACTTCTCTCTATCCATACCATGCGTGGCGCGCAGGTGGCAGGTGTTCTCGTAGCGGCAGTTGCCAAAGTCACGTTCGTTGGCGCACTGGTGACCCAGGTCTAGTCTTTGTTAGCGCTTGTGGGAGGTCATTGTGTTCGGATGAGAAACTTACAGCAATCGATATCCTCACAGTACCTGTTATTGCAAGCTAAGCTTCGAGCCTTGTAACGCAAAGTGGTCAGCTCGCCCGCGCTGAGTTTAGGCTCATGCTGGAAGTGACAGAATTTGCCCTGCATGCATGAACCACCCAGATGAAAGTTATTGCACATCTTCTTGCCGTTCTTCTTCATCCGAGCATCCAGAGCCTCTGCGGATGCACGGTCGCGAGCTGGGAGTGGCTCGTCAAGCCTTTGCTCACTCTTGTTGTAATAGGCGTATTTCTTTTTTGTGTTTGCTTTCGAGTTGGTAGTCGATGCGATAGAGATGCTGTTGGTACGCTCAGTGCCCGTCTTGCCAACGCTAGCCCAAGTAGAATCCTCACTTGACTCGGTCGCCGATACAGAAGGCGCTGGTGTGCTGGGAGAGGGGCTTACAACCGCTGGCAACACAGACGCTGCGGGAGGCGTCCTGTTTGTCAACGAGCGCATAATTATGGGAGATTGCGCTGACGGTGGTGGGATGTGCGCCGCAGTTACGGTAGTATTGATGGCGGGAGCGGAGTCTGGTAGAGGCTCGTTCCTGAACACATCATCGAAGTTGGCACGTTTGAAGTTGGGCAACTCGGCGAATCCTCTGTAGGCAGGAGTAGATTCCATCAAAGTGATACGGCTTGCTTTAGCTTCGTTGTGTTTGAATTGATCAAGATTTAGGAGGTAGCCGGCATCGTGACAACCGCCAAAGATGATGTGGCGGCAGGTGGGGTTGTCACTAAAGGTGCGCAGCATTTCTACTTTCTTGTCAGCTCACATTGACTTACATTGATCTCCTAGCCTACCTTTAATCTTGTGGTCGGCTCGTTCTTTGCCTTGACCGACATCGACAATACTAAATAGGGGCTGGTTGACGCTGAAGCGCTGAGCGAAAGTCCGGAGCTCCTGCGGATGACGCAGAAGTCCGACTTGTTGAAGCTTGATAGCGAGCTTATCGAGACTCAGGTAGATCTGAGCCATGACTGGCCACTTTCCGGAGTTGCTGTATAGAGACGAAATGTGGTTGTGGATAGCATGGTAGAGGCGAGAAGCAGCTTCTGAACCACCATCACCACCAGCCGCCTGGAGCAAGGCATCTTGGAACTAATGAAAGTCGGTAAGCTTTCCTTAGCCAGGAAATAAGACCCTAAGACATGACTTGGCCAGGTGCCACACAGCCAGTGGGACCCTTTGTAGATGCAAGGAGCAAGACCTCACTCCGGCAGTGACGGGCTTGGTGTGCTCAAGTGGGAGAATAGTTGAAGAGGGGACTGGAATTACTTACAATAGCGCCGTCTCCATCGATGAGAGCCAGAACAAACGAGCTAGAGTCCTGCAGCGATGAGTTAGTAAAGGCAGCTGCAATGTGCAGTGTCGCACTGACACGGCGTTGAGGAGCAGGAAAGAAAACTTTGGCCGTAAAGCACGAGTGGGCATGTTTAGAACAAATGGGATAGTAGGGGCAAAATTTGATGACTTGAAATCTTACCAGTTGATGCTCGTGCTCACTCATAGCTCTGTGCACCTCCTCGACCCTAGACTGATAGTTCCTTCTGTTGTCTCTTTCGCTAAGGTAGTCGCTCTTCAACTCAGCATGTTCTCGTAACAGGCCTGAAAACTTTTCAATGAGTTCCTATATTAGTCAGTGTTGGGTTCATGTGCACCTTCCGCCTCAGCTTCACCCACGTTAACAAGGTTTTCTCTGGCATGATCAGCAGCTCGAAAGCTCTCCATCTGTCTTAGATAGTTGTTTAGATCGTAGTTCGCCATACTGAGAAGTTCGACCATGTGGTTGAGCAATGTTCACGAGGCAAACTTTGTCTGTAAAGGTCACTGGAGTGAACACGTCTTAACGGTGGAGGCAACAGCGAGCTCTTACGGGAGCTAAACACTAGCTTGTCTTGGAAGGAAGTGGGGTCGATCAAACAGCGACACTCGTTCTTGAAGGAGTGTGAAAGCAAGTGTGCGAATACTCTCCTATTCCAGCAAACTATGGCCGATACAGCTTAACAAGGCGCAGTCGTTCTCCACATGCACTTGCTGTGGTGCGGGGCACAGGCGAGTGTGTCGCCTGGCCTGGGGCGTGGTACACAAAGGGAACGAAAACACTCAGCCCACCACTTCATGCAGCTTGCGCCGTCATTACCGTATCAGCGACGCGCACGAAGCTGACGGGGGCATTCAGAAGCTTTGAGCAACTCACCAGTGACTTTCATTTGCAGCATGCTGCTAGACAACAATGTATTGCTTCGACAGCGCTTACTGTTCCGGACAATTGCACAACGCTTTTCCAGTGGCTGGCATGCAGCACGATCGAGGCTGTAGCAACTTCTCGTACATAGTTTGAAAATACATCGCAAATTCCATTAGATGAGAAACTGGAAAGTACAAACGTACCTGAAGATGCCACAGATGAAAAACAGCTGCAAGTGTGGACCGTTGTTAACGCCGAACAGCTCCGCCTGAGCTTTCCCCGCAAAGTGATGCTGATCTCGAATCATACGTGCCGCTTACAAAACAACAACGGAAGCGTTCCACGGGAGAAGCTACATAAAAACAACAGCAATTGAATGCTTATAACATGCAAAACACGACTCCTACTCTCGAACAGCTTCAGGATCCTCTCAATTCCAATCGTTCGTAGCATTGCACCAATCCAACGCCTCAACACCATGGCGGCCAACAAAAAAGCCCGCACCGACCCACCTTACGAGCTCCTCTACTGGCCTGGCATCCCAGGACGTGGCGAGTTCATTCGTCTGGCCTTCGAAGCTGCAGGTGTATCCTACAAAGACACAGCCAACGAGTCTGAGGATGGTACGTACATCCTACACACCGTAATCAACTCGAGGTGATCATCATAACTCATGACACCTACTACGCACCACTCACTTCCCCCAATCTCCGACCTTATACCAACCTCGAACCAAGGCTGACAGTCCCAGGCGTCAAAGCAGTAATCTCCCTCATCGACTCCTCTTCGACCGGCACCGACGGCAACCCACCCCCCTTCGCACCACCCGCGCTACGCATTCCCGGCGAAGGCCCCGACGGCAAACCGCTCCTAATCTACCAAACACCCTCGATCCTCTCCTACCTTGGCCCCAAGCTCGGCCTCGCAGGCACCAATGAAGCAGAGCAGCAATGGATCCTCTCGCACACGCTCACAGCGCTGGATCTCAGCAACGAAGCACACGAGACGCACCACCCCATCGCAGTCGCGAAAACCTATGAGGAACAGAAGGAGGAGAGTTTGAAGAAGGCGACGGACGTTAGGGAAGCTAGGATCCCGAAATTCTTGGGCTTCTTTGAGAGGGTACTGAAGGGGAATGAAGAGAAAGGGAAGGGGAAGTATTTGGTGGGTGATAAGCTGAGTTATGCGGATACGACGCTGTGGCATGTGTTGAGTGGGCTGCTGTTTGCATTTCCTAAGGAGATAGAGGCCAGGAAGGGGGGGTTTGAACTGTTGTTTGGAACGTTTTATGAGAGTGTGAAGGAGGCGAGTGGGGTGAAGGAGTATCTGGCGAGTGGAAGGAGGAAGCCGTTTAGTATGGGTATGTTCAGGTATTATCCCGAGCTGGACCGTCAGTAGAGAAGATGCTCTGGGAGATGATCGAAACGAAAGACACTAGAAAGGACAGTGACCATCACAGAAAAGAAATCAATTGCAGTGGTATCTTGAAGGGGTGCCCCTCGCGGGCTGATATCATCTCATTCCATTTTAATGCCGGATACATGATGCATTTCCGAAGCCGTACTCCTGACCCGAATGATGCCCAGGCTAAACGAAACAACCGACAGCCGTAGGTCTAGTACTCAGCGGCAGACTGGGGGAACTCGAAGTTGACACCCTTGCCAGTGAGGCGCTTGTAGACCTCAGAGTAGGTGTCGAGCCTGTAGTCAACACCGCCGCGCTCCTTCTCGTCAAGAACGACCTTGAGGACCTTAGAGCCGTCCTGGCGGGTGCGGAGGCGCTTGCCGACGATCTCAACGGGGTAGACAAGGTCGGACAGGATGGCGTCGTGGACAGCAGTGAGGGTCCTGGACTGGGGACGCTTCTGGGTCTGGCTGGTGCGGGACCTGTTGGAGCGCTTGGGGCGGGGCAAGATGCGGCGGGAAGCAACGATCAGGACGTGGCGGTCGGAGAACTTCTTCTCGAGCTCACGAGTGAGACTGTCATGAATTAGCGCATGTTCACTAAATGTTTCGCGAAAAGTTCCTGCTTACCGCTGCTGGGCCTTGTGCCAGCCCTGGAGGAGAGGGACGGGGACGAAGATGACAATAGCCTTACGTCCGTGGCCAACCTCGATCTAAGAATCCTGGTGTCAGCGAATTGTGCTGCCCAGTGCCCACCGCCTCTTCGATCAAAAATATGGGTATGGGTATGCGTGTGGAAGGTATGCGAGCGCGTCGGTGCGCTATGGTGGAGGCTTATCTTACCTCGCGGGCAGAGACAAACTGCAGAGGGCGCAGAGAGCTCTTCAGGTCGGGGACATTGTTCTCGAGGTCAGTCAACGCCTGCGCAATTGTTAGTCCTGTAGTCGCATACCAATTGATAGTGGAAAACTTGCGTTGGCGATGCTGGTCTCGATCTCGGAAGGGCTCTGCCTCGAGGGGCTGTTGGGCGCGATCTTGTTCAGGGCGTTGGCAGACATGTCGGCGGCTGGCGAGGTTAGTTGTCGGCTGGTCGAAGAAGCGTTTGAAGATGTCCAACCCGTGAGAGAAACTCTGTGCGGCTTGGCAAGTTCATTAAGCGAAGGTTAGTGCAGATCACTAGTGCGAACGCCATCCACTCGCCCTGACTGATGTGCACGCGAACACTATTGCCAACATCAAACTTCGGGATTCGTGTGATCCCGTTAATCGAGTTCATCGTTCAACAGACCTTTACTTTTGGTCTCATCATCAACGTAAGGGGCATTGTGCACTGCGAGGTCCTGTCTTTGTCCGAGACTGCAGACACCTGAGCAACTCGCGGGAGATGTCAAGAATGGATGTTTATGCACAATTGTTGCGTTTACAGCATCATGGATGGTGAAATCTCTCACTAAATGGGGGGATCTCACTCTTGTCTGATGGTAAGCTCTGATTGGAGACAGCACGAAGTTCATTGTCACGGCAACGAAAAAAACGTCGCTTTTGCTGACTCGAACTCTTACCTGTAATTGTTCATGGTGTTACACGCATGCAACGATTAATGGAACACCACTCTTCTTTCTCCCATCGCCCAATCATAGCTCACATGTAAAAGCAAGCTCAGCCGCGCTTACAACCTTGCAACACAGACATGGCCACCTTATGAACACTACAGCCTTACTGCTGTCGTATATGCTACATCTGCTACAGCTCATCCACCCATCAGGTTGAATAAATAGCTCGAGCCCAGTTTTACCAGGGGCTTGCAACAGCAGCTAGCTAGCCATACATTACCAAGAGACGCTGTTCCGTCTGAGCAGAGAGAACTGATCGACCGGACGATAATGAATCCAGATTCTCGTCGTTTCCACATCGAGGTCACATAAGAAAACAAAGCATGCCAACACCTCAGTATCGAAGGCAACAAGTACAGCAACACTGGGATACCAACAAGTACAGCAAAACTGGGATATCAACAAGCATATAAATACAGCAGCGACGCTCCTGGATAACGATCGGTAGACCCGATTACGCCGTTCAACCGGCGATCCCTACCTACCAAACTCTGCGCAGAGGCTTACCGACTTTCCGCTGATGTTACTCGGTTCAATGTGCCAACCTGCGACAGCCTTTCAGAATATCCTATAATAAATGCGTTCCAGCACCGGCCCCTCGATCACGGTCGACCTTTCATTCGTTTGATTCACATTCAGAAAACTCTTTCTAGAGACGGATTTGTACAATATAGCATGTTCCACGCCACAACAGATGCCTCTTATATGTGTCTGTCATATGTGTGGGGCTATCCACCACCACGTAAGCGGATTACTCGGGATCCGTCGTCAGCGAGACAGGGCACCGGTTCTGGGATCACTCTGATCAATGAACAATACTTTCGTGTTCGGCAAAGTCTACTCAATTTTTCTCCGTGTGGTACAAGAAGACGGCACTCGGGCGCCCGGAACGTTTGATCTGTCTATTCCATCATGTATTGACGCCCTATGTATTGATGAATCCAACCAGCTAGAGAGGAATCATCAGTAGCACAAACGGGCGCGATCTACTTGCGTGCCGTCTCTGTGCAGGTCTAGCTAAGTATAGTGCCACAGTCAGCTCCGGACAAGTTCGATGCGCGAGGACCCCATGCAAAACCTCATAAGGACGAGACGACGCCTGTGGATACAGTAGTACGAGACTACGTGCCAGCGATATCCATGAGCAATTCTCAGATCCAATCGCCGGCCGAACGTCCATACTTCGAGAAGCTTTTGTTCGATTTCGTTCTAGACAACACGTACTGGGCGCGCGCTTGGATAGTGCAAGAAGTGTCCTTGGCACGGAAGCTCACATTCTGGCTGCACACCTTATCGATGGATCAAGCGCTTCTCGAATCACACGCCTCATATGCTCTCGGGTCGCAATATGCCAGGAATAAGATGAAATACCGCCTCCCTTACTATCTCAATCATCAGCTTGGCTTGGCTTCAGGAAACCAAGGGTCTGCACTCATATCATTGTTGGATCGATTCTCTGCTACACAGTGCGCAAATCCTCTGGATCAAGTATTCTCTTTACTGTCTCTATGTTCTCCAGAGACAGCTAGAATTAAAGTCGACTACGAAATCGCTGCTGAACAACTTGCCTATGACCTACTCAAACAACATACGGGCCAGCTACGTATCTGCTCGGTCTTGCTTGTCATGCGGGCGTTGCAACGTTCGGACTACTTATTATCAGAGATCTTTGAAAGTAGCCATCAGAATGGTCCCTGGGTAGAATTTACTCTACCTGTTTCGGATCTTGTCTTTCCCTCTTCAGACATTCTCTATCGAACGGGTGCGCCTCAGTACATCAGGTTCGATTCGATTTGTCGGTCATCGTGCACACACAGCTTCACCGGTGGTTTCGATCCCATTATCATTGAACGGAGGGCAGAAAAGAGCCTTAAGGCAGTGCTCAACAACGAAGAGACTACCTATACGGTACGCATTGCTCTGAGAGTATTCCATATCCTGACACCTGGTCGCATTCGTCTTTGCGAGAAGGCTAAATCAAGGTCCGCTGCTGATGCTAAGGGTCATATATGCCTGGGATGGGGAGAAGGTATCGCTTTGTGAAGGGGTGCTTGCGTAGACGATAGGATCGGAAGCATGATGATGTCAAGGGCGAATTTCGCAGCAGAGTCGAATTTGTTGCGGTATCGGTTGGTCCGTACAGTGTCTGACTATACCCCTGACCACTACCCTGGACTAGTGTGTTACACAGGTATATAGTCGTCTCCTCCTAGCTAGATAGCAATCCAGCGCAGTATTCCATCGACCTGATAGTCCTACGTTATCGTTTACCGTAGCTATCAGTATTCTACAGCGGTCCACACCGCTACAGATTTCATGGTAAGGGAATTGCTGTCGTAGCATTGCATATCTAATCTCCACGACCAGCGCAAATATATACAAGAATGCCAGACAATCGTGAATTGATAAAAACACCGTTCAGTCTTTCTTCGCCATGTATCTTTCAGGCAAATCTACCCTAGGTGTTTCACTACCTAGCATGATCGATTCTCCTAAGCAATCGCTTAAAAGGAGAGGGTGTTACCAGCTGTGCCAACAACAGCGGCCTTGACCTTAGAAGCAGCAAGGAGGGTAGAGACAGTGTAAGGAGCCTTGGTAAGAGTACCCTCCTCAGCAGTGTTCTTGCCATCACCGAAGTCGTTGCCAGACTCAACAGCGTAGCCGGCATCGGTGGAGTACAGAGCCTTCTTGGAAGAGACGAAGACGTTGTTCTGGACGAGGAGCTGGGCGCCCTGGCGGGTGTTGATGCCGTCGGAGACGTTTTCGTAGTAGTTGTTGTAGAAATGGCCGGTACCGAAGCGGAACGAGGGACCGCGGGAGTTGAGGTTGTACAAGTAGTTGTTGGCGTAGGTGACGGTCAAGTGACCCTTGTCCTCGGAGCCGTTGGAGTCGGAGTGGCCGATTAAAGAGGCCTTCCAGTGGTCGTGCAGGAAGGTGTTGGTGACGGTGACGAAGTCAGCAGCATGGGTGATGTCAAGGAGACCGTCGTAGTAGTCCTTGTCGTGGTCACGGTCGGAAGAGAGGTCGAGGTGGTCGACCCAGACATTTTCAGACTGAAGAGACTGTTAGTGCGGGCCAGTGAAGTTGGGCGCTGGGGAGCCATACCTTTTGGATGGCGATAGCATCACCACCAACGACCTTCTGGACGGCGAAGTTACGAAGAATGACGTTCTTGACACCCTTGACGGTGATAGTGAAGTTCTCGAGGATGACCTTACTGTTCTGTCCGATGATGGACTTGTTGCTGCCAACCTTGACGTTGTCACCGGAACCCTTGATGGGGCCAGTGATGAGGACAATGGCGGCGTCATCGCCTTTGACGGCGGCGGTGAGCTCGCTGAGCGTGGAGACCTTGACGGTCTTACCGCCCTTACCACCGGTGGTTCCGCCATTAGTGGTAGCGTAACCAACAGTGGCGACGTCCTCAAGGGAAGCAGCACGCTTCTCGATGCTGTGCTTGACGTCAAGCATGCTAGGAGTGGGCGCTGCCAGAGCGGTGATGGCCGTAAGGCCAAGGGAGACAATAGTGCTGAACTTCATTGTGTCGAAGTGTTGATAAGTTCAAGAAAGAATGACTGATGGTTGAAGCGAAGGACTGGAGTGTTGGGGTTTGAAAAGAATGGAAGAGCTAGGCTGAAGAACAGTATACCAGCAGAGTACTGTCTCTTATATAGAGAATGCATCATCCGAGATCCGGCTTGTCATGTAGTCCCACGTTCACTCCCAAGCCCTACAAGCATGCCCAAGCGTTTCCATTGAAGCTTTGCCGAATTTGGCGACGATAGCGGAGGCCATGCGACTTTGACGGGGCACATTGCTTATTTCGACCAGGGACCGTAAGACAAGCAGTGAACAAGCAAAATCAGAGGACGCTCGGTACGATCCGGGAGGAATATGTTTGAAACGACTAACCAGATATGGTGGAGACCCTCGCACTCTTCGCGCTGCCAAGCCAAGTGGCTTCAACGTCGAAACATGGCGGTAACTCGAAAGGGTGGGAATAAGATTGAGCGGACCTCTGCGCGCAGAAACAATGTGGTGTGGAGAAATCTATGTTTAATTGAACGTCGGTAATCGTGACATGCCAAAAATCACGACCATGCAGCGTACAGTGTCGTGATATTACGGCATGAGATTGGATGTTGATGTAAGTTTGCCTGATTACAAGCATCAAATAGCATTTCATGTTGTCGCGGTCTCTGGCAGGAATAACAGCGTTTTGTCATCTTGTCAAAGGTAAGGTTGAGTGTTCGGATTCGGATTCTGACCAGTTCCGCTTCGAGGTCCCTCAGTGTGCTGACTCGGGTGACAGGTATACACATCGATGTGCGTACGTAGTCAACCAGGGTGGATGTTCGAAGGCTTGCAGAAAAGCTTGATTCTAGATATATCCACGTCAGCTTCATCTCACATAAGCCTACTTCGAAGCATAGGGTTTGCATGCTTGAAGGTTGTCCCTTTCACTCGAAGGGTAGGGCGAGCAAAGAGTATTGATCGTGACATTGCGGGTCCACGCGAGGGAACGATGGAAGTGGCGACTGATGGACACGACAGCAAGCAAGCTGGGTTTACCGAAGCGCCTGAGTTTGGTGAACAGTTTAGTCCGGGTAGGCACTCTTCCCCTGAAAAGTGGTGCGGCGCAAAGAGAATATCTCTTGGAAGATGTTTCGACTGCGCCGAACAACCGTTCATCTGGATGACGGCACAGACACAGATGATGCCAATACTGAGCTGTGGGTAGCCAAGATGGTAGGAAGCTGGGCAATGTCGATGCAAGTTGATGTTGGTAAATGGTGTTGCTGAGGGCTTGTAAGGCGTGATGCCTGTCATGAAACAGATGCACACCAGGGTCAACGGGTACACGCCCTCAGCAACATCAGGGATCGATACCGCGTCCATCGCGGAACCGACTTCTACAGTTCGAAATTCGTCCATGCCTCCTCAATCGGCACTGTCAGATTCTCCAAGAACAGCTCTTATACGGTGAATTCGAGAATTGCATACTTTGCACGGTGGATACATCGCATACCTACATAAATATCGACCACTGACCTCCCGCTACATAGCGGTACCTGGATTGACAAAAAGGTCCCGAGCAGTCGTTGTCAAGTGCACGCTGACCTTGGATCAGTGGAGTTTTGGTTAGACTCGTAAAATTTCCGTGATTTGCTCGATCCTTGAATGAAAAACAGCGGTACAGAAGCCAGCTGCAAAAAAACGGGAGAGGTAAGAAACTGGCGGACGAAGGGCCTTCGAAGCCTGGCCCTGCAGACTAGCGTTGTAACTGCCTCGAGTGTATCTTCGTACGTCTGGCGCTGGGAAAGGAAACGGCTATCACGTGCAAAAGTGCATGTGACATCATTGGATGGCCTGAAATGGTAATCACCTTGATTCGCAGTGTCCAGAGAGCTAAAGAGATGTCTTCTCAAGGCAGCAATACACTCATAACAAACACGTAACCTTCAAAGTGAGAACCACACTCCAAATCTGTCGAACATATTGAATCGTTGCAACTTCGTCCTTGTTTGGCCGCTACTATCTCTCACGACTACTCGCAGACCGCGCGTACACTCCATCTACCGCAGCTGTCACGAAGACTGCTTATAGCTTGCAAGACCTCAATCCACACAATGCCACCAATCCCTACCTACAAGAATGCGCCCATAAAGGCCGACGGCGTCACACCTCAGACCAACGATGCCTCCAACCCAGCACCAACACGCACCTCACGATACGTACCCGCCACAACAACCGTAGACTCTTCGGCACCTCCAGCTCCCCAGCCAGGCGCCCGCCCAACCCCCACAGCCTCTACGCCCTCGAACCACAACGGCCCTCCACCTCCTCAGCCCGGCTACACAGCAACGCACATCACGACCGAGACACGAGTCCAGGCGCCGCCACCTCAATTCACACAACCACCGCCGACCGACTCGCAGCTCGCTGGCCGTTCGACAGTAACCTCGACGACGGCGAGCAAGCCGGGTCCTACAACGCTGAACTTGGGGCCGGTGGCTAGTCCGTTTCAGAGTGCGGATACAGGCGGTGCGGTGCCCACGGCGACTGCGACAGATGGGGGCGGCGGGAGGAGGAGTTTGGAGCACCCACCAGGGTATCAGCAGGCGCCTGACAACGCGCCGTATACACAAGGTGGTGGGATTGGAGGTGGAGAGACTGCTGGAGAGGGCATTGGGGCTCAGGCGTGGAATATGATCTCGAAGGCTGGCGAGGCATTGAAGGGTGCGGAGGAGGCGGCGTGGAAGGCTGTGAACGGCAAGAGATGAAGGTCTTATTTGTCAACTGACATGATGGTGTCGAATGATGTACGATACAAGTAACAATCACATAGCAATGGAACAATGTTTGTGTGAAGGAAACCCGAGATCTTTCTATAAACCACTATTTTTCCCATGCTCCAAGCGATGGAAAGTAAACACCTAGGAAAGGGGTAAATGGACAAAGCAATGCAAGCCGGATATGACGAGTAGTACAGGGCAAAGTAAAGTACAAGGTGTTTCACCACCGGGTCGTGCTTTCCGTGACGGGCTTGATGTGCTCCATCATTCACCTCTACACACAACTCGTCCCCTCGCGTCGCGATTATCTGCTTCCACCACGTGAACTCGTTTTGGGGTATCGAAGAAAGAGGGAAGGCGCTTAACCAGATCCACCCTTGAACTTCTTGCCGAACATGAGGAGCTGGGCCTGGTCGTAGATGGACAGGACACCGGCACCAGCAACACCACGGAGGATGTTGGCACCAGCACCCTTGAACAGAGACTTGACACCCTCAGCGGCGACGATCTGGCGGGCAGCATCGAGAGTACCGTTGTACTTGACGGCCTCACCGGAGGTCATCATCATACGACGACGAATGGTGTCAAGAGGGTAGGAGGCGATACCGGCACCGGTGGTGACAGCCCAACCAAGAGCGAAAGAGGCAAGGAAGTTACCCTCGAGGGAACCGGTGAGGAGGACAGGCTTGATCGAGTCGTACATACCGAAGTACAGACCACGGTAGACAACGATACCAGCAACGGAGGGCATGAAACCACGGTAGAGACCGCCAATACCGTCGGAAGCGAGGGTCTTCTTGTAGACATCTACGAGACCGTTGAACTGGCGCTCACCACCCTTCTTGGCGGACTTGGCGTCGTTGGCGAGACGGGTACGGGCGTAGTCGAGGGAGTAGACGAAGAGGAGGGAAGTGGCACCAGCGGCACCACCGGAGGCCAAGTTACCGGCCATCCACTTGGCGTAACCGTCACGCTCCTTCTTGTAGGCGAACATGGACTTGTATGTGTCGCGGAAAGCGAAGTTGAGGGCCTGGGTAGGGAAGTAACGGATGACGTTGGCAGTGTTACCACGCCAGAGGGAGAGGACACCCTCGTTCTGGGCAGTGCGCTTGAAGCACTCGGTGATACCGTCGTACTTGCGGTCGAGACGGCCGGACTTCAGCATCTCATCCTGCAGCGGGTGTTAGATGGTGGCTGATGATGGATGTTGATAGGACTGATGCATACCTGGTTCTGGATGAGGAGCTTGACACGCTCGATGGGGGCGGCAGCGGTCTTCGAGACGGCGGCGGAGACACCACCCACTGATAAGGGGTTAGTAGCTGCATCTTCGGGAAAAGTTTGCGCATCGAGTTTCCATTGAAGCCGAAGCCATTGACTCTCAAGCTTGATGGAAATTGTCGGTGCACCGATGAAACGTACTCAAGAAGTCGACCACAAAGCCGCTACATGTTTGTTAGCCTTGTTTCTTGAATAGGTAGCCAATTGATAACAGATCATAGCCAGCTAACGACCTCTCAGCGCTTGCAATTCCATCTCTTGCATCGTTGCCCTGCGAAGGCAGGTGCGACCGATGCCATTAAGATGAAGATTGCGCAAATCGCTGATCCGGTGCAGCTGAAGCTGAAAAGCTTGCTGTTGGCGAGAGGAAATAACGTACGGCATGCCCATGAAGGACTTATCCTGTTGCGAAGCCATCTTTTCGATTCTGGTACTGAACCGTAGAGTGGAGAGGGGGAATGAAAGAGATGAAGTTGAGGGTTGGGGAAGGGAAGCTATTAAAGCAGTTGGCGATGCAGATTTTCAATGGAGAAGGCACGCTAGCGCCGCCAAGGACGCTCAGGCCGCCGCTGCTCCGGGACCTCTTCGATGCCTCGGGGAAGCAGTGCGTATTTCCAGAACAGCATGCAAAGCAATTCACTTTGTTCTGTGCATCAGTGTAACTCCACTTGAGCCGCACTTTCACTGCAAGCTGGTAGTTGTTAAAGCTGCAGTATGCTGCCATTGTTCGTTACCTCGCTCATCTCAAGGAAGCACCCATAAGCGTTGCTGTAGCAGCCACTACATCGAAACTCTTTGGCACAGCTGCGCACGCACTGCAATCTGGCAGCTGCCGCACCTGTAGAACTGTAAACTGGGGCTTCACATGTGTCCAGATGCTTTTTCAAGCTTGAATCCACCCCGAACGCGGTGCGCTTCGCAGCGCTTCTCCTTTTCCCAGGGTCCGCCTTGAGCGCTTTTCCGCAGCCAACAAGGTCGGGCAATTTCGGGAGGGCCGGGCCAATAACGCGCGAGGCGATGGAAAATTCGTGGCCCGGCCCCCGTTTGTTGAAAGGACCGTGGTTCGCCGTTGCCCAGGTGCTTCTGGATGTGAGGCCGCGCCGATGATGTCGTTTCGACGAAGCTGCCTCTTCGGAAGCTGTTCGAGCAGAGCTGCCGGCTGCGACGCTCCACGGATGCTGCGCTGTCCTGTCAGAAAGGCTTGACCACCACGACGTCTGTGGTTGCGCTGGGCCAACCAACTTTTTATCTTGGAACCGTCTTCTGGCACCCACTGTTTCGATGCACGAACGGAACGCCCGCCGATACAACGCACACGACCATACGCTCCACCAAGCTCGTCATCACCGATAAGACATGCCGAACCCAACCAGGGCTTGCCCACGAGGTACCAGGAAATAACTTTTCCGTCTGAACTACAATTGCATGCCAGGCGTATCCTTTGGACGATGTGCAGACCTAAGGATTCTCCCGCGTTGGAGACTCACCTTTACCAAAAGTGATCCCTCAATAGACAGGTCTTCGTCAAGCCAGCAGCACCAAGCTTATCTACGATTTGAAGGTGCAACACGAGTCGAAAGACTGCGGTCAATTGATTCACTCTCAAGCACTGTTTCTGATCATATGCTCATGAAGCACTGTAGAGTCGATGGTACAGTTCTGAGGGTCTGATATAACGTGCTGCTCAATTGCATAGGTTGTTCAAATCCACGAACATTTGTTATTGCTCACCAGTCGTAGAACGCAGCCTCTCGCCAGTGATGGCTCTGGAAGCAATGCAACGTCTAGACTTAGGATGCTCAGCAAGCGCAGTTCCCACCTTCGAACCACCGTCGAGTCTATCAGCGTCGAAATCTCCGCATGAGCGAGATTCCACAATAGCACACGAAACGATGTATACCGCCTAAGAGAAGGGTAATAGCTGGCAAAGGAGTACCGACATGAGCATTTATGGGCAATGAATGGAAATTGAGGCTGGCAAAAGACCTTTTGAAGGTGTTGGTCACTTGTGGTTTCGGCGATTGCACAGCACCTGCACCAATTTGCACCTGCTTCAACAGGCCTTGCACACTCAGCCCTCGACTATACAGCTACATACACAGACCGACATACGCAAATAACAACTCCGGGAATTTTGTCAAGGAACACAGGAGTAGCCGAGCTGTGACCGACGAGTTCACCTGGGATCTGCTTGTGCGCCGCTAGCTCACCGGTCTAGCGTGCGCCACCTGTCTCCACTCACGCTACGCTCCCGCACTGACTCGGTTGTACCTGCGTCAGACGTCTGTGAGCCTTGTACTCAAAGCATCACAAATACGCAGGAGCAGTAGCAATAGCAGTGGACACGGTTGTAGCTGGCAGGCACATGCATCGAACGATGATTCCAACAAAACTAGGGAAGGCAAAGAGTCGACGATGATTCCTCCTGACGGCTACAAGTTCGTGGCCAGAGATTGCGATTCGACATATCGGTTCCACGCTACAAGACTCAATCGAATAGAAGAAAAATCTGGCTGTTGCACAGCAGTGGTAGGGAGGTGAACACGACGGACACAAAAGGAACGACTAATGGAAACATCAGAGGGTATTGCGGTGGCTACAGTTTACCTGATGATGACATTGAGTCTATTACAAAGTTGAGGCTGTCGCTGTGAATGGACCAACTGCATCGAATACAGCGCTGGAGACTATGGTGCCGATATACACTTCAGTCCAAGCGTTCGGATTTGTGTTCCAATTCGCATATGCAGCTGCCGATGGCTTGTCTGCCAGAGTTGGTGACATGCCTTCAAGTGGGTCAGGTACGGGTTCTGCCATGAGTTGCGACCTCCACTTGAACCACTAAACAAGTCCGGGTGCTTACAGCCTGGGATAAGGCTTTTGTACCTGGGAGAGAGCACGTCTCCATTAAGCTGAGCCCTGACTTCGTCTAGGTGAGTGTACATGTGTCTCCAGCTCACGGGAGGGTTTTCAGATGCCCTCATGTTGGTACTCGTACACAGGACATGTAGCTGAGAGGAACTAGCCATGGGCCTGAAGCTGGTGTTCCTGTAAGATGGCCTCATCTTTGCACGGGTCGCGTGCTCGACAGTCTGGTGCTGTACACGGGAACTGGCCCGTAGGAGACAAGGTGCCGCTTCTAGGTGTCCTATATAGGTGGGATCAGCCGGCCTTTGCAGTCGCATTTGGCGTGCAGGTAATGAGATCTGAGGTGTGGTCAAACCTAGTTTGACGAAGGCCTTGGTAGTGTAAGAATAACCAAAGTAAGAATGTAGATGTGCTGTTCTGTTGGATTATGGAGCTGATGGAACGTAGCAAGATGGTCCTTGTAGACTTCCGGCTCATTGAGGTCGAAGAAACCAAGTACAACAAAAGTGAAGATCCTACAAGCACTCTGACTGCAGGTAGTCGCCTGGTACGATACCGTGAGTTGACAAGTGATTGTCATACACATCAAAAGTCCCCGCTCGTTTGAACCGTGCATTATAAACAGAGACCGGACAAGGATAGTCTGGTTGATACTGCGTATTACGTTCGGGGAGGGCTTGAACGTGCGTGTATCTGACATGGGCAACCAGGTTGGCTCAACACTGAAAGAGCGTCTTGTCGTCGCAGAAGGGTATAGGGCATTGCGCAGGAAACCCTTCGAAGGCGAGTGCCATGAAGTATGAGCTTTTGTTGATCTGCGAGTTGAGCTGAGCATTAGACGGAAAAGAGCCGTGCCATCTCAGTGCGAACTTCACCGCCGGTGACCAAGACTCTACGATACATCCATGTTGTACGGACCCTGCTTGTTTGGTCAGCTAGTCTTTGGAATTGAATGATGCCACGATGTCGCCAAATCGACAGTCAAAGCCCGCCGGGAGGACAACTGCAGGGGCATACTGGATGGTAATGTCTCAGGGGCGCTTCGAATGCTGGATGCCGTCCGAGAGCACTGAAGTTACCACGTATCGAACAAGATATGCACCGAGAGCGTGATCTCTCGAGATGTTCTTCTCCTTGGTGAGGTATCCATTGTTGACAAGAAGTTCAATGACGCTAGAAACACGCTGCTTGTTTGAATAGCTCAGATCCCAGCGTCATAATACAATTCCAAAGCTCTCCTACAATGTATTGTTGGCGCCGAGCACGGTATTATACGACCACATGCAATGAGTTGGTTTATCAGTGTTGGTGGACAAGTCAGTAGGGTCTGCTGTGTCCTCATCTGTATCGTGATCTTCGTCTTCTGGACTCAGCAGATATAATGACTTTCACAAGTTGTTGACCCCCCTCTGTCTGGAAACCATGATGTCATCTACCCACGAAGTGGTTCTTCAGGCCAAAAAGCTATATCTCATCATCGTTCCAATTACCAAAGGGGGGTCAGCAACTTGTGAAAGTCACCGATAATTGACAAAGTAGTACAAGAAGAATCGTTCAATCTCTTGCCCCGCTGGTGTGGCACTCTGCCTGGACCCGGGTTAGCGAAAATGTCTTGAAGCGAGGAAAAGGTCTTTTGACGTAGTGTTGTTGGAGAATGTCCCTACGGATAGCGTCGAACTGGTTGTGTCAAACCTTGCGGCCCCGACATTGACGACGTGTTTCAGGTTGCAATACTTGTGTCTGACCGGCTAGTGTGGAAGCTAACCAGTCGTTCACTGGACGAGGTGCGTTATGCTGACGCTGAAGTAGAGTGTCTAACGAATGGTCTAGGGCCAGTTGGCTGGCCGCATCGTCGTCCATGATGGCTGTTGGTACGTCGTGGTTCGAGAATGGGGCATGTACGAGCCCACGAGTGCAAAGCAGGTGCATCAAAGCACTTGCCCGGAATTACGACGAGAGTGTGCTGGACAACGATAACGTGACGTGAGACGAGCGGAGCAGAAAAGGAGTGCCTCAATGTCGAGAAGGACTGAAGCGTGTCTGGTTTGACAGGTGAACTAAGGGCGAACTTTGGAGGTCAATTTCCAGCTCTTTGTGTCGTGCACGGTGACTTCGAGCTTGACAGGACTGACGTTGGAAACTCAAAGACATAGGCTGATGACTACGAATTCACGTTGAACGTTGGGGATCATGGGTCATCATTGCACAACGTCATGATACAAGGAGCCAACATATTGCTTTGGAAGTCGCTTTGAGAATACCACCTCTTTTCTTTCGACGAAGTATGCACTAGAAGCTTGGTCCCATGAAACCTTTCCCTGGGTTGTCTGATCTCCACTGAGATTCGAAGAAGGGACGAAGAGACATGCTCCAGGGAAGGACCACGGTGGAAAGGCTCGAAGGCAAGAAGCTCACCAAGTGAAGAAGGAGCAGACTCGCAACTACCGCCACCAACCCCCCTCACATAACCCTCCTAGGATCCAAACTACTCAAATCGGCACTCTTGATCGTCCCTTCCCACACCAATTCACTCAAACATTTCGCCGTCCCCGGCGCATTCTGAATCCCCCAACACGTATGCCCTGCCCCTATCAGTAGCCCTTGAACCCCCGTCTCCCCAATTAGCGGTCCCTGCCCGCGACTCACATTCGGCAAATAACACGCCTGCCTTGCCGTAACCTCTCCATCCCTCAATTCCTCAGACACAGTGGAAACGTGGTCGATGATATCCTGACACCTCTTGTCGTCGACTTGGACGAGGTCGGAGCTAGTGGGGAGCGGGATGAGTTGGTCGCCTTCGCCGCAGGCGTAGACTTCGTTGTTGAGGCGCGCGTAGATCTCGGGTGTGACTGTTTCGCCGCGCTTGGAGGTTGGTGAGCGCGGGAGGTCGATGGACGTGAAGAGCGCGTAGGCGGATACGGGGCGTGTTGGCCGGATTGTTACGCTGTGTGCGCGGAGTGCGGAGATTGGGGCGGATGGCCAGATTGTGCGGGTCCAGGGGCCGGCTGTAATGATCACAGTGTTTGCGTTGAGTGTTGTCTCTTCGCCTCCGTCTTTGGGCTTGTAGGAGACGGATTTGACTGCGCCGGATTCTTGCTTAATATCGGTTGCTGAGCCGTAGATAATCTTTGCTCCGCTCTCTTCAGCTAGTTGGGCCATCGATGTCGTGAACTGGTAGGGGTGGACTTGTGCGGTCGTACTTGGTGTGCCCATAGCTTCATAACTTTGAATCCCCTCTGCAGCGATCCAGTCTAGATCTGGCGGTACACCGGCTGCTCGCAGCAGCCCGATGGCTTTCTTACTCCTCTTTTCCAGGCTTACAGAGTTCTCGCTACGCCCATTCACAGCGCCATTCTTCTCCCTTTTCTTTAGCACACCATACATATCAATCTGCCCGCAGTGCACAGCGCGATAGCCCCATCTTTCTGCGCCGCCATGCTGATCTGAGAGTTCCTTGTGCAGACGGTAGCTGAGCGGAACAATACAAGACGGATAGGCCCAAAGACCGAGAAGACCTCCTGCTTTTCCTGAAGCGCCACCAGCAATCTTGGTCGCTTCCAGTAGCGTTATGCTATCTCTTTCCCTGTTGAAACTTGGGTGTTGCGAGAGGTAGTATGCTGTTGTTGAGCCAATGATACCACCACCTGCACTAATCAGCCATCTCTTCCACATCAGAAATACGTTTTTCGCAAAGCTTACCGATGATGACAATATCGCGTTTGTTTTGTTCAGATGCCATGATGCTTGAAAGTCGCGAAGTTGCTCTCAACATCAAATTCCAGTGTTGTTGAAGTTGCGATGGCAAGCGTGGCGCAACATGGTGTTGAAGATAAGTTTCGGTGTAGCATCAACCCGCGGATACGTCATGGGTGGCGGCGGCAAGCTGCAGCAGAACGCAGCGGAGCATCAACAAAAGTTTCGTCTTTGCACTTCAACTTCAACATTTGACAAGGATGCCAAATAGCCTCTCATGTTAATGTGAAAGCTGGTACCGCCCAAATTCTGGGAGGTAGTCAAGTTATGCTTGCTGTCATTTTGTCAGCTTGCACATAGCTAAAAGTATACAAGGAATCTTACTTGCCTTGTACCACAGCTAGAAATACTCTCAAGGTCTATAGGCTCGACGGTTTGGAGAACTGGTAGCTGCAGCGTCCCCGAAGCATCGCAGAGGCCCGGAGCAGCGACTGCTTGAGTGCTCTTATGGACAACGCTAGCGTGCCTTCTCTCCATTGAAGCTCTGCATCGCCAACTGCATAAAGCTTCCGTCCCCAACACTAATCACGACTATATCTCGTTTCATTCTCCCTCTCCACTCTACGGTTCAGTGATAGAATCGCAAAGATAGCAGCGAAACAGGACAAGATCATCGAGGCATGCCGTACTGTATATTATGTGGCCCTCGAAAAAGAAAGATTGAGATGGACATTATTATGCTACCAATGATCCCGCACCTTTGCACTCAGAACACGGGGAACCTGCTCTTGCAGACTTCCAGCTGCTGGAGCAACTTAAAAATCACCACCAAAGTCACCACCACCACCATCATCAAATCCCCCTCCGTCACCTCCCATATCCCCGCCATCATCACCATAATTGTTCTCCACGTACGTATCACCATGATCCCCCGCATCACCTAGCGCAGAACCCAACATCGCACCACCAAGCAGACCAGCACCAGCGCCCAGCGCCAAACCACCCGCGCCCATACCGCCACCTCCCGGACGGCGACCCGTAGGCATCGCGTACCCAGGACGCTGCTGATACATGCCCTGTCCACCATAGTACCCACCACCGCCATACGCCGGCTGCCCATACGGCTGCGATGCATGGTGCGAGCTCGACCCGTGACCGCTCTTCCCTAGCAGCTTCCCAAGGATGCCGCCTTTGCTTTTGGTCTGAGTCTGGTCTTGGTATGGTGCCGACTGGTATGGTGTGGAGGGAGCTTGGTACTGTTGTTCTTGCGAGTAGCCTCCGGGCGCTGGGTATCCTCCTGAGTGCGGTGCCCCTGCGATACTTGGACCGGAAGCGCCATGGCCGCCTTGTGGTTGGTTGTAGTAGTCGTTGCTTGCGTTGCGGTTCGCATCGCCCGAGCGGCGGCCTGCGCGCGCTTGCTCTTCCTCTTGCAGTCTGCGTGCGAGCTTCTCGTCTTCGCTGATGCCCGGTTGTTGGCTGCCATACGGGTTGTTACTGCTGAAGCTCGACTTCTCACTCGTACCGGTCGGGTGGGAGGATGCGGCACCTCCGTACGTGGGGGGAGCGCCTGCTGGTGGTGCTTCGCCGGGTGGGTAGACGGCTTCTGTAGGCTTCTCCCATGTGGACTGCTTGGTGTAGATATTGACGAAGAACCATTCGTGATACTGCTCGTTCCAGACTGCTTTCCAGCCTTCGGGTACCCTTGGTGGAGGCGGGCCCTGCATGCTGTGTAAGCTTGCTGTTGCACTACCGAGCTTCCTGCAGGAGACTTACTGGTGGAGGCGCGTAGTCCGCCATAGTGGTCTGGTGGATGTGATTTTCCTCGAATGTTCGTGACCTCTGTGAGAGTTCGAAGTTGAGGTACAGTCGCTTTTGCAACAAAGAGTAGAAAAGCAATCGTGGTGAGTGACGAGGTTCAAGCTTATGCAGAGGGAAGCGCGACCTGAATGCGCGTCATAGTGCCGACATCATCCACGCCCCACCAAGGAACTGGCAGTGGCGGGGCAAGCGGCACGTGTAAGCTGCGAACGCCTACCTTGGAACGCTCGGCATCTCCAAACGTCACGAACATGGCGCAGTATGTGTACGTAGCCATCGGTCTGGTGAGCGGAAATCAATCTTGATTATTGCGAAGTATGTGCAAGGAAAGTCTGAACCCACTGGCAGTCAAGCCGCCACAAATGCATACTACAATGCGAGAACGACAGACCGGAAGATCAACGCTCAAGGGTACGGCAAGCCATGCTGAAAGATGTACTCGTACAAAAATTCAATTCAAACATACTGTGTGTCGCGCTAGATTACGTTTCGTACCAGTTGTGCTGCGAGATCCAGTTACTGCTGCCCAGAGACCAAGTAGTCCGTAGCCTGTCCAAGATTAGCCCAAGATCGTATGTGAAGGGTGGTACGAGGAAGCCTACCTTGTTGATGTCATAGTCGAACTTCTCCAAAGCACTGAGAGCCTCGTTACGGTTGTAGCCCATGGCTGTCAACTTCTTCAAGATAGGGTCGTCGTGCTCGGTACCGCTGCTGATTGCACGGCCCAACTGAGGCATCTGGGGTGACTGAGGAGACAGGTGTCCCTGCTTCGAGGACGAGGCACCAGCATCTTCATTGTCGAGGCTGTCAAAGACAGACTTGCTGAAGTCGGTGGTCTGCTGCTGAGAGTGCCCGGACTTATCGTTTTGCGAGGACTCGAGGTTGGAAAAGATGGCATCCCAGTCCTGGGTCGAAGAGGAGGGCTGAGGTGCCTGAGGCTGTCCAAAGCCGTGTGACAAGTGCTCGAAGTCGCTGAAGCTGTCGTCACCGCGCGGCTTGCCTGTAGGTGTCTGCTGCGATGCCATTGTGTTAGATTTGGATGCCGCAGGCGAGTCGAAAACAGGGTTGAACTCATCAAGCTCATCGCGCTGATGCGAGGAGAATATGAAGTCGTCATCAGCCTTTTCGTCTTCCTTAGCATCAGTCAAGTCGTCGAAGCCAGCATCGAAGTCGTCGTTGAAGGCCGACCTCTGCAGCTGAGGTTGGTTTGTAGCCTGGGAGGCACCCGCATTGTCGCTCGTACCGTACGACACAGCGGAGTGGTAAGCATCGGACGGAACAGTCGACGACGGTGTATCGTTTGGTGGGGGCGATATCGTCGTTGGCTTCGAGGAAGGACCACCGAACAGGACTGCACCGTGGCCACCAGCAGGACTGAAAGACTTCTCAGGCGATTGTGAGGTAGTGGGTGAGTTCGGGACTTCGCGAGAGGGCAGCAAGCCGCCGAACTCAGGAGGGAACTGGTTTGAACCACTGCGCTGACCGACCGTCGAGTCGTACGCTGGCGGCGACTTCTGTGCATCTGCGGAAGGCAGACCGCCGAGGTTCGAGTCAAGACGAGTGGTTGGCGGTGGTGGTGACCTGTACAGCTCGTCTGTCGATGCAGTACCTGGACGCTGCTGCTGTGGCTGTTGCTGCGACGATTGTTGACCAACACTGCTGCGCTTTTGTTGAGGAGATGTCGCAGTAAAGTTGTCATCAAAGCCTTGCTCGTTATCGCTATCGCTTTCATCATCGTGAGTCAGATCCTCAATGGGTGGAAACTCCTTGTTGAACTTGTTGGAGTTGTCCGTAGAGCCGTTAGCACCAGAACCAGAGGCAGTGTTCTGGCGGCTAGAACCGAAACCAGCGAAGGCAGAATCAAAATCGACCTTGCCACCAGGACGAGAGTTCTCGCTGGTGGTACTGCCGAAGGGATCAGCACGGTTGGTGTTCTTGCTCTGGTTGCTGAAGCTGCTGTCTCCAGTGGGGTTCTGCTGAAGAGGCGTGGCAGCCTCGCGGGGGAAAGCTCCAGGGATGTCCTGGACCGCAGCAGAGGGAGCGCCGAAGCTGGAGAAGGTATCCTGGCGTTGTGGCTCAGCCCTTGTGGATCGCTGAGTGTCGCTGGTCACGCTGGCTACAGGCGAGGCTGTAGAAAAGTTGCGATCGAAAGAGAACGGCTGAGAAGGGTTGAATCTGTCAGGCTCTGTGCGGTTCGTCTCGCTTCGCTCCAATGTGGCCTTCTCGGGGACAGGAGTGCCGGCGGGCGAGGCCTTCGACACAGTGGGTGTCTCTTGGCCCGGGGCACCGGGACCACCGTATCTGCTAGCAGGGGCAGAGACCTTGACAGAGGAGCTGAATGAGTCGGATCGGGGGCCATCTTGCCTGAGAGGCAAGAACGACGAGGTGAATTGGCGAGACTCGGGAGCAGCTGGAGGTTCTACACCACGGGGCGACTCCTGGTAGGACGAGAGAGGTGGCGAGGTGGATGGAGTGGGGACATCAGGACCCTCAGAAGAGCGAACAGACTGTCCAGATGGGGCAGAGAAGTTAGGTACGTGGCTCTGGTTCTCCGAGCGGAAAGAAACCGGTGGCGGGGTGTTCTGCGCAGGAGCGAAAGAACCGAAGACGCTATCAAAGTCCTTGTGCGGTCCTTGAGCAAAGCCAGAGGGAGACATGGCGTTGTCTGAGGTTTGACCCGGCGACTTGCGGAAGAAGGGGTTGGTGGACTGGCTCGTTGTAGATGCGGCGGGGCTGGCGACTGCTGGTGTTGACTGCTGTGGTGGGCTTCGTGCGGCTTCCTCCGCAGCTCTGCTCAGATCGTTCATCTCATTCTTGATCTTGTCACGCTCTCCTTCGTTGGTAGCCAACTGTTTCTTGTTGATGGACACCATACCCTTCTGCTGTCGTGCGTCTGTCCTCATCTTCTCAAGCTGAGGTCGCAGCTGCGCGACTTCAGCATTCAGTTGGCGGATGCGCTCTTTGAGGTTGGCGTTCTCGCGTTGGTCAGCCTCAAGAGCGCCTCCAACTTGACGATGCTGGGTTTGAAGGTCCTGGTAAGTTCCTTCAAGCATAGCGATGTCCTGTTGCAACTTGCGTGTCTCGTTGCGCGAAGCTGCAAGACGGTCCTCGAGCGCCTTGACAGCCTTGACCTCCTGCTCATATGTTGTCTTGAACTGCGACAGCCGAACCTCGAGCTCTCGTCGTTGGTTGGTCACGCTGTTGAGGTCGCTTTGCGTAGCCTCCTTCTTGCTTTGCACCTCCTGCATCTGGTTCCTCAATGTAGTCATCTGATTGGACATGTTGGCCAGCTCAGTCGAGTCCTGCGTAAGCTTCTTGTTGATTTCAGGATCGCTCTCGCCCAGGAGGTCATCCATAGCCGAAGGCTGGTTTCGCTGCGAGGTCCCTGACTGACCAGTCGAGTGCGAAGTGAGCGTTTGACCGAACGAGGAGGTAGGTAAGAAAGGCTTGAATGTGGAGGCAGGGTTGCGCGGCTGTGGTTGGAATGGTCCAGGAGATGCCGGCGACGCAGCCTTGCTTTCGAATGGATCACTGTCGAACGGCTTGCCGAACGCAGCAGAGCCGCCTGTATCCATAGCTCGCTGTGGTGACGCAGGCTCAGGAGCAGAGAATGCGTCCAAACCGAAAAGATCATCAGCAGCTGACTTGGGTTGTGGTGGAGGTGGCGCAACAGCGGGAGCTTGCTGGTTCGCCCGTGTTCGCAGACTCGGGGGAATAAGGTTCGAAGGGAGGGTTTGAGGCAACTGATCACCCTTTCGCTGCTGTCGGATCAGGTACATGGCGACTGCAAACTCGTCCTTGGATAGCTGCCCTTCAGAGTTGATATCCGCAAGGTCCCAAATGCCTGCAAGAATGTCTTCTGGCAGCCCAGAGTCGCTGAAAAAGCGCACTGCCTGCTCTCCTGTGATGAACCCGCGGCCCATTGTGTCGACTCCCTTGAACAGGTTGTCGTATGAAGCCTTCTCTTGTGGGCTGATCAGCCAGTCGTTGCTCGTCTGCTGCACTGGTGCTGGTGGCCCAAAGGGCGGCTGTCTGAGAGGACTCGCTGTCCTTGGAACGTTCTGCTGACCGCTGAACTGGCGCGGGATCGATGCTTGATCCGGGCGGCCCGGAGGAGGTGGTAAGCCCCCCCTTCGAGACGCAGCTTCGTATAGCCCAGGAGGCAGGGTGTTGGGCAGAGCCTTCATGTTCCCTGTGCGGTAGGAAGCAAGAAGGTGCATGGCAATGATGAACTCGGTGACGTTCAAAGCGCCGCGCTGCTCTGTATCCGAGAGGTTCCAGATCCGACCGAGGACCTCGTTGGGTAGTCTTGCTTTTTCAAAGATCTCCTTTGCATTCTCGCCTGGTTCGGGGTCAGTTGGCGTCCATACGACTTGGACGAGATGGCCTACCAGATAGCACGCCATTGACGGCGCCCGACTTCTCAAACAGGCCAGCATACTCGGAGGCCTTGGCGGGAACGAGCGGAGGGACGCGGATGGGGCCCTGGCCGCTGACCTGAGCCTGCAAGGGTCCTGTGGTCTGAGGAGAGAAGCCCTGGGGAGCTGCGGGCGATGCAGCCGGTACTGAGAGACCCTCAAACTTGGGTAGCGGTGCAGCTGTATATATACGTTAGCACCTACGCCACCCACACCTCCAGCAGAACGTACGCCTGAATGCCAGCTCCGGCGAAGGGTCTCGGCCAGCCTGGTAGTGTCCGATGAGTCGCAGGACCTGGCAGAAGCCAGCCATGGTCAGCAGGCCGCGGTTCTCCGTGTCTGCAATCTGCCATATCTCGCCCAGGACGGCCGGGGCCAGCTTGGTGCGCTCGAAGAACTTGACGGCGATCTCGCCCGTTATGACGCCGAGCTTCTCTGTGTCGGCCTGCTGGAAGAGGTGCTGGAACACGCGCTTCTCCTCGGGCGTCAGGTTGAGGACGGACTGGTCTATGCGCGGTTAGCTGTCGTCATGGCAGAACCGTGGTGTTGTGTGGACGCACTCAGCTCGCCGCCGCCTGCTAGGTCCGCCATGGCTGTGCAGTGTGAACGCCGTCAGACGGTGGAGCTCGTGGATGGGCAACGGGCGCCTGCGATGAGGCTGAAGCTCTCCGGGGTACTGTCGTGTAATGCGCGGGCGGGGAAGCTAGCACGGGGAGCGCCCGGCGGCAGAAATGGAGAGGCTGGCGGCAACACCACGGCACAGCGGGAAGGAATGATTGCACGGATGAGCAGAGCCGTGAGATGGGAGGGAGGTGGTTAGGAGAGCATCTGGCGACGTTGTCGAGGACCGCGCCAGCCGGAAGCTCATCCTCGTCGTCAGTCGCGGGAACTAGTGGTAGGCGTGCTCGATGCTCTGGCTGTCGATGATTGGTCGAGAGTTGCGCATGGCTGGATCACCACTGGACACTGCAGCTGTCACATCTGTTGGAACCAAGCAGATGGCCTGTTTCGGTTGTGCGACAGCTGATCAGCCCCGACAGTAATCTCACGAGGTTTCATTGATGTTTGCTGCAACAACAGATGCTATGTATACAACAGAGACTCGTTGCGTCGTGACTACACATTTTGTACAGGAGCAGTGAGGCTAGCCGCTGTGGCTGCCGTACATATATACAAGATACAGGGCGACGAAAGGGACAACACTGAATATCGAGGGGTGGGCTACCTCCACATGTTCGTTCTTACCGACCTCTGCGGTGCCCTGGCGCTCTTCTCTCTTTCGCATCGCACAAAGGCCAGGCTGGGCGTCTCTTCCCTCCTGCCCCATGCTCTGCCCAGCAGCCAGTCTGTGACGCTGATGAACTTCGTCGTCTTGTCCCAGTTATGACCTTCTTCAGTGTGTTCAATGGTATGGTGGACAATCCGGCCCTCCTCGTCAAACTCGAATACGAACAAGCCAGTGAACTCTTCGTCTGACGGTCGTGAGCCCCGCACGATATTTGTGACGCTCTCGAAGGTCTCGCTGACATGTCTGCTGTCCTCTTTGCCCGACCTGCCGCACGTTTGCCATTTGACGATCAGCTTTTCGTTGCGCATATGCGCGGGTACTGAAGGTCCGCAGCCGTTCTTAACCATGCGCTCAGACAGTATCTTGAGCTTCACATTGCCGATTACAGGCACTCGACCCCATGCGACTGGAGCTGTCCATAGCGCAGCTGTGTACGCGAGCTTTCCGCTGACAGTGGGAAGATGAGGGTGCGTTGAGGGGAACAGGTGGAGGCTGATCTGTGGCGAGAGCATGTCTGACGGTAGCGGCGAGTTAAGGAGATTCGGGAGGCACTCGTGGAGGACTCTGATAGCTGCCACACGTCAGCGTTCATGTTCTTCTTCGACTCAAGTTCTGTCGGCTGCCGTACTGTTCCCTAGCTTCAGGCTGCGCTCGTTGACGCGCTTCTGCTCGCGCTCATCGAGCTCCGGGTAGGCGCATGGCGTGGTGCTCGTGAACCAGCTGCGCGACACCGATGCCTGTCGCGGCCGTACGTCTGTGATGTTCCTCTGGTACTGCTTCAGCCCCAGCAGCCGGGGCGCTGTGAGGGAGCTGCTTGTGGATCGCGGGAGCTGCGTGCGGGCAGAGCTTGAGAATCTCCGCATCAGACCGGTGGTCATCTGTCCGGGTAACAATGATCAACCATAGGTATCAGGGCTCTGGGTCGTAGGTGGCCGGGAATGGTTGTTAGTCTCTTCTGCGATTGCCGGCGCGGAGGAGAAACATCGAACATGGGTCGGTCGATAGGCCGATATGTAGTGACGTCGTGCGGGAACCATTAGTTGCTGTGTAACTGAGATCACCCCGCAGACCATGGAGATCTGGTAGGTATAAAAAACCCGTCCGTATTCAGGCAAACGTAGCTATTAAATGCTTCCTCAATTGACTCGTCGAGCTTTTTCTTCTACCAAATCCATAACCTCTATCTTGCCACCAACAGCTACCTCTGGAGGCGTACGAGCATTTTGAAGCATGTCGTCTGGGAAGCGAATTGTCTTCACTGGCGGCTCAGGCAAGGCTGGTCGCCATGTCATTCCTTATTTGCTCTCGAAAGGACACAAGGTCTTGAATCTCGACCTCGTCGACTTTCCTGATCCAAGTGCCGGAGTCTTCACCCTCAAGACCGATCTGACAAAGAGCGGGCAGGTCTTCAATGCCCTCACCACCCATTTCAACTTCGAGGGTTACGAGGAGAAGAATGTCCCTAGCCCGCCAGATGCAGTCATCCACTTTGCTGCTTACGCTAGAAACATGCTGGTTCCTGACAACGAGTGCTATGCAGCGAACGTGACATCAACTTACAACGTCATCGAAGCTGCCTGCAAGCTGGGCGTACGGAAGATCATCATCGCCAGCAGCGAGACTACCTACGAAGTCTGCTTTGGCCAGGGAGGCATCGACTACCAGTGCTTCCCTCTCACCGAGGACATGGACTTGAACCCCATGGACTCATACGCCATCTCGAAGCTCTGCGGCGAGCGCGTAGCACGCGGTCTGGCACGCAGATTCGATGCAGACATCTATGCTTTAAGGATTGGAAACGTCATCGAGCCGCACGAGTACGAGCGCGACTTTCCCAAGTACATCAACCAGCCTCAAGTCCGTAAGAGGAATGCGTGGAGCTATATCGACGCCAGAGATCTGGGTCAGATATGCCATTTGGGTGTCGAGAAAGACGGCCTTGGCTTCCAGGTGTTCAACGCAACGAACGACACTATCACGGCGACATTCCCGACTAGACAATTCCTCGAGCAGTGGTGTCCGAACACGCCAATTACGAGAGAGCTGGAGGAGTGGGAGGCGCCGCTGACCAACAAGAAGACCCGTGAGGTGTTGGGCTTCCAGGAGGAGCACGACTGGAGGAAGTACTACAACCCTGGGTCTTGAAGGCGGGAAGATTGACATGTTAGCATTGTGAGCATGTAGACAAGAACTTGATCAGAACGATTGAAAAGTAAGCAATCGCGAACTCATCTGTCTTGGTGTGCATTTCGTCGCTCGAAGTGGGTGATATTCAGAATAGTCAGAGAAGACATGATCTCCGCAAGGCTGTTAGCGCAGTCGCCCACAGCCCCGAAGCTCGGACAGCTGTCGTGCGATTGGTATCCGCCTTGCGGATTTTTGTGCTCAACCGCTGTCTGTCACTGCGTCGCTCAATTCCCGCACATCGATACCCATTTTTTGTGTCTCTTGTTTGCTTCCTAGGTCCTTCTAATTGCATCGTCCCTCATTCTTCGCCACAATGTCGCCCACACCCTCGGAAGCGGTCGCGAAGGTTGCGCAAGTCGCCGCCGGAACCAGCTCGTCGGCCAAGGAGTACAAGAGAGAGTCCAACACAGCACGATTCTTGGGTGCCGGTGCGTGCAGCAGCTATACTATGCCTGGATGGATGTGTCTGACAATGGGACAGGATGTGCGGGTCTTGCTGAGCTCATGATCTTTCACCCCGTCGACACCACAGCCAAGCGTCTCATGAGCAACGTCGGCAAGATTGAGTCGGCGTCGCACCTGAACAAGGTCATCTTCAGGGACGCAGCCAATGCCTCTGTTGGTAGTCGCTTCCTCTCCCTGTTCCCCGGTCTCGGATACGCCGCTGCGTACAAGGTATGACGCTCTTTGCGACCCGGACGGAGCGTCGTCTGACAACAATCTGCAGATCCTCCAGCGCGTCTACAAGTATGGCGGACAGCCCTTCGCACGCGACTACCTCGCCAGGCACCACGGCGACTTCTTCGACCAGACATTTGGCAAGGGTAACGGCAAGGCCATCATGCACGCGACTGCCGGTTCCCTGATTGGTATCGGTGAGATCGTCCTGCTGCCGCTCGACGTCCTCAAGATCAAGCGTCAGACCAACCCTGAGGCTTTCAGGGGACGTGGACTGTTCAAGATCATTGCCGATGAGGGATTCGGTCTCTACCGTGGCTGGGGCTGGACAGCAGCCCGTAACGCGCCCGGCTCGTTCGCAGTATGTGTACCTATGGATGAAGACCACATGCATGCACTGACATGCTACAGCTGTTCGGTGGCTCTGCCGCTGCCAAGGAGTACCTCTACAAGCTCACCGACTACAACAAGGCCACCTGGGGCCAGAACTTCGTCGCCTCGATTGCCGGTGCCACTGCTTCCCTCGTCGTCTCGGCTCCCCTTGACGTCATCAAGACCCGCATCCAGAACAGGAACTTCGAGAACCCCGAAAGCGGTATGAAGATCGTGTCCAACATGATGAAGAACGAGGGTATCGCTTCCTTCTTCAAGGGCCTCACACCCAAGCTGCTAATGACCGGGCCCAAGCTCGTCTTCTCCTTCTGGTTGGCCCAGACCCTCATTCCTGCCTTTGGCAAGGTCATGTAAATTTGTTGCTAGCGTTTATGATGATGTTGTACTATATACGGGAACTACGGTTGTTGGGACTTATAGAACTGGTCGCCGGAAAGGCGTTAGGCTCACGATGCACGAGCGAGTGCGTTCAGGGTCCAGAGATATATAATATCAAGATCTCCATTCTACGGACACATCGTCAAAACATACACGAAGCGCGACGCTTGGTAATGGAAGACTGACAGGGTTTGAGTGAGACAAGATCACTATCACGTGACAGACGATTGCACCTGCTCAAACGTCTGCAGTGACTACTTTTCGTGGCATTTGCGTTACCAGCGAGTAAGGTCATACGCCAGACACTTGCTGCGGTCGCCTCGTCAAAGCGGGCGTAGGCAGCAGACGGGCAGTGAATGTGATGTTCCAAACAGCGCCCGCCAACGGGAACAACGGCTCCTTGTGACTTGGGGTTGAACAACGCTCGGCCGCCGCGCCAAGGACATCCCGTCAACTGCACGTTGCAGCCAACCTTTGTACTTGACACCGCCTGCCAGCGCCCTGCGATACCCCACGACTCTCACCTCTCTAGCCGGCATACTGCACTGATACCCCGTTCCTTGACCTTCACGCCTCCAACAACACCGCCAAAATGAACCCCGAGTAGTACGTAACCTCCGCGCATCTCCCACCGCCACAAGCCGAGGGACCGTTATGTGGAATCTACGCCTGGCGCAGTGCTAACGACGACCCCACAGAGTACTTCATCTGCAACTCACAGCACCGGCGCTGTGCAGTCGCCCCCTATCGCCATCCCCCGCTGACGAGTCCCCCTCAGATACGACTACCTCTTCAAGCTCCTCCTCATCGGTGATTCTGGTGTCGGAAAGTCCTGCCTGCTGCTTCGATTCGCCGACGACACATACACAGAGAGCTACATCTCCACCATCGGTGTTGATTTCGTACGTGCGCCCAGTGTGCTGCGCCTCAGCCTGCGACAGGCTAACACATGGTAGAAAATCAGGACTATCGAACTCGATGGCAAGACCGTCAAGCTGCAGATTGTACGTATTGGGGTAGAAGCGGAAGAAATGGCAGGAGCTGACAGCGAAACAGTGGGACACAGCCGGTCAGGAGCGTTTCCGCACCATCACATCCTCGTACTACCGTGGTGCCCACGGCATCTGCGTCGTCTACGATGTTACCGACATGGACTCGTTCAACAACGTGAAGCAGTGGCTGCAGGAGATCGACCGCTACGCCACCGAGGGCGTCAACAAGCTGCTGGTCGGCAACAAGTCCGATATGGCGGACAAGAAGGTTGTCGAGTACACCGTTGCAAAGGTACGTCGATCACCAGTCCTTCAGTATCACGAGAGTGTGCAGAATCTAATATCAAACAGGAGTTCGCAGACAGCCTCGGCATCCCATTCCTCGAGACCTCCGCGAAGAGCGCCACCAACGTCGAGCAGGCTTTCTTGACCATGGCCCGCCAGATCAAGGAGCGTATGGGAACCACAACCGCCAACACCAAGCCCACCGTCCCTATTGGGCAGGGCCAGGGTGTCCAGAGCGGCTCCGGCGGCGGCTGCTGCTAGACGTATCGAGGAAGAGGGAGGTGAAGGTGTGCTTGAAGCCTTGGAATCGGTCGTCCAGGCTCACGACATGAAGAGGAGACAAGCGATATACGAGTTTCAGGCGCGGGTGTTTTGTGCGGTTGCGACATTTGATATGGTTACTTAATGCTCATGGTCATGGTTTCCTTTCGACGAACTGGTCCACGAAGTACGAACTACCGCAGCCGACCTCTCCCTTGTGTGCTTAGTCCTCTTGCATGGCGGCTATCGGATCGCGGCTTTCTTTTCCATCTCAGGTTCTAGAATGGGCTCTCGTTGGATTCTGCATAGGGAGGGTACTCGTACGAATGGCTGCTAGGCCAGTGCGATCTCGACCATCTCGTTGTTGCGTTGGGTGTTGGTAGTTTGGTATATTATACTTTATCTCCTAGATGCTGATGTTGAGTGATGTGTGCACGCTGGAACTAGACGCCTAGACTTGTGAACCTTGTCAAACACTCTTCGATTTTGGTGCCAGATGCACATCATATAGCAAGCTATATGCAATACTCGAGTGACATACTTTAGTACAGTTGCAAGCTTCAGAGCTTGCATGCACACGCGCACGACACCAAACTGACGTTTAGCGCCAAATCCACTTCTCCAGGCCTCCAACTTCAATACGAGAACAATATCAACACCATGGCTGTGCAACTCGACATGATCTTCTCCGCACTCAGAAACCTTCGTGAACACAGATGAAAGAGCTAGGAAACGGATATCGGCATCTCAATCAGGACGAAAGCCTGCATTGTTCGCGAAAGACTGCTCAACGCGTTAACCTCACATCGTACCTTCCACCTCCTCCAAATCAGGCAACAACAACAACCTCAAGATGGCCAATTCCAACTCTCGACAGAGCCGAGTGAGTAAAGCCGCACAATGGCTGGTCCACGAACTCGGTCTGCACACCATGCGCCACGCCGGGAAAGATATCTACATCATCATCCTGGCGCGCTATCTGCGCATGTACGCTTACGGCTCCGTCGCGCTCGTCCTAGCTCTCTATTTCCAAGCGCAAGGCCTTACAGATGCGGAGATCGGGTTCTTCATGACGCTCACGCTGCTTGGTGATGTTGTTGTCTCCTTGTTACTTACGCTTGTTGCCGACTCTTTGGGGCGCAGGAGGACGCTGATGCTTGGCGCGCTGGGCATGGCAGTTTCTGGGGCGGTGTTCGCAACGAGTTCGAGTTATGCGCTGTTGTTGGCGGCGGCGATTGTGGGTGTGATTAGTCCGAGTGGGAATGAGATTGGGCCGTTTCGGGCGGTGGAGGAGAGTACGCTTGCGCATCTCATCGGCGAGGATAAGCGGGCGGATGTCTTGTAAGTCCCCTACACAATCCCATTCATCTAAACTGTAGCAACGGCTGGGACTTGAGCGGTGCTGACTATGGTGTAGTACATGGTACGTCGCCTTCGCCGTCCTAGGCACATCAACCGGCCTGATCGTCGGCGGTCAGGCCGTTGACGCCCTTTCAGCAAGAAAGGGCTGGACGGAACTCGACGCCTACCGAGCAGGGTTCTGGATCTATACAGCTGTAGGTATCGTCAAAGCCGTCTCGACACTATTCCTCAGCCAGGAATGCGAGCACCAGAAGCCCTCCAAGCCAGCCCGCGCAGAAGGAGAGACAGAGCCACTCTTGCCGGCTGCAGATGACGACACGCATCCAACTGCAACCAGCAACGGCGTTGCTCAGACAGCAGGAGTGACGAAGAAGCAGAGGAGCTGGAACCCGTTCAGTTCGATATCGCCCAAGAGTCGCGCAATCCTGTTCAAGCTGTGCAGTCTGTTCTTTCTCGACTCGCTCGGCTCAGGCATGGTGCCGTTCTCGCTCATCAATTTCTACCTCGATCGCAAGTTTGGTCTTCCGAAGGGCAAGCTGGGTGGGATTATGAGCGCTACATGGTACGTCCCCCCTTCCCTTCCACCCCCCACAATCCATCACATCCACCCCCCCAACGATGGCAAACGCTAACAGCCTCAGGTTCCTCTCAACATTCGGCAACATATTCTCAGCCTCCCTCTCCCGGCGCCTCGGCCTAATCTTCGCCATGGTAATTACCCACCTCCCCTCCTCGTTCTTCCTCGGCGCCCTCCCCTTTGCGCCCAACCTCCCACTCACCGTCATCCTCCTCATCGGCCGGAGCATGATGAGTTCCATGGACCAGGCGCCGCGGTCTGCGTTTTTGAGCATGGTGGTTCTGCCAGAGGAAAGAACGGCGGTGATGGGTATTGTGAATACGCTGAAGACGCTGAGTCAGAGTTCGGGGCCGTGGGTTACGGGGTTGTTGGCGGGGAGTGGGAGGTTCTGGGTCGCGTTTGTGGTTGCTGGGGCGCTGAAGGCATCTTATGACGTTCTGCTGCTGACAATGTTTGGGGGGCGGGTACATGCGAGGAAGGTGGGTGAGGGGGTGGATGACGCTGCTCGAAGCGATGGCGGAGAAGGTGAGGTGCACGATGGTGATGACAGACAGGCCAACAATCGGGCCACAGCAGTACAGTAGACGGACGTCAAATGTGAACTCTGCTGTTGTGGTGTTGAAACCTGACATCTATGTAAATCTATGGTATCTTGTTAAATCGCCGCACCCTCCCCTCGCTCTAGTGCAAACATACTACACCAAAAATCTCGATCGCAACTGCTCAATCTTCCTCCTCATTGAGGTCTTCCTCATCCAGGATTCCAATCCCTTGCTCAAGCGTCCGTTGGACTGTCTCTTGCAACAACCGTAGCACCGTCTCGACGTCAGTCGTACCAACATCGATCTCCGCCCCATCCTCACCTCTCAGCGTCTCGTTCCAGAGTGCCTCGTAGTCAGGATGATCAGGATTGATCAGCTCAACTCTTGGCTTCTTCTGCTTGGGCGGTGGAGGTGGGAGGTGTGTGAAGGCGCGTGCTGTGCTGTTGACTTTGGCAAGCATCTCCTCGTACTCGCCTTCCGGTGTGGATTGCGAGGTCACTGCGCCACCGGCGGGTATGCGCCAGATGTCTTCTGTTTGAGTACTTGTGGAGGGGGACGTGGTGGCGAATGTGGTGCCCTCTTTAGGCGCAGTCAAGGAGGAGTAGTACGATGTAGGATCGACTTTGATCGCAGTGCGGATGACGACGCTGAAGTCACCACCACCGCCGACGTCGAGGTAGCCTAGTACACCGGAGTATATGCCTCTCTTGACCCTACGTTCTTGTTCTTGCAGGAGCTCGCAAGATCGCTTCTTTGGCGCGCCAGTCATGCTGCCAGGTGGCAGGCTCTCGACGAAAGCCTGGAAGCCAAGATCTGGGACAGACGTTCTGGTGACGAGTCCGCTGGAGCCGTCGGCGGGGTCTTCCCATAGCTCAGGTGTGCTGGGCTTGTATACGCCAGGTGGCACGGCGTCGACGACGGTGACGAGCTGCCAGACTGTTTCGTATTCCTCTACTTCCATCAACTGACTGACACGCACGTTCTCGGAACCGTAGACACCATGGAGCTGATGTCGTGTGAGGTCGACAATCATGAGGTTCTCAGCGCGCTCCTTGGAGGAAGACAGGATGGCGTGGGCTTGTGCTGCGGTGACGCCGGGCTTCTTCTGAACAGTGCCCTTGATGGGCCGGCATTGTGCGGCCTGACTGCGCGACCAGGAGATGTAGCGCTCTGGAGAGGAGGAGAGGATATGCACGTTATGCATGCGCATATAAGCACTGAAAGGAGCAGGGTTCTGGCCAGCAAGTCGCTTGTAGAGATTCCATGAATGTTGACAGTCCTCAGCTTTGGAGAGGCGGCAGGCTGTCGGTTTGCGGGCGCGGATCTCGTTTTGATGCGTCAAGCAGAGCTCGTAGCTCTGACCATCGGCGATCGCCTCCTGGCAGGAACGAACTTGCTCGCAGTAACCCTCTCGGTTAGCGAAGTCCTGCGTACACGAGTCAATGTACCTGTACATTGGACCGAACTTCTCAAATGGATCCGGTTTCGGCATGGGCGTTGAGGTTGGTGTAGACTCGCGTGATTTTGCATCGACAGCGTTGTAGATGAGTTCCTGTGTCTCTTCGACCCAGTCAAAGTCGTTCGGTCCACGTATACTCTGCACATAGATCTTCTTGACTTGGTGATCGAACACAATGCTCCTGGTGATGTATGCGAAGCAGATGTCCGGATGATCGGCGCTGTCCGCGACCGGAACGTCGATCGTTTCCAGCCCAGCTTCATACGATGCGTAACCCATGAATCCTCCCCAAAATGGAGCCCAGGTCGCAGTTCGGGGTGGTGTTGTAGGCTGAAGGGTATTCATGGCTTTCCTTAGGTACGGCCATGGGTCGGTCACTTTCCACTGAGTGTGTACCTCATCGTAGCCATCCCTGAGTTGCATGATTCTTGACCCCGCATAGTAGTGTAATCGAAGTGTCTCTTCAGGGATGACCAGGCCAATAATGCTGTAGCGTCCAGTGCCAACCGCCATAGGAACGAGGTTCTCTTGAAGTCCGGATTGGAGCACTATCGCCTCGTGCCGTGGAATTTCTAATAGTTCGCAAACGTCTTCGACTGTCAATCGGCCGCTCCCAGTGGTAGCGCAGTGCACGACTGTCGAAGGCAAGTATGGAAGCGTCTGGTCATCGCCATAAGCTAGCAGCGAAGCCAGCTCATCCGGCAGAAGACCATCGCGCTCTTTCGCCAAGAACTCGGTCTCCGCTACGCCTTTCCGCATGGGCTTCTTCTTGGTGTCACTCTCCGCATAGAAGCCAAGATCTCGCCGGAAGTCGTGGAATGTCATTGGCCGCAGTTGCGAAGGCGATAGGGTTGTCTTGCGCGCGTCATGGCTAAAAATTCGCTTTCGCTTCCAGGATTGCGCATCTTCCCACCAATTCCGGATGATGTGGCTTCCTTCTTCGTTTGTGCAAATTGATTCCGGATGGAACTGAACGCCCCAGAACGGCTTTTGAATGTGCTTGACGCCCATGAGCACCGCGCCATTCCGTTCGCTGTCGAAGTCCCACGCCATAGGTTCCAGCTGTGGGCACATTTCCGTCGGCTCCCACAGTTGCGCGGGATATCGGACAGCTCGATTCGTCTGAATCGGGTGGCCAAGCTTGACTTGTAAAGAGTGGTACTGCGTTGTCTGCAACTTCTCCACATTCCTGAAAATGGACTGCCCTTTGTGCAGAACTGCCGTGACAATACCATGCTTCGGCTCGACCAGCCTCTCGATCTGAGCTCCAAAGGCGAGACATAGTGATTGGAAGCCCAGGCAGATGCCAAGTACGGGTAAGATTTCTTCGTCCCGAAGTTTCCAGAGCTCTTTCATAACGCCGACATCTTTGTCGCAGCCAGCCCATCCAGGACCAGGGCCCGCAACGACCGCATCGAAGTCTTGCGCATACTCGGCGAATGTCAGGTTGACTAAAGACTTGCTGTTGGAAAAGCGAGTGTCATCGATGGAGGCTTTGGTGACTTTGGCATCCGTATTTTGCTCGATCAAAGCAACGATGTTGTTTGAGAAGGAGTCGTATGCGTCCAGAAAGAGGATTCGGCGTGGTGAGTTCAAGAAGGTAGGTGACATCTGGTTGGCTCACGTGGCGAACTTCGGTTCAATGAGTTTTTTTTGCTATTCTGGGTCGTCGTGCTCACACAGTGATTAGCTGTGATACGGTGATATCGCTCTAGTGTAAGTTCGACGTCCTAAGAGCGAAGGATGTGGCGTTCCTGGTCCTAGACAGAATTATGCGGATCCTTTGGAAGGTCCGTATGGCTGAGATTGGAACGCTACGCTGAAACGCCTTCTATAAACGACAAGAAGGTCCCTTACTCCAGTGAAACCCAAGAAAAGAAATGCAATAAGGGCGGAATTCAAGTGTGTGTGTAATGGAACGAAGGACTTCACAGTGATGACTGACCGACCAAAATTTAGTCTTGGAGCGATAGCGGGCTTTATCGGAGCCGTGGTTGTTATGCAGGGTCCAGCTTAGCGCAATTCTCGCCGGCGGGCCGTGGCAAGAACAGTTCTGGAAGGGATGCACACAAACGGTCAGATGAAGCGCGTTTCAGCAAGCCTGAAACAGAGATTTGCCACACCCCTTGTGTTCTTGCTCGGATGCACGTCGTACAAGAAGCTTGTTTGGGGAGAAAACGTGAGCAGCGCACATAGTCCCCCGGTCAAAGCAGTTTGCTGTATGTATGGATGGTGTCACAAGATGGAAGCATGGGACTGCTAATGTTAATTCTTGTCATTTCATGCATGCATTCATACGTGCAATCATCAGCTTCGTCCAATCCGTCAACTCTTCTACCTCACTTCTGATACTGCCTCGCCAATGCCGCCCATATCCATTACCAGCTCATCTCTGCAGCTGCCGTTCTCGCAGAGCATAACGCCTTCTCTGCTTGCATCCATACTCTTGACCAGTTCGTTCCTCTGCTTCAGCCACTCTCCACCTTGGGTACGCACTCTGCTGATTGTACCCAGACCGGCCGGTCGCTCACGGTATCTCCTCAACCACTCCTCGACTCTCTGACCCTCGCCAGTAATGACAACATGTCTGACTCCCATCTTCCCTGCAACGACCGCGTCCATCAGACTCGGGAATAGGAAAGGATGCTGCATGACCTCTGCTTCGAATGCACTTGCTGTACTTCTCGCCAGCTTTACATAGTTCTCATCCTCGAGCAAAGCACCTAGTCTGTCTAGGTTTTGTGCACTCACGCCGTTGGTGCCGGGCTCGGCGTTGTCCATACCGTCCTTTAACCGCATAAGCAGATCTTGTTGGTTCTCTGGTGTTGAGAAGAAGCCGAGGTGCTCTTTGTCCCAGAACAGCTTGATTTGAGTCTGCTGTAGCTCGTCGGCCCATTGTAGGTATGACTCGTTGAAAGTCGCTTCGTAGAGGGAGATAAGACCAGAGATGAGGTAGGCGTAGTCATCTGCGAAACCGGGTGCTTCACCTGGGCCCTCGCGGTAGACGCGTGTCAGTGTCTTGGAGGAGGCGTTGTAGAGTTCGCGGCTGATGAAGGCGGCTGCTTGCTCCGCAGCAGCGAGGTAGTGCTGTGATCGTGAGGCGTCTTGTGATGCGAGTGCGGCGGCTGTACGTGCAAGTGCGCCAATTGCGAGACCGTTCCAGGAGACTACAATCTTGTCGTCGAGAGCTGGTCGTGGGCGTTCCTTCTCTCGGTGGTCGCGCAGCTTCTGCCGCCCTTCTGACAATATCTGTCCTACTTCCTCTTCTGACAGGGCAAACTGTTTCGCCAGTTCTGCTGGGGTCATTGTGATTTCAAGCACATTCTGGTTGATGAGCTCATCGTGCGCGTCGTGTTCAGGGGCAACATTGCCCTCGTCCTTGACGTTGTAGTACCGCGCCAGAATCTCGGCATTTCGCTCGCCCAGGATATCTTGGAACTCGTTGAGTGTCCACACATAGAAAGCACCCTCGCGCTTCTCCTTATCAGACGATCGATACAGCGAGTCGGCGTCCTCAGAGGAGAAGAAGCCTCCAGACTGCGAGTGTAGTGGTGGTGAGGTGAGGTATGTCGCGATATCGTGGACGGCGGAGAGATGCTCGGCGCTCTTGGTCATGAGGTAGGCGTCGAGGTAGACGGGTAGTAGCTGCGTCTGGTCATACAGCATCTTCTCGAAATGCGGCAAGCTCCAGTCTCGCGTGACTGAGTATCGCGCGAATCCATTGCCAATCTGATCGTGTATGCCGCCCTTGTTCATAGCATCCAGCGTAGCTAGAACCATGTCCTTTGCTTGTGTGCATTCTCTCAGTCCCACGACATCGGCGACCGCGCGCGGGTACTGCGACAGCTTGAGAAGGAAGGCGAGGTTCGACGGGGTAGGGAACTTCGGTGCGCTACCGAAGCCAGCGTAGTCTGTATCGTACTTGTTCTGGAAGTACTGGTACGCTTCTTCCAGCAGATCGAGGTCGAGTGCATCGTGGTCCGCGCCGTCCTTTCTGCTGATGTTGCCGTCCTCAGTGAACTCCCTCAACTGCGTAGTGATCTCTTTTGCAGAGTCAAGACAACGCTGGCGCTGGTTCTGCCACACGTCCCTGATCCTCTCCAAGATACCAACAAAGCCAATGTGGTCGCCTCCCATCGTCGACCCTGGACCCGGCCAGTATGTTCCACCAAAGATGGGCTGCAGGGCTGGGGTGATGAAAGCATTCAGCGGCCACCCACCACTTCCAGTCGTGGCCTGGACGTAGTTCATGTATATGCGGTCGACGTCGGGGCGCTCTTCGCGGTCGATCTTGATGGGAATGAAGTGGTCGTTGAGTAGCTGGGCAACTTCGCTGTTCTCGAACGACTCGCGCTCCATAACATGACACCAATGGCAGGCTGCGTATCCTATACTGATGAAGATGAGGCGGTTCGACTTCTTCGCCAGCTCCAGCGCTTCCGGACCCCACTGCTGCCATGCGACTGGGTTGTTCATGTGCCCGCGCACGTACGGTGAGCGGCTCTCATTGAGGCGGTTTGTGAGCTTCAGCCCGTCGCCGGCACCGGATGTGTTCTGTGTGGCCATTCTGAGGACCGAAGTGTGGAACTTGACCAGTTGCGCTCTCGAGGGATGTCGTAGTGGGGCAGTGATTGGTGCGGGAGGGTGGCCCGGTATGCGGCGGGGTGGTGTTGCAGTCAGAGCAGTTCGCGCACTGGGTCCTCGCAGGTTGAATCGTATCTGAGGCATGCACCAGCGCGAACAGGCGGAGGAGCTGCGCAATAAGGGCACCCAACGCAAGGCGAAATGCGGCGAGATATGGGGTGCAGGGATGCAATAGCTCCAGCCCCGCGCTCCGTCATCGCGTTCCCGTGCCTCGGGATTGGTGGTCAAAGAGCCATCATCTTCACGAAATGCTCACGCCTGACCAGAAGGAATTTTCCCGCGAGCGTCGATCTGTAAATCTGTCGAAATGATGTGGTTGCTGAAGGGACATGCTGAACCCCCTTGACGTCTGCGGCAGGAAGTCTGGCGGGATTTTTGCAAAGCAATACATACATTACCACTACCTGCGATCTGTTCAGCACTCCTCGGGGCATGGGCGACTACAGGTCGCATGCAAATCAGAGTCGAAGCCTGGTGACATGCTTTTGGTGGCTTCAACTCTGTCAAGCACTCGAAGGAAATATTGAAGAATTTCCATGTCCAGTCAGTAGTGATCGAGATCTGGATGGGAGTGGGGTTCTGAACTTCTCTGCACATGATCCTGACATCAGCTTCAATTTCCTTGAGCTCACAAGAGTAGTTCTATCAAGGAAAGCTCACTAAAACCTATTTTATGCTCACTTATATATTGACCTACTAAAATTACTTTCATCGAAACAACAAAATCGGTCGCTTAGCTCAGTTGGTTAGAGCGTGGTGCTAATAGATTTCATCCTTGACACGCCAAGGTCGCGAGTTCGACCCTCGTAGTGACCAGTTTCTTTTTGCCCTTCGTTGCGAGTCGCCATCATGCTTCTTGATGGCTCAGGAATCTGCTTTTGCTCTCGCTCGTTATCCACAGGCAGCACCTTGGCGTGTCGCGATGAATGCACCCCACATTCTCGGGTCAATGGCCAGCGAGCTTGTTGACTACACAAATCAGTGACGTGTTCCTTGAACAGACACGTTCACTTTTCAACAGCGCGCTCATATTAACAATGGCGGAAACTCTTGCAGCTGATAATGCTTGGCCACTATGGGACGACCAACCTTCCGAAGGAGCATTCGAGCTGTTAACCAACAACGGCATGGACAATGCTGTCGTACACAGTGTCGAACGACCGTGGTTGTTCCATTACAGGCCTAAGACGAACTCTAATGGACGAGCTATCCTCATTCTGGGCGGGGGAGGCTACGTCGAGCTCATGGTCGGACGTGAAGGTGTTCAGGTAGCAAGGTGGTTGGCTGGCCTGGGATTCGATGCCTTTGTCCTCGTCCACCGCTTTCCGAACGCAAAGTCGGCGCCTCAAGCCCCCGTAGACGATGCAAGACGAGCGCTGAACGTCATTGCTGCTGAAGGGTACTCGAAGAAGGGCCTGGGCATCTGTGGTCTTTCGTCTGGTGGCCACCTTGGTGCTGCACTCCTAGCAGAATACCCGCAAACGTGGACATCTCCTCAGGCCTCTGCTGCGATCCCAAAGACCGACTTCGCAATCATTGGATACGGGCCCATCTCCACGAATGCAAAAGGTCGGACGATCGTACTCAACAAAGCCGCACTGGAGCCACCAGCAAAGCAGGAGCTGTACGATGTTGTGCAGCCAGATGTTCAGATCAGTACAGCGCCGCCTACATTCATCGTGTACTCAGGCAACGACCCCGTGGTTCCGGTCGTTAACGCGTATCGACTGGCGGAGGGCATCACGAAGGCGGGAGCAGCGGTGGAACTCCATGTATTCGCAGACGCGCCGCATGGATTTGCACTCGATACAACTGGTCTGCCTATCAGCAAGTGGCCAAACTTGTGTGAAGCGTGGCTGGAGCAGAATGGATTGTTGAAGGCGTGAACACGAAAATCGCGAGTGGACGCGTTGAGGTAGAAGGGGTACGAAAATGGCTAGTGTGAATACGACGTCATCGATATTTGGTACCTTCAGAAGCATCGATCGCAAATAGCGAACAACATCTTCACAGCCGTTCACTACGGCAATGCAATCGCTCGCTCGACATTTTGGGAAGCTCTCCATTTCGCCAAGATCACTTCAGTCCCGACGATCTAGGTTATATTCGTTACCCAGTTTCGAGGCGCGCCACTTGCACGCGTCTTCGGTGATGTCAAGTCCATTGAAGCGCAAGGCCGACAAGCCAGCAACTTCTACCACTGCGAAGAAGCAGAAGTTCGTAGTCCCAGAGTATCATACGACCCCTCAACGACGCGATGAAACCGGTGAAATTGTGTGGCCAGCGCGGAAAGAGCAAATTGAACGAGCAAGACAGATCACCAAAGAATGGTGCGCATCTTATAGTATATTATGGACTTCATATGACTAACATGTTCCAGTGCTGAAGCGCAGAAACCGATAGTCATACTACCTGATAAGGATGCAGACGGGCTGTCATCTGGTGCAATTTTGCATCACACGCTCACTTCGCTCGGGCTTTCGCCTAATCTGATCTCTGTGTACTTTCCACCAAAAGGATCTAACGTGCATGATGATGCTACCAAAGAAGCACTCACTGAGATGGCTCCATCGTACGTCTTCGTGCTAGATCAAGGAAGTAGAAAAGGCGCGGCATTGCTTGACCTACCGCACACGTGCCTGATAGTTGATCACCATTTTGCAGAAGAAGGGGGCTTTCCGGAAGGTGCTGATTACGTTACTGCACACGACTGTCCGCCTGTAGCGACCACTTCACTTTTGGTCTACCACATCTGCCTACCTCTCCACCCTGATCTTAGCATTAAGATCTCATGGCTCGCTGCAATGGGCACTCATGGCGACCTTGGAACGACACTAAAGTGGGAGCCACCGTTTCCTGACATGACCGCAATATTCAAGCGCTACTCAAAGAAAGCTATCAACGATGCAGTCGGATTGGTCAACGCACCGAGACGGTCTGCTGCCTACAACGTTAAAGATGCATGGGATGCTGTTATATCTGCGCCTGGTCCAGAGACGATCAAGACGACCGAGAAACTACACGACGCAGCCTTCGAAGTACGCCGCGAGACCGAACGCTGCACACATACAGCACCCAAGTTTTCCGCTGACGCAACCATCTGCGTTCTTACCATCTCCTCTGCCACGCAGATCCATCCTGTTATCGCAACCCGCTGGGCCGGCCACCTCAAGTCGAACAAACTCGAGATTGTTATGTGTGCGAACGAAGGCTATCTTCCCGGTAAAGTGAACTTCTCATGCCGCATCGCGAAGGTCGCTCGAGGTCGCGAGGGGGATGAGAAGGTTGACATCATAAAGCGATTGGAGGGCATTGTAAAAGACCACCCAGAGCTCAGGGATCGACTCGGCGAGAGCTTTGCAAGAGGTCATAAGGAAGCTACTGGTGGTATTGTGGGAAAGAAAGAGTGGAACGAGCTGAAAGTTATCATGGGTTTGGATGACAGCAAGACGAAAAAGAAGAAATTGGAAAAAGAAAATGGTACGCCGATCACTACGAAGAAGATGCCGGCTCAGAAGAACACGCTTGCGAACTACTTCGCAAAGGCCTGAGCTGGCAAAGGCATAAATTTGATGCAAAGAACCGAAGCCGACGCTGATGATCACGAGGTGACAGGACAGCAAGTGGACTCTATGCGCATTGAAAACATCACAATCTACCGGCTGTATCTCTCCGCGACGAAGCACATCTCAGAGTACTTCGAAGATTCTTTTCCCAGTGTTTTCGCCTTGGCGTTTCAACGCGTTTCACCCTGACAAGTACTGACAGCCGCACGGCAAGGATCCCGGATGAAGAGGACCACCAGCGCATCGCCAATCAAAGCCCCACCCGAAACACTACCCATATATCATTTGACCCAGTCCTCAGTGCCGCGCTGAATCCGGCAAAATCTGGGGAACCCACACATCTGCCGGCGAATGGCGTGCATGCATGCAGATGAGGCTACGGTTGCCAAGCAGGCTCTGTTGCAACATCTAATCTATATCAGTAAGATGGTCCAAGACATGCACTTATGGAAATTGGAAATGACGATGGGATGGGATTGCGGGCCGGTGACTTTGCGGTGTTCGATGTTGTCTCGAAGTGCGGTCGGTCAGGACTGCATAAATACTGCGCAGGTTCGAGCATGTTTGAGTTTGTATTCAACGCTCACCCGTTTCGTTCGCTTCTTACTCAGTCGAACATTTCAAGATGAAGTCCGCATTCGTTCTCCTCGCCGCTGTGGCATCCGTCTCCGCCCACTCAACATGGCAGGAACTGTGGGTTGGCACAACCGACCAGGCTGGCAAGTGCGTCCGTACTGTCAAGGACAACAGCCCCGTTGAGAGTTTGACCTCCGCCGATATGTTTTGCGGTCGTGGCCCAGCTACGCAGACTGGTGTTTGTGAAGTCGCCGGTATGCCAGACCCCCATGGCCCACACATATACCATGACTGACAAAATTAGCTGGCTCCTCCCTCACCGTAGAAATGCACGCCCAACCTGGCGACCGCTCCTGCGCCAACCCCGCCATCGGCGGCGCCCACTATGGCCCCGTCCTGGTCTACATGGCGAAGGTAGCCGACGCAACGACCGCAACGACCGGCTCCTTCTTCAAGGTCGCTGAGGACGGCTATACCGGCACCACCGCCTCGTGGGGTACTGAGATCCTCAATGCCAACTGCGGCAAGCGCGCGTTCACTGTGCCCAAGAACATCGCTGCGGGCAACTACCTTGTGCGTGCTGAGGCGATTGCGCTCCATGCTGGTGCGGGTAACCCGCAGCCGTATGTGAGCTGCTTTCAGGTTAAGGTTACGGGTGGGGGGAGTGCGAACCCGACGGGTGTTAGCTTCCCTGGTGCTTACAAGATCACTGATCCGCTGTTCACGAAGGCTATTTACGACTCTTCGTTCAAGTATGTCAGCCCTGGTCCGGCTGTGTACTCTGGTTAGACGTGTCCTACGGCAATTGGTCGATTTGCATCCCTCGAGACTACATTTTTGCATTTTGACTTTCCTGTACATACAATAGATCTTCCCGTGCATTTTCATCCCCAGTTTCTCGTATCTCGTCACTCTAATTCCCCCTGAGGGCGGCCCAGTCTTCACATGTTTTGTGACTCTGAAAGCATTTCCAAGTGACATCAGCCATACTTACTTTGCGCTGCTTTACCCGACTTCAAGTTGCCAGCCCTGGCCCGACAGCTGTCTTGTTCGAATATTTTTTCTACCTCAAAGAGGCTCTCCCACCACTTTTAACGATCCAAGTTTCCAATGCAAATCTTGAATTGTTCTCGAACGCTGCTGAAAGCCGCGTCCACACGGCGATTACCGTCCTACAGGGCAGGGATACAGAACCCCGGAAAATGCGATGTGATAACTTCGAGTGAATAACAAAAACCGACTGGCTCATAGTGATCACCTCGAAGCCTCAAAACCAGGGGATCGACACAAGGAATGCGCTCAGACGCCCATGTGTGCTCATTGATGATCACAACCTTCAGAGAGTTATTAAACTGAGCTGTCATCCCAAAACATATATTCTCTTACCTCAAATTTTCGCAGAGGCGCGTTTAAAAGCACCGACATGTACGCTCGCGGTCCTAGCAACGAACTCGAGTTCTTGCGACATATTTGTGAAGTCTACATCGCGGCTCTATATGCAGCTCCACAGTATCCTTGGTAAGGTTTGCGTGCACAACGAAAACATACCTTTACACTTCCCTCTTGTGGCCCAGTTGTCAGTGCCCCAGTCCAGCCCAAAGGGGACCAGCTTGGAAATTCTGTTCGGCGACGGCAGGGGACAGGATGCCGCCAAAGTAGGCATATTTCAACTGCTTCGCTGGGTCTTGAGGTGTAAGGCTCTGCCAAATCTTGTCGTGCCTGTTTTTCAGTGGCTGATGCCGAGCCAAGAGCTCTAAATGGTACACCCAGAGGTGGTGCTCGTCTTCTTTCAAAAAAGCATCCAGAGCGATTGAGATAGCTTTCAAAGCGTTACTATCGAACAATAGATTGCCTGAACTGTATTCTTTCAGGCTCATCAATATGCTTTGTAATGTATGTCCTTGATCACCACTGTTCGATGCTCTGATTTCGTCGTGTCCAGATGGTACCCAGCCTTGCAACCAGCGATGATCGCGGGGATCTGTTGCTCCCTGCACGTCTGCTGATTTATGGAAGACCCTCGTGTTTCAAACAAAGATGACTTGTTGCTCAGTGAATATCAGGCGTCTTCTAGAAAGGAGGCTCTCCTGAAAGGAACAAGCTCGAGGCGCCCATGTTGAATCGACCATGTCTCCAAGGTTTCGTATTGGAGGTAAGACCGACGAGCAGAGTGAATCGATAGTCTCATGGAACACTGTCTGACTTGGTCGGAGATTTGATGTCACACCAGGCAGGCCGTAGGTGAAATCAATCCCTGCAGCAGCAATAATTGTGAGCTGCGTCGCCCTACAGATGCCGGCCATCTGCATTATCTGCTCGGTTTTCTGCTATACGTCTTCCTGGTCAATACAGTGAGCAAGGTTAGCAAATATCGCCCAGCAGCCTTGATTCACTCACGTATCTGTCAACCCAAAGATACTTATAGCTCAGATCAAGTGTAATCGATATGCTTTCTTGTATGGTCCGAGATGGGTGCCGCAAGGATCCAGCCTATTGCCTGATACATGAAGTAGGTACTTTCGGCAGTGAGAGATGCTGGAACATGCTTGCGGTTGCCACGGATTTGAGGCGGGAAATCACTATGACCCATTCTTTACGAGGTCCGAGAGGTTCTTGATCGCCGGCGATATGCACAACGATGGAACCAATATATGCGTGCTGAAAGGCTGGTGCTAAACGTTTCCACCCTCCGCCCTGATATACCACACAAGAGTGTGGTACGACTTTGGTGAGTATAGATAGGAGGACAGAAATCTAGCCAGAAAGCGACAGATGCAGCATTTCGACTTGGTAAGGGTCACTTCGTCAAGAGGGAGCTCGAACTGCTGTGCCTCAATCCGCTGGGTCCCTGAGCACACCGTGGTCTTTGATCCATCCCATATTATGCCGCGGCATCTCTTACAAACTATACTATATTCGATTTGTGGAAGATAGTTCCTGTAGTCCGAGTTCATGCGTGCTGATATGTGCGAAGGGTAGTAGAGTCAGAAGTGGGCGGTATAGAAAGGTTGAGCTGACTGGGAAGGAGGATTCAAAAAATTAGGCGAACGCCTACCTTCGACCACATGGCGCAGCTGTGTGACAGTACGCTCTGATACGGGTTGTTTGCAAAAGACCAGGATCACCCCGCGACTGGAGAGCTGACAGCCTATCATTTGCTGTCTTAAGTCACGGGATGGTCCTGGTCTTCTGCAAACACTTATAGGCGGGACAGTTGCAGTGCCAACAATAGTGAGATTTAGTACGATCGGAACAGGGTATCTGTAAAGTGCCTACCACAACAACATACTCTCTGGAGGCCCTTAGGTACCTGAACGCTTTCTCATCGATCAGGCAAGCACCTTCTCAACCACCCACCCCTTCCCAGCACCCTCCTTTCTCTGCACCACCTTCCTGATACCCAATCCCCAACCTTGACTTCCCTTCTCACCCAGCAACGTCATCTCAACCTCACACTCGCGGCGCTCAGGCGCACCATTTGCCCGCGGCAACTCTGCAGTCTTACCCTTCGGCTTCGAAGCCTGCAGCAGCGGTGTCCCAAGCGCGATGTTGATGAGCTGAGGCCTCGTGACAGGCGTGAGCGGGTGCATGCGCGTCTTCGGCGTCTTTGCGCCGTTGATAGACGATGCGGAGGCGCGCTGGAGGTGCGAGTAGATGATATAGCCCGGCAGCTTGGCGGGTGGTGTACGCGCGAGAAGTGTTGAGGGGTGGAGGTACACGTATTTCTCGTTCGGGTCATCGGAGCGTGCATCGCTCGATGAGAGCAGCGTGATGTATGGCACATCAATGGCTGTCTTGGGCTTGCGGGCCAGCTCTGGTGGTGTGGGAGCGAGGTCCGCACGCATGGCGACTTGGTCAATGAAGCCCGCTGCGCAAATTTGGGTCAAAAGATTGATGCTTTTCTCTGATGGAGCCGGGAGCTTGGCCTGGTATGTGCCGATGGCAGTCGGACGATGCGTGCGCACGATGCTCGTCAGCTGCTGACGGAGCTGACTGGCTTCGTGCATGGCTTTGGCGTTGAGGAACATGTCTTCGCAGAAGCGCTGTGGGTCGCTCTCGTACGCGTAAGCACAGACAGCGTTGCTATACTTGATGCAGTCGCTTTGCTTTGCGTTGACGCTCAACTTGGCAAGGGCGGCGTTGTAGGCTTTGCGCAGTCGAGAGCGCTCTTCGGCTTCGATGTTGTCTTGCTCGGTGCGGACGGCGTCTGGATCTCTTGTTGGCTCTCGAAGGCCAAGCTTGTTCTCTGGGATGACGAGTTCTGGTACAGACAAGGCAGCGACTAGAGCGATGGTCTCAGCCGTGAGGTTCTGGGCAACGCCCATTGCCAGCATGCGCGCAAATCGAGGGTTGAGGGGATACAGAGAAAGCTCATGCCCAAGCTTGGTAACCTTGCCATCAGGCGACAGAGCTCCGAGATGGGAGAGCAGGTTCTCGGCGCGCTGAAGGCTCTCTCGATCGGGCGGTGTAGGGAATGGGAAGTTGACAACAGGTGCACCCATGCTCTTCAGCTGCAGGACCACGCCCTCAAGCGGCGTGCGAGATATCTCTGGCGCCGCATACTCTTCAAAGTCGCGCTCGAAGACGGCAGACGAGTACAGGCGGTAGCAGTGACCAGGACCAGTACGACCAGCACGACCGGCTCTTTGGTTGGCGCTTGCCTTGCTGATCCACCCAACCTCGAAGCTCTGTACGCCAGTGATCAGATCGTACTTCTTCTCCTTCGCCCTGCCACAATCGAAAACGTATCGGACACCAGGAATCGTCAAACTCGTCTCCGCGACGTTGGTAGCCAGAACAATGAGTCGAGATCCCTCTGGAGGCGGCTCGAAGACGCGCATTTGCTGGTTAGTTGGCAGTTGTGAATAAAGTGGCAGCACGTGTACGTTCATCACCGTATCCTCGGGCTTCTCTTCGTCGATGTCGAATTCATTGTCCTCTTCATCGTCATCAAGACCCATGATAACGGAGTCCTCAGAGTCAGAACCGTCGTTGTCCTCGTCGTCATTATTGGGGCCAAATTCGAGATCCTCGGTCTCAACGGGCGCCTCGGCAGGGTTGATCCGTACTTTGCCAGTTTTTATGTCCTGACCTTGTGTCGACGGAAATGCTTGTTTAAGACGTTTTGCAAGATTAGCAATCTCGCCTTGGCCGGTAAGGAAGATAAGCATGGCTCCAGGTGGCAGTTTGCGGTGTCCTCTGACGACCTTGCGATACATCTCCTCAACGTAGTCGCGCTGTGTCTGGCGGGCAAAGTGGTTGGTGACTGTGTATTGACGGCCTTCAGCCTTTAGTAGTGGAGGTGGTTCACTCCTGAAGAGACGCTTGTTCTCAGTGAAGTCCGATATTCTGAGAGTAGCCGACATGATGACCAGCTTGAGAGGCTTGACCTTGGGATTTTCCTTCGCCATCTCAGCTCGTAGATCGACGATCCTACTGAGCATACCAATGAGGATGTCGGTGTTGACGCTGCGCTCGTGGGCCTCGTCGATGACGATTGCAGAGTACTTTGACAGGATGAAATCTTGTGTGATCTCGCGCAGAAGAACACCATCAGTCATGAACTTCACCGCAGTCTTCGCGTTCGTTGTAGTGTCGAATCGAATTTGATGGGCAACCTTCGAGCCATGATTACCCAGCTCGTCACCGACTCGCTTCGACATACTGACTGCCGCAACACGTCGAGGCTGCGTGACACCGACCATACCTGGTGTAGGCCCATCTGGCGCACCGTAGCCTGCTTCAAAGAGGAACTGCGGTACCTGCGTGGTCTTACCACTACCAGTAGCTCCCCAGACCACGACCACGTCGTTGTTGTGTATTGCCTCCATGATCTTCTGCTCCTCTGCTACAACCGGGAGCTGCAACCTAGCTTCCTGAATCTCAGGTGTTCTTTCCACAGCAACACTGTATGACTTCCTTGTTGCGTCGGTCGCTGTCTTTGTTTCGAGTTCTGGAGGCAGGGGATCTTGCTCGGGCGCTCTCGGCATGAAGTTCGCAGGCTTCGCTGGTATTGTGTGTTCGAGTTGATTCGACGGTACAAATCCGATCTGTTCGTTTCTTTGACTCGTCGCCCAAGCCTTAAAAGCTGATGTCCGTTCCTTCCTGGCGATCTTTTTCTCCTCATCATCGAGGCTGCTGTCGCTGTCGCTGTCGCTGTCGCTGTCGCTGTCGCTGTCGCTGTCGCTGTCGCTGTCGCTGTCTTCTGATGAGTCCTCCTCTGACCCTTCTGAGCCGTCTGAACCTTCCGATTCAGAGTCTGCGCTCTCTTCATCTTCTTCGATATCTGACTCCTCTGTCGAGTCCGCTGCATCTGCGCCGTTGGCCTCGGCCTCCTTATTATTAGCCTCCTGCTCGTCCGAGCTGAAGCCTTCCCATGCCACCGCTTCCTCGATGACAACGGGCTTTCCCTTGGCCTTTCTACGCTTTCTGACTTGTATGACCGGCTTGCCTGACTCGTCAAGCTCGAGAGGACGCTTCAAACCACCTCCGAAGAGGCCGAAGCTGCCGACCGATGTTGTAGTAGTAGTAGGTTCGGAGGGTGCAGTGGGCGCGGGTTCTGGTGACTTTGATGGCGACCGACTTCGTTTGCGCGAGGAAGGTGTGGAGGTCTTCGGCGGTTTTTTAGGTAGTGTGGGCGCACCCTGAATCTCGTGATCGTCTTCAGAAGCCGAGCTCTCGATCTCTGGTTCCCTGACAGTGTGCTCCTCGAATAGCAGTCCCTCGTTCTTCTCCACATCCACACCAGCTCGTCGCTCAGCCAATGCGCGCCTGAGAGCCTCTCGCTTGGTATCGCCGCCACTGCCCAATTTCTTGGAGCTCTGAAAGAGACTGGTGTCGACCTTGTGTGATTGCGAAGCCAATTTTTTGAGTAGTTCCAGATTCTCTTCCTTCTTGAGCTTGGTGTCAATATATTTATCCAAGCGCTTCTTCTTCTTCCCGCTCATTTTGCTTTGCGATTCGCGCACAAGCTCATCTTTCATTGCGCGCCGCCGCTCATCGCGCTCTCGCTGCTCGGCCGGCAGGATTTGCTCGGCATTCTCCTCAGCAGGCTCAGTGTGAACCACTTTCTGGCGCGCGACGGCCTTATGCTTTCGCTGTCGGGGAACGAACTTTGGCATCCTTTGTTGTGGTCCTACGCAAGGACTTGAAGTTGCTGTATTCTCCAAACTTCCAAAATTTTGGCGGGGATCGGCAACTCGGAGCACGCTAGGTTCGCTAGCGCCGGGCGGTGAGTGGCCTCCGCATCACTCCCGAGAGCTCAATGTCTCCACCCACCCGATTGGACCCCTCCAAACCCAAGCAACATTGTAGCCATCCTCGTGCACTATCGCGCGTAATTAAGTCACGTTCTACACACTGCATCAGCCACTGTTTGAATATGACGACAGCAACGGGAGACTACACAGTCACACCTGCACCGTTCCCAGCACGTTCGAAGTCTGTTTCGTCAAGCATAAAGGGCATGGAGACAACTGCAACGTCCATGTCATTCGCAGACAAAATTCTTATTACTGTCACCCAACAAGGCCGTCTGGCCCACTGGGTAAGCCCTCTGGCTACCTCTGGCTACAATGACCACAGAAACTGATTTAGTGTTCGCAGGTACACGTACCACTCGACATCTCGGCGACCGACGCTTCAATGACATCGCAAGCCTTTCTCGATCGCGACGACGAAGACCCCACGTCCAGTCTCCTGCCTATGCACCACCTCACTGCAACCACAATCCTCGGTGGCACAATTCCAGAGCTCGAAGTTTTGGGCCAGACCCTTGCGACTCAGATCGCCAGTGCTATCAAGACGCAGAACGACAGGGAGACACGGATGGTAGTGCTCGGCATGGGACTGGACAAGGACATGAGCGGAAGAACAGAGTTCAGTGATTTGGTAGGGCTAGTGTTGGAAGTATTGTGAAGTATACATCTGGAGGAACGCACAGCAAGAAGATAGGATATCACATGCTTGAGAAGAGCACTCGAGTGCGCGTATATTTTGCGCAGCTTGTAGATGGATCCGCCGAATCATCGACAGTATGTCTACATATCCTTTCCCATGTCACCGTGGTGATCAAAACGCCGCCATCATGCTAAACCATGTCTAGAACCGGAACGCCGATACAATGCAGCTTACGATCGTCTCACAAAGCCTCGCGGAGCTTGTTGATCAAAATGTCCACCGAGTCCATATCGTTTGCATCGAGCTTGCCTGAAGGCTTGAAGTCCGCAGGTACGTGCAACACGGCGTCGTCAAGCGCGGGCTGGAAGTTCCTAACTGAGGACGAGAGCGCTGTAATGGCCTTCTTCTTGACCTTCGTCTCGTCGTTCCCTGTCGCCATGCGTACTAGGGTTGGGATGGCGCCGAGCACCAGGAGCTATATGCTGTCAGCGACCGTTCACAAGATTTACAGAGCATATATCACCCTACCTTTTCCTGGGTCTTGATGTTGTTTTGCACTGCGGTACCAATGCACCATGCTGCAAACCTCCTCAGCTCAGCTTCCTTGTTCTCCAATTGCTCGATCAGAGGGATCCAGAGGCCGAGTGATTCGAGGTTGTTTGCGTTGTCGAGGTTCTCAATGAGCTGCTCGAAGTTGTCGAATGCGGTAATTCGGTCCTCCATGTCGCAGTCCTCCCTCTTGATAACCTCCATGTTGTCCTTCATCATCTGCGCGTCCGACTTCTGATTACCGCCAAACAAAGCTGCGAGAGCTTCTGGGGTCAATTGCGTTTTAGGCGCCTCTGCAGCTTCCGAGACATTAGAGTTTTCGACACCCCACTTGAGGAGCGTGTTCAGATTGGGGTCGTTCATTGTGTATGGTGTGATAAGATTCGACTGAGTGGTATAGAGTGTTGGGTTGTGCCAGGGTCACTGATATTTGAACATCTGGAGTAAATTTGGCGGGATGACGCAGATTCGGTTTTGCGCCAACGCTGCGGGAAGGTACGACCATATTCGCGCGCCTTCCATATGGCTGGCAGCTGTCAAACAGCAACAACTCAAGGCCAAAGTGCACAAATTCGACGTCTGCAAACCGAATGTCACCTCACGAAATACAAGAATCACTGTTTGAACGACTGCAAACACCGCGTATATCGTATGCAAAGGATGTCGTCGTATTGATGCTCGCCTTGCGTGGTCCCGCGGTCCCGTAAGTGCCCCTCACCACGTGACCTTGACCCGTATTTCTGGCGGGGATGTTGAGAGTTGGCGGTGAGCAGCTGCGGATGGCTGGGGATCGCAATGCTCCCGCAGCTTCATGCCAGTGGCGGTCTGGCACGAGCACTCGCAGCCCAAGCCCACGCCGTACGCATCGCAGTGCCCTTGCCATCAGTAATCATCATCGCTGTTGACCGCCAAGCAGTTAAGGCGCTGCCTTGGGGGCAGATATGCGTGTACAGGTGTACCATCCTCATGCTGTGGCGGGAGAGCTTGCGTACACCACCAGAATAGAAACTGTGATGCCTAGAAGCACTGCAATGCGAGTATAAAATGCTCAATGCAGCTTCAGCTGCAAAAATTACATGCATTGAATGCCTTGAAAGTGACGCTGTCTGCACTTCCGTTGGATCTTGCCTGTTCGTGCAAAGCCCCCTTCACCAACCTCGCCGCTCCTTCTGTCTGGGCAAGGCCGGCCCGCTTATTTCAGCAAGTGGGCACCCACTCGCCTCGCGCACTCTGCAAGACCTTAACCACAACCACCACCGCACCCGTAAGCTTCCCCGACATCCGCGTTTCTATCTAAAGCCCGACCTACGGCAACCTGTCCTCCTCTTGCTGACTCTCTCTTTCGCAGAGAGTACATATTGCACTCCGCCCACACAGCTCTACCTACTCCTAATCTACCACCTAATCAGCCAATATGGAAGGTAAGCAGCTGAGCCCACCGCCCCCCCAGCATCGCCGCCGGCCACCCCCTGGCGATGCGCCTCTATCTCAATGAGCTCTGCTAACGTTTGTTTCTCAATGTAGAGGAAGTTGCAGCCCTCGTCATCGACAATGGGTGAGATCATACCCCCCAACATCGAACTCCTGCCATCCCTGTCGTGGAGGGGCTGTCTGCATTGGCATCGCCCACGACGTCGACGAGCCGCACCAGCCCTGCGACAGGGCCGCACGAGCGATGGATACTTGATGGATGCGAGCTGACAATTGATAGTTCGGGTATGTGCAAGGCCGGTTTCGCCGGTGATGATGCGCCCCGAGCAGTCTTCCGTAAGTTCCCCAACCCGCCACCTGGCACCAGTAGCGCTCCATTGCGCCAGCTCTGCAGCCAGACAACACCTGTGAACCATATTCTGACACTATGCAGCCTCCATTGTCGGTCGCCCCCGTCACCATGGGTATGACGCTCTTCCCCGGCAGCTCCTGCCCAATTCGAGCTAACAGCGATGCAGTATCATGATCGGTATGGGACAGAAGGACTCCTACGTCGGTGATGAGGCACAGTCGAAGCGTGGTATCCTGACTCTGCGATACCCCATCGAGCACGGTGTTGTCACCAACTGGGACGACATGGAGAAGATCTGGCACCACACCTTCTACAACGAGCTGCGTGTCGCCCCCGAGGAGCACCCCGTCCTGCTCACCGAGGCTCCCATCAACCCCAAGTCCAACCGTGAGAAGATGACACAGATTGTTTTCGAGACATTCAACGCCCCCGCGTTCTACGTCTCCATCCAGGCTGTCCTCTCCCTGTACGCCTCCGGTCGTACCACCGGTATCGTTCTCGACTCCGGTGACGGTGTCACCCACGTTGTCCCCATCTACGAGGGTTTCGCTCTTCCCCACGCCATTTCCCGTGTCGACATGGCTGGTCGCGATTTGACTGACTACCTCATGAAGATCCTTGCTGAGCGTGGTTACACTTTCTCCACCACCGCCGAGCGCGAAATCGTTCGTGACATCAAGGAGAAGCTCTGCTACGTCGCCCTCGACTTCGAGCAGGAGATCCAGACCGCCAGCCAGAGCTCTAGCCTCGAGAAGTCCTACGAGCTTCCTGACGGTCAGGTCATCACCATTGGTAACGAGCGCTTCCGTGCTCCTGAGGCTCTCTTCCAGCCTTCCGTCCTTGGTCTTGAGAGCGGTGGTATCCACGTTACCACTTTCAACTCCATCATGAAGTGCGATGTCGACGTCAGGAAGGACCTGTACGGCAACATTGTCATGGTACGTGTTTTCTGAATCATCTGCAAACGTGAGCTAACAGCCCCAGTCTGGTGGTACCACCATGTACCCCGGTATCTCCGATCGTATGCAGAAGGAGATCACTGCTCTTGCTCCTTCCTCCATGAAGGTCAAGATCATTGCTCCTCCCGAGCGCAAGTACTCCGTCTGGATCGGTGGTTCCATTCTTGCTTCCCTCTCCACCTTCCAGCAGATGTGGATCTCAAAGCAGGAGTACGACGAGAGCGGTCCTTCCATCGTCCACCGCAAGTGCTTCTAAGGTACTGCAAATCTCGCGCCGATACGATCCCACCGACTGACGATTTTCCTTCCAGTGTCTTCCTGCGTACGATTCTCGAGATTATGACAAGCCTGGTAGCGGAGGCAACGTTGTATTGGCGCTCTGTTACCCCGGGGTTTCATGCATAACGGTTGTTCACAAAAAGGCAAAGCTGGCGAGCGATTGGGTGTTTAAGTTATGGAGCAGCTTGAGCTCATACGTGGAGGTGTGATAGGATCTTAAGATTGTAGCTTAGAACCTGGACATTTTCATATCTTGTACTACCCAGATCGCATTGTGACCAAATTGAATGCTTACATCACGTGCTTGCGGGCTCCTTTGCCGGAGCTTTGCTCGGCCACTCATTGTGATTTGGCCGACCAATACGCATGGCTGTGGGTTGCTGAGCTTGACCGCTCTCTATGATTCACGACAATACTGCTTGTGCTGTTCTGCTCGTGAGCAGCGTGACAGTATCAAACTTGCAGTGGACATGGAAATTGATTGCCCAATTAGGAAGGTCCGTGCTCGCTAGCGCGATAACAATCGTCAGCTTTTGAAGCCTGAGCAGGCATAATTCGTGACGCATCCTTCGAGACCGGTACTTAAAAGCCTCAATTCGCTCGTCATTCATGTTATGACTCCCACAGATCAATTAGTTCCCTCCATATACTTTGGACATTAAACTCTTTTTGTTGCACCTTTCGGTTGGAGGCAAAGCACCGTCAATCAAGCACTACAGTCATCCATTGGAATGTCTTCAAGAACCGACCGAGCAGATGAACCTGGCGTCAAAGCCGGCGACGAGACAACACCTCTACTTGCTTCCGTCGAGGCCGGTCCCACCCCAGAACTGGTTGATCCACCGAGCCTAGTTACCAGCACAGATGGAGCCCATGCGGATGACGAGAATGCACCACTACCACGAACTCAGATCTTTCTGCTCTGCTACACTCGTGTCATCGAACCAGTAGCTTTCTTCTCTATTTTCCCCTACATCAACTCCATGATCGAACATGTGGGCGGAATTGAGAAAGAGGATGTTGGCTTCTACTCCGGACTCATCGAATCCCTCTTTTCATTCACACAGATGTGTGTCATGATCTTCTGGGGAAAAGCATCGGACCGCTATGGTCGCAAGCCGGTGCTGGTGTTCAGTTTACTGGGCATTGCAGTCGCGACGACGCTGTTTGGCATGAGTCAGAGCATCACGCAGATGATTGTTGCGAGATGTTTTGCAGGTGTTTTCGCTGGCACGGTGGTCACGCTCAGGACTATGTTCAGTGAGAATAGTACGAGGCATACACAGGCTAGGGCATTTAGCTATTTTGCATTTGCAGGGAACTTGGGTATCTTCGTTGGACCGCTATTGGGTGAGTAATGCGGGTCAGATGTTGATGCGAGTTGCTGACCTTCATGTAGGAGGTGTGTTGGAGAGACCAGCTGAGAAGTACCCCCGTGTCTTTGGGTACCAGTTCTTTCGGGTCTATCCGTACATACTGCCTGGACTAGTCATCTCTGCTGTGACTCTCTCTGCAACCTTAACGACGGTGTTGTTCGTTAAAGAGGTATGGTCATGTCCTTCACTACCACAAGTTATCACTAACTAGCCTCAGACCCTCCACATCCACAAAGATAAGAAGAAATCCACCGAAGCCCCAATGACGATGTGGCAGCTCATCAAAGCCCCTGGCGTCGCCGTAGTCATCCTCATCTTCGAATACATCGCGCTCCTAGCCTTCACATTTACAGCGGTTAACCCCGTTTTCCTCTACACGCCCATCTCGCTCGGCGGCCTCGGCTTTCCTCCCGAGCTCATTGCCGCAGTCATCGGATTTTCAGGCCTCTCGCAGGCAGCATGGCTTCTCTTGGTCTTCCCGGCTCTGCACAAACGCATTGGCACTGGCCAGATCCTACGCCTCGCTGTATGGGCGTGGCCTATCTTCTTCGCCATTAACCCTTGGTTCAACTTCCTCCTTCGCCATGATCAGAAGATTGCGTTCTGGACTACCGCTCCTCCTACACTGGCACTCGGAAGTGGTATAGCCATGGCGTTCACAGCGGTTCAGCTCGCTGTCAACGACATTGCACCCAGCCATGAGACGTTCGGTACGTTGAACGCGATCACCCTTGCGCTATCGAGTGGAGTGAGGGCTGTGGCGCCGGCGCTGGCTACGAGTGTGTACGCTATTGGCGTCAAGTACCACATTCTCGGAGGTCAGTTGTTCTGGTTGTTCAATGTGATACTGGCGCTTGGGTTGATAGGGTTGTTGAGATTGCTGCCGGAGAAGGCGGAGGGAAGACCTCAGCAGGCGGCAAGTCAGGCTGCGTAGACTGGATTGCGACTAGATAAGAATAAGTTGGATAAGCTCTATCAATCAAAGTGGCTCATTGTGCCTGTGCTTTGCTCTCTCTCAGCGTCATACTGGAGTGGTATGCTAGATGTAGAATGCCAATGAGCTCATAATTTCTGAAGTCCGACTGCTCTTCCTGCTCACGACTTATTTGCCACTCTTACAACGATCTTCCCCTTCGCTCGCCCTGTTCTCAGCTTCCTATACGCCTCTGGCGTATTCTCAAGCTCGAACATCTCATCGATCACCGGCTTGATCTTGCCCTTCACCACCAGATCTGCCAGACCCTGATAGTCATCGAAATTCGTCGACGCAAAAGCAAACGAGAATGGCCTCTGACCGCCTCCTAGCCAAGTAGGCACTATAAACCTGAAAGCCAGGTCGTATATGAACCCGAGGCTGACCTGTGACCCGATCTGAACATACTTTGCCCCAGGCTTGGTGAAATTCGGCGCTTTCCAGTACAGTTCCACCGGCTCGCCAACGCTGTCGAGGATGAAATCGAATTTCTTCTCACTCTTATCCAGCACACTTGTCACACTCTCCGCGCGATAATCAATAACCTCATCCGCCCCCAAATCCCTACACAACTGCACATTCGCCCCTACACACAAATTAGCACTTACCTCCCCCCCTCATCTCCAGAAGTAAGAAACTCACCAGAGCACGTCGTAACAACCTCGCACCCCAGCCCCTTCGCAATCTGCACTGCAAATGTCCCCGTCCCACCACTCCCTCCGTTAACCAACACCCTATCCCCCTTCTTGACGTTCTTAACAAGGCACTGATAAGTAACTAATCCGCACACGCCCAGCGTCGCGCCCTCTTCGAATGACACGCTGTCGGGTAAAGGTACGGTTCCGGCGGCTGAGCCGATGATGTACTCGCCCAGCGTGCCGTATTGTTGTTTGGGCTCCAGTTTGCCGAAGACACGTTGCCCAACTTTAAAGGATGATGCAGGGCCAGTTTTGGCGACGACACCGGAGTAGTCCAGCCCGGGGGTGGCGGGTTTGGGGATGGCCATGCGGCCCACGATGGGGAGCTCGGCGAGCTTGTAGTCCACAGGGTTCAGGGAGGCGGCGTGGACTTTAATGAGATATTCCCCTGGGCCCAATGGTCGACTTGGAAGTGGTGCTGAGGTGTTCAGTGTGAGTGCGTCTTCGAGGGTGGTGGTGCAGGTGCTCCATTGCCAGGCGCGCATTGTAGAGGGGGGATCTGTCGCTGTGGAGGTTGCCGTTGTTGTGGCCATGGTTGATGTGATCGTAACAGAGATGAATTAGAGGTCAATACAGCTGAAGGACTTGAGTTCTTTGAGCTCTATTTGTACGACCATACGTCTCTGGCGAATGCCGATGAAAGACGTTGTGCAGCCATGGCACGCAGCCTCCGGCTTGGTGATCCGGATCCCCACGCGGAGAGATGTTCAGCAGCAACTCCAAGTTGTCTATCCAGAAGTTCGTTCGTGTTGCATTGTCCTCATCTGGGCATACTCGTCGAGCCGCATAGTCGAAGTTCGTCAAAGTGGTAGTCACAGACGTGGCGGCGTAAGATGGTAGGGTTGAATGCGTCAGAGCGACGATCTGCTCAGGAGCTCATTCTTTACAACCGCAATGCACTCCTTGGCGACTGATCTTGTCGTATGATCTAAAAGACTTGTCATCCTCGTCTCTATACTTCAGACGACTCTACGACCTGTATGGTGCTTGCTGCCTGTTGCTTAAGGCAAAGGTGGCAGGTAGGTGCACTCTCGGAGTTCAGGCGCCCCACTTTTCAGCCTCGCTTAAAGATCTTCCCCGCTGCCGGCACCCCAAACTCAACGCCCCACGCCCACATCCAGGCTATAGACGACCTTCAGCATGCTGAGGATTACGCTCTGGCGTGTCTTCAAACTAGTAGTAGCGTTGGTTTGGTGCCTCTCAGTCGTCCTATCTATTGTCTGGCTAGCGCTGCCATTTCCTTCTGTTTCCGTCGAAGAGCGAGCAACATACATTCAGAACACTCTCGCAGCCGGAAAGCCGGTCGTTGCTGCGTGGGATGTAGAGCCATTTCAAAGAACAGACCAGCGTGCGCTCGATGCAGACTGGTGTTCTGACTGTACCTCTGTCCTGTTCCATTGGCAGTTTGCTCGTTTGTACAACAAAGTTCAGATACTTCTGGCACCACATGAATCATATTACCGCGACAGACCTTTCGAGCTGGCAGGACATTTCAACTTCGCGAGAGTATGGAATGAACGCGCTACTGGTCGCAACAATACCTGGTCTCCATACTTTGCGGATCTCTGGTCCGCATCTACCATGGTTCCCGCTGGACGAGAAGACGAGCACATCAGCCAGGGCTGGTTTCACGAGGTAGATCGTCACCTGATTCAACACACGTTTCATAAGTGGACAACCGATGTCGACATACGCGCAGTCATTCCAGGACCTGGCGTCGTGGAGTTCTGGAGAGGCGTAGCTATCGATCGCGCATTCGATCATGCATCTGATAGCTGGGCTGACCCATTGAATAAGAATGATATACTCCAGGATCATACCCGGACGCCTGTAGTTTACGAACAGATGAGACTTGATGAACATGACATTGACCTCGTTGCATCCTTCGAAGCAACCGAGAACGCCGATATCAAGGACATCGTAGTCCGAGAACTGAAGGGCTATCTGCCATCGCGAACCTGGCCCATTCGCCAAAAGCTGATACTTCAATTTCCTTGTTTCATTGTGGGACCTGTCATGCTGTTCAAAGCTGCGGACGACTTCCTCGCTTCTCGCTTTGCAGGCTCTCTTGTTACTTTGTTCGTCGTTCTGCCTATCTACATTGGAGTTGTCTGCTGTAACTGGGTATCCGCTGGATGCCCAAATGTTTTCACATGGGTCTCACGGTTCTGGATGACCAGGTTCCTGATACCAAAGCGCTGGCAGAAAGCGCCTAAGACTCAACGCTTCTGGGGTCCATCCGGGCCGATGAAATCAGATTTGGACAAGAGAAAGCTAGAGGAGAAGAAGGAGGCCGAGATGCCATGACGTGCAGCCAACCGAGATCGCGACACCAATCAGTGTCAACCCTATGGCCGAGTGCATCAATGTGCGACCAATGAGAGCCACCACTAGCTTGCGCTGCTAGATCAACTCCAGAGCCGCAGAGGATGTCGGCTGGATAGCGGACGCCAAGTATCATCACATGTGTAAGGGTTATGGTTGATGAAGACTGTGTTGTTTTATGAAGAAGGACCGGTTATATACATCAGAACAAGCCAAGCAGCAGCAGTCAGCAGTATACAGAGATCGTCCTGCATGTGACACCATATGGGTCGTATGAACTGGCATAACATATGACCTACAGGACGTTAACGAGTCCTCGAAAAGCCTTTACGGACAATTGGTATCTGCCTTAGGTTAAGAGGGTGGGTGTTATAGCGGCAGAAAAACGCTTATCTGCACATTTTTGAGCGCATACAAGGCTTGAGGGATCAAAGCACATCAAGCCGAAGACCAGGCTCCGAATTGTTGACATCTTTCGCATTGCGCCGCCACACGAAAAGTGCAATCTTGGCGTTTCTGCATCAAGCGTGCCACGCTTGTTCAAAGGGAACGTTATTGGAACTAGGCATCAGAGAACATGAGATAAATTGAATGATGTTATCTACGAGTGATTAGGTGCCTTCATATAGGCACCTAGTACACTTGTTGTGTCTAAGATAACAAGCAAGGCACAAAGAAATAATCTAATTAGACATGAGATGGTAGCTACCTGAAACCAACAAACGTTGTTGCCGACACAGCCTCGTATCCCCGCTTATTGCGCAGTCAGCCTTGCCGCCTTATCATCTGTCACAAAGCCTCTGTGACACGAGCTGTTGTCGTGTTGCTCACATGTAGATCACGGAAACGACCTCTTTTCGCAATGCCACCGGTTAGTCGGTTTCCCTCTTCAGCACTGCTTCTTCGCGTGCCACTGTAAAGGGTTGACATTCGCGAAAACCTTCTGTACTCACGAACTTATTTGCATTCCCTGATTTGCTGGGACAAAGCTCGGAGAAGTGTTCAATAACGTGTAGATGTTGAAGATAGTCTTCTGCGTGAAGGAAATGCGAGTGGATGTTGAATATGTGTAGCAATATGCTGGTTCAATAGTACATCAACACATATTGAGTTCCGGTCTGTTGGAGTTCGGTAAGCACAATCTGAGGGCTTTGGCTGTGGCCTTGGGTTGAGTTTCAGCAGGATCATCTGCTTTGGATTAAACCTCTTCGCCTACAGGCCAGCTGCATGTACGTTAGCCAATTGAACTGTTCCAGGTAGTTCCACACGGAGATGGTGCGTTCATGGCTGGAGGTACGGGCTTCCAGGTTGTTGGACGCCATTGGCGACGTATGCGTGCCGCCGGAGCCCCGTAAGCACTCGTGATTTTGAGAATGGTCAACACTCCAACAATTAAGATTGAATGCTAGGCAAGTGACTGGTCTGCTTTTCTCTCATCTCTTCCTCTATGTACATTGACTAACGAAAGAACATATCTCCCAAAGTGACGTTTCTCGTGGGGCGTGTCGGTAACTGCTTGTTTGTTTCCCTCCCAAGCAAAATCTCTCGCTTTGTAACTTCAACGAAGCCTCTTTTCCTTCGACCATCACTCTTTCGTACCTGGCGAGTCTTTTCCTCGTGGTCAAGACGTGGTCGTTCCTCGTCATCTGAGCGTTGCCTCTTGAAGGTGAAGAACTGAACCTCGATCTTTATCTTTTTCAAGTTTTGTATGTGTCGCTGCAATGACGGGCCGCCATACGCAGCCAGCAGGGACAAACCACCAACAACTGCAGTTACTGGAAGTGCGACCGCCCAAAAGAGCGTCTGTGTGCTAGCCATGTCTCGGACGTCGACAGTGTTCATCCCAAATACAGAGGAGACAAACGACAGAGGCAAAAACACAATCGTCACTAACGTGAAAATCAGGATAGCTTTCGAGTTGCCTTCCTCAGCAATGGCGATGTTGTGTCGAAGAGATTCGGCAAGCTTGTCAGCCTCTTTGTAGAGGGCTTGGATCTCTTTTTTCAACGCGGAATCGTAGGTTTTCAGGAATCCTTTGACCGACGGATTTTCAAGAGTTCTCCATGCTTCGATGCGAACCTGGTTTGTGATTCGAAAAGAATCACTATCGAGGACCTCTCCAAAAGCACGTATGGTATTCTTCTGCTGTTTTACCACGGAAACAACGACCTCCATCTCATCTTTCAATAGATAAACCTCGCGGAGGATGCGCTTCGTAGGCTTCCGACTGGCTTCATAACGCTGGTACAGAGTGGTCAGTTACGACGAGGGCTGTCCACAACCAGATTGACTTACTAAGCGCACCAGATGCTCTCGGTAGAGCTTGTCAATCTCGAGTCCTTCCAGTATGGGTCGAGTCATGAGACAGAAGAGTGACACAAGAACATTACTTTCTGGGGTAGTGCGAATGTGCAAGACGGGATCTCGACTCTCTCCGGTATGTGTCATAAGCATCAGTTCATCTCGGGCATTGGACATGGCGATATCAGCAATTTTGGCAAAGTATTCCGCACCAGTAACATCTGTTCGATCCGCCAATAAGGGTGGTAAAGTACTTGGGGCGGCGGGTGCGAGTCCTCGTTTATGCCATTCTTCAATACTGTACGCGGAGTAGTAGATGTACTGGAAGATCTTCTCGGCAGCCTTGACTAGAGCGGTCGGGAGCAGATATTTGTTACCTTTCCGATTGTCTTTGCCCGTCACGCTGCTTCGTATTTCGATTGCTTTGGAAAGCAGTTTCCTGGTGCATTGCTGGAGGACCTTGACGAACTCGAGTAGCCGCTCGTTGCTGCGTTCCATCCCCTGTACAGAAGATGAGACTAGCCAATGAGCAAGCTGTCCGTTTGCAGGTGCTCCGGTCTCTGTACGAAACTTCGTATGAGCTTGCCGTAGGTGGGCCAGTGCATCATCAACATCCGGGTAACGTTCCTCTCTACGACACGATCGACACTGTGCAATGGGTTTACTCAGTTGTGTAATCTGGTGGAAGTCCAGGTAGCCGTCACTTGGGACCTCCCTGACAATGTGTACGATGGTAGGGACGTTTGGATCTGACTCTTTTCGCTGGACCTCCTCGTTTTGCTCACGGACTTTGATGAGGACCTAATGGTGTAAACAAGATCAGCGCCCACACGACCCCGCGCTCCAATGCAGGATATTCGAGAAGAACAGGTAATCACATACCTTACTTATAGTCTCAACAGAACCCCAGCATCGCTGAATCAGTGCATGATCGAAGAATTCTGGCACAAACTGACTGATTAATTCCCGTAACGTCGAAACCAGAGCATCCCTCCTCATGCATAGTTTTGCCATTTGCCAGGGGATAACGCGTCGTTCTGAAAACTGTACATGATCGCGGCCTTGTGAGGCGATGGGCGTTTTCGGTGCAACCGCTACCTCAGGGTTTGCGTTTGTATCTGCTTTGGCTTGTTTTGATTGCAAAAACGCAAGCTCTTTCTGCAAATTTGTGAAACCGGTTCCAAGTTCGCGATTCATTGTGGACATCGGACTAAGATCGACTTCGCCGAACATTCTCTTTGGGCACGAGCTTCTGGGAATCTCCACGGTGGTACCACCCGACTTGTATATAATCAGATTGGAAGACGGCATCCTCCTCTGTCTGTACTGGTCGTCTTCTTTGCATATACGATCCTTGATCGCAAGAAGAGTAAGCTTGATCCGCAAGCTTTCATCAGCTTCAACACCGGAGGGTCTTTTACCAGCTTGCATTGAAGTTCCTTTAACGTCACGCTCCTCAAGAGTAGTCGGCCAAGCCAGGAAAGGTGGCACACGTAAATCCACATTGAATCGCTCGCTCACAAAATCTGGTGAGTCCTCCCGCTTCTTGGAACCGGAGCCAAATGTAGAACTCGGCTGTGGGTTCCCAGCATCGTTCTCTGTTGGCGGATGCACGTAGCTACGAGATTTCGACCTGGACTTCCTGCGCACAAAAGCATACTCTTTCTTGCCACGGCGATCGCGCCCATCTGCCTCAATGTACAAGCGTTCTCCCTGGTTCGAGCGCAGTCGACGTGTGTGCTCAAACAGAATGTCAGTCTCGTTTCGAGTCATCTCGCGTAGGATGATGATATAGTTAGGATCTACATCATACTCGTAGGGTATGTCGTAATAATGCAGAGTCTCGATATCGAGGTGTTCCCTGCGGATCTTTGCATACGTTGGAGCAGTCTTTATTGGCGTATCAACGGATTGGTTCTGCGATTTATCGGGATGTAGCATCGCTTGAATCTGGTTCTCTTGAAATCCGAATTGCGCAAGTCTTGTGCGCATTGCTTCTTCGTGGCGCTTCTGATACCGAGCCTCAACTTGGTCATCATTGTGTTTCAACGCTGCCCCAATCTCGTCTCTAATGACCTGTTTCAAATCTTGTTCCGTTGCGCTCCTTGGTGTTGACTCAATCGTTTGCTGGACATCGGATCCTTCGATCTTGTCCCGCTTATTGCGATAGCTGACACTGTCCTTATCCCTTGCAGGATCAGAAGACTCATCATGCTCGATTGGGATATGGCCGTCCCAATATCTGTCTGACTCAGATGCTGGAGATGCTGTGCGACCCGACATCTGTGGCGTATCGTAAGGATCCGCAATGAAGAAGTCAGATTGATCGTCAGGTAACTCATCCTCGCTGGCGCTGGCGGAAGATTCATAATCGTCCACTCTCGCTTGAAAAGATCTGTAGGCAGCTTGTCTGATGGAACTGAGGGGGTCGCTCCACCTCACAAGCGCCATCTCGTCCGGCGTAGCTCTCGGAGAGTTGGGAAATTTAGCGGGAGTAATACTAGATACATCGGAGTCTGCGCGTGCAGTCCCGGCTACAATGTCATCTTCATTGCCATCGGTGACGTGCACGAGGTTGTCGGAAGACGCACTTTGGTCATGTGAAGACAAGTCACTCTCCCACTCCTCATCCGATTGTACAGATTGGAAGCGGACTTGTTTGCCTATAGAGATCGGGAACGTGCGTTCATCCTCTTCAGAATCTTCATCGTAGTAATCCTCCTTGGGTTGGTCGCTCTCATAGCTTGGGCCTAAAGATGAATCATCACTAGTGTCGACCTTCTCCATCTCAGCGTCCGCTATTGTTGGACGTCTGAAGATTTTTGGCCGTCCACCAGTTAAAAAGACGGACTTGCTGTCTTCCAGAGACTGCTCTTTGTTGATAACATAACCCTCATCCTCAAGACGTACTCGACTGGAGCTGGCACCTTCCAATGGCTTTCCGAGTCGAGGGCTTGCCTTATTTCTAGGGGTGTTAACAAGGTCGCACTGCACGCATCGAGTGCGCAGGCAAAACTCACCGAAGTCCCCCGGTATACAAAGTCAGCTCCTTGCCTGTAACTGCTTCGTCGTCAGATCCAAGGTCTGTGTACTCAATCATTTTCTGCACGTCAGGCGCTTCGATGCGTGCTGTATCATCGCCTGGTGCCGTGATTGCTCGACTCTTGCGACTGATACGTATGTAAAGAAACGCTGTCTGCGTATTGTTCAGAAGCGAAGGCCATAGACTAGGATCGATGGCCGCTTCGCTGTCGCCCAGGTGGAGGGTGCACATATCGATGTGCTCTGCAATTTTTGAGAGACACTCTTCTTGAATTATCCGTCTGAGTTCGAGGTATGATTCGCACTGCTCAGGTGGCAAGACAGTGACACGCTTGTGAAAGTCCGTTACGTGGATCAGCTTTTGTGTCGTGCTAACAAGGCTAACCTCAGGAACAATCTCAAGCCAACTTGCAGTTTCCACAAGTGAGGTCGGACCGCATGTGATGATCGTAGTAGAGTTCAATATGAGTGCCCATAGTTGAGGTACTCGTAAATACTGCCCACTTCGAGTCTGTCTAAACTTGCGAAATTGTTGGCCGTCATCTCGATCCTTGGTAACTTCATGTGGATAGGAATGCTGAAACAGACTTCTGGTCAGATGGAGCAATTCGTCGTTAGGAGTCTCGAGTGAGTTTCCATGTCCCACATCAAAAAAGGGAAAGGAAACGAATGTGACGGACAGGTCCGGTTTGTGACGATGGTGACGATCCGTTCCATCGCATCTGACAACAGTACCGGGTTCAATGTAACTCCCGTAAGTGGAAGAACGTTCATAGTTATCTTTGATGTTGTTCAGTAGGTACATCACGACCGGAACCCAGTCGACATGATGTTCAAGAGCGATATTGATGGCATGTCTCTGGTAGTAGTTGTCAGTCTTTGCTAATCATCAGAGCCCACGAACCAAGCACCTTGAACTCCTCTAGAGAGATACACTCTGTTGCGAGATGCCTAGTACAATTTAGCGACGTTTGTTCTACTCTGGCGAACAGGTTCGCTTAACCTACAGCCAACGTTCATCGGATGAAGAGCGCCCGGAGTCGGGCGATCGCGTAATGACACGGATACTTGGCTCTTGACTATTGCCCGAATAATGCAAAATCGATGCCGCTATATCGAAGTCCTCTTGCGCTGGTCGGATGCCGTAATGAAAGTTCGAGGTTGTAGCCCGTCGGAGAAGACTTTGTGACTCAAGGCTGTCCAGATCAATTTCCAGTATATGGTCGGAATATCCATCATCATCGATGTCTGAGCCGGACCATACTGAGCTTGAAGACGACATAGTAGCGCATCAATTGCGGTGTTTGTTAGTTGGAACTGAAGGTGAGCGTCATGAACGCTGTGCTGAATGCGCACACGCGCCGTCTTACACTCAGCCTCCAAACGCTTGCAATACAGTGGCGTTGAGCAGCACATGTCATTGGCTGCCTGCATGTCCAAGAGCGGCTGTTTGTCGTACGGTGCGTGCTTCGTGTACACGCTAACAGGTATGTGCAGAGGTACGCGGGCCATTATCCAAATGAAGCAGTGGGGGCCAGTTTAGTCAGCTCTGTTTGTGCGTTCGCCACCTTTCACCCATGTCCATCATCCTCCACCTCTACGGTCATTGTATATTCCATTAGGATTAGAGTAAGTTTCAACTACCAGACGAAAATGTAGACGAAAATCTTGATAACATTCAGATGAGTCTCAAAACTAAGCGCTCCATTGTCTGATCTGCTCTCGCAGAAAGTTTACCCGAGCTTTAGGAAGGTGCAGCCGCCACACAGGTGAACGGCTCCTGCACAAAACGGCGACCGACATCTACATGGACTTCAGACAAGCGCTATGTACCTCGATTCTGGGGGACTATTCCATCATCATTACTTCCCGGAGGAAGTCAGCGTGTCACGATAAACTGGGTCCGAAACGAGCATAGAATGTATCATTTACAGAAAGAGTAGGAAAGTCCCGATGACATTCACCTCAGGGACTTCTTAAAGCAGCCGTCGCAGCATGTATACCTCCAGCTTCCTTCTCCGCCTCCAAAGCTTTCTTGGCTTTCCGTTTGCGCCTGTCTCTAGCAGCACCAACGAGTTTCCTCCAGTCCGTCGCAGCAGCGAAGCACCGAATCTTGTTCTCTGCCCAGTCAGCCTTGCTCGTACCACTAGCAACAACTAGTTCAACCTTCGTGGAAGCATGTAAATCACGAGCATCATCCCAATGGGCTGCCTCATTAGCGTCCCTGCCATCGTATATCAGGCGCATGACGTTACAAATCTCTTGCATCGAGATTTGCATCTTGTACTGCGCCATCGCCTGTTGAACGGAAGCTGCAACAATGTAGTCAGCATGAATATGGAAGCCGCGAGGTATGTGACTAAAATGCTTCAGTGCTTGGGATCGTATACGACGTGCAACTGTCGCAATTTTGTCTTTGTCGAAACGGCGATCCCTTCGATACATGCGTGGCACACTCTTGACGAAATCCTCGATCTTTGCAGCGGCAGCAAGGTTGCCAATGATGCGGCGTGCCTCTCCTAAGTCGCGGCCGATATCGGGATCTTCTGGTGCGTCGATGAGTTTGGCGACGAGAGCATAGTTCTTCTTCATGTGGAAGCTGCTCGGCGAAAACGCGATCGTAAGGGCGATTGCAGCCACTATCCTCATGCCAGCGTACAGGAGGCTATGGTGGTTTACCAAGACAGCTTTACAATTTGTGCCGGCTTCACCATGAACTGAGTCCGCATGACCCTCGGAGACGCATATCTTGGCGATGCACTGCTTCATCGTTTTTCCTGTTGCCACGCTCACACTCGAATCACTGCTACTATTGTAGCGTCTCGTGGCAGCAAGATGAAGTTGTGCGGGTCGATGTGTGCTGGCTCTGCGTGGCAGACTCCAGAGATGGATGCATATTCAAGTGCATCCGCTACTTCAGCTTCAGCGTCCATGAAAGTTGGAAGAAGGAGACCGTGCCAACGGTGTGGTAGCTGCTTTCGCTTGCGAGCAAACTCGAGGCGAGCGCAGAATACACACGCTATGGGGGCGTTTCCCGCATTGTGTAAGCTAGTTAGACAGTTCGAGTCACAGAGGGTCTCCACCTTGGTGTAAACCATGCGTCCATAGTCTAGCTTGTGAATGGCTGAGAAGCTATTCCGGCAACCGCAATGCTCGTTCTCAGCGAGCAGGTTGTGGCCATGGGTTGCAGGTGGTAGGATGTTACACCAGGCAGCTCTTGGAAAGCCGTTGTAGAGATCTGGATCAAGCTCCAGTACTCGCGGTTCTTGTTCCTTTGGACAAACAAGCGGTTTGCGTACGGCGTGAGAGATACAAAAGTACGATGGATGCTCATCACTCAGATCAAGACCTGATATACCTCCATTTCATCTTCGAGGCTGAAGAATAATAGCCAAAGCTCCGCCGAAGATGAGCCAAATGTCAGACTATCTTCGTGATGGTGAGCATCAGCCTGACACTGGATCCAGCTTTTCTTCCTCGGACCCAGAACCTGATATTTCACTGCCCGATGCTGTAGAGCTCGAACCATACATTAGAGGTGCCATCCTTCAGGTGTATAAAGCAGCTCCGTTGTCAATCTTTCGCCCATCCACTCCCCACCTTCCTTGCGAAAAGGCGTGGTCAATTGCATCCTGCTGTATCGGGGGTCGTTCAATCCGCCGCACATCGGCCACAGAACCTTGTTGACCCACGCATTCCTTCGCAACGCTCTTCCGAATCTCTTAGCATCTTTCATCATACCTGCAGCTGTACAGGTTATGGAGGATAAGTTGCGCGGCGAGATGGAGCAGCACAAATCCGCTGCTATGGTGCTATCGCTAGCGGAACGCGCGAACCTCTGGCTGGTCGACTTGTCAATGCAGTAGGCGTGGGTGCATACCTCCAAGCGTCAATTTAAGAAGATGAGATCCGCACTGATTGAAGCAACGAGGCGAGATGGGTTTGAGCTTGAGTTTGACATCCTAGCAGGTGGCGAGAACGCATTGAACTTCGCAGAGGAAAGTGAATATGCTGACGATCAGGTTCGTAACATCGTTTTCAGCGACACAATGCGGATAGTCAATGTCTTCGACGAAGATGGAAAGCCCAAGGTAGTACGAGGTTTTGGCGAGTGAAGCGTGGCCAAGAAGGTGATAAGCGGCTCATCTCAAAGATCAAGCAGGGCCTGCTTCGTGCTTCCGGAATTTTTACTCTGCTTTACCCAGAGGATGCTCACATATCCACTGGTCGCATACCGGACCTGGAGCACTTACGGAAGAAGCTGTGCTGCACTCATCTCTTGCCTCACCGCTAGTGGATCGTCTTGGTCTGCCATAACATCAATGGCAGTCTGAAAGCATCATTACTGTATATCCCCGCCCGCAAGGTTGCAGGTACCAGTAATGGGCTGGAGGTGAGTTCATGTCGGAGTGTGGATCGTGAGTGATCAGTACGCATGTGCGGAAATATTGAAGGATTGAACTGAGGTTGTATTGGGTGAAGCTACGGACAGTACGTATATGTGAGTAGCTGTAAACAACGCTAGTGTGACGTGGCAGTCACTCTCATGGCAAGTGAGGTTCGACAGGCAGGAGCACCCTGAACCGTGACAGTTCAACACAGGTGCATCGACTCATTCGGGAGACTCCACACGGCCAGTGCTTGAACGCGATTGAGGCATGGTGCTCAATACAAATTTATTGTTGTACCTGATACACGGTGATGGAAGGATGGGGTAGGATATTGATGGCGTTCAATTGATAGATGCCGAGGTGTAGCAGTACAAAACGCACGTTCACGTGGGAGGAGTTGTTTGTTGTGGACCCGCTATGGTATGAGGTCATTGTGATGGATGCAGAAGGAACGCGTGTTGCTTGTACACAAGAGGAAATAGACAATATTAGAGAAGCACAGGTTGCCTATAGCTTGAACATGAGCGAAAGGTGATGTTGGTGCGGAAGGCCTTGGGGGGTTGACAGGTTGGCACTAGCCGCTTTTGGCACGAGAGCAGGAGCAACAGGAGCAACAGGAGCTACAGGAACAGACAGAAAGAACATACTCACTAGAACAATATTGTCAACTTGTAGCCCGCTGAGGACGTGCTTCCTGCTTTCTAGGTGGCTGAATTTCTGAGCCGCTTCGGTGACCTTCTCATGACGAGGGCGTTCGAAGCAAGGGTTTTGGCGAGATTGACGTCATAGCGGTTGAGCTCCTCTTAACTCAAGAGCTGAGCTCCAGATCGAACCACATCACAACAACACAAGCTCCCCACGCACTCAATTGCACCACCAGACACCTTTCCATCTTCAATTACATTACCCACACATCACAAATCACAATGGGTTGGTTCAGCAGCAGCGACGAGAAGAGCGCCCTCAAGGCAAACCCCGTCAACCCCGACGTCACCACATCACGTCTCTCCGGCGCCGAGCAAGACCGCTACGGCGAGCACTTCTCTCAGATCGGACACCAAGCTGGAGAGAAAATCCGCGAGGGCATCCACGACATTACTCACGCCCGGGGCAGCGCCGCCGAGCAGGACCGCTACGGCCAGCACCTTGCTCCAGGCCAGTCCGGCTACAACGCAGTAAAGAACGAGGCACAGTACGGGTACAACAAGGCGAAGGCGGAGGCACAGTCTGGCTATGACCAGGCCAAGTCATATGCAAACAGGGCTCTGCATGCCAAGGGCGACGGTGCTGAGCAGGACCGCTACGGCGCCCACTTCGGCGGTCTCTTCGACCCCGTCAGGGCGGCGGCTCTGAGCATCGTCAGCTCGGGAGGTGACACCAGCAAAGCCAACTACCACTGGCTGGGCCACGATGGTCGTGAGAGGGCCAAGTTCCTGGCTGCGCAGAAGGGCACAACAGGATCTGAGCAGGTACACAAAGCAAGAACCTCCGCTGCTGCCATAGTCTAACACTGCATAGGATCGTTACGGCGCCCATTTCACTGGCTTCGGCCAGGCCGCTGCTCAGTCTATTAAGGACGAGTGGAACAAGCTGAGGAAGTAGATTGGCGACTATACCGTTGAGAGATCATAACGTTCTGCAAAAGACTGAGACGACTACGACTATGTACAACAATAACATTGTTTGATGACACCAGAGCGCTTTACCTTAAGTGATAATCACAATCAGTGATGATGTATTCTATGTTGACTGGGTGAGCGTAGGAGCTTCTCGCAGACTCCAGCCTGGCTTGCTTCGAGCGACCCCTCACCAGCATTTCCACATGACAAGTAGCAAGGCGCCCTTGCCCAGACGACGACCAAGTGACTTTTGTCTCCCAACTCCTATGTCACCTTCCTCGCTATTGTTACAACTCTCCGTTCGACCCGCGGGTCCAAGCAGACGACCCATGAAATTGCGCCGCTTACGGAAAGGCTTCGATCGAGACTGGTGTTCTGTTTGATCTGGTTCATCGGGAGCGGCAAGCAAGACTTGTTCTGCCGGCATTCGGTTGCCGAGTTCGACTTGGTGCTCACTGGTGAAAGAGGTGGTCTTCCCAGGAGTGTCGATAGCTTGTGTAACAGGCGCAACTACTTGAGCTGGCATATGTGACGTTTCGTCACACTTGTCGGCGTGCAGACTGTCTGTGTTGGCCTGAGCTCCCTCGATCGTTGGCATATCGTCAATTTGTTGTACAACATGCCCATCTGCAGAGCCTGTTGGTATATACACGGAAGCAGGAAGCAGTGGCAGATGTTCCTCACTCGAGCTCTGCTCGTTTTGGAGTTGAAACTCGATGGCTGGCGTATCGTCCGAGGCCTGCTCAGCACCGCCTGGCTGAAGCCCCAGTAGCGTACATATGGATACGGAAAAAGGCAGTGGACCTGGTCCAGTCAGGCTCTGGTGGCTTCCGTACTTTCCAGCTTGGACATGAACATCCCACATGACATGTGGTCCTGCAGTCACCGGCACACTTTCAGACTCTCGGGCAGCACCATCGTGCAACATGGCTGGAGGTACATACACTGAGGCAGGAAGCAGCAGCAGCAGCTGTTTCTCTTCCTCACTCGAGCTGTCATCATGCTTCTCAACTCGAAACTTGAAGCTGTGCGGAATGGGCTGGGGCTCGCAGTCACCAAGGTCGACCAGGTCTTGTGTCGAGCTCTGGGTTGAGTCATCTGAGCTGGACTTGTACTGCGCGGAAGGAGCATACTCCGACTTCGAAGCGAAGCGCACATGCTTTCTGCTGGAGATGGGTGGTGGTGGCTTTGTCGCAACATACACGTACGCGAAGTCGATGATACTGACACCATGTTCATGGCCCGCTAATTTCTGGTATGATGAGTTCTGGTCATTTTCGACCTCTACCCGATTCTCGGCAGTACCTTCTTTGCCCAAAGTAGACCGGACATCGTACGAATCCTCGGGTTTCGAGCTTGAACGGATGGTATATTCGCCAGTGCACACAGTCGGTTGAAGCACCTCTGCATCAGTTGACCGCAAAAATTCATCCGCCGACGCTGAAGGCGGTGTTTGTAGAGATAGCTCAGATGCTGGATTGAAGGTGAACGCCGGTAACACGTAATCTTCAACTGGAGGGCTAGTCTCGACATCTTTGAGCTGTTCAGAAGCAGGAGGCACAATAGGCACAAAGGTCGACATGATGGATCTGCTCCTTCGATGCCTTCGAGTGGGCTCTGCCCCAATTTGACTACCACCATGGTTTGACGGTCGCTCAAAACGCTGCCTGAGTTGAGCGACTGTCTTCTCGCCTGACTTCGGACTGTGTGTCATGGAACTGGCACTTCGATTGTGCGACTTCAACGAAGCCTGGGTTTCCTCGATGTTGGTAGCTGGGTTGGGATTGCTGAGAACTTCCTTGCCAATTGAAATAGAAGACGGAAGATCAGTTGCGGAGTTCAACTGTATTGAAAGTTCTGCGTGATGTATTGGATGCTGCTGGCTTCGCGCACGAACTCGCAGTTTCGGAGCACTGCTTGCGCCCGAATTTGGCAGTACCAAGGATTTGCGACGACGGCGGACTCGATAACGTACTGGTACGCTGGTGAGGATCAATGGTATGAGTTCAACCATCTTCAAGAACTTCAACTAGTGGAAAAAAAGACTTTAGGCGGAAGTGCAATAGTAGAGGGTGTGGTATCAGTTCTGTCCAGTGAACGAAGCAGGGATGCTGACAACGTCGAGCCTGCACAAAGGAAGTGAAAACAAGCACCTGTCCTTCGAGAAACCTGACTATGTCACCAGGTCACTAGGCTGCGTAGTCCACGGACCTTCAGAGCCTTTCACTGTTCACCGTACGGATAGTCTTCCCTGGGTCACTCGGCTATAACTCTTAAACATATCCTGTAGCTTGCGCTTTCCGGTCACAACCAAGCTTGAAGCTCATCATCACAATGCCATACAACAGCTGTACACCAATCCCTGTGGGTGCTCAGCCGACACACCCTCTCCGTCAAATGCGTTCAGAGGGTCAGTTAAAAGCCACACCAGAACGAACACTGCATCGTCTGCGATCAATAGAGCAGCTTTCCAAACCACCAGACTGGCCTCTTCCACCAGTTCCCCCACGCTCTCCATTACTTCTATTAGATCGAACTCGTGAAGTCTTGGGTATAACGGCCCTAAGTAACCACACCGCAGATAAGCACTCTCGATCTGCTACCTCCAACAGCAGCTCATCTTCCAGCTCATGCGACAGCAGAGTCGATGAAGCAGACGCCAATCGTCACTCGGGTCACAACACCATGCTTATCCAAGATGAACCGAACGAAAAGAAGATCGAGTTCACCCCCCGTGGCACCTCTAAGCAAGCACCCAATCTAGATGGTTTGAGACAAATATTGCACCTGAGGGGCCGTCTACAGGAGATGGGAACCACATTTACAGCAGAAGGCGAAATGCAGACCTACGGCAATCCACCTCTGAACGCGGATCTCGAGCAGATGCTTCGTCTTGGCTCGATATACGACGAGCAATGGAACATGTTCTTCGACGGCAGCAACGCTCCTGAAGTAGAGAGCAATCTCTGGCCAGATCTGAAAGTTCTCAAAAATATGTTGCAGAACGATGGCGTCCTCTTCGATGACCAACACAAGCGCCTCAACTACGGCACTTCACATCCAAAACTCATCCGACTGAGCGACCAGTATGATCTACTTCGCGAGGAGTGGATTGAAAAGACTATTCGGGACATACACCCTGCGGAACGTCCGCAACGACCGTGTCCAACGCGGGAAGAAGTGCCGAAGGCTCCGACGAACCTGGGTTGGTCGTTCCTTCTCGACAATGACGGAGAAGATGAACTTATTCGGAAGAAGAGCCTTCGCTCAAGCCGTCTCACCGTTACCGTCGATGAACAGCTTAGCATTCGAAATGGAACGGCCCCGACTGTTCAAGACGCATACACAGCGCTCTCTTCACCACCGATCACACCCGAGTCCTCAACCAACGCTCGTGGCATCACTCCAATACTAGCGTTCGATACAACGGCTCTGACGCGTCCACGTGGACCTACGATCGGTGCGTCGACACTCCTGCACGGCCCGAGCCCCCTTCAAGCTGCAGAGACAGCGAGGATGCTGCTGAGGGATGCGGCGTCTGAGACACGTACTATCAGCACGATGAGCGAGGTAGACGCAGTGAAACGGTATCATGAGCAGAATCAGCATGAGCATGCTGGAGTATTGGCACCGTTGGTGGAAGATGAGCGTCGACGTGCAGAAGAGCGGCAGCGTGCTGAAGAACCGGTTGTTCGCGAGGGAAAGAAAAAGACTAAGAAGAGCAAGGGTGTGCGGAAGTGGCTGCGGGCCGTTCTGGGACGGCGGAAGGAAGGAGAACAATGAGGTGGCAGAGTATCGATTTCGTTGAAGACTTCGGGACGACGCACAATGCTTGTTGTGCGCCGGAGACGGGAGAGACATCCTTTGATCCAGTTTGGAATATGGCGGCTGCCCGGGTACCTCCAGGTATGTATATGTGAGTAGCTGTAACCAACGCTAGTGTGACGTGGCAGTCACTCTCATGGCAGGTGAGGTTCGACAGGCAGGAGCACCCTAACCGTGACACACCCTAAACCGTGACATTATGGGAGCAAGTTGTTCCAGACGGAAGTATATCATAGGACTGCTATCGAGATGTCCTGTTATGCCGCCAGTAAAGGTAGTGGCTAGTCGGTGGAGGGCTTGTTGAGTCAAAAGGCTGTGTACTTCTAGGAGCCACTGGGTCGTTCGATTCTGCGAGAAGCCTCCTAAACCATCTCTTGGCAACAGCGTCTTCGTTGAGGAAGGTATGAACCAAGTCGCTTTGCCCATCTGATCGCTCGTAATTATAGTGGTACCAAACAAAACTCTGGGTATACCCAAGACACCTTGTGCTGTGAGACCGATACTGTCCACCTCCAACTCGCTTGATGGAAACTCGCTTGATGGAAAGTCCCCAGTCTTAAACATAGCCTAGTACATAGATTGCCAGTAAGCCCCATCACTCAATTGAGAGAGTAATGATGGTACATCCCATCTTGGTACCCAAGAGGGAAATCGATCATCGTGTATGATTTCGCGCACTAGCGAAAGAACGCTAAGGTCTCCCCTTGCTCAATCGTTTCCTGGACGAAGTCTCGGTACACACGCTCATAGGGTTTGCTATAGTCGACTACCAGCGAGATTGACCGGGCGCACAATTCTGATAGCCCCAGTAGACTGTAGATTCTTTTTATCTTCAGTAGGGTTTCGGCTCGTCCTTACTTTCACGAACTAACGTCCGTCCAAGCGTGCCGGGACGCACGGTGTAAGGGGACGGGTTCGCACTTCGGAGCTTTGCCAACCTTTATTTGCAAGTACACAGACCTGTGGTTAACATGTTAACGTTCTGCAGCCATTTCTCCCTAAGTGCATCGGCCTTCTATCAGGGTCGCGGCAATATCGGTCATGCTGTTGATCATTTCGTGAACGCCGTCAATCGACCTTTTGTCGTTACTCGTCCTGTCTCTTCGCGACCACAAGCGTCTCTGTAGGTATCGGAGGGTCTGGTGCAAAGTGCAAAATAGCTGTGGCACAGGCTGGCGGCTCCCTGGATGCTTTCGTGACTATGTGCTCGACATTTGCTATCTGCGCCCGTCAATATTTGCACCTCTCAACCCTTCTAGATACCCTTTTGTGTCAAGCACAATACCTTAGATAGCGAGAACTTGATTCTCAAGATCCACACAAAGGCACAACATAGTAACAGCCATTCTTTAGGGATTCCTCAAGCTTCTATGCAGCAAAATGCAACCTCTATGCTTGTGTGTATTCCCGTCCGCTTATGTGAAACAGAGATGCAGAAGGGCTAAGATATAGTAGAGAAGAACCAGCCCTTATTTTTGCTTTGCTACGAATGGATATGAGCATCTGCAAGACCAATACTGCAAAGCCACACTCTGCCAGACCTAACGCCCATACCAACCGTGGTCCCGCACACCGTCGAGTACGACGATCGATACTCTGATGGTATCCATAGAATCTTCCTGCCGTCATGCTTGATCCATGCGTTATCTGAGCTAAGACTTGTGCCCGGACGCAAAGGGCGCTCAAGTTGCGCGACAGCTGGCTTGCTAGAAGTTCCTGAGCTGTGTATGGCAATAGTACCGATCTCAGTATAGAGAAAAGAGCTGGTGGAGTCGAAGGATAGGTTGTGAAACGTCTTGCGGATGTTGAGCGTCTGCAAGCACTCGCCGCTGCTCGCATCCCACAGCTTGACGGTCTTATCGTCTGACGCCGACGCCAGCATGGTCGAGTCGTGCGAGAAGGCTACAGACTTGACACCACTGCTATGGCCTTCGAGCGTCTGCAAGCAGGCACTCCAGCCGCTGCTCATCGCTGGCTTGACTGTGACTCCTTTTGGCTCTTCATGCTGGAACAACCTTCTGATTGCGCTTCCTGTCGGACTAAACAACAGCGCAGATGCATACGTTTGCAGAGGGTAGCTCTCGATTGCCCCTTTGTGGTACATAATAAATCGGCACGCATCCTGGACAAGCCCAGTAAGCTCGTCCGTGCCTTGCATCTCCTGGCTGTGTTAGCAAGTATATCATATACATTGTGTAAAAATGTTGTCTGTGCATACCGTACCTGGACCAGAGAGCATAGTTTCGCCATTAAAACTACACCTTTTGCCATGCTCTTGCACAGACTGAGGCCTTCTAGCCAGTAGAGATACTTCTTCATCATAAACTCCTCGATGACGCCTGTGACCTGCAGATCACTGACACCGCTTGTCCAAGACTTGGGTTTTGAGTCGTACATATGGTCGACCCAGTAGACGCAGGAGTAGCGCACAGTCGCTAGCGGATCAGAATCGGGTATTTCAGCCTCATCGATCGAGAAGCCTAGCTCAACTAGATTATACATATCGCGTTTTAGTGTGCTGGACATAAGCTTGAGTGACTGAGCGAACAGTTCATAGTGCATCTCAAACCGAGATGGAAGGGCTGCAGCTCGCATCTTGTCGCTTAGATAGTCCTTGGCTGACTGGTGAACGAGGTAGACTTGCTCATCACGAATCGTGAGGAATGAACCACACAGGGCTACAATCTTTCTGACAGTCTCCGGCAACACCGTAGCCCGACCTGCCAATCTGCGCAAGCTGCCCATCTCAGCAAGGTAAAGCGGACGGTATGCGACCGCCGCAGTGCAGAGTAGAGACCGACAGATATCCGCATTCCTTTTCGACAGCCGCTGGATCTGGTTCATCATGCGATCGTACAGCTGGTGTAAGCCTGCTGGCGCTTCTTCTACTACCGCAAGAGGGTCCCAGCTCTCCGGCTTCTCAAGCTCTTGCATCATCAGAGCAACCCAAAGAAAGGTGCCGTTCGCCTTACGGCGTAGCTCATCTCGCAACTGCCGTCGCAGATCATCCCCTCCGAGCCACTCGAGACAAGATAGCTTGTGGTCGATATACACATCCACAGCTCGAACTACCTGCTCCGCGTTCTGCTTCAGCTCCAGGTTCAGCTTTGCTTCATCGCCGACCGACTTAAGCTTCCGCTCGATGTGACCCTCGTTCCGACTCGACACAAGCCACTTTACACGAGGTGACGACGCTGTGGTACGAACAATCAGGTCTAGGAGCTTGGGCAGGTCCACCACGCATTCATCGAGAGCATCAACAACTAGACAGCTTGTCTTCAAGCCCTCATCCTGCATCATGCTTGTAAAGACTTCGGACAGGGCTACCCAGGCGTTGGCATCTTGGAAGAGAGAGCCACCCGCTTGTTCATATCTCTTCCGCAGGTGTGATGTCAGCCACGGTTGCTGCCTGACGAGCAGGTAGATTAAGCCGCGCAACACAGCGGTGGCGCTGTTGATGCGAGAGTCGGTACTTTGGCAGAAGAAGAAAGAGAGAAGATCGTTTGTCGATTTCTTCAACTCGTCAACAATCCCGCAGAGCAGCATCGTCTTACCTTTGCCAGCATCGCCTTTGATCCACAGCAGTCGGCTGTGCCGGTCCTGTTGCCATTGCTGGAAAGTGGCGTTGTCGAGAACCCAGCGGTAGGAGCCAGCTAGCAGTCCGCCTTTGATCTCCTCAATGCGCTTCTTGTCGTCATGCGGATCTGTGCTGCGTATGTCTTGGACGCATCTTTCCATCTTGTAGATCTCGTCCATAAGGCGCCTGAAGGCACCGGCTGCACCTTCGCCATACACCGGCGCTATCTCGACGTTGAAAATGCCTAGCAGCGAGTACGCTCCGTCTTCTTCGTGTTTGGTCACCCGGCCTTCTTTCCACCGCAACCGTTCGTTGACACTGAACTGAGAGAGAGGAGCTCCGTCGAGCGCTTCGTGTGAGATGCTAGTGATTTTGTGGATTAATGGCTTTAGTGATGCCTTGTCCCCAAGCCTCTCCCATTCTTGAGAGAAAAATTCAACTGTCTTGGGGGCAAGAAGCTCTTGAAGCGTCCAGCCACGCGTGAACCATTGGCTTGACCTGAAAGCAGGCTTCCAAGTGGGCTCGGTAAGCATATCACCAAATTTCCTCTTCTTTGTTGATACGTCTGGCAGGTACACATAGCATTTCGCCGCGTTCTGATACCAGCGAAACATGGATCGGATGGCCTGGGAGAGCTCAGCCTTGTCTGTCTTATCGATGCAGCACGTGTCGACCCAGAAGTATTGTAAGTCATCTTGCTGTGCTTGTCCTCCGCAGAAGCGAATCTTTTCGTAGCCGCGCTTAGCCTTGCCATCGCCTCTCACAAGATCTGCAAAAGTCACCTCCTCCACATCTGCTCCCCACACGTGTGAAAGTATCGCATAGGGAAGTACCGCGTTATCGTTGAAGCTGAGGATATTGAGCTCGCCATCCTCCTCGTACTTCAAAAGACGCATCGATTCTTGTAGGCCTATGGTAGGCGCATACGGTGGGAACGAGATACAAGAGGCTCGACGCGGCAGATTGGTAGGATGAGATTGTAGCAACCGGCTTAACCGTTTACTCCAAAGATCAGTATATAGAGAAGAGAACGAATGCTTGTAAAGCTGTGGGTAGCTGTATGGTAGACCAGCAATCTGAGTCTTTCAGGCTGAAGCTGATGTCCTGCGCCATGCTCTTGGTTCTGTAAGGATGTTTGGACGGGCTCAGGGCGGGGCAGGCGCGGCTTGCCTGCTGATTGTGCCTATGCGGAGGCGCAGCAAGGCCCCGACAGGTCAGGCTTTCGCGATAACCACGCCCCGTTGCGATACACTCTCCATCATTCGACACTACACACTTGACTGACCCTAGTCATTACAGTTATGAGACGGACGATCGTGGACGGCGAAGAGCGCGTTGAGGCGTCTTCAGGCGCTGGCGAGGCTGAGCGTTCGGTCGAGAAGGATTCGAGAAAGCCACTAGCATACGCCATAGCTATCCCTCAAGAGTCAGTCCGCTGTAGGTATAGCGTTGATTTCGTTACGATATCATACATCTGGGCACGCTACTGCAGACCACTGCACGCCAAGAGAAACTAGTTCATCCCGACGCGTTGAACGCTTTTCACGGTCATCGCTCTCAACCGGCGAAGTTGCCGGACTGCATACATAGCAGCTTAAAGTGGCCTTTAGAGCTTAAACACTCAATCTTCCTCGGCCCTACCTTCTACCAGGCCTTCCGAAATTGGAAAAAACTGTTACAGTCGTGAACAGACAGGGAGGTATCAACGAATGGTTGATTGACGGCGTTGACGAAACGATCGACAGCAAGGCCAGCATCGCGGCAGTCCTTGCCGGAAACTGACGTACTTATAGAGAAGTGGCAGCAGAACGTTAATACAAAATTACACCGTGCGTCCCGGCAAGCTTAGACGGACGTTAATGGAGATTGCCCAGCAGTAATTCATAGCTCCGCACACCAATACCTAGGTACTACTCCGGCAACACAGCAATCAAAAGCTAACAGATTCGTATCAAAAGCACTTTAGCTTTCTCACGAGTACAGGATTGTACGTCTATAGTGGTGGCACTCCAATATCCACGACAAAGTACTTGTTGGATGCTGAATATCTGGGCTCGCTTCCTGAATTGATCAAACTCTGTAGTGTTCGAAGGCGAGAAGAGCTTGACATTGCTTGAGACGGTTGAATGAATATATAAGGCGAATAGGACCTGTGCATCGTTGCCGAAAGCCATCATACCCAGACGAGAGTTTGGTCCCTTGTACAAGTCTACAGTACTCAAGTTCCACTAGTCAGAGCCCGATTGAATAGTATTGGACCACAAAGGGTCGTCAGTTTGGAGAGCTGTCGTCGAGGCGTTGTACATTGCTTGATACGCATAGACCGGCGCGTTGTATACCGTTTCATTGGCAAGCAGCTGACTCCGTAGGCTTGTGAGATACGCCATCGTGGGCATATCGAGCACTGATGCAGTATCGTTACTAAGTAATAAAGCGTTGTGATACACAATGGGGAAGTCTTCTGTCCGTGGATAAGTCGCTTTTCCCGATGACACAGCAAGCCGATACGCTGCAATGGATTTTATTCTTGAGAATGACAAGTCGTTCTCCCAATTTTCGCTCCCGGATGCTGGAAAATTGATTCCATAACTCCCGAGAAGATCGAAAGCAAAATGGCCGCTTGCAATGCCTTCAAGGAATCTCTTGTATGCAATCGATAACCCCAGAGGAAGTATGAGCAAGCCAAGAAGAAGAATTCGCCAAGGCGTCCAACATCTGACGCTACGAATTTTCCTGATAAGATAACTTCAAAGTTCTGGAGTCCAGATCGTCCGAAATGTGCTTATAGTAAGGAAAAGGTGAAGGGCAGAATGGTTTGTAGGCAGACATTCATGATACCAAGCAGAAAGCCAAGGACAGTTATCTGCCCTGAGAACCGTAGACGCCATGCAAGGCCAAGGGACAGAGTAATTGTAACAATCCCAAGAACAAAACAGACGAGTGACACAAGGACAACTGCTAAATGAGTGTACGAGTAATATTTCCTCGTTTCCGGCAGACCAAGTGCAGAGGGCGCTTCGATTCTGGCAGTAACTGATCTTCGCGCTGAATCAAAGATGTCAAGGACGTCAATTCGGGTTTGGGTGGATTGCGTGCGGAGTTGTTCATGTCCATCTTGGGTTCTTCGTGCTAAGAAAGTCCGGCTGAGAGATGCCTTTCAAACCTGAGGTGGTGCTGTGCGACATTCGAAAAGATGACTTCCTGGAGTCGTGGGACATTTGCATGCACACGCCCTGATGATGACCCTTGCACTTGTTGGGGCCCCAACTACGCCGGATAGATCGTTCACCCTGTCAATACAGGGTGTGCGATGAGAGGCTTACATAATGGCCTGTCCCTGATAAACAAAATTGCCAGGCTGCATGCCCCGCACGCTCAGCCCCGTATTGCGTCAAGTGCGTGCAACATCGGTCAGTTTATACCCACAAGAGCAGATGGCGAGGTATCATTCAAGCGGGAAGATGAAGCAGGACAGAAATCTGGGCAAAGTGTGAAAGATGTAATACAAGAATGTGTCGTCGAGGATTGATGTTGAGGTTGATCTAAAATATGTACAGATGAATGACTACGCAATGGTAGTGTAATCCCAAACGCCAGATCGCTAATGCAAAAAGCCAAAACTCGATCGCTCAAGCACGATGCTCAAGCACCAATAGCCTGAGGGTTCCAGAACACATTGTTAGGATCGACCTTCTTCTTCAGCGTCAACAGCTTAGCATACAGCGCATCGCCGTAGTACAGCTTATGCGCAGTTGCAGCATCGTAGCTAGGATCGACGTAGTTCAAGTACGCGCCAAAGCTGGTCTGAGGCTGCGCCTTGATGATAGCGTCATTGAGGCCGTTGATAAAGTTTGTCGATGAGGTGGTGTAGCCGTAGTTCTGGAAGACCCACAGGCTGTCGCGGTCGTTGTACGCCGCGAATGTAGTATCCTTGGAGTTGATGGCTGAGCCGGGACCGCCGTACAGGTTGACGATGGTGAAGTACTCGGTTGAAGTGCCCTTGATGTAGTCGAACCAAGCATTCAGGGCGCTCGCGGTGAGCCCAATGGACTCGGGAACAGTGATGGACTTGGCGAAGAAGTTCTCATGCTCGTCATAGCCGGTCAAGGGCTCCTTGATCTGCGTCTTGCCAGATACGAGGACCAGATAATCATACCAGCTGTACGCCTTGACAGTCGGGGAGGTAGAAGCCGGCAGAGTACGGAGGAGCTCAGGCTTGACCTTGGTGTTGAACTCGTCAACGCTGCCGAAGTAAGCACCGCTCAGGCTGAATGTGCCATAGTTGTCAATGTATACTCCGAACGAGATTTTGTCGTCGACGACCGAAGCGTTCTTGGCAAAGTCCTGAAGGTGGAGCCATGCGTTGGTGAAGGTGGTCTTGGAACTGTACATGTTGCTGAATGGGAACGCGAAGTAGGTGATACTGGAGGGAGCGGCCTGAGTCTGGAGGTAAAAGTTGGTGACTATGCCGAGTGAATCAGCCGCACCACGGATACCCCAGAATACATCGGAATTCTCGGTCGAAGAAGCCTTGATGAGCGAGCCGTCGGCAAGGACGACATCAGCGGCAACGATTTGGTCCATAGCAAGACCCCAGTGACGCGAGGTGTGACCGTAACCACCGTGAGTGAAGTGTCCACCGATACCGACTCCAGGGCAGGTTCCGTGCGAGAGTGCCTTTTGACCTTGGGTGTAGATGCCATCAGCAAGGTTGCCAAGACGAACACCACCGCCGACCTTTGTGATGCCGGTGCTTGTGTCGAGCTCAACGTTCTGGAAGGACTGAAGGCTGATCATCATCGAACCGTCCTTACCGCCGGAGCTGAAGCTTGCGTAGGAGTGACCGCCAGACTTAGCCTGAACCTTGATACCGTTCTGAGCAGCGCAAACAACGGCATCTTGAACATTCTGCTGGGTCTGGGGAAGTACGACAACAGACGGCTTGTAGGCGCGAGCGAGGTTGTAAGGCTCAACGAGCTCGGCGTAATCGCCATCCGAGGTCATCTTGTAGGGTACACTCTTGCCGTTGAGGCACTGGAGAACACCACCACTTGCTGAGGGAGTCGGGGACGCAGAAACTGTACTGCTTGGCTTTGTCGAACTTGTGCCTGATGGGTTGTTACTACCACAGTTTCCATATCCTGCTTGGCAGGTTGATCCGCAGTAGTCGGTTGTCGAACCACACCACCCAGAGCCACTGCAGCAGTTACCGAACGAACTGCCCAAACAGGTAGCGCCGCCGTTGTTGGAGCCGCAGGTGGCATCGGTGGAAACTTTCTTGGTTGGGGTTGAGGATGGGCCTGCAGACGTACGTGTTGATGTTAAGACCGGCGTGGTTGATGACTTTGAGGTTGTAGGTGTGCTGCCAGGGCATGTTCCGAAAGCAGAGTTGCATCCCGCTTTGCAATGAGCATCCGAAGATCCACACCATCCATATTGAGAGCAGCAGTTGCCGTATGAGCTACCTTGGCAGGTGTACTTGTTGGTTCCACCACACGATCCATCTGGCGAGACCGCAGCGCTGGCCAAGCTCGCGGAGAGCAGACCCGCTGTGAGGGAGTAGAAGAACTTCATGGTAGCAATCTGAACGAATGTTGATGTGCTGTACAGTTCAGTAGAGTCACTCAAACGAAAGACAGCAACGAGTGTGCTTCAATACCAGGCGGATAGGATCGACGCTTAAGTACCGCACATCTTACCACTCGTACCTGCATTTCCCTCCCTCTAAACATAACTCGCCACTTGCGCATGCACCTAATATCGCCTTCTCATCTCGCGTCCTGTGTCGATCTCACGGCTGACTTCCTGTTCGGTCCTAAACAATACTAATACGAGCTTACAGCATCCCCAACCCCACAGGCCTGCACGAGTTGCGCACGAGGATTCGTGGAGCGCCGACAGCCCGCGTAGTACAAAGGCGCCACTTCGATACCATGGTGCAGGGCGATGTTGCATTCAAAACGGTGCCTGAAATGCCACAGTTCAGGCGCTGTCAGTTGTGGGTGCGCTATCGATAGTGTTTGCCCGAAGCTGATGACGATATTCCTCGCTCTGCTCATTTTTCTCCGAGGCGACGTGCGCTTGGACTGAAGGACGGCTCTGCCTTCGCTACCGGCATCATGACTTGTCGAAATTGCTCATATCTGGTTCCGGTGGAACGAACTGTGCAGGGCTGACTGCCATCACGGTACCCTCAGCCTGCTGCGACAAGGGGCTCAAGCTTCGCTAAGCATACGGCGAGTGACATCGACGGCTGTCAGCAGGCCATCAATATCGAACACATCGCCAGTCAACACGCTCTTCTCAATCAAGGCCCTCAGCAGTGCCTTTCAGCGGTACGATTTTCTGTGGAGATGGTCGGCCCTATGTGGATGAACGTTGCTGCCCTAATGGCATTGATCCGCGATGATCCCAGCGAATGAGAGAAGGTTTCGGATGCTATTTTCGGAAAGCGGAAGGAGCGGAACCAAGTCGGACGACCCGAACAAGGCAAGACGAGCAAGACGTCAGCGTTTGATTCGCATACGAGCAAGCCACAGACATGTCTTGACTCAACATCTGATGCTCAAAAAGGTATTGACGAACGTTGAACCTTCCAACTTCGAGACATTCGTGTCACCGAGTACAAGATCATCCCGTATACATCACAGTTGACGATAATTAGAAGCTGTGTTGTAACGGAGAGCTGACTCTGATGTAGTATTCATTATTCGTCGCATTGATCCATGCTCCCATTATTATGTACCGGAGAGATAACCTTCTCTCGAGCCATGTGCCTGCATATGGCTGACATGCTTCGAATAAACGCCGCCTATGTGGACGTACCAGTCCTGCTTTGCAACAACAACAGAGGCACTTTACGGATGCATGAAACCATCTCCCTTCATGTGACAGTTGGTCTCCAGACCGAAGCTGTTCTCGAAGGTCTGCACCTTCTTCGCAGCAACGGCTTGTGAGATGCGCACGCGGCGAGGCTTCAGCTTGGTGATGGGCTCGTAGCTGCTGCGCTTCTGACCGTAGTTCCCGCCAGCCACACACTTGCCACCTTGACCCCACTGAACGTCAGCAGCGGCCTTCCATAGGGCTGTGATGTCGACGGTCATCTCCGGAGTGTAGTACAGACGACAGTCGGCCTCCTCGTAGATGAACTGCAGGGCAATACCAGTGGTGTCATTTTGGCGCAGGCCGTCGCGGACGTTGACACCAGGTGACACGCCAGAAGCTGCTCGGTAGTATGGCAAGTCGTTCGTGAAATCGCTAAGAACCGAATCCTTTACTGCAGGGTTCCACACGATAGCGTTCTGAGCAACCGACTGGATGTATCCGAATTGGTAGTTGTTCACTCCCTTGACTCCACCGATGGCCTGGATGGCATCCTTGGTGCTGCGACCTCCCATCGCGATGGTCTTGACGCCGGCCTGCTTGGTCAGGAATTCGCTGAAGATGGTGCAGGTCGAAGCACAGTATCCGTCTGTGACGATGACGATGTTCTCAGGCTTGAACTTCGGTGGCCCCGTGATGTTGGCAAGTGATCCGTACCCGGTGACGTTGATACCACCAGAGCTAACGCTGGTGTAGTAATCGGAGAGGTTCCAGCGCGCAGGCGTTGTGTAGTTATCTGGGGGTTGTTAGTATTACGTAGTAAGATTGAGGACCACTGCACTCACCTCCATTGACCTCATGTGGACCAAATTTTTCTTCCCAAGAAGTGAAAGGCTTTCCTTCAACAGTCATATCCTGGTGGTAGTCAAAGTAAGACGATTGCGCCGAGGACAGCGAGCTGTTAGCTCCACGAGGGGCCAATGACGCGCGCTTGCTGTACGACTGGCCGATCAGATCGGCAGCTTCGGTGGCACGGTAACGGTTGGCGCCATATGGGTCATACTCAGGGAACAGCTGCTTGAACAAGTCGTAACCTTGCAGGATAGTTCCACCTCCGTTGGCCTGAAGGTCAAGAATGAGCTTGGTCTTTCCATCAGCAAGTGCCTTCGCGAGGAACCCCTGCGATGTCGCTTGAAAGGCTCTACCGGCGGACGAACTACCCACGAAGTTAGGGATGGACAGAACTGCGACATCGTTGTATCCTTCTCCTGCAATGTAGTAGCCGTTGATCATGTTGAGAGGACCCAGGGTGACAGGATCGGGGTATCCTGGTGCTGTAGCAGCAGAAGCAGCTGTCGAAACGGTCTCAGGCTCCTGCGATGCTACCTGCGCAGATGCTGCACTACCAAAGTTGAACCACTCCTTCGCAAGAGTTTCTCCGCTGTTGATGCCGCGGAAGTTGTATCGTACGCGAGCATAGTTCTGAATAGTGCGCTCGGTGCCGTTGGCGAAGGTGAAGGTGGTGGATGCCCCGGGGTACACGTAGCGACCTCGGCCACCTCCTGTGAACATACCAGTTCCGCTTCCAGACTCGCCTAGGCTGACCTGTGCAAGTTCATAGAAGACGTTGTTGTACAGAGCATCGCGGTCCTGGAGAGATCCAAGCTGACTCAAAGTCTGCAGGAACTCGGTCGCCTCGGTGTTATCGATTTTGACAATGGCCGAAGGGGTGTATGAGATGTTCTTGTACTGGAGGCCGAGCACATCCTCGAACGCAAAGACTGCAGGAAGCTGCTCGCCGTCCTCAGAGACGGACACGAGAGGCACTCTGCGACCCCACTGGAAGATTCCGCCAACGGATTCCGGAACGTAGGTGAAGTGACCGTCGTGAGCACTCTGGATCAAGGTGTAGAGAGCCCATCCAAAGGCGTACTCGTTGGTGAACTTGCCAGCATCGACATCACTGACGATCTGGTCAAGACCGCCCATGATGTCGACTGCAGGCTGCACCTTCTCGACATACTCTGCGGGTGGGTTCTTCAAGACAGTGAGGGTGCTCTGCCACTCGATGTAGGGCTTGATGGACTCAATGAGGAGCTTAGCGGAGGTGGCGTTGAGTGGCACGCTGTTGATGCAGTCCCATGCTATTCCAGCAGGAACGATCTGGTTGGAAGGTGTGGTGCCATCTCCGTACATGGCTTGCGAGACCTGAGCACATGCTGGACTTGACGAGTTGTTAGCCTGTCGAGTCTGGATGTGCGGTTGGGCTTGAGGAAGCGAGCGTGGTTGGGCTGGTGCCACAGGTGTCGAATGAACCAGGGATGTGAAGCCCGTCAGGGCGAGGAGAGCGAAAGTCTGCATGACGTAGGTTGACGTAGATTGACAAACAACGTCGACAGGCACGAGAACGAGTGATCAGGTAGAATAAATAACGGATCAAGACCCTAAACGAGAGTGGGTGCTGCAGCTGGAAGTTGAACGAACGGCTCCAGCTGGCGACGGGGGAAAAAGAGTGTGTTGTGGGTGGGTGAGGAAGTTTGCTCAGTGCCGGTGATCTTAAGAAGGTCGAGTAGGAAGGAGCAAACGCGGGGTCACGTGGAGTCAGTCGACAACCGAGTGCCAAATCCAGTAATCCCACCTCTTTTCACTTGGTCCGGTAATGTTCACTCAAAGCGGTGATGGTGAACTCTGAAGTCCAGGTACGAAAGATTCCAGGCCGTATTGGTGAGTAGTAGTCCTTTGCGTACGACGGGCACAAGGTCCTTCTTAATCTTTAGACAACAGACACTAGAAATTACGGGACTGAAATGATTGACAGGCGTGACGCAACGAGGAACTGCCCGAGTACAAATACTAGCACCAGCAAACCATGGAAGTACTTGCGCACCGCCTTGACGATCCCCATTCTTTGGGTGACAGTGCTTGCACTGGGGCCGTCAGGCCAGGCACAAACGTGCACTCGATTCGGTGACACCAATCACGTCCGTACCTCGCTCGCGTCGAAGTACCAAAGTGGGACTCTCCAGCCCCAGGAAGTGGCAGTTTAGCTGCCGTGGTAGAGCCGCACACCGGTAGGCTTTTGTCTAGACATCAGTCTTATGCAGGTGAAAACTCAACGGAGACCGAGTGGAAGACGGCGCACCGCAAAAAAACCTCATCGCTTTGTGGCAGGCCGGGAGCTCACATCGCTTCCCAGGAGCGTCACCCGCTTGCATCGACGTTGGCTGTGCGGGTCTGACGGGTGGTCAGAGACGCTCGAAAAGGAAGAGGCGAGTGCATTGCCAAGCACTGATGCGTTTCAACGAAGCTTGCTCGCAGATCCTCCCTGCCACCCAAGCCTCCGCTCCACACTCCACCAAAACTCATGCACGACCAGCTCAACCGTGGCGCAACAGCCCGCTGCTGTCCGACGGTGCGCTGCCAGGAGCCCTTGATTACGCGGAGCACCGTTATTCTCAATGATTAAGTTCAGGACTTGAGCACTCGAGAAGGCAAGCTGCGCAACAATGCCCTTGTCCAACTGCAATCATCCTTTGTACATGCGCAATCAGAGGACCCGTATTTGCGATCCTTAATTGTGATTGCGATGTTCTCCTGACACGCACAACGATGATCGTCACCACGCATCTACCAACCTCGCCACCTCCACCGACATCTGCCGCGAGGCTGTTATACGAGTCGTGACCAAACTCTGAAGCCGACATCCGCCTGAGTGGCTGGAGGTCCACTGCGTGTCTGCAGCGTGGCAGACTGTTCCTGGAGGACACATGGATCTGACCTCTCCCTTGCTTCGACAACGAGGTCGACGAAAAGTACAACGAGAACACCACTTGTGTGGTTGGGTTCAAAAACATCTTGCCGCTTGTACGATGGTAACCTCAGCAACTTTCTCGTGTCTTGGCCTCGCACGAGGTTGTGCTACGGCGCGCTGCCGCAGGGTCTACCGCTAGCGTTCAGGACTTCACAACCTGAACGCTCTATGACGACGTGCGAAAGTCTGCGAAAGTTCAACGCGCGGAGGCATGAGCTGTCGGGAACAAGGGCTCTTGACTTCCTCGGCTACACCCAAGTCTTCTCTCCAGGCAGACATGTTTGAGGTTGTTGGTCATGGATACCGCAACCAACCATCGCAACGGGCCATGTACTATCCCGCACGCACATCCTATATGCTGAGCGCAAATGCCTCTGAGAACACATGTTCGCTTACGATGCAGTCAGCTGTTACAGTGACGCAGTTCGGCTGGGCTAACTATCCTCCTCTCTTCACGCAGCGCAGTACCCAATGACTCCTTTTGTGTACCGACATGATACGTTCGACGCCTCCACTCGTTGAAGCCAGTACTACGCACGCAAGGATTCTGCAAAGCCGGCTCGAAGATACCTCGATGAACCCCTGGTCGCCGGATTTTGTGGCATCATCCTGGAGATATTCAAAGCCCTGTCGCCGCTTATCAAAGCGTTCCACATGAATAAACACCGTAAGTGCTCCTGAAGGGCAACCCTGTGGCGACCGCCCCTAGATGACTTGTACCTATTGTATCCAAGCTCGGGCCACTGTAATTCCGCCACAGATTCTTCATCGTAGATTGCATTCGGAAAACCGATTCGTTCTCAAGGACATAGTCTCTGTATAGATCTGAGCACTTGCGCTGCAGTACCTATGACTGCTCAACAGCCGGACTGACTGCATGATCATTTTTGGAGGTCTAGTTCGAGGCATTGCTCTATTTGCTTTGCCAATTAACAAGTAATTATTCAATGGTCGACAGTTCCCATCGTCATGTTGATTCAAATGTTCGGGGCACTGCCACATGTACGCACGGCATGACTGAGCATGGGAAAGATTCGTGTTGACTTCTACAAGAAAACACTCTGGCAATGATTACCTCACAGCGGCCCTGAGCAAAGCAGCAATACTGGAAAACCAGCATCGGCTCGAGCTTGTGTTCATCTTGCACTTTGGAGGCCTTCGGCCAATAACTAAACCGCTGCTGTCCTCGTGTAAAAACCACGCAACCATTCACAATACGCTCAAGGCTGGCTTACCTTGAACAGAAACCAAGTTCATGGACCCTTTCCTTAGATCATTGGAAGGTCGAGATATTCAAAGCTTCTCAGACTTCGGTACCGCACTCCAGCTCCAACCATACTTTCTCTCTTCATACATATCTGTTTCCTCCCACTCAAACACGCACGTCCGATCGCAAAAACCATCTCCTATCCTGCTCGCTTGAGTGCCAGAGAACCAGCGACGATGAAGACGGCCACATTCGCCCCAACCGCCACAATCCACACACCATCCCCGCCGCAATCATCACCGTTGTGGAAGTCGAGAGGATGACCGCCAACGCTCTGCATTGCGCCCAGTCGCCCGAAAAGGCGCGGCGGAGTGGCACTCGCCTTACAAGGCCCGACACTTATCCAGGCGACCACCGCAGAGGCTCACTTGATCCCGCGGAAAGTGCTCAGGTTCGTGGCGGGCGGGGTGTTCATTTGGGGGGGTTTTGGGGGTGTGGACATACGACGAGGGGCTGTGTTCAGGCTTCTGCTGAGGGACTGCTTGTGGTTGGACAGCGAAGGGAGAGCTGGACGCGGGTCAGCGAGGGAGGATCGGAAGTGCCTCCAGCCTTGACCGTGCTTGTGCTCAACGCTTGACCGTGCTTGTGCTCAACGCAAGGAAACACGTCGATACGATACCGGCAGAAGCCGGACATTGGATGCGGGCATACGAGTTGCGGAAAGGTCAGGTTGTGAACCGTCGCTGTGAGGTCCCCTGTGCTGCTGGTCTGTGATGTTGTACAAGAATGCGGCAGAGTATATAGACGAGCATAGCTTCTGAAATAGTACTACAGCAATGCGGCCACAAACGTGTGCCTGTGATATAATGATGTACAGACTTGTACAACCCGACTTCCTGTCCAACATCATCTGTCCACCACGAAAAAAACAAAAAAAGGACATCCGAGGTGCATCGGGTCGCGCTTCGAGACATTCCAACCAACAATTCCGCCCAGCATCCAGCCATTGTCTTCCGAACACAACAGCACCGCCTAGAGCTTCAGCTCCATGTGCTCGCTCACAAACGTCCCATTTGCGTGTCCGTGGTGATGCGCGTGTTTCTGCTCCACCAGCGCGCGATACTTGAACCCAAAATTCAAACACAGCGCGAGCACCAGGCCCACCGCAACAACCAGCGGCCCAGTCAGGGCATCGAAGTCCTTGCCGCTCCTCTCGCGGATCAACTTGCTCCTGTACCAATACATCGTATACCCCCACGCGAGCGCGAAAACCGCGATGCTCGTGTACACCACAGCTAGCGCGCGGGCGATGTTGTTACCCTCGCCAGCGGCGTTGTACAGTCCAAGCGAGAGCGAGGCGAGGAGCACACTGACGTGCTGCCACTTGATGAATGTGCGCTGGTTCGCGAGCCAGACCTTGGCTTCTACGCGTACGGGGCCCTGGTCTTTGATCCATACTCCGGGGGCAGAGATGCCAGGCGGCAGCTGAACACGACGCTGCTGTTTCTTCGCGTATTTGCTTGTCGAGAAGGACGGGAAGAGGTTGGCGAGGCCGTTGGATTTGCCGTTGTTGGCGTAGGGCGAGGCGAAGCTTGTGCCCTCCTCGTCCGAGTCAGGGTCCTCGTTTGCGCGGGCCGGTTCCCGGTGCGATGCGGGGAGGCGGGTGACGGGCATCGAGTGCGCGGCGGTGCTGGGCGCGACCTGGGCAGCGCTTCCTCTCTTAGGGGCGGAGCGGGCAGCTGCTGGCGAGCCCACAGGGGAGGTGACGCTGCGGCGGAACGAAGGGCTCGCTGCTGTGCCGAAGAGGGAGCCGACAGCGAACTCATCCTCGGCGGCCCGGCGCTTGCGTTCTTGTTCGTCGTCGAAGGCTTGTTCGGGCTCCTTGCGGATGTCGTCCTCGACTTCGCTGAGCCAGAAGGGGAAGGTGTTGACGTTGTCTTCGAAAAGCCTTGCCACACCGTGAACGAATTTGGAGAAGCGGGGGGCTTCCTTGACGAGGTGGGAGTGCATGAGGTCCTCGACCCATTCGTACTTCTTCACGCCCTTGACCTTGATCTCGAGCAGGGCGAAGGGGAACTTGTGGATCTCGCCCTTCTTGATGGCCCTGAAGGGGAACTCCATGTTGGCGTTGTCGATGTCGCGCCTGTGCCAGTCGTCGGGCTCGCGGCACGGCCTGTCCATGTCGAGCGCATCTTCGCGGATCAGAGCAAGGTTGGTGTCGAGCGAGATGCGCACGCTGTCGTTGCCTGGGATCTGGAAAGCGGTGCGCGTGTAGTTTGCGCGCAGCACAGGCTGGAGATCCTTCTCCCGAATGAAGCCCTGGATATCCTCGACCGCCTTCTTCAGGTTGTCGATCTTGGCCTGGTCCTTGTTTGGCCTGTACTCGAGCTTCTCGACGCTCTTCTCCATGTGGTACTTGTCCTCGAGGAAGGACTGGATGTACTTTGCCTTGATGGGGAAGCGGACCTCCTCGCTGGCGTTGCCCTCCTTGATGACCTTCTTCTCGAACATGATCTCGGGCTTCTCGCTCAGCTGGCCGTACCAGCGCAAGCGGAGCGAGGAAGCGTCTTCCTTGCCGTTGACCTTGTCCGAGTAGAGGGAGAAGTTGGGGTTGTCGAAGTAGATGGAGGTGATGGTGGGGTCGCGCTGGGTGCCCTCGGCCACCCTGGCGGACTGGGGGTTGTACACGAGGACGGGCAGACGGCGGAGGATGACGGTCTTGACTTCGAAGAGGTTGTCCATGTGGACCCAGACTGGGGGTTGTCAGTCAGCAAGCGGACGGCCATGGACGGAGCGGGGGTACCTACACTTGTACGAGCGGAAGCCCTCGCCGGCGGCGGTGCTGCTCTCGGAGAACGAGAGAGCCTCCTTGCTCCTGCCCTCGAGGCTCTGGCGGACGAACGAGTACAGGGCGGACAGCCGGTACAGGAGGGGCGAGGCATCCTCGGTGTGCAGCGGGTGTCTCGCGATGCGCGCATCGATGAAGGGCCGCAGCTTGTACGACTTGCCGCGCAGCTTGTCGTGCTTCTTGGTGGCCTTGATGAGGGCGGTGAAGTTGATGCGGCTGAAGCCCTCCAGCTCCTTGACCTCCTTGGTGACCTTGTCGAGCTCGGCCAGGACGTCCTTGAGCAGCTTCTCGCGCTCCGCCCGGCTGAGCTCCGGCCGCTTCTTCGCGGCCTCGCCGTGCTTGACCACGTCGGAGAAGAGGCCGCTGCCGCTGGTGCTGCTGCTGGCCTTGGGGCCCTGCTTGGCCTCCTTGGCATCCTTGCCCTCCTGGGCCTCCTTGCCCTCCTTGCCCTCCTTGCCCTCCTGGTCGTCCGTCTTCAGACCGACGGCCAATGGCTCGAGCTTCTTCTCGCACGCCGACGTGCGGTCGCGCAGCTTCTGCGAGATGTCGATGATGAAGTTGTGCACCTTCTCGAGCTGCACGTTGGCGAGCTCGTCCACGAACGCGCTCTCGTCCTCGGCGGTCCAGCTGTCATCGTCCTCGTTGTCCTTGAGCAGCTTCTTCAGCTTGTCGTAGTCGATGTACTGGGCCTTCCATGGGGGGTACACGCTCTTGCGGAGAGTGCTGCCGAACTTCATTGTCGCGACGCAGCGGGCTTCTAGAGAGGGCTACCGAGTTGTGTGCAATCGGTCTCAGCGCACGCTGCAAGAAATGTAGCACAGCGATTGCATCCGCGGAGCGCGCAGAAACTCGTCTCGCGCGCAAAAGATCTCTGCGTCGCCAGGGTAGCCAGCAGTGGGGAGCTCTGTGATGCGGCTGCCCGTCCTAGGCCAATCGGACAGGCACGTGTGACAGCGTCATGGCTCGCTGCGCTGCAACGGGCATGGCGCGCCGCAATCCTTCGCCCGCTCTGACCACGACGCTTGCAAGAGCCTCCTTGCAGCGCCTGAGAAGCTTGCGTGGAATCTTGGGCTTGCACACGTCCAATGGGCTCTGTCCAGGGAAATAGGGAAATAGGGAAATAGGGAAATCTACACACTTCCATGGCCCCTTCACGCCCCTCACGCCCCTTCACGCCCCTTCACGCCCAGTCACTCATCCCGTCTGTGTAAGAGCCCAGCAGCTCCTCGATGACCCCGATGGCGCCCTCCGTCTCCGCCCACAAGCTGCACTGGTGGTATGTACTGGTGGTATGTACTGGTGGTACCTCTGCGCAGCCGGCATCTGCATCTGCCCCGTACCGCCAAATCCATCCATCATCCGTCTCGTCTCCAACTCGTCTCCCACACGCACCAGCGCCGGCCAGAAATGCTTGTTGCTGTCCCTGGCTGCTTCGAACAGCTGCTTGATGTGTCTCCGTTGCGCCGTTATGTTGCTCGTCTGGTCATCGCGTTCCAGCACATGGCGCTGCCCCAGAATGATGGAGCTCGCACAGTGCACCTTGGACTGATCGATGATCTCTGAGGGGAGTTTGGGTGAGGCTATCCCTCTGTCGCGCATCAATGCCTGCAGGTCGATAAGGAGTCGGATCTTGATCAGCGTGACGCTAACAGCAAAGGCGAGCGACGTCGAGGCCTCGCGAACAAAGTCTTTCGGGTCCTTTACATGAAGAAACCGGCTGCTTCGGTTGCCCCAGTCATAATCTCCCTCCTGTGCCGTGGTGACCCACCATTTGCAGAAGTCGTACGCTTCTTGGTCTCTTCCCAAACGCAGGTACAATGCTGGCACGAGGTCGCGGACGCCCATGTTGTCACTGCGACAGAGGTGCAGCATTGCCAAGAGATGCTTGAGCGCAAGAGCGACCGCTCCCTCCGTGTCGACGAGAAGGAGGGCTTCAGCCAGCGCTAACCGCGCTCGTATGTACGGTCGTGTCTCTTGAATGCCCCAGAAGTGTGGCGGCCCATCTCCCAAGATGTCGTCGCCTTTCTCTTCGCGCAGCTGTCGCTCAGCCTCTTGGTAGGCAAGGGTTGCTTTCTTGATCCCACTGCATGCCTCCTTGTGTGCAGGACGATCGACGTGTTGATGCTCCTTTCCACAGTATAAGGCTGCCCCACAGCCAGTGCAACGACTGAGGTCTTCCCAAAAGACTTTGTCGCATCCAGGTGCGGCACAGCCTGCGGCAAGGCGCTGCGAGGCGTTGAAGCCCACGGGCAGGTATTGCCGGCCGGCATCAGGTTGTCCGTTGCTGTGTTGACCGTTTCTAGGTTGACTTATCAATTGAGCATCAGGGGCACTAAAGATCAACAACGCGCCCTGTTGGGTTACATCCGCTGTTCCACTGCCACGTCGCCCTTTTAAAGGTTCGATCTTCTTGGTAGTTTCGCGGTTCGCAGCCTTCGAGGCGTAGCGCTCGTCGACACCGGCCTGCTCCACCCAAGCAAGTCAGTTGGAGCAAGAGAGCACTGCTCGATGTACAGCGTACCTTCGAGCTGCGCTTTACGGAGTTGCTCCACAAGGCCTTCCATTGCGCTTTCGATGCATGGAGTATGTTTTGGGGGGGGGGGGGGATGATGGCACGGCCAAAGCAGAGAGACGTCATCTTGGTGGATGGGACGCTGTGAAGTTTGGTAGGTGCGGGTTGTTCCGCTGGTCTCTTGTTGATACCTTCTGCAGTTCCATGGTTCTGATGCATGTGCGAAGCCGCGCTACGACGCCTCACACAATCTGTCCAGGTGTGGTGAGGCCACGTCTAGGCATACTCGGCATGCTGTTGACGCGGCCGTTTTACAAGCGTGATAGGAAAATGCAAGGTCGGAATACATGAACTAGAAATGATATTACAGCTTTCTACATGAGCTCGTTGCACGTCTTTCGCTGTCATCCAAGCATGCGATAGACATAAGTCGTACAACCCAGCAATAAAATCGATGCCATCCATGTAACCCAAACGCCGATGCATGCACGTGTCTTCGTCTCATCAGTTGCCTTGAGCCATGACATCGACATATCGGCCTCCCTTCTTCTTCTTCGCCGCAGCACCTTTCCTTGGCTGCGCTGCACCAAGCAAGTCATCGATACTGCTGGCATTGCTCATGCTAGTGCCAGGTCGCGAAGGCGGCCCAGAAGCAAGAGGTGGTCGTGCGAGCGTCGACTTCGCCGCACCCTCATTATCTGACAGAATACCAGGCGTGCTTGCTCGAGACGGTATGCCCATGGGTGGTGGCATCGACGAGCTTCTTGGCGGCATGGATGTCGGAGGTCGCAGACCCGTAGACGGAGGACCTATGGCTGGTGTGCCACCTGATGCGCTCCTGGCAGCTGCTGGTGGCCCACCTCGGGGTGGTGGAGGCGTGGCGGCGGGCTTGCCTGTATCTGTGGCACCTGCCTTCTTGTTGACCCACTTCTTGAGCTCAGGGTCGTAGACGAAGCTGTTCTCTTCTCCGAGCTTAGCCTTGATTGGACCTGGACCCTGTTGCGGCATGTTGGGATCTTTCTTAAACCAACCGCCGAACCAGCCCTTCTTGTTGGCTGCAGCCTCCTTATCGCGTTTTGCATCCTCTTCAGCTGCCTTGCGGAAAGCCTCGTCTGTTGCGCGATCTGCGTCTGACTTGCTGCTCGACTTTGCGCTGCTAATATTGAGAGCCGAGGCGCGAACGGCAAGGTCGTCATCGTCGTCGTCGTCATCCATGAACGATTTCTTCTTGGGTTGCGGCTCCTTCTCCCCTTCCTCCTCAGGCTCTGGTTCGTAGGGTGTGTACGACGGTGCCTCGAACGAGCCAGTTGGGGGCTCGTAACTGTTCGATGGCGTGTATCCAGCCGAGGGCTGTTCATCGTTCACGGAAGCAGGGTCGTCGAAGCTAGCCTGGGGAGGTTGGTATCCGCCAAATGCTGGAGCCGAAGCAGACTCTTCGACTGGTGGAGTAGGTGCATATGGGCTGCCGTACGAAAGCGCAGCATTGGGCTCGGGACGAAGTGGAGAGTACGATTGAGTTTTGCTTTGCAAGCGCTGACTAGTCGGACTGAGCATCGCTTGACCCGGAGTGTATGGGCTTGGTGGCTGTGACGCAGGCATGTAGGTGTCCGACACGGAGCGAACAGAGTCCATGGATGGTCGTCCTTCGGGCTCATATCGCGAACGCTGCTGCTCAGACGAGACTCGTGGCGCGTACGCGCTCGAAGCGTTCGAAGGAGCGTATCGTGAGTTCGAAGGGGCCGAGGGCTGAGCCGCAGGCACTCCAAAGCCGGCATACGCGCCATAAAGGTCTGCGCTCGACTGAGAGGGTGTAATGCTTGGGCTATTACCGGCAATCTTGGCGAAGGGACCGACTTCTGCACCGGCCGAAGGGTTGCCAGAAGCATCATCATCATCTCCGGCAATGAAACTATTGAACTTGGACAGGAGAGAGCTGCCGACCTTGTCCATGCTTGGCTTCGAGATCCATGAGGATGAGCCATCCTTTGGTGATTGAGACAGACGTCTGCTCAGCTCGTCCAAGCTTCCGAGGAAACTGGCGTTGCAGTAAGGGGAAAGCTTGGTGGTCGCCTTTATGCTTGAAGCAATGGCATCACAGTACGCTTGCGCCTCGGATCTGTATCCGTACTCGGCCAATCGGTATGCGTGTGCAAGCTTGTATGACTGCAGGTGCGGGAATACGAACGACGATGTCGGTGCCGAAAGCGACAAAGCGAACTCGTACACCTCGGTCAGCAACACCGGTTCCATCTCAATGCCAAGCTCCAGAAGATTCCGCTTGTGATCTGCGCCGAGGAGAACGAGGTCGGCCTGCGAATCGTCTGGCCCATTGACGAGTGCTACACTGCGTGCGAAGATGTAGCAAACGTGTGCAGCTTCGACACGGTTGTATTGTGCCAGAAGTCGACCAAGTGACAGCAGTGCCGCAGCATCACCGTCACTACGGTTGTTCAAGATCAGCGCCACAGTCTCCCGCCACTTGTCCAAGCCCTGCAGTGCGTTGGGCGTTGCGCCTGCACCATCAGTGCTGACCATCTGGAAGCCAGCACGAGCCGAGGCCGGTACGAGCTCATCGGTGCAGTCTTCGTGGTTGCCTGCGAACACCTCGTACAGTACCGCCAGAGCCTGATGATTGCCGCCAACCTTCTTGACCTCTTTGCGGACGAACTCCTGAACGACTTGCTTCCAGATGTCCTTACTCAGCGTGGAGGAGAGAAGCATTGCATGGCCCCACATCCTTTGATCGACTGCGTGCCAGACTGCCTTCTCGCGATCACCCTTAGTGAGCAGCTTCTGGAGATCCTCAATTGCTTGGGGGTCTACAGGTTCTGCTTGCAAAGTGTTGGTTCTGGATCGACCAACAATATCTGCTGTCGTCGAGAATGAGCCTTCAGCATCTGCTGCATCACCCTCCTCAGGGGCTAAAGCTTTTCTGATAGCAGCCTCAGCGGTAGTGCCTTCCAGGCGTCCGTCATTATCAACCAATACCTGCAAAATCTTCCAGAGCAAAGACTTGTCGTCGAAGCTCTTGTGCTCATCTTCGTTCATAGAGTGCTCGAATCCAGGTTCCTTGCGCTGGCTCTCAAAAGCTTCAAGCTTACGGCCAAGCCAGGCTGAGACGTCCTTCTTCTTGCCCTTGGACTTGAGCGGGCCGGGAAACTTTGTGATATCCTCCGACTCAGGCAGAACCTCCTTGACGCTTTGGATCCTGACCTCACCAGGACTGCGCTTGACCATCGGTGCCGACGTGCCACCACCGTAGCGAGGTATCTGTCTTGGGAATGTAGTGACTACAGTGCCTCCCAAACCCCATGTGAAGATGGGGGCACCTTTCCACTGCTGCAATGGATCGGCAGCACGTTCATCCGCAGGAGGTATGCTTTCGTACTCGAGGTTCAGCGACGTCTGCCTTCGGTGAGGAATACTGTTCATCGGTTTCTGAGCAATTCGCTGCTCGTCGTACGCGGGAGCAGGCGGCGACATGAGTCCGAAGGCGGAACCTTGGTACTCTGACGATGCAGTCAACGTCCGTGTAACCGGCTTCATGCTTGCTGCAGGCGAGCGCGTGACTGACCGCGGAGGTGATGCTTGGTATTGCTGCGTGTAGTTTCCTGTCTTCCTGGGCGAGCCAACGTTGGACGGTGGATAACTTCGCAGGGGTGGTGTGCTAGACCTGCCAGCGACAGGTGGTTGGGATGTCGGCGGGGCTATCGCCCGTTCTTCAACCTCACTGACGCCTTCCAAAGGACTTCTGAAGGGAGCACGAGGAGCATTCTCTAGTGATTGCGAAACATGGTGGCCAGGCGTATGGTCGAACGACGCTTCTGCTTGCGAACGCTGTTCTTGTTGACGAGGCATAGCAGGGAACGCAAGCGGGCTGGAGGTGCGAGGCGCATATGGTTGAGAGGGGGGTCGTGGAGGGCCGGCAGGTGGCTCAGACCCGTAACGAGCATGAGCCGGTCCTTGTGGGCCGGGCGGAGCAGGCGAGTATCTTGAGTTGGCTGCTGGCGCAGATGGAGGTGCAGGTGAGTATCGAGCGTTGGCCGGTGCTGCTGGCGGAGGCGCAGGGGAGTATCGAGCGTTTGCCGGTGCTGCTGACGGAGGCGCAGGGGAATATCTCGATGACTGGGGGGGTGCCGGTTGTGGAACCGGCAAGCTGTTCGTTCTTGCGAGCACCGAAGGTTGTGCAGGAAACATGGGCAGTTGCTCGGGCTGTCTAAAAGGAGCTGGAGCTGGAGCTGGAGCTGGAGCACTACCTGAGTCCGGAAGTACCTCGTTGCGTAGGCTTGACCATGAAGGCGCTCGTTCTTTTGGAGGATACTGGGGAGGTCCTTGAGCAACCTGTGGAGGCCCATGAGGAATCTGTGGCTGAGCTTGTTCGTGAGGTTGAGGCGTGTAGCGACCTGAAGGCTTCTTCGGTTTGGTGGTTACAGGCAGTTCAGCAAAGAAATCCGTCGTTTGTGCCCGGACAGGTGCTGCAGACTTCGCGGGCGCCATTGACGGCATACCAGTCATTTGCGACTGCGTGGATTGACTTGACGAGGGCGGAGACATGCTCGCGACTGTCATGCTGGATGGTGGAAGCGTTGGCCTTGGAGGTCCAGAATTCGACGTGGTACTGCTACTTCGAGGCGGCGGAGGCGGAGTATGTTGTGCAGCGGGAACTGTAGCCCGAGGCGCTGCTCGTCTCCGAGTAGTGACAATCTCGTCCGGTAGATCATATGGCGATGCATATCCTCCTTTCGACTTGTCGGCGAAACTCTGTCCTGAGCTTGCCATTGGAGGTCGAGCTGGCTGTTGCTGTGCCACCGGCTGGCCAAAGCCGTTGTAGATTGTGCCAGTGGAAGCCGCAGGTGTCTGCTGAGCGGCTGGTGCAAGATTCGTGAACTGGACACCTGCAGGCGCGTAAGGGTTGGCGGGTGGTATCGGTGCAGCTGCGGCCGGTGCAGCTGCGGCCTGTGCAGCCTGTGGTGCGTATCGGTTTGCGGTACTTGATACAGACCTCGTTGCCGGTGCAGGCTGCTGTGCCGGGGCTGCAGGCTCGTCTTCCAAGAAACCAGCGTCATCGTCGAGATCGAGTGCGAGCGTGCCTTCGGTGTCCGGCAGAAACTCATCGTCCAGATCAAGGTCATCGAGGTCGAGGTCCCATTCATCTTTAGCTGCTGGTGCGGGCTCTGACTCTTGCACCACGTGAGCTCCAGGCGTCTCAGTCTGGGGCTGCGCGGATTCAACGGTCTGAGATGCAACACCTCCAAAGAAATCCTCTTGCGCGTCCGTGTTGCCCCAGTCGATATCCTCTCCCGCGTTGCCTCCAACAGAGGTGTTGCCAATTACGTTGTCGCCAACAGTGGTTCCTACTGCTTCCGCAAGTGGAGTCTCCAACGGTAGGGCTTGCTGGATTGGGCCAAGATCGAAGGGGTCTTCAGAAGCACCCCAGTCGTCTGTTGCAGCCTCGGTATCTTCGACCAGGGGTACGCTTGCGCTCTCGATCATAGCATCCTCCAAGATGGTCGTCTCTCCTTGGTGCTCGTAGTTCTCAGCGGGACGTTCCTGCGGTGCAGCCTCTTCATCTTCAGACTCGTCTTCTTCTGACAGGCTCTCCTCCTCCGACTCAGAAGGCTCAGCTGGGCCTCGGCCAACATGCGTCGGTGTTTGACCCTGGATATGGAGGCCCCGCGTGGCATCGACCGGCGCATCGGCCTGCTTTGGCGTTGCCGGCTGTGGTGGGAGTACGGTGCTCTGTGTGGCGGTTGCAGGTGCCTCTTCCTCGTCGTCGTCGTCGTCGTCGTCGTCGTCGTCGTCCTCTTCAGATGTATCCTCGCTGGAAGAGACGGGCGCAGGAGCACGCACAGGTGCGGGCGCAGGCGCAGTGGATGCAACAGGAGCAGAAGGCGCCGCGGGCGCGGGTGCGGGCACGGAGGCTTCCGCTGGGGCTGCCTGAATCTCTTCTTCTTCTTCTTCTTCTTCTTCTTCATCATCTTCTGACTCATCCTCCTCCTCGTGCTCCTCGTGCTCCTCGTGCTCCTGCTCCTGCTCCTGCTCCTCCTCTTCCTCCTCCTCCTCCTCCTCCTCCTCCTCCTCCTCTTCGGATTCTGACTGCGCCGGTATCTGCTGTGCGGGCGTCTGCTGTGTCGATGGCCGTGCGGGTTGTGCTATTGTTGCCGAGGTGTCCTCTTGTGTCTGGTGGGGTCGCAGGGCGGGATTCCATGATGCAGCCGGGGTCGAGGGGCGCCTGTCGCCGTACGCGTAAGAGAAGTTGGGGCCGTCTTCGTGCTCCATTATGCAAGATTATAATATAGTGTGGAAAGGGTATATGCAAGTACTGCGGGAGTCAGCGCTATGAGCGGCGCAAACGACAGTCCCGATAAGATTCGGCGGCAGGGCACTGTTCGGCTCGCTCGCGCGCACTGGAGCGGGTGCACAACCTCAACTGAAGATATGGGGGTGGTGTATGGCTACAGTGCGTGGCAGAGCACAAGAGACGAGTGCCAGGCCTCGGGAGCTCCTGACGTAAATAGGGATGACGAGACAGCACCGAGCATACCTCTATACAGAGAAGCAGAAACGGCAAGCGCTCTGCGTCGCGCGCAATACGAGTTCGTTTCCTCGGTCGACAAGGAGCGCGCAAGTCAACAATGGGCCGCAAGGGCGTGGTGCATGGCGTGCAATGCGTCGATATGCAATGGTCGCGAAAGGGACAGCTGTCTGGCATCCCTCGAACCAGCCGTCGTCGGTTCCGCATACCCTGGCCTCTTCCGCGACCCGCGCCTCCGCCTGCGCCACTGCGCCACGCCGCGACTTGAGATGTGACGCGCAACGGCTTGACGCCAGTAGACAATTGCTGTTCTCCTATCTCCTATCTCCTGACTCTCCATAAACTACGGCTGTGGCGGCCGCGAGCGCTCAAGGCAGACTTCACCGTACACGTCACCCGCGACGCCCCGTACATACACACCAACCACACGGAACAAGACATCACGCCGCCTGCAGCAACCCCATACAAACACCCCCGGACTGGCCGCCGACTCCCTAAGGCACCTGCAGCCGCATCAGACAGGCACACAGCAATTGCATATGGGTTACATACAATCGCCAGCCCTCCCGAACACGCCCTCGCACCTACACGACCCCATGAGCCATGTCCGCTCCGCATGAATACCACCAGCCAAATGCTCCAGACGAGGACTCAGACCTCGAACTCGACCTCGAAGAGCTAGACCCACTCGCCGGGCGCCCACGGTCGTCAGTATCACCGCCGCGCCGCCAGTCGAAAGAGCAGCGCAGAGCGTACCATGAGCTCGGCGCAAGGATACCGCTCAGGAACCTGCGAGTAGGAAGATTGCGAGGGAACAGGAGGAAGGAAGAGCCGGAAGATGAAGACCTAAGAGGCCTGATAGACGACGACGAGAGGGAGAATCGCAACTCAGCCAGCAGCCGTGGGCAGTCTGGCGACGACGATTCCCCGCTCCTGCCTGCCAGCACCAACCCCCGCCGACCGACGCAGCGCAAGCCCAGCGCATTATCCAAACTCAGCTCTGGTCTCCGCCTGCCGAGCTTCCTCTCCAAACAAGATGCTGGAGCTGAACAGCTGGGCGACGATGGCGGAGACAGTGACGCTGAAGAGGAGCACGATCCCACATCCCAACGCACCGTTTCTGTCGGCGCACTACAGACATCACGATTCCCCGCAAATGCCGTCTCCAACGCCAAATACACCCCTTGGAGCTTCCTGCCGCGTACTCTGTACAACGAGTTTTCTTTCTTCATCAACATGTATTTCCTGCTTGTAGCGTTATCGCAGATCATCAAGCCCCTCCGGCTCGGCTACCTTTCGACGTATATTGCGCCGCTTGCGTTCGTCATTTCAATCACACTAGGAAAAGAAGCACTGGACGACATTGCGCGCCGGCGGAGAGACGCAGAAGCGAACTCGGAAGGCTACACGGTCTTGAAGTTTGAGGAAAACAGCATGGGCACTGGTGTGGCGCCAGGGCAAGGCTCGAGCCGGAAGAAGAAGCTGAGCAAGAGCAAGAAGGAAAGTGGTCGGTTGGCTGAGATCGATGACGAGGAGCAACGGTTGTCGGCAAAGGGATTGGCCACGTGCACATACTTCGAAGTGGTCAAGCCGTCCAAGAATCTGAAGGTTGGCGACGTCGTGAAGCTCGGTAAAGACCAAAGAGTACCCGCAGACATGGTTGTGCTCAAGAGCCTTGCCGCCGACAACGCACCTGCGTCGACAGATGCAACTCCCAGCAACGAACTGCCTATGCTCATCGATGGCGAGGACCGAGTTTCACCTCAGGGTGGGCGGGCAACAGTCGAAAGCGCCAGTTCCACTGGGCCCTCCGGCGAAGCCTTCATCCGTACAGATCAACTCGATGGTGAGACTGACTGGAAGCTGCGTCTGTCTTCGCCTTTGACGCAGAGTCTAAACGTTGGCGAGTACACCCGTCTTCGCGTTGTTGCAGGCAAGCCAGACAAGAAAGTAAACGAATTCTACGGCGCGGTGGAGCTGCAGCCAAAACGCCAACGACAGTACGACCCCCACGAGGCCGAGCCGTCGTCAAGCGAGGAGGTACAGTCTGCACCACTCGGCATTGACAACACCATATGGGCAAACACGGTAGTGGCCTCGAGCTGCAGTCTGCTTGCTGTTGTTGTTTACACCGGCCCTCAGACACGGCAGGCTCTGTCGACATCGCCTTCGCGCTCGAAGACTGGTCTGTTGGAACTCGAGATCAACGCGCTTACCAAGTGGTTGTGCGTCTTCACGCTCTCGCTGTCTTTCATACTGGTAGCTCTGGCTGGATTCAGGGAGATCGAGGGCCGTGTATGGTATGTCAACATGATGCGCTTCTTGATTCTCTTCTCCACGATTGTACCCGTCGGTCTGCGTGTCAACCTAGACATGGGCAAGTCGGTCTATGCGTGGTTTATCGAGCACGACGAAAGCATCAAAGGAACGGTCGTCAGGACCAGCACGATCCCAGAAGACCTCGGACGGATCGAGTACTTGCTGAGTGACAAGACTGGTACTCTGACTCAGAACGGTATGTTGAACGGACACCCCTTACCAGGGTAGAGCTAACACTGTTCAGAGATGGCCATGAAGAAAATCCACGTTGGTACGGTGTCCTATGCCAACGAAGCGATGGACGAAGTTTCCGCGTATGTCCGACAGTGCTTCACCCCTCCTGCTGGCGAAGAGCATTCTCTCGTAACCCCCTCATCAGCCTACACCGTACCCCTGACCTCAGCCACCCGCACACGCCGTGAAATAGGTTCTCGAGTTCGCGACGTGGTGCTGGCTCTCGCTCTCTGTCATAACGTCACGCCCACTACCGAAGAAGAGAATGGAGAAATGGTCACCACATACCAGGCATCGTCTCCTGATGAGATTGCCATTGTCCGCTGGACTGAGGCCGTTGGCTTGAAACTCCTTCAGCGTGACCGGGAGTCGATGACACTTGAGTCAGTCAACAGTGGCAATACTGTTGTGCGAGTTCGTATCCTCAACACGTTCCCTTTCACATCCGAAGGCAAAAGGATGGGCATTGTGGTAAAGTTCTATCATGGTCCAGTAACATCACCTTCGGATGACGAGGGTGAGATTTGGTTCTATCAGAAAGGCGCCGACACTGTGATGACTACCATTGTCGCTGCCAATGATTGGCTCGACGAGGAGACGGCGAACATGGCCAGAGAAGGACTCCGAACTCTTGTTGTGGGTCGCAAGAAGCTCTCAGCTCAGACCTACCAAGACTTCTCTAGCAAACTCGCGCAAGCTTCGCTAGCCCTGCAAAATCGCGACGCAGGTGTAGCAGACGTGGTGAGCGAGTATCTTGAGCGCGATCTCGAACTCCTTGGCGTCACCGGTGTCGAAGACAAGCTACAAAAAGACGTCAAGCCCTCCCTGGAACTCCTCCGCAACGCCGGCATCAAGATTTGGATGTTGACCGGTGACAAAGTGGAAACCGCCCGCTGCGTAGCCGTAAGCTCCAAACTCGTTGCACGAGGGCAATACATCCACACCATACAAAAGAGTACGTCCCCGCCCCATCTACATTCTCCCTTTCTCACTAACACCCAACAGTGAAGCGCAAAGAGCTCGCGCACTCCTCCCTCGACTTCCTCCGGGGCAAAACCGACGCCTGCCTACTCATCGACGGCGAATCCCTCGCGCTCATGCTAACCCACTACCGCCAAGAATTCATCTCCATCGCCGTCCAGCTGCCCACCGTCGTCGCGTGCCGCTGCTCGCCGACCCAAAAAGCAGATGTCGCGCGCCTCATACGCTCGTATACCAAGAAACGCGTGTGCTGCATCGGCGACGGCGGAAACGACGTCTCCATGATCCAAGCTGCGGACGTCGGCGTCGGTATCGTCGGAAAAGAAGGACGGCAAGCCTCTCTCGCTGCTGATTTCAGCATTGAGCAGTTCTGCTACCTCGTCAAACTGCTTGTTTGGCACGGCAGAAACTCATACAAGCGATCTGCTAAACTCTCCCAATTCGTCATTCACCGCGGTCTCATCATCAGTATCTGCCAGACCGTATACTCCATAGCAACGGCCTTCGAGCCCAACGCGCTGTACAAAGACTGGCTGCTCGTCGGCTACAGCACCGTGTACACCATGGCGCCCGTGTTCTCGCTGGTCCTGGATCGCGACGTCGATGAGAGCGTCGCCAACTTGTACCCAGAACTTTACGCCGAGCTCAAAACAGGACGCAGTCTGAGTTATAAGAGCTTTTTCATCTGGGTCGCAGTTTCCATCTACCAAGGCTCCATGATCCAAGGCCTTTCGCAGCTTCTCGTCGGCGTCGGCGCAGACTCAACCACCACTTTCGCCCGCATGGTATCCGTTTCTTTCACCGTCCTCGTGCTCAACGAGCTGATCATGGTCGCCATGGAGGTCACGACGTGGCATTGGATTATGATCGCCAGCATCATCGGCACAGGAGGCATTTACTTCGGCAGCATACCTTTCCTGGGCGGTGGCGGTACGCAGGCTGGTGGATACTTCGATTTGGGCTACGTGGCGAGTTTGGATTTCTGGTGGAAGGGCGCGGTTATTGCGGCGATTAGTTTGTTGCCCCCGTATGCGATTAAGATTGTGGGGAGAACATTGAAGCCGCCGAGTTATAGGAAGGTGCAGGGTATCTAGAGTGGTGGTTTGGGTGTGGGGGTGTTGCGTAGCGTGTCAATTGCATTACTTGTTCAGCAAAATCGGCCTCCGATTCTCTATCTGCACTGCGACCTCGAGATATTGTGTCGCAGTACGGTGAGCTCAGTACAGTGAGGTGGAGTATAAACGGACTGATATCGTACTCCTTGAAACGATGACAGTAACACGACAGTTTCACACTCAACCCTCCCTGTCCTCATACTATATAAACACGCAGCCTAGTTCAGTTCCACTTCAGTGAACCTCAATATCCATTGCCCAATACCTAATGTACCCAGAACCATAATATGTTGCGACACAAGGCAGCTCGCAGGTTCTCAGCACCTTGGAGTATTTAAACATTGGGGAGGTGCAGGGCATGTAGACTGTGGTTGTGCTTTTGACTTGTTCGATTCTACTAACACTATCTACAATTTGTAGCAGCTAAATACAAGACTTAGAGAGAGAGCACCACCAACGATGTCGTGGGTCGGAACTGATGCAGTCACAGCGAACGAGGTGCGCGTTGTTTGGTGAACATGGGGCAGTGTTCTGCTTTGCACGCTGGAGCCGGCAGCGTGTGCAACGAGGAGTAGGACTGTAGTAGTACTGGTGAACTGCGTCACTCGAAGTGGTTGGGAAGTTGCAGACTTCATTCTTGACTCGTGAGTAGGCAATATTGCCGCACAGGGACGTTGCTCATGCTCTCGAGGAATGATACAAAATTGAAAAAGTTTTCAATGGACTCTAGCGCCTATCGGCAGGCTAAAGTCTGGAGGTAGTGAGCCACTTCTGGATTTGTGCTTCTTGCCGGCCGAATCGTGCACATAGTAGAGAAGTGTAGATCCAGTACACTGTTTGCAGAAAGAGCAACATGACAAAGCCAGGCAGTCAATTTCGTCAGCTGTACAGGTCAAAGACCGATACAGTCGAGTTCTATGATTCCGACGATGAAGACGGACCTCTCATTGAAAGAGAAGATGGGTGCAATCAATTCCGGACAATGCCGAACCCAGAAATATTTCTAGACTTCATGATTGACGCCGCTCGTCCCGTAGAAGTGTCTACTAGGTTGCGCAAATTCATCCTTCGACATGGACACTCTTACCGAGATGATAAGATCTCCTGGAACCCAACCGAACTTCTACCTTACGGACGTCATTTTGAACTCTGCTATCTCCGATTCGGCGTCCGGTGCAACCATGGCAATAAAGAAGTTCCAGTAGACGAGCCTTTCGTGATGCGTGATCGGATCTACTGGCGTGTTGGCGATAGATGGCGGCCAGACGCAAGGGCAGTAGATGCCTGGCGAAGCGCTGTCGGGTCCGAGGTCAAGTGCTGCTTCCTGAAAGACTTCTATGACCAAAACGGAAGAAACATGAGCTGGCAGCCTAGTGAGGATCTGCAATGGCAGCAATACGTTGGCGAGGTGGAATGGAAGGAGCCGGGGCGAGATGCCAGCCTTGAGCTGAGCGAGCTGAGGCATTTGCTCAAGCGAGGGATCGTTGTTCATGGCTCATGGCCTAAAGATAGCGTTTTCAACTGGTATTAGTGTCATACGAAGGAGTTTGTTTTCCAGGTCCGGAGGTTCTTCGAGGTGCTAAGCCACCGGTTGGGTAGGCATCTTATCGAGGCTGCAACACCACACGATCGAACGGACCGTATGTTTAGGGCAGGGGTAACAACGAAAGGAGCATCATAGTTCTCAGCGTCAAGAGTCAAGTTCAACAGCAATAATCTTAGAAGCAATAGTGGAAAGGGCAACAATAGCAAGAGCCACAGGCATAAGACGCTGTAGAGAATGATCGAGCAAACAATATATGTTGCGCACATGTGTAAACTACCAGTTTGCGGGAACATTATCAACACGCAAACCATATAAAATTTCTACGTTGGATCCGGCTATGACGTCGATCTATCAAAAGCATCGCAGAAATCCTGATGCTCACATAACTGCACGCGTCGAACTGTATGATCTCAAGAGAACTGTTTGCCCATCCCTCATTGTCCGCAGTTCTCAAAGAGATGAAGACACAGAACAGACGTTGAAGAGAATTTCTACGCCCGATGGAATGCTCCATGACGGTTGAATCAACTGGCTACATGACAGTGGGAATCTTTCTTGGGAATTCTCTATTGTGAAGATATCTAAGAATGTACAAATAAAAAGCATCATCATTCAAGGCATTCTCAGTAGACTGGACCTAGGCATAATTCTAATGTGACATTATTCACATCGCAACAAAGACGAGGTTTGCGAGGAAGCGCGGAATCAACATGAGCACCGTGATGGACATGCCAAGAGTGGAGATGCTTGGCTACCACTCCACCACTCGATGTAACACCGTACAAGTCAACGCACACTGCGGAACTGGGTATCAGCTGAGTCCAAAGACAACATTTCCCTTCAAGAAAGAGGTCAAGAGCCGGGGACGGGAATTTGGTAGTTGAGGGTTTCCATGAACCAAAGATGGGGCAGCTCTCTGTCGAGCGATTCAGAAAGAAGGTATCAAACGCCCGTAATGTTCCCTTTCAGTTCCTGTCATAATGCATTACGCTCCTGCTTATCATATACAGTGCGAAATCCTGGTTTTCAAAGACTCATGAGGAGCTAATACCCTCAAAAGCTGGTTATCTACAAGAAGAAAGCACCAACAGCGCCCAAAACAACAGCCACGAAGCCCTGCTGGCTCGCGCCAACAGCAGATCCGGCGCCGGCGAACTGGGAAGTAGAAGCGCTCGCGGACCCAGACGCACCAGCGCCGCTCGCTGTGGAAGCCCTGGAGGTGGAACGAGTCTGAGCAGGGGCGGTAGTAGGCTCGGCGACGCCAGAGGGACAGTGCCAGTGATCGTTGTGAGGCTCGCAAGTAGCAGCAGTGACCGCATGGGAGTGGTCGTCCTCGTCATTGTGGCTGTGAGATGCAGATGCAGCGGGAGCGGATGTGATGCTACCAGAGATGGCAGATGTGACGGCGGGAGCGGCTGAAGGAGCATAGGTGGGCTCAGCTACACCGGAAGGACAGTGCCTGGTCGGTGTTAAGGTTTTGCTCTTAATCATTCATCGTAGTACGGAACCTTACCAATGGTCATTGTGGGGCTCGCACACACCGCTGACAGTAGCGGAGACAGTGTCTACGGATGCCTCAGCAGCGGGTGCGGTGGTAGGCTCAGCAACACCAGCTGGGCAGTGCCTGCTCATGATCAGCTTGGCTCAATCGCTGATCCGTGAATGACTTACCAATGGTCATTGTGAGGCTCACAGCCGGCACCAGTAGCAGTGTAGGTATCCTGGGCGGCAACGGCCGCAGCGATAGTGAGGATGACAGTGGAAACCCTCATGCTGATATATTATTGTATGGTATGTCGTAGCGACTGTAGTTGTTCTGGAGTGTGCAACGAGGGACAAAACCGATCGAGTGTTTCGTGTGATGTAGAAACAAGATGTTTCCAACGGTTTAAATGTTTATACTCGTCTTCACACGCATGTGGTAGTACCGCAGAACGCTAAGCTGGACCCATAGCCAAGTCCGCGGGATGCCTTGGCAGTGGACATTAGGGTACTCATATTGCTACAAATCCCAAAGAAAACCAGCTAGTTGGCGAATTGAGGCGCAAACGGTTGACTTTCGTTGGCGAGGATGGCGGGATAGTCGAGCTTGACGTTCGACGGCGTGGGAAAGGATTGTTGGGCGCAAAGATTTGTCCTTGGCAGGTGAATGTCGTTGGTGGGATAGTCGGACAAGGCCGCATGTGGCTGGAGGGCTTTACATGGAGGCAAATGCTTCGCTAGAATACAGATGCAAGGCAATTATTCGTCTGGCGTGAGGTGTCGTGGCAAAACGGTACGCAGTATTCAGATGCTGACGCTAAAGGTTCCCAGCGAATTGAAGGTCTATATTGCTCTTAACGAAGCAATAGGTCGCATGACGCCCTGAAATACCATCTATCTGTTTATCTCAGTGAGCAGAAAAGCCAATGCAGGTACGAACATCTGCTCATCATGGTACTCGCTACGCGACATGAGGAAAGGTTTGATCATGCGAACAGGTACCGACCGCCAGGGTTGAAAATCAGTCCGGTAACTTAGCACGTTTACAGTCAATCGTCTCCTACAAGGCTGTCAGTATAACCGGTATGAAGGGGCATCGTTCGTCCTTTAAGATTGTGTGTAGGTAGAATCGGTATGGGAAGTGTAGGGCAAGGTTGAAAAGCCACCGATGCGCGAACAGAGCGTAGAGCTTCACCTTTGCTAAATCAGGAGACCTAAAGTCATGTCTTGATATCAAGAAAGCTGCATCTCGCCGTCGCCCTATAAATGCTATATCAGCAGAGCCTTGCGTAAGCAGAGAGATGCTCAAGGCTTTGACGTCAACGCTTTATGAGGTTCACAGCGCGGGAAGCGTTCACTAGCTGGTAGGGTGTCCATAACTGGGATAAGCATTTTGGGATGGATGCTGAAAGCCATCTTGTCGCTGATTGAGATGGTCGTTCCGTGGGCCGATGAGAAGAAGAGGTCTGGTGCCTCCATGCCAGTTGTTGTCGCGTGTGCACGGATGTTCCCCGCTTCTTCTAGCTCTCATCCCTATCACTCGTTCCATCACAACGGGCTTCAAAACGGAGTCGACAAGAACAGCATGCTGCTCCTGAACACGCACCGGTGGACAACGAATGGAAGGCGAGAACAAGCTGAATGTCAAACGACTTGTGTACATTGGCTGTGGCCTGAACGTATTCACGGCATACTTGATTTTCTGATCAGGTCAGACTCGATTTTCTGGCTCATCAAGCCTCAATTCACACTCCAGCACCCTCCTCTTCCTCCTAATCTCCATCCTTTCCTCGATCTCCTCCCTACTCTCCTCCTCATCCTCCGTCTCCTCGCCCTCCGCAATCCTCATCTCCGCCTCAATCTTCCACATCACATACCCCACTATCGGCCTTCCCCTCCTCAAGCGCATCTTTACACTCCTCTCGCTCCACCAATCGCACATGGCAACATACAGCGTCTCCAGCCCCACATAATCTAGCAACACCTTCCCAACTGCAGCGTAATCATCGAGGCTGGAGTACGTTACGACTATCTTGCACACGCGCGAGAGAAACGATGGTTTGAGCAATGAAGAAAGTTTTCGGAGCCGGGATGTTTCGGTGCTTTTCCCTGACGGCGTGAAGCGCGAGCTGAGGAAGATGATGTCCTGCGAGAAGTTGACGTAGAATTTCTTGTCCTCCTTCTCCGTCGCGAAGAAGTGAACCAGCGTACCGCCTTCGTGGGTGATGCTGAAATTGCGCGTTTCGCGCGAGGTGTGAAAGAGTGGAGGTAGTCGAGGGATGTAGCGGATCTTTGGGGTGTAGGTAGGTGCAGAGTAACCGTAAAGCTCGACAAAGCGCGTCCGTGGCGCTGGCGCGGCAAGATTTGATATGAGAGCGCGGAGGTTGGCAGGGAGCTTTGGGAAGGGATGAAATGTTGTGAGGGGACAGCCTGTGCTGTAGAGAAACTCGTTGTTTAGCGCGGCCATGACGGGAATTTTCTCTGAGCTGTGGGGTGGATGCGGCCAACTTTGAAGGAAGCGTGGAGGTAGTCGCGTCAGCGTGGTTGAGAGTTTGTAATGGAGTGGGAACGAGACGATGATGGAAAGATAGCAATACAAAATTGTCTGAGATCCATTGTGCGTGCGGTGCCTAACCGTCGGGAGGTCAAGTGAAAGAAAGGGATTTCCGCACCAGGAAACCAGGCCATCACCAATGACAAAGGCTCCTGACTATTCCTCATCCTTCTCCCCTGTCCAGAACATCCACGCAATAACAATCAGCATTTTCAACCCTACCGCAGTCCAAAGCGCTCCCGCGAGACCAACGCCACTGTGTGCCCACAGACCTCCCAGACAAGCACCAAAAAGAAGCAACAAGGGCGCGCCGATCCTCCTGTTTCTCTCCACGTTATCCCAAGTAAACAGCTTTGGATCAGAGAACAAATCGCAGTAGTTGCTCGTAAGGACAACACTCGTCAGACCATTGAACTGTAATGCGCGTGACGTTACAGCCTGTCCACTCGACTGGAACGCGACAGAAGCTAAGGGAACCAGAACCTGCCAATGCAGCTGGTCCTTCGCGTCGTCGCCGACCGTGACGATGACCGCAGCCACGACAATGAGAAGCAGCTGCGCAGAGTAGCTCGCAATGAGCACCCAGCGCTTCTTGGGCGAGAAGTAGCGGTGAAAGCGCGCAAAGAAGAACGAACCGACACAGAACGAGACAATCGAAGTGAGCGCCTTGACCCATCTGATGCCTTCAAAGGGCGCGATTAGTCCCAGACCGAGATACACAGTGTTTCCTGAGAATTTTGTCAGCGGTGTACTGCTTGCTCTAAAGTGCTTATTGACCCGTCTGCATGCTCACGAAGCTGCCCCAGATGAAGACGGCCGAGCTATCCAGTAGTCCCGTGATGATGTAGCCAAATAGCAACACGGCATCCGCCCAATTACGGCTGACATCCTGCCTGAGATGCCTGCTGAGGTGCGACGATTCCGAACTTTTTGCGACTCGGCCGAGCAGCGGGGTTTCCTCGTCGACGCCTTGCGCAGACGCGCCGCGTGGTGTGTTGTCGGGCATGGTATTGGAAGGTGTGTGTGAGACGTCTCGGAGTGTGGTGCAGGATGACCAGAGGTCACATATGTACAGTGACTAGCGGGCCGGACGGCGCGGGTCCAGACACTAAACAGCACGACCAAAGACGGTCAAACAGGTTCAAGCAAGGTTCTCCCACTTCTTCATCGGCTACACGGTAGATCTACAGGCACACGTCAGCTCAAGCTTTGGAGTAAGCTTCTCTGCCGCGGATGCCGGCAATTGCAGGATAACGCTGGGAGGCTGCTCTGCACCTTCTCGAAGAGGTTATACAGCTAAAGATGTGATGCTTTGGTGAGAATTGATAAGAGCGGAATTCATTAATCGAGTGCGGGGATGTTGGCGATGCGATGGATGCTGATAGCGGGCAGCCACAAGAGCCCATGTCAGAAAGCCTGAAGTGTCGTCATTGCATGTTAACCCCGGATCAGACGGGATGGAGCCATGCAACGGGCGGTAATCAAGAGGCACATAATTGCCGGCCGTGCGATCAAATAGCGAGAGCGCCCGCTTCTTGCTTCATACCACCAATTGAGTCCAATTGAGGAGCCATCATGCATCTGTCAAGCTTCATCGTTGCGCTGGGCGCCTGCGGTGCATTGGCGGCGCCTGTCGAACAACAGCCATTGCCGGGCAATGTGCGACACCACGCAGGCCCGCGAAAGGTCGTAGATCCGTATAAGCCTGAGAATCGCAATCCATATGACAAGAAGGTCGATGCGCAGGGCGACAAGTTACATCCTTTGCCATGGGTGAGTTGAGCAATTGCGAGGGACCCACAACAACACCAAAGCATTGAGGTGGAGCCGTAGCTAACATTGTCCAGCGAAACGGCGATGGTGCAGACATGCTGGGTCCTCGTAACAGGGACCGGGAGAGGCAGAATCCAGATCTTGTCCGCCCACCCAGCACCGACCATGGCAACATGCCCAACATGCGCTGGTCGTTCGCTGACTCTCATATTCGCATTGAGGAGGGTGGATGGACGCGCCAAACCACTGTCCGTGAGCTCCCCACCAGCAAAGAGCTAGCCGGTGTCAACATGCGCCTGGACGAAGGCGTCATCCGCGAACTCCACTGGCACAAGGAAGCCGAATGGGCCTACGTCCTCGAAGGTAGCGTGCGCATCACCGCTCTCGACACAGAAGGCGGCAGCTTCGTCGACGACCTCGAGAAAGGCGACCTCTGGTATTTCCCCTCGGGTCACCCGCACTCACTCCAAGGCCTCTCGCCCAACGGCACAGAATTCCTGCTCGTCTTCGACGACGGCAACTTCTCCGAGGACTCGACCTTCCTGCTCACCGACTGGGTCGCGCGCACACCCAAGTCCGTTCTTGCTGAGAACTTCCGCGTTGCGCCCGAGGTCTTCAGAGCGATTCCTGAGAAGGAGAAGTACATCTTCCAAGGCTCAAACCCGGACTCCATCGAGAAGGAGATCCCGAGCAACAGCCCGGGCTACAAGAAATCCAAGCTGCAGTTCACACACAAAATGCTCGCTCAAGAGCCGCTGAATACGACAGGAGGTCAAGTTCGCATCACCGACTCGACAAACTTCCCTCTCTCCAAGACGGTCGCCGCAGCTCACCTCACGATCCAGCCCGGCGCGCTGAGGGAAATGCACTGGCACCGTAAGTCCCTCTCTCACCACTACGATAATGAGATATACTAACCCCTCTTAGCCAACGCAGACGAATGGTCCTTCTTCATCAAAGGGCGCGCCCGCGTAACCATCTTCGCTGCCGAAGGCACAGCGCGAACCTTCGACTACCAAGCAGGCGATGTAGGCATCGTGCCGCGCAACATGGGGCACTTCATCGAGAACCTTTCCGACGACGAGGAGATCGAGGTCCTGGAGATTTTCCGCGCGGATAAGTTCCAGGACTTCAGTTTGTTTCAGTGGATGGGTGAGACGCCGCAACGATTGGTGAAAGAGCACCTCTTCGCTACTGATAAGAAGAGCGGAGAGAAATTCGTCAAAGCGATTGAGAATGCTGAGAAGGACCCGATCAAAGATACGCTTGGTGGTGATGACGATAAGGAGGAGTTGTAGATACCCAATATTGGAGAAACGAGACATGGTGTGCAGAAGGCGAGACACGATAAGGTCGTCATGGCGGGGTTCTTTAGAGAAGGACGTCGAGCCCAGAGACTGGTTGGTGCTGAACGAGAAGGGGAAATGTAATGATAGAATACAGCAGAATACAAACCAATACAACCTTTCAACGCACTCCAAGTCTGCAAATGTACCCCGAACGCGTCTCCATAGAACCTATACAACCAATTCGCCAACCTCCGGTGTCTCGCTCACCCTCCGCTTCCCCAGCTCAAACGCCAAAACGGTGTGATCCGTGAAATACATCATTACTCTCCACCTCCGCGTGCCAAGCTTTGTATCCTCTCGAACAACATCCTCATCGTCATCATTAAGCTCGTCTGACCTATCCAGCATACATTGGACCGGCCCAGCCGCAACACCGATTAGCCTCGCGCCTTCGACATCCCAAACTTTGTTCTCGTCATCATTCACAAATGGTAAGACGTATTCGAGGTGGAAGCTATACAAAGGCCGAGCCTGATTCTTGGAGTTCGTTCTCGTCAGAGCAAAGATGCCGGCGCGGCCGTTTGGTGAGGCAATGATGAAGACGCCCAGTTCGGGTATGTGAGTTGTGTAGCAATGTCTATCATGAGATCCGGGGATGAATGGGAACGGCTTCTCTCGCTCAGATGGGTGTAGGGGTCGGCGAATGGTGACGATAGGATCTGAGTGGTCACCAACATAGTCGAGGGGCCTTTGATAGAGGTATATGTCCTCTTTCGTGACTATCAGAAGCGGTGAAGTGATTTGAGACTGCAGCTATCAGTCAGACATGACCTTGAGGTAGGGGTGATTTCACAGACCTGTCTTGCCAAGGTGAAGGCTGTCGTAACTTCGCAGTACGCCCGGGTCGGTCGAATCGCGTTCGCAAAGGCCATGTGAGCTTGCGCAGTTGACGGTATGAACAGTTCATCATCTGTCCCACTGCCATCATCGTCCCACACGATGGTCGCGGTACTTTGATTCGGAGGCTGGAACCACACACCGAGAGTATTGATGACAGTACTGGGTATTTGAGGAGGTGGTGAGAATGGCGCAGGTGTATTGTGGGACGTGCCTCCATCGTCAGCAGGGGCACCAAGAGTGTTTTCTAATGATTGAATTGGCTCTTGAGGCAGCTGATCCGCATCCGATTCCCCAGTGAGTGCATCTGGTGCTGCCTCCGCTTCGTTTGACTGCTGGGATTGTTCAATGCCGGTAGGTTGTGGTGACGACGGTTGAGATTCGCTGTCATCGGAAGCGACCGACTCGGTCCCTGACACGTCCATTTCACTCGATCCAACACCTGACAAGCCGTCGTTGGGAAGGGCTATCACCGCAGGAGGAGTCTTACGCGGTTTGACGGAAAATCGATTCTTACACCCACTAACGTCCTCGATATAGGGAAGAGGGTGATCAGAGGGTAACGTCGAGTCTTGCAATGACGGGTCTTCGTACGCAGTGCTCGCCTGTAGAAACATGGTACTCCAGATTGCGTGTGGAAAATTGCTGGGTCTTAAACATGCGCAGCTGCCGGGACTGAGCTTCGGTGCCTTGGTGGGGTCCTTGACACTCGCGCAGAAGCCGAGCTGAATGGTTCGAACAGGCTTGGCTGGGTTGTACAGGTCCCATAGCAAGGTTTCGCCGTTGATCGAGCAACTTGAGAGCCACCGCCCTGACGGGTCATCACCGCTGTCGTTGAACGAGACTGAAGGGATGTTGTGTCGTGCAGAGAGTGTTATGACATGGTCTTGCCGTCGTGGGGAGGGAAAGTCTGCTGGATCTTCTTCACCGGAACAGTCTTCGAGCTCCGAGTCAGATGAATCAACAGAGGAGCCGTCTGGGGTCTTGTTTGGTTGCGCCAATGCATAAGCGATAACGGTGATTTTGTGGGTGTTTGCGCTGATCGCGATCATCCGTGCTTCCCGGTGGATGGCCAAGCCCCAGGCGCTGGCACCAACGTTACGGTGGAGGAAAGTTCTCACGGTCTCTTCGATCTGGAAATCGCTTTCGTCGTCTGATATCTCCGTCCGCTTGTCGAGCACACGCTGAATTTCCTCGGTGCGGTACCCGATCACATCGCCATCATCGCAGGTGATGAGAATGATCTCGTCTTGGCCAAGGTAGTCTACATGAAGTCTTGTAATCGAATGTGAGTCTTCGTAGTCGATCCCAGGCTGTAGAAATGGCGATGATGTGGGTGGGTGTAGTAACAACTCTGGTTCGCCTCGTATCGACTGATCCGGGAACTTGGGTTGGTAGACATGGATAGTGTCGTTACAGGCTACGAAGTAGAGGTTGTGACTTCGAGACAAAGCAGTCAAATCACATCGCCATGCTTTGATTTGTGGTCGTTCATGACTGTCGGGGAACTGTGAAAGTTAGTGCCTGTGTTGCGCGCAAGCAAACAACAGATGCAAGCTTGGATGATAGCCTAACCCTTTTGGAACCGAGCTGTACGCTCGTCGCCATACACGATATGTATTTCGACATCTTGCACCCACATTGCTGTGGCCCCGGAGTGGCCGCGATTTGATCGGTTGTCTTGCAAGAGGTGCGGTACGGTGAGCTTGGTGAGGGGTGGAGTGCGACGTTGTTAGCGTCAAATGTTACTTCCTGATTGGGTATGCCCACGCGCAGTCCAAATGTACAGTGAGTGTATATCTCAAATAAGGTGACTGTGTTGTGCATCGCCGAGACGTTTTTTTTTTTTCGCGAAGACAGACTCGAGGCAACAGTAATGTCGATTGAGCCATTCATGCATTATATCGGTCTATAGTAATGATCCCGTAATTCTATATTCAGGGATAAGCTAGGACGCTTCAGCGGTAATCCAACGCGTTTGCAGATGTGCAGACACATTGCCTCAGATCCTGTATATGATCCCAGCAGATGTGTGTTCGCTAGATCAAGCGACCGAACGCCGTCTAGTGCTTCGCAGTAACCTTGTCGCCGGTGAGCTTCTCGACAGCCTCCTTCGCCCTGTGCGCAAGTTAGTCAGGTCCATAAGTAAATCTATAAAGGGGAACGTACACATCGCCAAGAGCAACCATGCAGACTGTCTGCCAGATACCGAGACCGATCCTGGGGGTGACGCCGCGGTAAAGGCCCTTGATACCGTTGTTGGAGTAGATGTACTTCGCTGCCGATGCAACATTCAGGTTCTTTGGGCGGTTGGGGTCGACAGTCTTGGACTGGAGCTCAACGCGAATAACCTCGATGGGCTGGTTCCACGCGCTCAAACCACCACCAAGGGCAGAAGCGGTGATCTTCTCGATAACGCTCAGCTTCTCGCCGCCCTCCTTACCAGTAACCCTTCGGATACCGGTCTCAGCAACACGGGACAGACCAAAGCGCGAACCCCAGTTGGTGACCTGGCGCACAGCGACGGCGTTGACACCGCGGTTGATACCACGGATACCCTCGGTGCGCCAGATTTGCATGAATGTCTCCATGGTCGTCGGGGGCTTGCCGCCGGCAGCTGCGACCTTGTGCTTTGTGATCTCGACCGTCTTCATGCAGGTACAGAAACCCATGGTAGCGTAGGCCTGCGCAAGACCACCGGTCATACCACCAGAGATACCAGCCAGGAAGTCGGGCGCGCCGAACGACTTGGCGTAGTACTCGGCCTCAGACGCGACGAACAGGAGAACGGCACCCTTGGTGGAGGCTTCGATCCAGGCCCACGGAATGAGACCCTGGTAGACTGTTCACAACGGCGTCAGCCCGTGACCTCGAGCATTAGCAGCAGCGCAGCGCAACTCACAGCCATAAACTCCACCGCGGCCCCAGACGCGGGCGATGGCACCCGACATGCCCTCAGACCTATTGGCAGCCATGGTGGTCTTGACAACCTCCAAGGGCTATTCGTGGCATCGTTAGCTTTTGCGCTCCTCTTGCGAATGTTTGTTGCTTGCTATCGTACCTGTCCCAGAGTCGTTACTTCGAACAAGTTGAGACCAGCACCGACTGCGCGCACATTAGCTTCTGATAGACTGCTGCAATCGCCCGCACTCACGCAACAAGTTGCTGAACTTCACCGGCTTCTTCTCGAGCCTGGGTGGCCCATCGGCCATGGTGGGCACGCCGGTGGGAGGTGTGGAGCTCATCTCTGGGGTTGTCTTATCGAAGGAATGAGCCGGACCAAGGCAGGAGGGTGCTTCGTCGCGAAAGTGAGTGTGTGAGCGATGGAGAGAATGGAGAGGCAGAAAAGTGATGGGGACTGCTGCTCAAGCTCTCGGGTGGTCAAAGTGTCAGCAGCGCGTAGGCCGGCGCAGTATCGGGCCAGTTATTCTAGGTGTCCCTGAAGCTGTCGGGGATCTTGGCTGACTTCCGAGCTGCGGCTCGAAACGGTGAGGCTTGCGACGAATCAATTTGCGCGCATTCGAAGTTTATGTGACAGTATGCGCTCTTTGTATAGCGATGTGCATTTGGCCTTATGTCCACACGCTCGAGCACACCGTAACTTTCTTTTGCACACCCATCAAGGGCCACGTTGTGCTCCTGTCTGCTGCTGGAGCTCCCCGACGATCGATTGAAGGGACCTCGGGCACCAGCCCGTTCATGCGGGTCTGATTCTCAACAAACCCGCGGGCTTGCCTCAGCTCCCCCAACACTCCATTATTGCTTCGTACCACGCTCAACACTGATACACTGATGGTCCATGTCTTATCGTTGCTTTTACGCGCATTACCCGTGCCGACGGTCTCTCGGCCAGCAGGTGCAGCCCGCATTAGATGTTGTTGACATGCTGTTGCTGGAAACTAGTGCTTTCGTCAGTAGCCGCGGCGCTTCAAGTTACTAGTCGAACGTTAAGACATGATATTGTAGCAAGTCGTTTACTAAAAGGTATACTGAAGCAGAGACATCCAAGGCTATGATGCTTGCTAAGACACCGAATGCACCCAATCCTTATCCCTACAATCCCAATCTAGATAGTACACAGGCGTCTCTTTGATATCTCAAAAACTCCTCATATCGCTCCTCAACGGCCGCGCAGATCCTGACAATATATTTACAACTTGGCGCCGACCAGCTTGGCGTAGGCCTCGGTGGAGAAGGACTTGGGGCGCTCGATGGGGGCACCGACGGCACGGTCGATGATGAGCTGGGGAAGCACACCGAGAGCACGCGAGACACCGAAGAGGACGGTGTAGTAGTTCTGCTCGGTGAGGCCGTAGTACTGGAGGAGGACACCGGAGTGGGCGTCGACGTTGGGGTAGGGGTTCTTGGTCTTGCCGTGCTCGGTGAGGACACCGGGGGCGATCTTGTAGACCTGGCTGACGAGCTTGAACATTGGGTCGTCGGGCAGGTGCTTCTGGGCGAACTCGCGCTGGGAGACGTAACGGGGGTCAGTCTTGCGGAGAACGGCGTGGCCGTAACCGGGAACGACCTGGCCGGCCTTGAGGGTGGACCAGAGGTAGTCCTTGATGGCCTCGTCGCTGAGGTCGTTGCCAATGGCCTTCTTCATCTTCTGGAGCCAGACGAGGACCTCCTGGTTAGCCAGTCCGTGGAGAGGACCAGCGAGGCCGTTCAGACCAGCAGCCAGGGAGAGGTAGGGGGAGGAGAGAGCGGAGCCGACCAGGTGGGTGGTGTGGGCAGAGACGTTGCCACCCTCGTGGTCAGTGTGGATGGTCAGGTACAGACGCATGAGCTCGACGAAGTCAGCGTTGTCGGCGAAACCGAGCTGGTTGGCCAAGTTGTAGGAGTAGTCCTTGTCCTTCTGGACAGGGGCGACCTTGCCGTCCTTGTAGACGTTGCGGAAGATCTTGGCGGCAATGGTGGGGAGCCTGGCAATGAGGTTCATCGAGTCCTCGAAGGTGTGCTCCCAGTACTGCGACTTGTGGATGCCCTTAGCGTAGGCCTTGGCGAACTCGGACTCGTGCTCGAGAGCAGTGACGGCGAGCGAGAACTGGGCCATGGGGTGGAGGTCGCTGGGGCAGCGGTCGATGAGCTCCTCGACGAACTTGGGGACGTCGGAGCGGGCAGCCCACTCGGCGGACAGGTCGCGGACCTGCTGCTCAGAGGGGACCTCGCCAGTGAGGAGAAGCCAGAAGAGACCCTCGGGAAGAGGCTCCTGGCCGCCGGGGGCCTTGGGGAGCAGCTGCTGGCACTCGGGGATGGTCTTGCCGCGGAAACGGATACCCTCCTCAGAGTCGAGGACGGAGCCCTGCGTGCTGTCAGTCTGTCGTCATCCTGCTGATAACGGAGTGTTGCGCGCGTACCTCCCAGACGAGGGACTTGATGCCACGGGCACCGCCGTAGACCTGGTCGAGAGTGACCTCGCCGATGACCTTGTTGCCATGCTCCCTGTGATGCAATGTCAATGGCTGTTGCTGCTGTGTGCAGATCCATCCGCGGAGGGGCTGGCGACGTACTTGCGGAGCTTCTTGATCTTCTCGATCTCGCCGGGCAGCTTGGCGGCGAAGGTCTCCTTCAGCGACTGCAATTGGTGCTGTTAGTCATGGAACCAGGACGAGCAGCGGATGTTGGGCCGGCGCATACCTGGGTCTTGCTGGAGTAGGCGCGGAGGCCGGTGAAGGCGGAGGACCGCATGGGGGCGGCGGCGCGGAGAGCGCTCTGGCTCAGACGGAGTGCGGAGGCCATTGTTGGTGATGAGGTGTGGAGGATGGGCTACACGTCAAGATGGCGGAGGATGGCGGGTGGGAGCGAGCTTAAGAGGCTTGCGAAAAGTTGTCGGTGGAGCATGGGATCGAGCTCATCAAAACCGCCCGAGCGCTCTAACCCGTACCGGATGCGTTGCTACGCCGGGTCATCCCTCGGCACTCCGCCGTGCGAAGGGAACGGTAGAGATTACAATCTATGTTCTCATGTTCCAGTATTGTGTTCGTTTGTTTTCTTACTGCTCAGTTATCCATAGCCATCGAGCGCCTCAGATGTGCAAAGGCGGCTCTTGAACAGCAGGACATGACGGTCCTACGTAATGCGCGTAATGCGCCCAACAATGTGACTCGAGCTCGTTTCGCACAGCATTCTGCACCAACATGCAAGCATGCTTGCTGCTTGCAGCTCTGGCGCCCCAAGATGAGCTGTGGCAGAGCTTCAACAGTGAAACCACGTGTTTGGCACAGCATACCTGGCCATAGGAATCTCTCCGTTGTACCATTCTGTATAATCTGAATGGCGTACTGGGCTGCTATGATGACTGCATGAAACTATTACCATGTCAGAACCGCGATGCCGGACCCCAGTCAAGTGAAGAGCTCTCGAGCGCGGGTGAAAGCTGCCCAGCTGTTGCAGACGTCACGTGGGATGGCTAGCGCGGCTTCTTCAAACTCGGCACGACAGGGCCATTCCACACCTGCTTCCAAAAACGCCTGCGCGCTTCACATAGACCAGCAACCGCTCCTGCGACTCTCCACTGCTTATCTTGATACTCTGGAGGTAGCTGCGACTGTCCTACTGTCGCACGTGAAAGATCGCGCAACCAACTGCTCTCACCGCGTTGTCGCGTAGAAGCATAGTACCTACAGCATTTCTCCTTAGCTCGGCTCAACCACAGCGCACACCCACCGGACTCTGAACCAGTTGCTATATTGCGCCTTGCTCGATCAACTGCTTGTTCGTCTTACACTCTTCGTACAACCTAGACTGTTCCACCACGGCTCTTGACCTGCAGTTTCGAGTACAGTCTGCGTGTCTTGCTATATCGGCTCTTCAACACACTCTGCATTTACCTGCACACACCCGTCGAGACTTTCCTTTTCTTTATCAGTCTGATCTGATACACTAAATATAAGCATGGCAGCGATGGATGAGTTGGAGTCGCTGTTGCAGTCGCTCCAGGCTCTGAAGGCACCCGGCGTAACTCCCACCAAGGTCAAGGCCATTACTGCGATATGCGTAGAGAACATTCAGGTATGCCGGCTGCTGAGTCCTTTCTGGCGCATGTCGTCCTCCCCTTCCCTAGGGTCTTTACTAAGTTTTCGTTCTCACCTCTAGTCCGATTCGACCATCATCCAGAGGATCCTCCAGCAGTTTCAGAACAGTCCCGCGACACACAAGCTCGGTGTACTATACGTCGTAGATTCGGTCACCCGCCAGTGGGTAGAGAAGGCTAAGGCGGCCGGACAAGCAGTGTCTAGGAATGCAGCTCCCGGAACATATGCTGCAGGAGTGCAGAGGATGACAGATGTCTTGCCAGCTGTGATGAACGACCTTGTTCAACATGCACCTGACAACCAGAAGGAGAAGATCATAAAGCTTTTGGATATTTGGCAACGAGGACAGACGTTTCCTCTGAACATGCTTGCGACTTTCAAGCAGCAGGTGAACGGTGGCCCGCAGAGTAAGTGCTCTGCTTCTTCACATCTGGTGTGTGCGCCTGACAGATTGTCCAGATGCACAAACAGCGCCGAGAAGTCCACCAAAGGGTAACAGCTCTGCGCCAGCTCCCCATGCTCAGACTAATACGCAGCACACAGCCGCTCCCGTGCCGCCTCCATCAATCGCGCAGAACCCACAGGATCCCGGTGCCTTACTTGCAGCCCTCTCTGGCTTCGGACAGCAGAATGGTCATACTAACGCAGCGCCACCTGGTCTCCCCTTCCTACAGAACATGGTTCCGCCACCCCCTCCTCCCGGATTTATGCCTCCACCACCCCCGGCAGCAAGTGCACAGCCTGCTATGCCGCCTCCTCCACCCGCTGGCATGAATGATTTGGCCCACCAGATATTACAAGCTATGAGTGCAGGTTCAATTGCGCCAGATCAAGCCATACAAGTACTAAACGCTCTGGCGGTAGCACAGAATGGGGGAGCATCGTTGCCAACTGCGCAGCCTCCGGTAGCACCTCAGGCGCAATCACCGGCACAGCCTGCTGCGCAGAACGGTGGTTCACAGCAACGTTTTGAGCAAAACGATACCAAGATGCGAGATCGTAGCAGATCGCCTGACTTTCAACGTCGTGCTTCCCCCAACCGTAGATCACCACCGAACCGCCGCGAGAGCCCTGTCTATGGTGCTTACGATCCTAACGCAGCTGCTGATGGTAGTGCGGCGAATCGTGCTGACCGCAACGATCGAGGCCGCGGTCGTGGTAAGGCCCGAGGCGGTCGTAATGATCGTAATGAGTATCGCCAACGTACACCGCCGGCGCAACGGCGACAGCCAAGCCCATCTAGAAACGTATATGGTCAGTCGCGCTACATCGAATGGGACCAGAGTCTGCCACGCGACAATATCAGGGTACTGAGTCGCACATTGTTCGTAGGCGGTGCAGGCGGGACAGAAGGTGAGATCCGAGCCATCTTCAGCCGCTTTGGTAGGGTCCAGACATGTATCGTGAACCAGGACAAGCGACATGCATTCGTCAAGATGTTGACTCGACCTGATGCTGTTGCGGCCAAGGAAGGCATGGACAGTCTACAAGATCCTGTTGCCCAGTCAAAGGCTCGCCAAGTAGGTCGCCCTTTGGTCCCACGAAGCGTGATTGCTGACGCTTGCAGACACGGTGGGGAGTTGGTTTCGGACCACGAGACTGTAGCGACTACAACAGTGGCATTAGCGTCATTCCAATCTCACGACTCACCGATGCTGACCGCAAGTGGGCTCTGACAGCAGAGCACGGTGGGACAGGCGGCCGGCCACTGGAAGGTGGCATGGTTCTTGAAGAACCTGACATCGAGATTGGAGCAGGGGTTTCATCGAAAGGTGCGTTGCTGTCCAAACTTGGGAACATATATGCCGGTTAACATCACCTAGCGATTAGCAGACGTGTGCCGACAGATGGTGGACGCGGCGGCCGTGGTGGCTTCGGCGGTCGTGGCGGTTTCGACAACGGGCCCAAGCTCCGCAAGCAAGAGCAACGCCCAGCCCACGACCCTCGCCATGTCTCCCCACGGGCAGAGCAGGGCGTTGCGGTTCCACCAGCAGTTCCTGGCTTTGGCTTCCAGCTACCTGGCTTCCAAGCCCGGTAATAGTACAATCCGCTTGACAGCTCAGCATCGGTAACATGGCATCTGGAGTCGACCATCTCGATCTGCCAAGTCATGATCACAGCGGATATGTCTTCCCATATACGTTTCATACCTCGTCTTTAGACACTCGTGTGTAGTGGCCCCAGGCGACAGGTATATTTCAAGCTCAGCTGCATAGCGCTGGCGTTGCGGAGTAACGGCACCCCTGATGGAGGTGAGATATTATAGCATGCTTCATGGCTCCGGCTTTCTATTCGAGTTCATGCATTGTACGATTACGGTGGTCCACGATTCTTGTGGCATTCGAGCCTCTTCAACGAGGTTTCAGCGTGGAAATCAAAAGTGTTATTATGCTCGACTCTTGGGACGTATCATTTTTCAATTGTTTTGTGCGTATTCATGTTTTGCTAACTTCTAGGTCTAGTATGCGTTTTGATATATCATCGTCATGCCCCAACACCAGGCTCGATTGACCGCGCCTCGTACGCACCAACACCACAACCTAGTTGTCATCCCAAGTCAGCTTGAACCTCCCCGGCGCATTCTGATAATCCTTCAGGGTCTGCAACACCTCCTCAGCCGTCAACGCCTCCTTGATGATCCCCGCGTTCGTGGCGCCGACAAACCCACTGCTCACCGCATTCTTCACCCACTCAATCAACCCCGTCCAGTAGTTGTCCACGTTAAAGACGATTACAGGCATGCTGTGGATTCCCAACTGGTTCCACGTCGTAACCTCCATCAGCTCCTCAAACGTGCCATATCCGCCGCTCAGCGCAACGAAACCGCCCCCTGGTCCGCCCTCGATGACTTCCCGCGCCATCATCTGCTTGCGCGTGTGCATGTCCTTGACGACGGTTGTGCGGCCGTAGATTGCCTCGTCGATGGTGTGCTGGCCCGGGTTCGCGGGGTCGTGGTTTTGCTCGAATTCGACCAGAGGCGCGGGGATGATGCCGTGCACGCTGCTGGGGCCGGAGAGAGAGACGAGGGCGCGGGCTACTTGGCCCATCAGGCCGACTGTGCCGCCGCCGTAGACGAGCTTCGTGCCCGACGTGTGCAGGGCGCGGGCGAGGGCGCGCGCGGATTCCATGTGGACGGGCGATGTGCCGTCGGAGGCGCCGCAGCTGGGGAAATGTTAGCGAGAGTGGGGTGTTGGGGGGGAGGGGGGAGGGGGGAGGGGAGAGGGGAGAGGGAGGAGTGTACAAGACGCAGACTACGGGCTTCTTGGTGAGAGAGGTGCCATTGACATTGCCCGCGGGTGTGATTGTAGCCGCCATGTTGGAGTTGCTGCAATGGTGTTGTAGCGCGAGGTTGTGAATGACAGTCTTATATAGCAAGAGGATTGGAGTCTGGAGGTGACAGCGAGGGGTGCCCTTGCGGCCGCGTTCTAGTTGCACAATGTCAAGTGAGATGCGCGAGACGACGTGAATGGTGGAGGGCTAAAGGAGGGTTGGTGTGTATGTGTAGTATGTGCCTGTCAGCACAGAGTCACTGCATGTTGGGTTTTCCTGTCGGACGCATAGCTTCGACCGTAGTTTTGATAGCTGCGGCCACAACAGGCACTCGTTTCGTCACCTGCCGTCAGCCGCGGCCTCGTTGGCTGGACCCTGGGACGCGACGAGCTACCGCAGAGCTACCGAGGCGCTACCGAGGCGCTACCGCGGAGCTACCGCGGAGCTACCGCAGAGCTAGCCCGCTGTGGGACGACGAGCGGGCCCTTGGCATGGCACGATGCTCCGACGGCCGATGGGATTCTGGACGGCTTTGGGGACACTGTGACCTCTCTCCTGTAACCTCTCTCCGCAGCGCCATCGAGACGTTGTGCTTGACGTTGACTGGAACCGCTGATTCCGCACACAGAGCAACCATGCCGGAAGTACAGCAGGCAGAGGGCCAGCAGGAGGCGGGGCCAAATGTACGTACTCGCGAAGCTTCAGCCAGCAGTCCGCGACCCCTCCACGCGCTGCCTAGCTAACAAGACGTCGGTCTGCAGTTCCTCAAGACGGCCGCGCAGAGTATCGGCATGTTCCTGCTGATCCAGGGCGGCATGAAGTATTTCCTCAAGGCCCCCGCCCCCGCGGCACCCCAAGCAGGCCAGCCGCATCAAGGCGCTACCGTCGGCGGCGGCGGCGGTGCTGCTGTCTCGATCCCCGCGTGGGAGAACCGTCCTCACCAGCTCATCGATGGCGCTGAGTACAGCCGCGTCCCCTGGAACATCGCGCCCATGTGGCAGAACGGGCAGGAGCTCGACATCTCCATGTACATCTCGCCCTCGGTCGCCATGCCCGCGCTCAAGTCCATGCCCAAGGACTCGCTGCTGATCGACGAGAAGAGGTTTGTCTACGGCGACTACAAGCAGAACAGGGAGATCCATGTCGAATTCACTGTGCCCACCGAGGTCCAGCACAACGCCTCTCTGCTTGCCCACTTCTACGTGGCCAAGAGTGGCGCGGTGCTTGATCCCACCCAGCCCGGCTACGACCCTTCCAAGGCCTACCACTTCATCCGTCCGTTGACGCAATACCAGGCCAGGAAGAAGATCGCCAAGACCAGGAACTTGCTCAGCGACATGCCGGAGAAGGATGCCGTCGAGACGGAAGAGGAGAAGAAGGCAGGCAAGGTGGTCGGCAACTACTACCACCCCAACTTCACCATTTCCATGATCCCAGACGCCGGTGTCCTCAGCTACCCTCAGATCCAGCCCGGCCCCAGGAAGTTCGTGCAGCTTGAGGCGACTGGCCAGCGCGATGCTACTGGCCAGCATGGATGGTACTATCCTATCCTCTACACCAACACGTTTTGGCAGCTCAAGAAACACATGATTGAGCTCAACGAGACGGTCAAGACGCTGCCATTGAACGTCAACCTCAACAACTTGGCTCACTGGAAGTTCAACCTGTACGCCTCGGTCGACGAGAACCTGCGCTCGCAAGCTGCTGCTGCCGCAGCCGGCCAGTCTACCCCAGGTGGCGGCGACGGATCCGAGATGGAGATGTTCAAGGAAATCCTGATCGACAGCAACTCGTACCTACTCGGACTCACAGCCATCGTTTCCGTCTTCCACATGATCTTTGAGATGCTCGCCTTCAAGAACGACGTCCAGCACTGGCGCAAGAAGAAGGATAACGTCGGTACCTCGGTCCGCACCATCGTCGCCAACGTCTTCATGCAGACTATCATCTTCCTGTACCTCCTCGACAACAACGAAAACACCTCTTGGATGATCCTCTTCGGCCAGGGCATGGGCATTGCCATCGAAGCCTGGAAGATCACCAAAACAGCCAACATCCGCGTCCGCCCCACCGCCCCCGGCTCTCTCCTCCCCTACACCATCGTCCTCGAAGACAAGCACGTCGCGTCCGAGATCGAGAAGAAGACAGAAGAGTACGACCAGATCGCATTCAAGTACCTGTACATGGTCGCCGTTCCTCTCCTGATTGCCTACGCCATCTACTCCCTCCTCTACGACACCCACAAGAGCTGGTATTCCTTCATCATCACCACGCTCGTCGGCTCCGTCTACGCTTACGGCTTCCTCATGATGGTGCCCAGTCTGTACATCAACTACCGACTCCAGTCCGTCGCGCACATGCCCGGCCGCGCCATGACGTACAAGTTCCTCAACACTTTCATCGACGACTTGTTCGCGTTTACTATCAAGATGCCTACGCTGCACCGCCTCGCTACGCTGCGCGATGATGTGATCTTCTTCGTGTACCTGTTCCAGACGTGGAAGTACAAGGTGGACTACAGCCGTGTCAACGAATTCGGACAGGGTGGAGACGACGAGGAAGTCGAGGAGAAGGATGCCAACAGGCCGTTGCAGGCGCATCCGGATGGTGATAAGAGCCCCAAGACACCCAAAGCGGTCGAGAAGGCTGAGGGGAAGGCTGAGGAGAAGGAGACGGCTAAGGCGACGGGCGCCCAGAAGCAGAGTGCGAAGAAGAGGAAGTAAACTGGCGGTGATGCAAGTCCAGCAACCACAGGCTTGCGCCGCTCATCGTGGGGGATTTTGCGCTGTGTATCATGCAGAGACCGTCGATGAAGCGCTTAGCAGAGCAAATTGAAACGCTGGAAACGCAACATGTTATTCGCATACATTTCTGTGCCCCCACGCGCATCCGTGCCTGAACGTTGTGGTGTTGGCGGTGCTCATGTTGGTGAGACTAACTGGCGTAGATACCTTGCGTCAAGGTTGCACTGAAAATCGTAGGAACGCCAACAAAACACTCATGTACTTAGCACTCAGCTATGAGGTTACTCGTGCTCCTGCGAAGATGACACTAGCTTCCGTGTCCATCGCTGTCGTGGCAGGGGTGCGTGTAGGATTCTCGTTGCACTCGGTAAACCATCGACTACATCCCTCACTGACTCGCCAGACTCACAACGTCTGCAACCACTTCCCCAGCGCCTGCGCAGTCTCCTCTGGCGCCTCCTCAGGCACAAAGTGCCCCACACCATCTCCAATAGGCCACTCAGTAATCAAATGCGCGCCTTCACTCCACGGCTGACTCCACACCTCCAGGATCGGCTTCTTCGCTCGCTTCGGCAGGAACCCAGCACTGTACGCCAACAACAACGGCACCACGATCCGCCTCCCCTCCTCAATCGCCTTTTTCTCAAACTCAACGTCGGTAGTAGCACCGGCCTCGTAATCCCTCGTCGTCGCCTCGATGACCTCTGGGTGGTTGAAAAATGAAGAGTAGACTGCCAGCGCATCACCCTCCTTCATTTTCTCGCGGGCCGATGCATTCGTGCCCGCCCACCGCTCGATCATATCACCCGCCCATTTCCCCCCACCGTATGCCTGTATCATCGGGACAGCAATCGACGGATTCGCGAGGAAGGACCAGTGAAACCACCCCGTTGCCTTCTCCGCTTCGTCGCCAATCGCCCATTGCGAGTGCGTGGGCACAATGTCCAGCAACGCCAGACCTTTCACTGTGAACCCCAGAATCGGGGCGTTGGGTGAGTAGAGATGCAAATGATGCGCTACTCGGGCGCCGCGGTCGTGGCCTATCAGGACAATCGGAAGTACTTCAGGAGATCTGGCGTGACTGGAGTCAGAGTATTTGTTAAAGGAGTCGATGAGTTCCCGCAAGGCTGCGAGGATCAGCAGTCCGACGCTGACTTTGTCATGCTTCTCTGGCGCAGAGCTGTTTCCGTAGCCGGGCAGGTCGGGGATGAAGAGTGGATGTGGGAGGAGGGGGATGATGTGGCGCCATAGGTAGGCGCTGTTTGGGTATCCGTGGAGGAGGACGAGGATGGGGGTGTTGCTGTTGGCTTTGATGAGCTGTTTGTGGTAGCTGACTAACTTATGCGATGAGGTGGATTTCTGGAAGCCGAGTTCCGCAAATTTCTGCTCTTGAATGTGAGCCATGATTGTTGAGAAGTTCACTGAAGACCCGTAATTATTCACTTGGTACGAAAAGGCTGCATTATATCAATTGTGCTCGAGGTCGCAGCATCCTGCCTGAATCGTTGATTCATAGCTGCATTTGTCAGCGTGCTTACAATGGCGTGCTGCCTGACCAGACTGCAAACGCGACGATGATAAGGCGCGGATGGACCAGGAAAGAGGTAAACCGCCAACAATAAATTGAGACTCTTATTGATAAGCACTAACATCTGGCGCTGGGTATCGAAGTAAACACAAAAAGCTCATTCTCCAGTGACCCGCTCATCGCAGTAGCCACCTTCTCATACACAGTATACAAAATACTGCTGCTGAAAGCCAATCGGCCCACTCGCGACGTGCTGCCACTCCACAGACCTCGAAGACCGGTCTGCTGCACAACACTTCGGAATGCCTCGATCGTGCCAGCTCCTCGTGCACTCTGAGCCCAGGTTTTTATCGTATCAAACGGTTGGGTCATATACACTGTGACGGTACCTGCCAGAGCACCAGTAACGAAAGCTGTGATGCCATTCTGTGGCAAGTCATGTCGTCTTGAGAACTCCCTGATGACGTTGTACGAGCCCATCTTGACGCCTTGCGTACTCGACTGTTTCAAGATGGTAGGTACCAGTCCATGATAAAGACCACGGATGCTCTGGGCACGGATGATAGCCTCGTAAGTGTGAGGTTCTCCCCGATACAGCTTCATCTGAATCCTCGCGTTGTCGATAAGCAAGGTCTTGAGGCGCTCGGTTGGCGTCACTGCAACCACACTCTCGGTCAAGCCGGCCAGAGATCCAGCAAGGATACCTCTCAGAGGTGTCAACGCTCCCGTATCGTCGGCGAGGCGGCTGCGGAAGTAATTGAACGAGAAGAAGCGGACACTGACTTTGAACGCGGTTCCGAGAACAAGAGTCGAGCAGCCTGTGTATATTGCCCCTATGCCGTCATTTCTTGCGACATTCAAGATGACTGCAAAAGGGTTGTGCCTGCATCCTGGAACTGTCTGCAGCTGCACTCGGGTTTTGGCGTACTCCAATGGATAGGTTGCTATGGCTTCTACACCACCGGCTATGGCGCTGGAGAACAATGAAACAGGAGCCGAAGTCGTCTTCTTCGCTGTGACAGACAGTTCAGGTCTTTGCGGAATCTGCACCGCTTGCCCTACCCTGCGGAAAGGTGATGCGGGACTTTCAACTGCGGCCATGATGAATGAGCAGTTGTGGTTGGAAATGACATTGCTATATCCAGAGAGATTGATACTTTGCGCGACATCTTTTGTGACACCAACGTGCACAGCATCCTCTCGGCCATGATAATGGAAGTGATGGTTCCGCGTTGCGCCGTGTCGCGCATCAGTAAGGTTACGGTTGCGAAGTCTGATGGCAGGCACAGCCGAGCGTCAGCCCGAGCCCGTGCGTTGAAAACCAACCCGCGGCTCTCCCGCGGCAATGGACCTTCCTCTTTACCCTTTCGCCGCACCCGCACTTGATACAACTTACGCCGCGGTTGTCAACCTCCCCTCTTCTCGTCTTCATGGACGGCAGCAACCGTGCCGCTGTGGCCGGCGATGCGCCGCGGGTGCGCAAGCGGGCACCTGAGGCGTGCACTTTTTGCCGCCGACGAAAGGCGCGTGGTTGTTTATGCGTGACTCTATCGCTGGCTGACCGGAGCAGATCAAGTGCAGCACTGAACGTCCTTCATGTGCAAATTGCAAAACCCATGGAATGACTTGCAACTATGAGCCTATCGACGATGCTGTTCGTGCACGAACTGCTCGTCCAAGCAAGGTGCCACGGAGGGAGAATGTCACTGAACAGACCGCAGCTGCAACTACCCACAGGGCAAAATCAGTGTCTGATGACAACTCTACTCGCTCAACTTTAGACTCGGCGAGTCGAGCAAACAGTGTGTCTCGTATCGTTGTCTCTTCGAATGGCATGCCCAGCTACCACGGCCGTACAAGCACTCTCTTCGAAGAAAGCTATCATGACCGTTCCACCCCAGAAGCCAACTCCAGAATGCCCGAGGAATGGGTAGAGAAAGGACTGATTGCTGAAGCTGCATGTCAACGTCAGCTTGAAGATGTCAACTTTCGTCTTGGAAAACTCGACTTCGACGGCGTGGAGCCTGAATTAGGGCAGCACTTATTGTCCCTTCATTGGAATCGACAACACCATTCATTCCTTATCACATATCGGCCTGCGTTCATGCGAGACATGGCATGCAAAGGCCCGAACTTCTCTAAACTCCTCTTGAACGCCATCTTCTTCAGCGCGTCGAAATTCAGTCCGCGTCGCGAGCTCCGAAGGGACGCTGATGATGTGCGGACTGCTGGCTGGCAATTCCGTGAACGAGTCCGAGGGCTACTAGGTGGTGCTTTGGACAAGAGCGACATTACTACCATACAGGCATTGTTGATCATGTGTAACTCCTTGTTCGCACTTGGAGATGAGCGCAGCGCAGCTTGGCTGTACGCTGGTCTAGCGTTTCGTATGATTGTTGACTTGGGCATTCACGTAGACAAGGCGGGCCTGGCTACTCACCGCAAGTTCTCGGACGAAGACCTTGAAGTTCGAAGACGCGTCTTCTGGGCTGCGTTTGGTAAGTTGAGTTGGTTCCATTCACGCGCACGTTCTGACCACGAGTATAGTCGTCGACAAGATACAGAGTCTGTATCAAGGCCGACCAGTCACCATCAAGGAGTCTGACACACTGGTACCTATCAAGTTCCTGGACACCTACGAGGAGCTGGAGCATTGGACTCCTTTGGCCTACTTGACACAGGCGAATGTGGCTTATTCTGGATCGCCGGCATATAGCATCTCCACTTTCAAGCACCTTTGTCAACTTTCAATAATCTTGAGCGATATACTGAGCACTATCTACACAGAGCGTAGTTCCGACAAAAGCTCCGCTGAGCTGTCTACCAAATTGGAAAGCATTCATGCGACATTACAGGCTTGGTACCGAGACTTGCCTGCCCACCTGTCTGACGTGAGCAAACTACCGACGACTCCACCTCCACACGTGCTGAGCCTGCTGTAAGTGCTACAGCCTATACTATTACACCGCTGAGCTGATAGTAATAGCGCCATGTACCATGTACTCATGATCCTCTTGCATCATCCCTTCGTCGCTGACGGCCATCTCTACAACACTTCTCGCAGCATCTCGGTCAACTCATTGAAGTGTTGTGCCACAGCAGCAAATGACATTGTCCATCTCGTACGGGTCTTCGACAAAGCGTTCAGCGTACGAAGAGCTCCATATCTTATTTCGTATGCGACATACGTTGCCGCAACTATCCATGCGCGCATTGCAGCAAAGCGTGGCCCCGGCTCTGATGCCCACAGCAGTCTCGCTGCTTGTCTAGCCGTCTTTCGAGAAAACCAGGAGACCAACCCAGCCGTTCGGCGCGCCAACGCTCTTGTGCAGAATCTAATGAAGAGACTTGGGGTACGCATGCACAGTATCGATGAGTGCCGCATTCATAAAGGTACCAGTGGTAGCAATCAACGTCAATCTCCTGAGACGGTCTCGAACACATCGACTGGACGTAGGCCCAGCTTACAAGGTCTCGATCTTGATGGCATTATACAGAGCTTTGTGCGCGAGCAGGAGAATGCCCAAATGACCCAAGTAGGAACGCCCGACCACAGTGCCATGAACACGGCAGCACCTACACACATGCCGCCGCTAAGAGCTCCTACCATTGGTGGGAACATGCTCGATGCTGGCGGTCACGACGTGAACTCCATCACTTACGACTACAACGGACCGTGGATCGGTCAGGTTCAACATCAGATCTATGGAGACGCCTCAGTACCCGTGGACGACTTGTACTACGGCTTCAATAGCGCTGCTTTGGACAGCTTCCCTATCACACCATTCTTGGAGTGGAACACTATGTGAGCATCTTCTCAACAGTCTCGACTCTGTAGAGTATCTAGAGATGATCCAGAGATGCAGTGGCAGGTATCTGAAGTTCCCCATGGGGAACTTGATGTGCACGCGGCCCGTAAGTACTGAGCCAGAGTTGTGCTCTGCTTCTGAAGCGAGCCAAGACCACCAGTCAGGGCTGCAAAGCAAACAAGATCACTCAGAGGCGAGACTTAGCGAAGCTCATCAAACTTGGAATGCTTATAGTGACCCAGTTGTTTGGTTGTCGAAGTTTCCGGAGCGGGTCTTGGGGCCAAGTCTTTGCCAAGGGCGAGCAAAGAAGGAAGAAGGGACCCCGCTCTACTTTGGGCTCAGCTATATTACCTCGAATTTCACTAAAAGCCTCGCAATAGAATGTGTCAGCCGCAGCTGAGATGGGAACCATGAGCCTTGGGGATGTGTCAATGATCATGGGCGTTCCGCCCAAAAGCGGCGGGCCGAATACAGCAAGTTGTAGAGAAATAAATAGGAGCCAAGCAGAACAAGCAAATGACTACGATCAATTGAGCAGATTTGATGAACAGAAACTACTGACTGATTCCAACAATCACCCAGACTTCAAACCACTCGCTGCGCCCCCACCGTACAATTTTCTGAGCGGACAGATGTAGAAGTCTAATCAGAAGTGCCATCACATCAACGCAAGTCCCAGTCCAATGATGCCCAGCAGCGCGCTACGGCCTAGGTCAACCTCGTTGTGACCAGCGGCACCAGTGGATTCGACAACTCCGCTCGAGGTTGCTGTCGGCAAACTGTCGCCGTTCAATGTGGTGACAGTTCGAAAGCCCGTACCTTGACTCGGTGCTTGACTTTACAAGCTATTAGAGGACACTTACTGCGAACTTTCACCAGGTGCTTGTGCTGGAGCAGTCTGAGATACTCCAGGAGCCGGTGAAGATGCACCTGGCCCAGTATTTGGCGGCGCTTGTGATGCCCCAGTAGGTCCAGGCGCGTTGACTTTAGTCGAAGCCTGCTTTGGGTCAGGCACCACAGGAGATGATGATACCTTATTCTGGCCAGCCGTCAATGTACCCGTGACCTGCGACGGGGCAGTAGGCGCTGTCGGTTCCCTATCGGACCCCAAACCTGATGTTGTGGGGGATTCCTGCGGAACAGACGATGCGGTGACAAAACTCGAAGGCGGACGAGTAGATTCGTCGACTCTAAAAGATGAGGTCGGCGTTTCGAGGGTCCTGATCGTCGTATCGGTCGTCGAATTGGGTGGTAGTAGAGTTTGGGGTGGATTAGTAGGAGTCGTCGGTGTGGTTTATCCACCAAGACAAATGTTGTCAACCTTTACCAATCCTCCCGGACCCGTAACATTGCAGGTTGAGAGACACCCGGCGTCATTTGTCAGAGTGGGATCGACGTTGATCGGGTCCAAGGGAGGAGCAACAGATGTTTGAGATGGTGGATCACGTTCGGGATCAGCAACTGGCGTGGTAGGCTCAAGTGCCTGCGAATCGGTAAACCAACCTATGGTAGATAATGGTGAAACAAGTACCAACATCCTCAGAAGCGTAGAATAGGCCGGACGCCTGAGGGATCCAGTGGTTGAAAACATGGTAAGTTGGAAGAAAGTCTTTGGGAGAGTTTTGTTTGATGTAGGCGGACTAAGAGTGTCGCAGTATCAACAGCGGCCAGCCTACGAGTATTTATATTTGGGCCCTCGGGTTTCAGTTGCCAACATCTACACGGCGATTCCAGTTTCGTGACTACCACACAGCAAGGATGGCGGGCTGCGACAGTAGGTCTGGTAGCAAGCTCCCAGTCGCCGATCTGGCGGGGCAGGAGCCCTCCTGGTCTTCTTGAGGCATCATTCCTTTTTATTGCGGTCTGTCTCAAGAGTATCGTTCAGCTGGCTGTAAGGCTGACCTGATATAGCACAGAAAAGGTACGATGGAACGCGGGAGCCCGGAAGCGTCTATCCCCAAAACATAGTTCTTGGCTCGCTTCGGAAGTGTACCATGTTTTAGGAGGACCTCATCTCATGGCAGTGATAACAACTCTGGGGTTCACTAACCACGACGGGACGAATCAACCGAGTTCGCTTTTGTTGACCAGATACATGCGCAGAGTAGAGCCGCAAGAGAGCTGGAAGCGAGGGATGTGAACGCCCAGCTGAAGTCCCGTAGCCTCGAACGGATCTCTCTCCGTCCGAATCGTGCATTCAGCCTTCCTTGAGGTCCAGTGGCAGAGGAATGGATCATGAGACCGCATGATGAGCTTAGAAGCCGTTCGTCGCTTCTGGTATCGAGCATCTAAGTGGGAGATAAGAGGAACACACTGGCACTTCAGCTATTACATCACTCTGCAAGATGAACAACCGAACGCGAACTTCGTCTCCTCTGTTTATTCAAAACTTTGGATGATGGCCGGGGAGCCATGGTTCTTGGTCTACGTAAGTATTCAAGGTCACGCTGCACGCCTTGACATACTGCAAAACAATCTAAATACAGGGTAGTGGGACAAAGTCTCTCTAGTCTTCCAAAAGAAACGAGATCCAACGTGCAGCTCAGCGTACTGAATTGTCTAGGTTCTATGTGCACGCGAGCACACCGCCGCAGCAGTTCCACGTCTTTTCATCGTTCGACGAGCAAACAATATACCTGCCCATTGACGAAGACTGCTTGCCGAACGGTTTCAATGTCTCCAATTGTTGGGCATCACGGGGCGTCGAGGTCTTTGATTCAAAGCCTGGCATCGAATTCCAGAAGAATGTATTGTCAACCTGGGATAAGGTTGGCATCTATCGTGTGCACATGGGAAATAAGCATGGCATCGTTGGCGATGCCTATTTTGGATACAGTACTGTTGAGCTGTCAACAAGCCGTTCTGTAGACGTGCCCACGCTGGATCACCAAGTCCTCGCTTTATATGCGACTGCAGACTTCTGGCAAGGTCGATTTGTGTCGGAGGGAGTGAAGATATCCACCGATCGCCATCTGTTTGCTAGCGGTCCGTTGCAGTGTTTGCTAACGATCCGCTGCACTGATTGTCCAGCTCATTCGGTTAGCTCGGTTTGCTTCCCCAACCCTTCACTGCTATCCCCTTCTACTATATAGTCTCGATGTAGCTGCGTGTGCAGTGTCGTTCCAGAGGCTGTGGTCACTGATTGTATTGCTATCTGTTGTTGTTCGGTGATGTTCTTGTACAGGAGCTCTCTGCTCAGAGGTAAGTGCACTTGCCCACCGGGCAGTGCCTTCTACAATAGGATTTCATGTGACCTAACCCACGTAGTTACACTCGATCTATTCTAGCCAATAGCTCAAAAGATCAATCAACACAATCAACTCACTTCAACAACTTGGGCTATCAATGTATTTAATGAACTTTAGCGACACTGAGCAACCGCACTCGTTTCTCAGTCGCCCCGAAGAAGGAGGTCGCATCCCCAGCCTATTGTTTGGTTACCATGCTGGTGCACCGTATAAATTCACCAGGATTCCCGGAAGTCTGGTCCTTGGCGGCTACGACCGTTCCAGGAGATCGAACAAGACGTTACTCGTGTCATCATCGCAAGACCTTTATGTTGGTCTTCAGAGCATGTCAGCCAGACTGAGCAACGGTACAACTACAGTACTACTTGACAGAGGCATTGTTGCTATTCTGGATCCCAACGTACCTGAAATATGGCTTTCTTTCGCTGTTTGCGACACTTTGGCCTCAACGTTTGGCCTTACGTACCATCCAGAATCGGTCTGTTTTGCACAGACCGACAGCATACATCTGTTGCGGTACTAGTCGGTCCATACGAGACCCTATTACCCTTACTTAGACTGTTCTGGATTAGCACGTTCCAGAGTCAGTATAGTCGCTTCTCCTCACTAGATAGCAACTCAGCGCAGTATTCCATCGACCCGATAGTCCTACGTTGTCATTTGCCGTAGCTATCAGTACTCTACAGCGGCCCACGCCGCTACAACATCTACTACTGCAGGATTCAACATCCGCATTGACCTTCACACTCAGACTGTCAGTATTGGGAGGTCAGACCGTCAGGATTGAGGTACCCTTCCCTGCGTTCGACCTGCAGGCTTCATATCCGATCTTCGCCTCCCCAACAAATTACTTCCCTTTGAGGAGAGCAGCAAACGACAGCCGGATTACATTGGGGCGAACATTTTTTGCAGGAGGTATACCTCAGTGCAGATTGGGAAAGCGACGTGTTCAATATCAGTCAGGCGGTGTTTAGCGCGTCTATGCCCAAGCCTGGTCTTGTGACGATCGAGCCAAAGAAGGACAACGAGAAGCTGATCTTGACATCTAAGGGTTCGACGAAGCTATCTTCGGGATTTCTTGGCGGCATCTTTGCAGGTGCAATCCTTTTCGTTCTACTCCTGGGCGGAGTCAGGTGGTGGTTTTGCCATCGTAAGCGCAAAGCGAAGAATCATGCAGCAGAAGTTGAGATACAGCCAACAGACGAGAAGCCTGACTATTCTTATTTTGCAGCGGAGACTGCTGAAATGTCGCCGGCTAGGGCCAAGACTGATTTGGAACTGGAGGGGAGAGTAGTAGGTGAATTAGCTGCACAATACGAGCCAAGCCGCGTACACGAATTAAGACGCAAAGATGTATATGGAATGTATGCGGCGGAACTTGATTGCGTTGAGCCGGTATACGAGCTACCTTCGCAATGTGTAGATGCATGATGTTTGATCGCATTTGTTCAAATGAAATTGCTATTTCTCCAGTCTTCAAAGTGATAGAAGTTATGTGTTTTTCGAATGGAGTAGTTGCTCAATTTGTCAGCCCGCACCTTCACTGCGTCCATTCTTCTATAGGCTACGCGCCTTCCTCTTTCCGACTAGCGCCCATAGCTCTCTCTTAGGGTACATAAATACCACGTAGATAGCTGTCAATACGTCACGATTCTGCTCAATTTCTCCCCATTGACACAATTCATCGCGAAAAGGACTAGCAATGAGCTCATTGGGCAGCGGGTACGTTCAGCCTGATGGAGTCGCAGGCGCTGCAGTTCGCAGTGAGATCGGCATAATGCTTTCACTGGTCTCAGACAGCGATGCATCCCATTTGATCCTATCTATCATCAGCAGAGACATCGACGGAAGGGAAGGGACTGGTGGACTGACTGATATATGCCGGTCTCGTTTGTTGGCGATGCGACAAAATACATCTCGATGGACCCAGCTTTACTATTGTACGCGTATCCTCCGAACAAGCCAAAACCCGTGACAATGACGCCGTCTGAGACGTTTTTGTAGTTCGAGGCAAATCCCACTGTCTTGAGATCACCTTCCCCCGCGCCGATGCACATGGAGGGATTCGAGGTCCACGTTACGTTGTCGATCGGATATGCTACGAATCTCGAATCATCCGTGAGAGAAACTGGAAAAATCAAATCTGATGCTTTGACTCGTCTCAATGAACTCACAGGTCACGTTAGTGGCTTGAGAAGCGAACGAGGGAGCGCTGTCACCGACGTATGCGTAGCCTGATCTCTAGGTGTAAGTCTGGGCACCGTAATAACGCGGAAGACGGACCATCAGCATAGAACAGTCTCATGCCAGCAACAAGTTCATTGCCATAGGCATATAGACTGAAGCTACTCGGTGCAGACACAACGAGGTCAGCGAAAGCAAGGAAGGAAACCAGTAAGGAGTGTGAGAGTTGCATGATGGCAAGTTTGAAAAGAAGCGTAGACTATCAGACGTACACACAAGGGATAAACAGTGATAATGTGACAGCCGTATGACATATAAAGTACCCGTGGATTCGTCACCCAGATCAAGTGGTGAACAAGCCACCGAAAGCTTGCTCTTCTCCCTTTTCCGTGCTACACCATTTGGAAGGTATCTAGATCTTGAGCTTACGAAAATGCTGCCAATCGATCCACGTGCATCCCGGTCAGATGCAGAGCTTGCTCCTATCTGAGTTTGACACTTCTGGTCATGCCATGTCTGGAATGTAGCTCGTGAGCCCCTGGACTGTTCTGTTTCTGGACGGCTTGTCACTCGAAACAGTCCGGCCAGATGGCTGCAGCCACATTGCGAAGTGGAGATGCGTGACCAGACTTGTTGTGGTTGAAGATGCCCCAAAATGAACATGACGCGCGTCCGGGATGTCGAGGTTTGCAAAATAGACATCGCACACACGCGTTCACACAAGCGGATACGAGACGAAGCGAGGCACTAGTGTGCATGATTCGGGTGAGGTCGTGGATCGTGGGGAACTAGCGAGCACGGACATCATTGTCCCGTGACGGCACGCGTGCTTCTTCCAAACCATCTCCACAACACCTGCACTACGACATCTATTTTTTGTGAGATTTTCGGTGTTCGTGCTCTGGAGTAGTGGCCGCCGCTTTGAACTTGCCTTTAGTCTGACTCAACGAACCGAGTCTTGATAAGACTATAAGATGCACTAAAACTTAAAATGGGCGCAATCACTCCAGAGACGCCACCAGTCGAACAGTACTCGACACTCGTTTCTCTTTTGCATCGCGGCTAACTGCAAGATGCATAAACCCTATAGAACTTTGAGGATTACGTAGCGCTTTACGATTGAGGCACCGCGTAATATAGCTCGACTGCTTTGCGGTTCCATGATCGGGCGGATTAGGCTGGTCAGGATTTATATCCCCAAGAGGGGGCAGAACGAAAGTCATTCATCACACTCGTTCGATCGCATTGCTTGACATTCGTTTCGTACTTCTAGTTTGTCTCATTCGTTTCAGTCTTTCCTTCTATCCTAATCCGAGCGATAGCCGTCATGAGATCTCTCCTCACATTCATTTGGTTGGCGGCACTTACAACCGCAATTTCAACCTTGGATACTGAAGATCAACTCGATCCAGTTCTTGATGCCAGATCCACGCCAGCCTTCTCCCCTAAAGCGCCATTTCATACGACATCTAATCTCAATAAGGGACGAGTAGCCTACCATCCGTTCTCTGATCATTTTTCTTCACTTCGTCACTACGCATCACCTGGTCATAGCCCATCGTCTGGGCAGAACCCATCGTCTGATCACAACCCATCGTCTGATCACAACCCATCGTCTGATCACAACCCATCGTCTGATCACAACCCATCGTCTGGGCAGAACCCGTCGTCTGACCACAACCACTCGAACGGCCAAAACACACCGTCGAAGGAGAAACAACCGTTGAATCATGTCAAGCCGTCGAGTTCGACTAAAAGATCAAGCTCTACTAAGCCAACTACGTCTCCGAAGACGACTATATCTCGAACGACAACTACGTCAATCAAGACAACTACCTCCACCAAGCTATCTACCCTCCCCGGGTCGTCGGATTCAGCCACATCGTCAAGTTACACCGAATTGTTGAGCTCCTTCAAATCTACAAGCTCAATCAAGCCAACATCCACTTCCAGCAGTGCGATCGCAATCTCCACCTGTGCTGGCAATACAGCAGACGAGCGCACAAAATGGTGTGATTTCAGCATCGACACGGACTGGAACGAGGAAGCACCTAACACCGGTGTCACTCGGGAGGTATGTGAGATCTCGAACGATGTACCAAAAAGCTCTGACGCTATGCTGACTCTGATCTCGCTAGTATTGGCTTGACATCACTAATATAACGGTCTCACCTGACGGTTATGAGCGCATCGCTCTTTCTGTCAATAATTCCATTCCGGGACCGACTATTGAGGCCAATTGGGTAATGACAGTTACCAACGAAACACTGGGAAGAATATAGTTCTAACATAACTTCAGGGAGACACTGTGAAGATCCATGTCAAGAACAGCCTCACCAACAACGGCACTACCATGCACTGGCACGGGCTAAGGCAGAATTATACTGTTCAGCAAGACGGTGTTCCGTCTATAATTCAATGCCCCGATGCGGTAAGTCTCTATCTTACCCCACACCTCTTGATGGCCAATTTGCTGACCATCTCAGCCTGGAACCACACACACATACACCTGGCGCGCCACTCAGTACGGTACTAGCTGGTACCACTCCCACTACGCGCTTCAAGCCTGGGCGGGTGTCTTTGGACCTATCGTGGTTCATGGCCCTGCAACAGCCAATTACGACATTGACCTAGGTCCCATCATGGTCACAGATTGGAGTCACAAGACAGTCGATGCGCTCTACACGTCCGCTCAGACAGATGGTCCACCTACTCTGGATACTGCTCTGATCAACGGAAAAGGCACCTTCAATGGCACCGGTGAACGTTATGAAATGTCTTTCGAGCCCGGCAAGAAGCACCGCATGAGGTTTGTCAACTCAGCCATCGATACGGCTTTCAAGCTTTCTCTTGATGGCCACAACATGACAGTTATTGCCATGGACTTCGTACCAGTGGTACCATTTCAGATCGATGTGTTGGATATCACAATGGGTCAACGCTACGACGTCATTGTTGAGGCTAACCAGACGGCTACGGACTACTGGTTTCGAGCTATCCCCCAAGCGTCGTGCTCCGAGAATGACAACACTAACGATATCCGGGCTATTGTACGGTACAGCAACAGTTCGACTGCAGATCCAACAACCACAGCATGGAACCAGACAGACGCCTGCGTTGACGTGAGCTATTCTTCCTTGGTGCCACACGTTTCTCACACTGTGGTCAGCCCAGCACTGCAAGACACAACACTCGGCATCACCGTCGGCAAAGATAACAGTAGCTTGTTTAAGTGGACGATTGGCATGGATAGTATGAAGGTGATCTGGAACAATCCGTCACTCTTGCAGATTGCTGAAGGCAACGCGACGTGGGAGACCGCAGAGAATGCGTACCTGCTGCCCAACGCCAACCAATGGGTGTACTGGGTGATTGACACACAGCTACCAATCCCACATCCGATCCATCTGCACGGCCACGACTTTTACATTTTGGCTCAAGCAGCAGGTGCGACATATAATGCGTCTACAGTGACCCTGAATCTGGCCAACCCGCCGCGACGAGATGTGGCCACCCTGCCTGCAAGCGGATATCTGGTCATCGCGTTCTATACCGACAATCCCGGAACATGGCTGGTAGGTGACTTGTTCTTCCGTCCTCAGAAAGAGCTAACATGAAGCAGATGCATTGTCATATCGGCTGGCATGTTGCTGAAGGACTGGCCGTACAATTTGTAGAACGCCAGAGTGAAATCGCTGCACTACTGGACACAGCTGAAATCAAGTCAACATGCGCTGCTTGGGACAAATTCAACTCAGATACTCTTGATATTGAACAGGATGATTCCGGGGTATAGACGTTCGGGATCCTCTCATGTCTCGAGAAACTCTTAGAACTCCGGCCGCAGGATCAATGCGTGGTCATATTCTGTGACGGCGTGGGCTGCTGTAGTATACTGATAGCTACGGTGAACGATAGTGTAGGACTATCGGGTCGATGCATTACTGCGCTGAGTTGCTATCTAGTAAGGAGAAGACGAATATATACTGACTCTGGAACGTGCTAGTCCAGAACAGTCTAGTCTAAGCAAGGGTAGGGTCTTGTATGGACCGACTAATACTGCAACATTTTCAGTCTGCACAATGTTACAACCTCTCTTTTTCCTGAACCCGATTGTCGACAACCTTTGCAATGCCTATGTTGTTCTACTCTAAGTATATGAAATACCCATTGCCCTTGATGTTCAGATCTGCGAGCTTAATCCAGCCCGGGCTATTACCTGACGCAGTGATCACGGGTCGCATGTACGCTGGCCTCTCCAGTCAGGCACAAGTACGGTACACTCGGGATCTTCGGCAGCTTCCGTGCAGGTTCGGCTTGCAGGCGGCAGTTACGAAGAGCAAGCGTGTCGTTACCAACCACGACTTGCTGAAGTTCAGAGGTATTGGCTACAGCAGGCTCGTAGTCGGGAGGTGTGTTCGTTAAACCCCGGGGTCGAGTCGCGATGCCTGAACCGATAGTCGAGCCGTAGTTCCAAAAAGGCAGGGTGGAGTATTTCAAGTTGATGTTGCCTGCGAAGTTCTCAGGGCAACCGTTTGACAGGAAAATTGGGTAGGAAGCTCTGGAGGAGTGGGAGATTAGGAAGATCCGATCAGTGAAAGCAAGCCGCACCTTGCAGCGCGCATCGACAGTTCGCCCAGGGTGAAGTTGCTGGTGAATGGTATCATGACCTTGCAGAATGCGTCGAAGAACAGATCCCCGATCTGTCCAGTGCTGGGCCATTGCGTATGCAACTTTACTTATGGATAGGTTGCGAGTAGTTCAGGAGCCGTGAATCCAACCTGAATGCCTTCCTGAGTCGTCGTGTTCCAAGGCACGTAGCCGCGAGTGTCCATCTGGCTGCTACGTCTTGCAGACGTGTGATCGAAAAGGTAGACTTGATAGCCCTTCTCGAGGAAATAGCTTACAAACACAGTCCGCCATCGGGGTGTTGGGGCACGTTATCCCCGACACAGCTCCGCCATGAATGAACTCCGAAGGCTTCGACAGTGTGACACCGATGGAGGGAGTCAGCTACTTGACTTACAATTGATCAAACGTGAGGTTGCCAGTTTTGATGTTAAGAAGACGATTACTGACATAGAAGATGTCTCGTCGATGCTGGGCTGCACAGAAATATATTTGAGGCTGATCGCTGCAACGTTGTGTGCTGTTGTCGGCAGCCGCCGCAAGGCCACCAAGTGCCAGTAGAACAAAGCTGAGGGTATGATGCATGGTTTGCGCTCGAATGTTGAGGTATCGAGCAATGATTGCGCTCCGATGTTTAAAGTTTTGAGATAATCGACGATTAATTACACTCTATCGGTACTTGACTATAAACAGTGTAAAGCTCAACAGCCCCATTACGATTTGTGGAGCACAAGTCATGACTCAAGAACTTTCTCGCTGCATGAAGCCTATTCTGGAAATAATGCCAATGATGGCGGAGATTCTCGACGTTCAGATACAACAAGTGAAGGCATGACCAACCATGTTACGGGTATCGCTGGATCAACTTCTCGTCGGAGCGTTGAAGACCGACTCACTTCCGATGTGATTCTCTCTGGCAAGCATGGGTAGAATATGTTGGTCTATAGCCATATATACAGCTACGTCGGGTGCTAGAAAAAGCTGCACTCTAAACCAGCCAAAAGTCGAGGAATATCAACAAAGTTGCCCTCTTTGCCACGACACCACGCAACAACGGCTTTGTAACGACACAGGTAAGAGAGGACTCCGATATGGGTTCAAATCCGCTACGAGGTGTATGGGAGCACTGGGATAGATAGAACTAGGAGTAAACCTCTATTCCTATAGGTCTTGTACGAAAGGATACTCAAAAACTATCTACCATAACTATGTACACTGCCCTGCTTATATACCTAACAGCTCGATGTAGCTCGGGGGATACCGGTACGTAGTAGGGTAGGGATCGGTTAGGAGTCGGATAGCAATCGTGTGAGTAGTATGAGGAAGAACGGTTGGTACGGTTCTTACAGGCTTGAGATTACTTTTTAGAAAAACACAGGATTGTAGAATGAAATAGTCTCTACAACTCTGTATTTTTTTTAGATTTTTTTTTTTTTTTTAGATTTTTGATATGATGTGGTCTTGTGCAATTATTTTGGTTGGTAGAAGTACACTTTTTGTGAGTGCGGCTTATTTTGTCACCCAAGTAACTGCTCGCATCTTGTCAATGCTCAGATTCGTTCTGGCTCGGTTTGCGACCAGTGCATTTCCGGTCATTTAAGATTGTTGCCACTCCGGTATTTTGGCCCAGTCTTTATATGCGAGTAGCAGCATCCGGACATAAGGGTTACAGTGTTGCAGTACAGTAAGAGGTCATGTTACAGTACTGTATGAGGTTGAATAAAAGGACCAACTGGACCAGACTCCTTCAAACAGTATCAGTAACATAACAGCTTCACAGTCAATTCTTCTTTCCGTTCATTCACAGTATATGAACACGCAGTTCGAGTTCAATACAACTTCAGTGAACCTTAATATCCATTTGCCCAATACCGATTATCTTCAGTACCGTAACACATAGTCTATCAGGTCTGCTCAATACTGCATCTGACGGCTGGGTTCCTTCCAAGCACTGGGGAGCAACTGAGTTGGCGCATCGAGAAATATTTGGGGGGATGCGGCAGGAGAAACTGGGAAACGAGCAGCCTGACGACGACGAGCCGATCAAACGTGAAGACGACCTCAGAGAGATCTGGCCATTCGACTTGAAAGAATAAGATTCTATCTAACCGTCTACCAATGCACCTTTCCCTTGTGTCATCCAGTGTTTCTGCCTAAAGTTTGGCTGAATAAGCATTCCTATGTTGATGTCGTATCTGCAGCCCTTCTTCCTTGCTAAGAGCCTGCCTGTGTTAACACAGTAGAAACCAGGTTGCTAGTGATAGTGGGGACGAAATAGTTGAGGGCCCGTTGCTTACAATAAATTTAGCGAAGTCCTTTGTTTTAGTGTCAGTGTATCGCCTGATAATTATCGCTCCTGCTTCGCCTCCTCCTGGCTTGCGTCTCTTCTGAGTTGAGGCTGAAGCACATGGCAACGAAGTAGTCTTTGTGATCCTAACTTGAGTTTCGAGATGTCGTAAGTCCTCAGATGTTTGACAAGGGAGCTGTGCCACCTTTCATTGTGAACATTAGCCGCCCGAATTACAATTTGAAAGCATCCATCTTGTCACATGCACGGCCAGATTTCTTAGAAAAAGTAGTATTTAAGCAACATGTTGTTATATCACGGTTCGGGGTGCTCTGTCTGTCGTACCTCACCTGTCATGAGAGTGACCGCCACGTCACACTAGCGTTGTTTACAGCTACCCACATATATATACTGTTTGTAGCTTCACCCAATACAACCTGAGTACAATCTTCAACTTCTTCCTTTGCGTACAGTTCACTGAACTCCGACATGTTACCATCCAAGTTTTTTTTCCAGGTCCTCAAAATATCCGATCTCACATCAGATCGCTCGAAACTCATACTTCCGCTTTCTCAACTATTCGGATTTTCAGCAAATCGTTTTCGTCTTTCGGAAGCACATCAATGTACATATATTCAACAAGCCTGCCCAGCCAAAACTTTTTCACGAGTCTAACGATGTCTAAAGCAATTGGAGCCTTCGTTCAAAAGGCAAAGGCACTCAGCAGCGCCGCCTCCAAATTCATCCCTGGGGTAGCAGACGGCAACGGTATCTTAACATCCAAATCCAAGGACACCGAGTTCTAGTGCCGCATCGACGCAGGCCGATACAATCCCGCTATTCAGGAGCTCGATGTTGTTCTACAGATTAACTCGCAGGCGAGGAGCCCGGCATTGAGAGATTGGGCTAGGGAAAAGTCGACGCATGACAAATTAGCTACAGAAGACTTTAATACATGTTGTGGTATCGGTTGGTCCGTACAGTGTCTGACTATACCCCTGACCACTACCCTGGACTAGTGTGTTACAGGTCAGGTATATAGTCGTCTCCTCCTAGCTAGATAGCAATCCAGCGCAGTATTCCATCGACCCGATAGTCCTACGTTATCGTTTACCGTAGCTATCAGTATTCTACAGTGGTTCATACCGCTACAACTGAGGCTCCTCAAGCCCTATTTTGATATCTGACACCCAGATCATCTCACGCATCATTTGGGCAATATACTGTTCGCGGAAGAGTTGCACATTGGACAGGGCGTGACAGTGAAAGGCGCTATTATCATCAGCACTGGAATCGTACAGTATGACCTTTGCGTGACAGTATCCCACCGGGTGCTACAGGTTTTCCCTTGCAAAGGAGCAGCCTGTGATGGCACTTCTAGCCTTACGCGGAGTCATAAAAAGGTTCTGCGTAGCAGAAAGCTGATCGGAGGGGGATTAGATCAGTTGCCACTAGCATTTTGTCACCTCAGCCAGTCAGACAAAACTATAGTGTCTCGCTTAGGGAGGTATAACAACTTTCTTCCTTTCAGAAATGTTGCATAATTGCGATCCTGAGTGATGCTGTCATAGTTTGAACAAGTGATCCATAATCCCCAGCAATCAAAGACAAAACTCAAGGGCGCCAGACCCTTTTAGTCCAGTCCATGAGCCAATGCAGCACAACCACCACCTTGAGGGTGTCAAAGCAGTTCCGCATACTTGCAATCATGGATTGCTTCCTGACACCTAGTCTTTTGCTGGTTTTGATTACGATTAGCAAAAGCCAGTCATAGCCTTGCGAGATGGGCACAGGTATTGCCGACCAATCCTGGTCCATGGCTATTTGCGGAGTTCGGCCTTCTTCACAGAGAAGCTCGCATCAATGCAACCAAGCGTCTATCCAGGTCCCTATATGAGACTTGCCGTCTGTGCATGACTTCATGGGGTTTAGTCCCAACGTTGGCATCGGGCAGATTCTGAAACAGGGGATGTCATTCCAAGACTTTACAATGTTGGCTGCCAATGGTCGGAGCGAACTATATGCGTGGGACATAGTCGAGTGTTGTTGGAAGGCATACGACAGTCGATGATGCGACCAGGAAGGTTCCTATGGCAAAGCGCCGGAGGGTTTATACGAGCGGCTTCTCTGAACAGTGTTGTCATTATCATACAGCCACCACTTTATAAACGTATGTGGAGTCTCGGATAGTGCCTTGAGTGAGTGGGTAAGTGTGAAAGGGTTGAGATGATTTGATTGATCTTGAGAGCTATTGGCTGAAATCAATCGAGACTATATAGTAGAAGAAGATAGCAGTGAAGGGTTGGGGAAGCAAACCGAACTAACCGAATGAGCTGGACAAACAGTGCAGCGGACCGCTGGCAAACACGGCGACGGACCGCTGGCGAACAGTAAGCCAACTAGTCCAATTCCTCTCACCATCTCAAAGTTCCTGTTGCGCAAAACTCAGAGGAATTAGTTAGCAGCTACGCCGCACTTATTTGTATAGTATCCAAGTCATTGCACCCTTGCTGTTGTCCTTGCCTTGATCGTCTCGCTTGTGCCGCAACATCAGGCGCAATGTATGAGATGCTGCAAGCACCTGCCGGTTCCTGACTGCGTTAGGCCTGGTTTCTCGAGCTTGATCTCAGTCCGCCCGAAGTTAGTTCAGAAGTCGCGTTATGCCGTTTTGGTGTGATCTGCCCCCTTCATGCGAAGGTGCTTTCTGACACGCACCAGGAGCGCGCTTCCTCCTTACATTGCCTGAGACGCCGACCAGCGCCCCTCGCCCGTTCTCCACCTCTGCTCGCTCGAAGTCAACTACCATCACTCGGCGTGTGTCAGCATCCCACAGCATGTTCCGCAGCGCAAGGTCGTTCTGCGATACTCCAAGCGCACGAATGGCTTGAGCCGAGTTGTCGGCCTGCTGTAAAGCGAACGGCTTGTCAGCCGAAGCCAACTGCTTGTCCATGCGCTTGCCTCCATAGCTAAGGAACATCATGTGCACCAGCTCCGCAATGCCCTCGTAGTAGTACGGCACCTCTAAGTCGACGTTGCCCAAATACACTGGCACATGCGTGCCCTGTATAGGACGAAGAACATCGTAGACAGTAGCTTCCCACCTGAGACGATACACAAAGTAGGTCGGACAAGCTTTGGCGACTACGGTATATCCATGCGAGTCCAGCCTGACACAAAAGGGGACGCCACACGCTCCGTGAAGCCCTATCGGATCACAATTCCGGTCCAGGTCCCTAGCAAGCTGCTTGCGGATGCGCTTAAGAAACGTCGTCAGGCTAATCAGGTGATGGTGTGTGCCATGACGCTTCACATTTGGACACGTAAAGTCAAGCGAGCCGCCTTTTACGAGACCAAGCATGCAATTTTGGGTGCAATACTGTCCGCCATTTCCCACATGGCGCGACTGGCGATCAGGCAAAGAGTCACTGGCACTGGACTGCGTGCGAGATGGCTGCCGCAGCGACGGCGGCTGTCGGCTTGACATATCCGGATCAGGCTCTTCGTCGCTGGCGCTGTGCTGTTCCTGGTACTGGGAGCAGTCGGACGAGCCGACGCGTGGTCGTCTTTGTCGAAGCCTGACAGGTGACACGCGAAAAAATCTTGTATCTCGAGGCGGCCGATACTCTGTTGACAGCGCCTCAGGATATGGGATGTCGTCCACCAACACCCTGTACACGAATTCCCAGCTCTTCAACCGAGCACAGGTCTCCTCCCGCCACTTCTGACTTCGAGGAGGCGTTTTCAAAGCCTGCAGCGTAAAAGCCAGCATCTGCCCAAGAGCGGTCAGGTGAAGTCTGTTCGGACCGTCTGCATCTGGCATCCATCCGGTGATGTTGCCAACGTCGCCCTTTGGTACAGACAAAAAGTAGTAGACAGTCGTGGGATCGTGGGGAATGCGCAGGAAGATGTTCGCTTCGCCCGTGCATATGCACCCGTATTCCACGCCGACCTGGACCATGTAAGAGAACGCTTGCGTGACGATTGCAGCTATCAGGCGGCGGAAGCGGTCCCGCGTGCACTCGCCTTCATGGTAGTCAACGACGTCATCCAGGTCCATGTCCTCTAGCCCTTCGTAGATGTAGCCGAGCGGGATCTCGTGTGGCATCTTGTAGTCGATAACGAAGGCGGCTGAGCGGGTCTCCTCGCTCATATTGTAGACGCAGAATTGATCAGCCCGGGGGCGAGAAGATCGCGACGCACCATTGCGGACAGCAGCCGAAGGTTCTGGTAAGGGTGATGCGTCGGCCTTTGCCTGCAAGCGCGGTGACCGTCGTTGGCCGCCCGACACCGAAAGGTTCTGAATGCCCTCTTCCACCTCTCGCTCTGGGCTCAGTTTGTTGGCGTGGTTCTCGAAGCTCATAGAACCGCGTAAGCCGAACTTGCGCTTCAGCGCTCGGTTGTTGTGCATTTGCTTGATAATCCAGGAGACCGGCTCCTCAACCGTGGTCCACTGGAATAATAGCAGGTCTATCTCATCCCTCATCGTATGATATCTGGTGGCCTTCCTAGTCGCGCTCAAGGCATGCATTGAGGTGAAATGCCGCTCCAGGGCAAACCCCGACACCATGATTTCCTCCCATATTCTTTCTTGACGCATGGGGAAGTCATCCCAGAAGCGAAGTCGCTGAGGGCGGAACTTGTTATTCGCGTTTGCAGGGTCGCCTTGCGTCCATAGCGGTGCATCCATCTGGACGGTCAGGCTTGCGTGCAGGTGGCAGTGGGATGCGTCGAGAAATTCGAACAGTGTCGTCTTGCGGATACTCGCCTCGAGGTACTCTAACGTATATCCTGCGTATTTGTGCTTGAGTTGTTCACGTTTCTGAGCTTCCTCTTCAGCCTTGCGTTGTTCATGTTTCTGAGCTTCCTCTTCAGCCTTGCGTTGTTCATGTTTCTTAGCTTCCTCTTCAGCCTTGCGTTGTTCATGTTCATGAGCCTCCTCTTCAGCCTCGCGCCTACGCAGTGCCTCGAAGTACAACTGTTTGTAGTCGGGCGACAGATCTGCCATAGCAGCAGGATAAACAGGTCTGCTTTTGATAAGAGAGAGCAAGTAAAACGTTACAATATTACTGCAGAAAAAGATGAATGTGAGCGTCAAGATATGAGACGAGCCGCTTGTTTTAAGGTTGTAGCTATCAGTATTCTACAGCGGTCCACACCGCTTCAGAATGTAAACATCAGAACGCCGGTAAGCACAGACCATGTGATGTGACGGGATCGCCGCGGCCCCACCTCGCGGCTGCCCCTCAGCCGCCCTGACACTAGCCACCTGCCAATAGAGGCAAGTTCCCGGGCCACAATCGTGGCTACGTGAGCTTCTTCTTATCACGGTTAGATACTCACAAACACACCCAACGCAAGCACAATTATTGCAGCTAGATGTCCAGTGGTGTATCGCACACGGCACAATAAGCATGAGTCCTCGACGTCTGCATACACTAAATGCCATATCCCATAGCCCTCAAGATGGCCTTGCCTTCCTGTACTTCGTCATCTTTCCAAATTTGAAGACCGTAAGATTCGAGCAAGTTCTGGAAGTTCTGGAATCCTGCGTCTTTTGCTGCAGCAATCAAGCCAGTGATGCTCAATTTGGAAGCGTCTGACGACATTTCTTGTGACGGTTTATCATATCTGGCAGGGGCAATGACCGATTAATTGCCTTTCCACAGATCAGTCACAGAAAATAACGCAACCCTGTACATTGCCAGTACAACTGCGTCTGAACCTTCTCCCCTGTTTACATCACCCACGTAGGGAGGCGTGCGATGATGCTCTTGCGGTACGATGAACCTTGGTACGTGGATATTCCGCGCGTCCAAGGCAGGTCTGCTTCTCGGAAGAGTTTGTCCAACTCTTCTGGCCTGACCGGTAACTGGAATTTGCCCATGAGAACAAGTGTGCCACCCCCGCGGACATAATGGAGATTAGAAACGCATGCGGAGGCTTAGGCGAGGCCAATGCTACGGGGTGGAGCTCTTCGGAGGTTCCGCCGCCGAGCCGCGAAGACGAGGTCGTCGCCCTAGCAACTCTGTCACTACACTAAGGTTAGCAACACTAGCAGCGTCGCGCGATCTTAACTTCGCCTGTCTTGCTCTCCTGTCACACGATGCCTATAGCCGCGTGACTCAACGAAGAAACGCTTCGATCGATTGCGCCATCTTCAGACGCTTGTCCCAAGTTCATTCCCTCCTGGCTTTCGCACGTGCCTTCGCCTCCATCATCAATCAAGTCCGGCAGGAAGTGAAGCAGACATTACACCAAATACGCGCCGAACAAGCCGTCTAGCCGAGACTCATCTCCGTCTAAGCGGCGTCGACTCGAAGAATACGGGCGTGCAGCATGCACGATTGAAGACGTCAAAGACACGCCGCGCCCGAGGTCTAACATCGCCGTCGAACCACCATCGCCCTACAATTCTACCTCGAGCCACACAAGCCAGTCTCCTCTTTCACACTGACCAAGGAGTCTGAAGAAGAAATGTGCTTTACGAAATATGGCCAACCTCTCCCTGCTACCGAACCCGGTAGTGATGAGATCCATTGATGATGCTACCGCAGCCCTTCCGATTGAGGTTGAGGCTATCGTCTTGCGCTTGAGGCGAATAGGCCGGGGCCTTGAGACTATACCGCACTCAGCAAGGGTCAGCCACTCTGTCACAGCCTTGATCGCTATGCTGACGGGTCCGGTCGGCATAGGATGTGATGGTCTCGATGTCCTCGGACAGATCGTTTCGTCAGATACTCAATGACGAGTATGCATTCGTGGATGACGCAAGTCGAGCATCTCTCGGATGCGGCTCATCTACGCAGTACGTCTGCACGGAATTCCAAGATATTAGCTACCTTCGGGCTCAGCATGCGAGACAGCGTCCTACTGGAGTAGCTGCGAACTGGGAAAACCGGCATTAACGGCTTCCTATCCACCAGAAGTGCACCAAGCGTTACCAATTTGCACCGCAGATGCGCATTGAGACATAAAACCATTAATTAATGTCACTTCCTCTTCGTCTGCAGAAGACATATGTTGCGGTATTAGTCGGTCGATACAAGACCCTATTACCCTTGCTTAGACTATTCTAGACTAGCATGTTCTAGAGTCAGTATATAATCGTCTTCTCCTCACTAGATAGCAACTCAGCGCAGTATTCCATCGACCCGATAGTCCAACTTTATTGTTTACCGTAGCTATCAGTACTCTACAGCGGTCCACACCACTACAACACTGCTTCAGGTACGGCATTGCTCGTTCTCGACCTTCGCCTTCTAAAGCGAAGTCTCTCTCATCCCTAGAGAAGGTTCGCCGGTTGAGGTGCTTAAAGCTAGACTGCAGCTAATCTGCAGACTCTTGCAAAAATGAATACCATCGCCGATGCTTTGCAATGTCATCTTTGATACTGCCAAGCTCGACTTTTGGCCACCAGTCAAACATGAGTTTGCGTGTGGTTTGCTCAATTCTTGTTACGGTTTATGGAGTAAAAAAGTCATGTGTTGGTGCAGTGCTCTTGACTGCACGAGACATACGTCATGTAAACAGGACTGCCGGGGGAGAGGCAATCATACCACACTGAACAAGAAAAATACAATATACTGATTTTACTGCTTCGCGCGGTTTCCCCTTGACCTACTGCCTTGCGCGGTTACACCTTCGTTTATTGCAACTACTCCAATAATTTTAGCAAGCAGATAATGGACCGTCTGGTGGAACTCGTGCATGTGAAGGAAACACGACAGATCGTCAGGGTTTTTTTGCTCTCTGTGGCACTGCATCTCTCAAAGTGGGCAAGAAGCAGATCCCAGTTAATAGTTGTGTAGTCGCACCGACGCGCCTTCCAGCACCGAGCCCTTTCTTTAGTATCCCGCCAAAGCTACTACGCGTGCATCACTGTTCTCACCATAGTAGACCGATTATAAAGCTGAAGAATGCGCTACCCCAAGTCCTTAACTACACTCAGCCTTATCCGACGTCGAAAACGACACTCAGTGCTACTACTACTGGGCTAATGCTCCCCGAAACTTTGTTAAAACTTCCCGAAACCCGTCCGTGACTGCCCAGAACCTTGGCCAAATTTCCGAAAAACGCGACCTGTATTACAGATACTGTAGAAGAGTTGTGATGGATGAAGTGTTTGTGTTGTGGTTGATTGATCTTAAGAGCTATGGCGGGGATCCATCGAGAATATATAGTAGAAGGGAAGAGCAGTGAAAGAGTGAGGAAGCAAACCGAACTGATCGAATGAGCTGGTCAATCAGTGCAGCGGACTGCTGGCGAACAAATACCCCATGGGTGATGTGGAGGTCGACATTCACCATCAGCTGGTATTGCAATCCATCAAAGGGCAAAAGTAACAGCTCCGACAACAAAAGAGTGACTGACAATCCACCCCTCGCAAAGTGCATGGCGACGTTGCTTGTCCTTATATTAGGCCTCCCGGGCCCACAGGACTATCCAAATCTGGAAAAAGTTTATTCCTGTACAGGCATACAGCGTGTAGCTGCTTACAAACGGCTTCCCGGCCTTGCAAAAGGACGGACAAAAGCGTGGGCTTTTTGCACAACAGTCTCATGGAGTGCAACCTTTTTGAGACAACGAACGAGCAAGTTCGGCAACAGAATCATACAGAACTACAAATCATCTAAGACAATTCTGTTCGATCGAGATGCCAGTTTGGGCCAGCAGAGCGATGTTATGAAGTTGCAGAGTTAGCAAGGTTAGCAAGCAGGAATTTTAGGACTGTAAGGATAAAAATGACACTGCAAAGAGAAGAATATGTGAGCAGCAGCATACAGTGCTTAGCGATTGCGCCTTCCCCTCGGACAAAGTTGTAACAAAGTTTGCGCCACACCACGGGCAGGAATCATACTGGCATATTTTACGCATCAAGCCTAGCGTCAGCCCGTCAGTACGCGTGCAATAAGCAGCAAATACAGCGCTTTAGCACAACGCTTCACGAAGCGTAAGGCTAGCCCACGAGACGCGATAGTTTCACAACATCGACGAAACAGTGCTGTACTTCTGCATTCGCCTGCGACAGACGGCAGTGGGGCGAATCAAGACCACACGCTCGGCCCAACCCATATGCTGGCGACTTAACAATTCCATCGCGAGGCAAAAAGGTACCAGGTTCTGTACATTAAACTCAAAACCCATATCGCATTTTACAATGTGTCGGAGGGAGTGAAGATATCCACCGATCGCCATCTGTTTGCTAGCGGTCCGTTGCAGTGTTTGCTAGCGGTCCGTTGCAGTGTTTGCTAACGGTCCGCTGCACTGATTGTCCAGCTCATTCGGTTAAGTGCAGCTTGATTCCCCACTGCTATTCCCTTGTACTATATAGTCCCAATCGATCCTTCTCATAGCTCAACGGATCAATCAACATCTCAACCCTTCCACACAATGCAATGAGAGTAGCGATTGAACCATATCTAGAACGACGAACAGTGCATGGAAAACACAATAATGACTATGCCTAGCCCACTATAGCTCTAGAAGCTGCTTGACTGACACCTGATTCCGACAAAAGCCTCGTAGTTCTATTCCAGCGCCCAGGATCATGTATTCGTGAGTCGTGATCTTTCGATGCCATCTCTACTGCATGCTGCAATGCCGCTTTTCCAGATTCGTCCTCTGCATTCATCTCAACGCCGACAACATAGAGAAGATAATGCAATGATTCTTCGTTAATGGATCCGCTGATCGCAGCGCAGTGCAAGATTGTCCTGCTTTGTGCATCTTTCTTTGCCAGATCGACAGAGTATTCCCTCATGAGCTCCAAAGTCTGAACTCTGCGGTCCAATGTCGAAGCGTACAAGTGCCCTAGATTTTGTCCATTCTTGTCGACATACGAAGAGCTTCCTTTGACCGAAAGCAAAAACTGGCAGATGTCGAAATTTAGTCCAAGCCAATGCCCTTTGAAATAGCTCGCCAATGGTGACTTGCCGAATGCGTCCAACTCTGAACCATCCACCCCCTTGTCAAGCAGCAACTGTAGCGTCTCATTTCGAACCCTAGAGGTCGTAGACAACAGATGGTGAAGCGAGATTCTACTCCAAGTGTCCTTCGATGCCACTAGACTTGGTTTTGTTGCCACAGCTGTTTCTAGAAGGACGCTAATTGTTTCATGGTTCCCACTCCGTGTGGCGTGGTGAAGGGCGTTGAGCCCCTCATTGTCCATTGAGGCAGGCTCGACTTCTAGGGAAAGTAGAACTATGACCGCGTCGTGATCGCCGGCCCGGCTAGCAAGATGCAGTGCGTTTTGCTGCTTCAAGTTCCTTTTGAAGGGACTTGCTCCTTCAGAAACTAGTCTCTTGACCATCCGCACGCTTCCAGACTTTCCGTACTCGACGCAGTGCAGAGGGTGCTCATTCTGGTAGTCTCTAATCGTCAAAATGGTCCTAGCATCTGCGAGCAGCGCATCGAGCACGCCTTCGCGATGCTTTGTTTTATCAGCGTGAACTACATCGACTTATCTTCTTCAAAGTCCAGCAAGTCCAACAAGCGTTCGACCCTCCAGTGAGGGTAAGTCCAATCGTCGTCATACTTTGGTCCGTGCAGGGTCTTACATAACGTAAGATGTATCGGGAATTCGTTGTATCCGGATAGAGCGTTCGGATCAGCGCCACGCTCCAGAAGGAACTTGGTCATGACTGAATTGCCAGTCAAGGTCGCGAAGTGTAAAGGCGTCAGACCACCTGGAATGCACGAGATGTCGGGCTCGGACTCCGGAACCAATAACCGGTAAGGAGTGTGTCACGGTTCAGGGCGCTCTTGCCTGTCGAATCTCACCTGCCATGAGATTGACTGCCACGTCACACTAGCGTTGTTTACAGCTACTCACCTATACATACTGTCCGTAGCTTCACCCAATAAAACCTCAGTTCAATCCCTCAATATTTCCGCACATGCGTACTGATCACTCACGATCCTCAACAGAGTGTTGGTCTTTACGGTGTCCTAAGGCCACGGCTCTCGATAGACACCGGCATCAATGGACAGACCACTGTCAAGAAGCAACTCTACTATGGATTTGTGGCCAAACTTGACGCTGTAATGTAGTGGAGTCATGTTCTCAATGTTGGTCGTGTCTGTCGGAACGCCTTCTGAGAGCAGAAACTCGACAAGGCTGAGGCTACAATACGCGTTGTTGGTAGCATGATGCAGAACACTGTTCCCCTGGCTATCATATTGTGAGACCTCAGCGCCGTTATTGAGCAGGAGCTTGACAATGGCTGTATGGCTCTCAGCCGCAGCCGCATTGAGAGCGTTGCTATAGAGACTGCCCTGCTTGTTGACATCAGCACCATTGTCAAGGAGCAGCTGTACCATTGCCTGGTGACCTGCAGCCGAAGCTGACTGGAGCGCATTGCCGTGTTTGCCACCTTGCGCGTTGACATCTGCCTTATTGTCAAGCAGCATTTTGAATATCTGCCCGTGATCTTCGTATGAGGCTGCCTGTATTGCACTGCCGCAGTCTCCACTCTGAGCGTCGATATCGGCGCCTGCTTTGAGCAGCATCTGCACCACCTGCTTGTGGCCTTTGAGGGCAGCTGGGTGGAGTGCGTTGCCGTAGCGTCCACCTTGTGTATTAACCTCAGCGTCTTGGGCCAGGAACATCTGCGTGATTGTACTCAGGCCCAACAGCGCTGCGTAGTAGAGCAGGGCAGCTACACTCTTCAAATTTCTCCTTAGATCTGGTTGCATGCAAGGACTGTCCGGATCATACAACTGGATCCATGTGAGGTATGCAGGGTTTTCCATCGACATGAGACCCATCACTGGCTGACTCAAGCCTTTCATCTCTCCTTCTGTTTGCCCAAGATGACTGCTCCAGAACTCTGCCGCATACCGTGCCAGCGCCGATGCCTGAATGACTTCTTCCGATAATGGTCGCTGTAACTGTAGTAAATACTTCAAACAACCATCCATTATCACACCGTGACTTCCGGTTTCGTGCATCTTGTATTGCTTTGCTGGACCCTGTTTGATCCTATCAGACACAAGGTACTCCTGGACAGAATAGTGTGCCAGAGCGATAATCTGTTTTGCGGGGTCTGGATTTCTTTCGGCTGTATTTGCCGAGATTGTGACCAAACTTGAGCAGATGTTTAGCGCTTCTAGCGGATCTTCAAGCACTCAAGGGCTGAAATCACGGTTAGGTTCAAAGAAAAAAGTTGAGGTTCTTTTGGTATGGCTTGATAGAGATGACTTTCCTAAGTACAACAGTACCCTCCACTAAGCTGTAGGTGCTGTGGTTGTGGCACTATTTGCTATTGAAGATATGGGGGTTGGTGGTGTAGTTCCCATTACAGTAAGGTTGCTCCAAGACTGCGCTAACCCCAAAACAAATAAAATGCTGACACCTCACATAATGGCCTGTACACCAACAACCACTTCATAATATTGCTGTATTTTGCACAGGGCAGGTACCTATAGGCCTACAGTATCTATTGCTACCAAAAACAACCTTTTGTTGAAGTCATGTCTTAAGCAAAGCTTGTAGACACTATTCAATTGGTTCTTGGGGATTGTCACGGTATCCTCTCCAGATCCCCTGACAATATCCGGATCCGCTCCGTACTGTCCCTGACCATACGCACCAAATCCCCAGCGTCCTTACACGCCTCCGAAGCGGACGTACAACCTCCGGTCACCTCTGGAGCGGACCTGCAACCTCCGAAGCGGGAGTATTAGAATTCTGCAAGCCCTGCTCTGGGACTTGCAACCCCGATACCTATCCAACTCAGTTCCGATTATTAACCGGTAACCGAACGAACCCACATGTAAGTATATAGACTATTGCTGGTAGAGTTCTGTTTGGTACACAACGTCTTGTACCTACTTAGATACCGTACGTAGTAATTGATTTAGACTCCCAGCAAGTCCTAAAGGGCCTACTTGTAGCATCTTCGTGACAGTCATCTAGTCAAAGACCATGGCAACTGGGAGCAATGAGTAGTACTGAGTATACTGTCTAACTCAACAGCAGGTGAGATTCCAATAACAAAGTTGATTGACAAGGTTGAACACAATGCCATAAGGACAGCATGTCTACTTGCTCTATACTTGATCAGGAGGATGGCTAAGATTGCTCAGTACTGAGTATAATGATCATACCAAGTATACTGCACATACCAAGTATACTGGCATGGCCTAACTGCTCAAGTTGCTCAACTGAGATCAATGATCATACTGAGAATCACCAATGCGGCCTCACTGCTTGGGTTGATTGATACTACAGTTCCTCAGCTCCTCTTGTATTGCTGCATAGTCCTGTTTGTTCAGTGTTATTGTGGGTTGCCATTTGATTGTAACAGAGTGCTGCAGTTGAGGAGAGAGCCGTTGCCCTGTCAATTAAGTGTGAGGAGAGTGCCGTGACTCATGTGAGTGAGAGCGTGAGTAGAGAGCTGTTGCCCTGTTGATTGACCATGTGGAAAGAGCTGTTGTCCTGTTGATTGACTGTGTGAGAGAGCTGTTGCCATGTTGATTGAGCGTGAGGACAGAGATTGACCATGCAAGAAAGCTGTTGCCCTGTTGATTGACTGTGTGAAGAGAGCTGTTGTCCTGTTGATTGACTGTGTGAGGGAGCTGTCAACCTGTCAATTGAGCGTGAGGAGAGTGCCATCTCCCTGTTGATTGACTGTGTGGAGAGAGATATTGTCCTGTCAATTGAACGTGTAGACAGAGCTGTTGTTCTGTCGATTGACCATGTGGGGAGAGCTGCCTATTGACTGTGAGGAGAGAGCCATTGCCCTGTCAATTGAGCATGTGAGAGCTGTTGTCCTGCCAATTGACCGTGAGGAGAGAGCTGTTGCACTGTTGATTGAGCGTGTGAGAAAGCTGTTGTCCTGTTGATTGACCGTGTGGAGAGAGCAGCCGATTGACCGTGTGAGAGAGCTGTTGTCCTGTCAATTGACAGTGTGGCGAGAGCTGCCGATTGACCGTGAGGAGAGAGCTGTTTTGTCTGTTTGATTGAGCGTGTGGACAGAGCTGTTGTCCTTCAAATTGACCGTGTGGACAGAGCCGTTGTCCAGTCAATTGACTGGGTGAAGAGAGCTGTTGCTTGTCAATTGAGCTTGAGGAGAGAGCCGTTGACCTGTCGATTGAGTGTGAGGACAGAGCTGTTGCCCTGTCAATTGAGCGTGTGACAGAGCTGTTCTCCTGTCAATTGACCGTGTGGAGAGTGCTGCTGATTGACCGTGAGGAGAGAGCTGTTGCACTGTCAATTGAGCGTGTGAGAACTGGTTGGGAGTGCAAAATTGCTGTTCGTGTATCATAATTGGGTAGGTGACGTTATCACAGCTCTTTATCACAGCTCCATGCTGACAATGTCGGTGGGGCTAGTAGAGCCAGGGTGTGGCTAGTGAGTTAGGTTTAGCCACATGTATTCAAACGCGTGCATCACAACAACCAGATTAGCTACACAAAATCCAACGCTAAATTCGGAATCAGCGTACGATTCTGCACAAGATAGTTTATTAGGATAGATTTATTAAGCTCTCTAATGACCGCGAATCGGCCAAACGAATCGGGGGTCAAAACGTTCCGTTTCGGGCAGAGAAACCCTAACGCTAAGCCTACTCTGGCACGAATCGGGGTGCGATTCGCGTATCCTCTCGGGTAGGCTTTCCACCACGCTCAGCCAGCAAATCGTTGGCCATATCTCGCACCATAGCTCTTGTGGCGCCTATTCCTCGTTGATCAAGGTGAAGTATATGTTGAACAAGCGCCTCCTCGTCCAGCTTGGTCAGTTTCTTTGAGTTGGGCTCGCGGCCGCGTCGAGAGAGGGCTCCTTGGCGTCGTCGACGGACAGTAGTTCGAGGTACGCTGAAGGCTGCAATAACGCGTCTTTCGCTCTCGTCGCGATCTCCAATTGTAGCTTGAATAGCAAGCTGCAGTGTGCCTTTAGTATAAGGTATTTGCACGTTGCGTTGTGATGGCATTATTGTGTTAGTTGGGTAGTAGGTACATTTCGCGAAACTGGACCGCTCGCTTGGGTTGGACCGCTCACTTGGGTTGGACCGCTCACTTGGGTTGGACCGCTCACTTGGGTTGGACCGCTCGCATGGGATCTACGTTAGTATAATTTATATGAGGCGATATTAATTGCTATATTTTGTTAGCTAACTTATACTACTGCACTTATATTGAGTGTGAATAAAGCAATTGCTATTTGCGTTATAAAACGGCACATCCTAAAATTCAAGCTAGCTCTGCCTCAATAACACTTTCCACAGAGTGAGGTGGCCTCCAGATGTTAAGCACCTTTAATCCCGCACTCTCCACCAGCTCCCGCCACTCAGCCTCCGTCCTCTCCTTCGCACCAAGGCACGCCATCATGGTGATATCGGACGTCGTCACACGAGCGAGCGGCTTCACAGAGCTAACCAAGCTTTCGTGAATGAGAAGCTTCGAGTATCCGGGTTCCATAGCTTCGGCAAGGTGAGAAAGGATCTGCTTCGCCTGTGTGTCTTCCCAGTCGTGCAGCACGTTGTGCATGAAGTAGACACGGGCACCTTTCACGGGCTGTGGTTCAAAGAAGTCATGAGGGTGGATGGAGATGGTGTCGTCAATAGTCAACTCTTTGAGAATATCGGGCAGGTCTTGGAGCACCAGACTGCCCCCAGGGATATCAGGGTGGCGCAGATGGAATTTGGTCAGGTCGTGGCCCTTGCTACCACCGACATCGACGACTAAGGGCCGGTCAGGCTTGGACTCTTTCACAAGAGTCTCAGTTGGGTAAACATCAACCCAGGGCGTCAAGTTATGCTTCGAGTGACTCTCCATGGCATCATTGAATTCCCTTGCGGCGACAGGGTTCGCGCCAAGGGACTGGAACAGATTTTCATTTGAGCCTCTCATGAACTGCCAGTTGCAGTCGTTGGGGTTAGTAGGGACCTTGTATCCCGTCTTCTTGAGGTAGGCTGGCAAAGTCCTGAACATGGGGGAATTGACGAAGCCATAAAATTCACCATAGACGTTGGCGAGGGCCTGATCCTCAGCGAGAGCGCGTACCCATGGTGTAGGCTTATAGGTGTCCTCGGCGGTCTCGATGGCAAGATTCTGCCCAGAAATTTGCCGAATCATGCGTCCTACATTGCCGTCAGAATGCTCATCATGAGTTAAGCAGAGCAGATATGTAACCTACGAATAAGCACTACATCGGCACCCGTTAACTCGGCCAGTTCCGCGCAAGTCTTCTCTCCGCCTCCGGTTTCGATCCATTTGCTGAAGACACCCGCGTCAATCAACGTCTTGACGCATGCATTGGTGGCCGGGTTGACCCAACAGTGCTGCCAAACAATGTCCCACGGCTTATGTACTTTGCTTAAGGCCAGGGTCAGCGCGTCCATGGCACGGACGCGCTCTGCTTCGTTAACGAAGGAGTTCGCGTCGAGGCCCTCCAGGGCTCCGATAAGTTGGTCTGCTGATGCCATGTTGGAAATGGGAATTAATTTTTGGGGAAAGATGCAGGAACAGCGGAAACGACACGCGGTCTACTATTTGACAAAGGGAAATGTTCTTATCTACCGTAAAATTCTGGCCATATCTACAGGGTTTCAAATACTATAGTAGTTAGTAAATTTCTTGTAACAGATAAGCGCTTACTAAGATCCATTTTTCTTATATGTACTTTTCCTAATACGTAATTTGTCCTCAACGACCCTATGTAACCGGTATGGCCAAACTTCTACGGTATCATTTGGTCACACGGCTACTCGATAGAGTAATTAGTCCCGGATTACATTGAAAAAGCCGTACGATTTAATGCCATGCGGGTTGAATTGGTTAGCACTGATCAGTTGAGGACACGGTATCCGAAATTTGATTGAGCAAGGATATCTCAGGGGTAGACCCACTCACGTACTTCTCACGCCACTTTTGGCATGTCGTGCTTGGCATGCAGCCCCTCGGACTCGTGCGAGCGACCTTGACAGGGCCTACCCGTTGGTACATATTGTAGCAGTTGAACTTTGGTGTTGCTGAATAGTCTGTATTGAGGACTCGAAATAACGTTTTCACTAAGGGAAAGTGAGACTTTCTGTGGAAATATGAAATTCAATGTTGCTTTTGGTTCCCGCTCAAGTCGCCCTCTTTCACAGTTCCCTCAACAACATCATTTCAACAACACCAAAGCTTGCCCAATCAGATCATCACCACGACGCTGCTGCCCTATCCCTCGCGTAGATGCCTAGAGGAAGTACTGGCCCCCACACTGACACCAAGCTACGTGTCACGATCGTCAATTGGCTTCGCCCGTCGGTCACCCTTTGCGCTCGTGGTCACCTTAAACTCAAGTGTCTTGTGGATCTGGTCCGCGCCGTGGTAAACGAGCGGAATGTCATCGATGCTTTTACCTGCGTGGCTCGATGTCCTCTCCTCGTCATCCAACTGATGCCCTTGAAGTTTATCCCATCTTCCGCTGGTGCTGGATAGCCCTCGGTGGGTGGCGCTGCTGCGTCGTCCCTGGCTGGCGGTCCTACTGCCATTGCCACTGCCACTGAGAGTCCGAACTTTGCCTCTGGCCAAGCGGAAGAGCGGGCCCAGTGTGGGCAAAGAGGAGCATACCACGAGAATACAACCCTCTCCTAGACCGAGTATATCGAGAAGCGGGACCGGGTCTAACAAAGTTAGTTCTGTGCTGAGAAACATGTGGGGTGAGTAACTCACAAGTCGGGTTCTCAGCCAGTACTACAAAAATTTCCCCAAAGATTGTGAGTTTGTAGATGGTGAGGATGAAGGCCAGGATACTGAGGCCCAGCGCGATCGAGACCAGGATGCGGTTCTTGAGTGGCATGTTGAGGCGCATAATGAATGGAATCGGGTACACAGCGAAGAATACATCTAGGAAGGCAGAGTAGGCCGAAGTGAAATAGCCCAAATCTGACATGACCTTGGTACTGGCACATTTTCCGCCTGGTATGGTTCTGTTCCAGCCGAATTCAACCGGATCGCATTGCTTGTACCACCAGACCGAGGTAGCCGATATACAGGCCTGGGAGCTGAGCGCGAGGCCCCAGAATAGTATCGTCGTCTTGAGGCCGTAGTTCAGAATGCGTTTGAGAGTAGCGATGATGGCGAACTTGGGTAGCGAAAACGTCCATATCAGTACCGAACTGATGATTACATTCCACTTGAGAGCTCGCGGTATCAATGGGGGATCGATGGCCTCCATTCTTCGTCCAAGACCGTACTGGGTGCCGATTGTGATCAGGATGCAGGTGACGAGCATCACAACGACGCAGAATACGGTGATATAGTCGTCCATTCCGAGGCCACCGCCTTTGCTGAATATGCGAGAGCTGACTCTCAACGCCACGAAGACTACAAGACAGTTAGCTGCCATTCGGCGCAACATAAGAGGGCTACTCGCAAGCTGTGACTGCGAACATAGACCAGCAAGCCCTATCAGCGATGGTGCCATAGTCTTCCACGTCCCATAATCCCATGATGTTGATGATTGGTGTTGCAAAGGAGACGAACGTTAGACAAACTTTGGACCCTCCTGGCGCGATAAAGTGGGCTCATTGTTAAATACACTGCCGTGGGATGCGGCGTAGGATGGGGCGTAGGATGCGTCCCATGTAATGGTCAGGATCCTTCGCTAGCCCCATGAAGTATCGATCTTCGCTACATAGTTGGCTTGTATTATTCAAATTGTCAATGAATACCGTGTACAGAGGGTCGACAGGTGATCGGAAGCTCCTACAGGGGAAAATAGCTGGAAAATCGTTTTGTACAGAAAATGTTGAATGACTCAAGCCAATCGAAACACAACGATCGCCAGCTACCTTCCAGAAAGGTCAAAGGATTCCTACCCCAGGGGTTTCCGATGCCCTGGCGAGACTCCGTATCGAGGAGTCCGTGTGGTTCATGACTCATTTAACCGACATCCAGCTCTCTCCCAGAACAAAAGCAACATGTACCACGTTTGGCACAAACACACACAAATACACACTTCAAACATAAATGCTTCAGTGGTGTCCCCAACACAGACTCGAGATACCTAGAAAAAAAAATTCTCTGTTGCTAAAATTTCGCCACCCAAAAAAACGCCATGCTAGCTCAAGCAAACTGTGCATTGATTCGTCAAAAGGTGTCCTTTTCAAACCCGCAGTGTCCTACGGTATTACCTCATACCTGCTTGTTTGGAATGGCTGAGGGTAAACAGTAGAGACGATCCTTCTTTCCACCGGCGGCGGTACGGCACGGTGCTTCTCTTCTCGACGGGCATTCGAAGCGTGATTCGGATAGCAAGCGCTCAACCGTCGAATGTTGACCAAGTTGTCCGTTTATCTCGGTACGTAATGCGACTTGGCGGGATCAATAGCAGATTTGCACCAACGCTGCCAGTAGTGTCGTGTCGTAGTTTGCAAATGTGGGGGAGGATAGACGAATCAAGCACTTAAGGATATGTGTTGTAGCGGGATCAGATTCCAAGTCCTCTAGGGATCTGCCTTTTGCACGCTTAGTCTTGAGATAAGAAGACCATACTCTTTACATAGTTCTAGGAATTCAGGTACAGGTATTGACTTTCTAGACGTAACAAACTGTCAGGTATCTGCTTCGTTTTGGAGACGCTTGCGAGACTATAGGGAGGTCAACCTTTCGTCCGGTCTTTTGGGAGGTAGGAAGTGCATCTCTGGGAGTTCGCTCTTAGCAAATGTTGACTCTGTCAGAGTATACTGTCATTCGTGGCCTCTCTATTGACACAGTCTTTCCATCAGATGAGTAGGTTCAGAATAACAAAAGATTGTGTCAGATCAGGTATGTAATCATAACAGTTTGCCCGTTTCAACCTAGAATTTTGACAGCTCCAGAAGTCTACCAACCTTATATAGTGGATTGAACTGCCAAGAAATCTGGCTAGTTGCCGTCATGCATCATCTCGTGATGTCCTTACTACGGGGCAGCTTAAAGCTTCAAAGCTTAAAGATTATAGAGACTTTTAAGAAGTTGTAGTTACTAGATTCTTCAAAGCAGCAGCCCTAGGCGTAGTACGAATATAGCATATTAAGAATGCAATAGATCGCTTACGCATCACGGTGAGATGCAGCCGTGCGAGGCGGTACTTTGCGTTGCCACCACCAGCAGGGAGGATGGCCGACCCGTTCCTGCCCTGGCCTTGTCCTGGAGGCGACGAGGATTCTTGGGACAAATGGCATTTCATGGTTGATCTGCGTACGTGTCATGTCTCCCAGATTTAGCTCCCGCGGTGGGACCCACCCCAGAATGTTGCCATTATGCGTCCGTGCTACAAGCTATCGTACTGTTAGGAAGAGACTGTGCGGCAGGCATAATCAGAAATTATCTTAGCAAAAGTCTAACACCGTTGCGAGCATGATAGCATGGTTCGCCAACCAAGACTACCTCTGCGAGGAGTCTGCCTGTGCTAGATTGTCCGCAGTAGGTCTCACACCCCGCTGCAGTGGCGTAGGGTTTTGGTGAGGCAAAGCGTTAGCGTTCGCACGGGGACAGCTTTGCACAAGCGAGCGAATCAGCGCTCGAGAAACTGGAATGAGGGCGGAGTGGGATTGGCCATGTAGCTATAGCGCTACCGGGTGATACGTCGTGAAGATGAACGAGCTGATAGACGCAAGAAGCGCCTCCATCTGAGCTCTCCTGTCATTGCCGTCAAGCGCATCCCACGGCCTGATAGCACATCCCTTCTGTTCCGGGTGAACGTGAACAGCTCACGCGCGTCTTTCATCCTATCTACCGGCCGTGGAGCGTCGCTCTCAGCTTCGCTGTTCTCACCATCTTTGCTGTCCTCCTTGCTGCCCTCTTTGCTTCCCGCCACCTCCTCACTGTCAGAATCGACTCGTCGCTGCCTTACGCGGGAAATTCGATGCTCTTCGTCGCCCAGCACACGTAGAAAGAAGCACACGAACCGGACCATGTAGCTTGCATATACGGTCTGACTCTCCGGGTTCTGCAGTCGCGCCAGCGGCCGGGGGTCGACCTCGCTCTGTTTTGCACTTCGCAGCCAGCGCCGTATCTCTTGCGGAAGCGTAGCCAGACCCCTTACGCTTCTCTCAACCAGCGGCTCAGTCAGCTCAGCAGCCAGCTTGATCTTGTGTTCGCCATGATCGGGTGCGCGGGCTTGATGCGCCAGATGGGCGAGATTCCGGTCCTTGAAGAACTCCAGCCAGCCTGTACGCTTGAACCAACCCGTCTCATCAGTCCTCGCAGCCTCTTTGAGTGTTTGCAGCTCTTGCTCAATTTCCTATTGTGTCAATTTGTACTCAGCGAGCTGTGCCTGAACGACGTTTCAACCGCGTCATTTTTAAGATTTCCAGCATCCACCAAATCAACAATGAAATATTTTTGCAGCCCCCCAGTGCGAAAGAAGCTCTGTACTTTCACAGTCTTGTACAGCAAGCTTTTCTTCCCTACCCACGCTTGCTGGTGTTTTTTAGTGCAGTGCCTACGCATCTCATCTTTGTTGATAGTGATCCACCTGCACGTCTCGCACTGCGCACCATCAAGCGGGTTTCCCAGCTCTTCTATTGGCTGCGCGGGCTCTTCTGGGAGCTCAATTGCGCTCGGAGCGACAGTCTCGAATTGACTGAAGCATTCAAGTATCTGTCGCCGTAGCGTAGCAGATGCAGCATGATATTTGCGGAGATGCGCATCAAGACTAGTCTTTAAGAAAGCAGAATACGCTGTCGCAGTTATTAAGTAATACCTGCAAGCTTCTTTTGCGGTGTTGCGCGCTGCTGTTTATTGTGTTCGCACTCTGTTACAGTGTTAACAAACGGCTGTCCCATACTGGCTCCATTGCCTAGAATCATCTATCACAGAGAGGGTAAGAAATTCTAATAGACGCACGTTGCTATAATGTCTACTACAATCAATACCACCCTCTAAATAGATGCTAGGTCTTTCTTCTTCGCTTCTTAGGTATTGAGGTTCGAGCACCGCGAGCTTTCGAACTGGAGTCTTTGGGCTTTGCTGGTATCTAGCTCTGTTTCTGAATTGCATTCCACGTAGATACGACTATTCTGTCGCCCTGTAGCTTGTGTTTTTCTTGACATTGCGCGTTCTTTGACAAGATCGTTCAATTGCTGTTGCATAGCATGGATTTTTCTTGTTAGAGGGCTGACACTCTCGGTCTCTGTTCGTCGCTTCTTCCCTCTTTGCCGCCTTCGCTCTTGGGTCCGTGTAGGCAAACGTTCGTCCGGAAACTCTCCATCGCTCGTCTCTGGTGTGACACACTCTGAGGTCTCTGAAGCGATGTTGTCTGGGCAGTAGCTGACCCGCAAGGTACCACTTGGGGTATCGTGTGCGGTTGCTAGACTATAATCGAGAACGTCTTCTTCTCGGGTTAAGGTAAATTCGTGCCACATGTGACTGTTCACAAGGTTGCGGTCGATGAGATCTGGCTGGAGTTTGGTAGGAAAGCCATGCTCGAGCGCGTATGCACTAGCATGTGTGACGGGCCTGTGACCTGTTTGGAAAGCAAGGAGTTGGAGGAACCCGTTATAATCTTTAGGTGTGTTGGGTTTGAACGAAGCAACGAGGCTTGGGAGATGCTTCTTAGCAATGCTCGTTGCGGTTTGCCTGTACAGACTGGTAGTTGTTGGAGCAGCGCAATCAGCTGTTGACTTTCTCAAGCTTGAGTGGGCCTGACCTGAAGAGAAGCATGCTGTTGCGCTCTCGTGTGTGCTGAACAGGTGAGGGTTGGTTGAGTTCTTCGATTGCGCTCCTAGATTTCGGCTGATGTGACTGCGGAATGGGCGGATATAAACAAGGTGCAAGTAAAGAATTTTCTGTACTAGAGGGCAGGGAAAGCGCACAATATAGAACGAGTTGTTTGTGTTGGTGTTCGCTTTGTTGTACGCAAAGACGAGTATCACTCTTTTTTTGTAGATTAAAAATGTTCCGTCGCACGGAGATCGTGTCGGCCCAGCGTAACACCTTGAACTCTTCTCCGCGTGCTGGCATGCCGGCTGTCATGTGCATTGCTGCATAGAGTAGACGAACAAAACTGTCGCTTCGGTTCAGATACTGCTTCTGCTTCGTTCTCCCTCTTCTGCTCTCGGACGAGAACCCGCCTTGCTCTGAGAACGCTAGTTTGTTCACGGCGCGGAAAGACCCTTGGAGTTTGTTGGCCGGGTCCGCTAAAAAAGAGAATCCCAGGCGGTGAGTCGCAAGATTGTCTTGCACGGCATCGAGTTGCACATCTGGCCACCATCCAAAGAGAAGCTCTTGTGCAAGACTTTGCAATCAAACTATAACACTGTGTATGGTTCCGCGGAATTGATGCATATTGATCTGTGAATCCGCAATATGGAGTGTCATGCCATCCGACGACCAGGATATGTTTGTTCAGGAACCTCGCGACTAGCAATCGCTCTTCCGTGCTGAAGCCTTTCAATAAGGTAGCCAGCTGGTGCAAGGCTTCCTCGTTGAAGATATCTGGGTCGGATATGTTCACGCAATCGCTGTGCTTGGTCAACGTAGATTGTACGCTCAGGCCAGGGAGTTTTGAGATGGTTGTACGGTGCAAGTGGTAGGGCATACTCGAGTATGATGAGACGTCCCACCCACAGGAGTGCCGATATGAACGGTGTATAATCATAGGGTTTACGGAAACACAGTTCTGTAGGATGGATCCCCAAGACACCAGAGAAATTCATGATAGCGCTACGGCTCATGTTTCCATCGTGCGACAAGTCTATCCAGAACATGACTAGAAGTTGGAAGAGATTCTCATGGACACCGTCTAGTGACGGCTGTAGCAGAACCCCGCGGTCTGCTTGCTGACTGACAATAGAAAGATGGTCCCAGATATGGTTCATCATGGCTATCTGAGCTGGAGTCAGCTGCAGCCCTGAGATGTCGTTTGTGTGCTCCTTTATGGTACGCGACAGTACCAAGACTCGGAAGATGTAACACAGACACCGCTCGTGGATGGAGTAGTATCTTCGCCGGGTTTGTTCGCGTTGAGGTAGCTCGAAGGGGTAAGGAAGGAAAGAAGGCGTCCAGCTCCGCAGCAGCAACGCAAAACACGTGGAGTCTGCATGAGCGTTGCTTTGCATCGCTGGAATACGATTTTGCTTGCCTATGAATGGGCAAATGGGGGTAAGGGTTAGGAAAAAAGTTGTTGACATTGTTGGCTGATATTGTAGACCAAGTCTCAGGGATCCCAAATCTGCCCTTCATTTGTTGTGAAGTGCTATGGTTGTGGAGTTATTGCTGATGGAAGCTTGGATGTTTGGGGTTGACAGCCGAATTGGGTAAGGTTGGCTGCTTATTGCACTAGTCTCAATTGGTGTTTTTGGTGAACTCCCAACAATACTTGTTATTCTGTCAGCATTTCTGCCAAATATACCTTTGTAAGATGTGCAATGCAGCATTTATGTGTATCAGATACATGCCACAAATTTTCTTTGTAT